GGCTGTTTTATCCATTCACAGAGACGTTATTTCTGGGATGCATGACTTTAATCAGCGCGTTATTGAGCATTTTGCTTCCAAGAAACCGCGGCGTGTTGCATATATGTTCAAGCAGTAGAAGTCTAGCAGCATATATATCTATGAGTGAGCGACACATGTCCTTATCTTTGCATTAACTTTCCTTTCTTCATAGTAACGTTTTAAACCTCATTTTAGGTTTTGTCTGCTTTCCCGAAGTTTCTGTTAATATGTCATTGTATTTATCTGGGTAAATATTGCCTTTCCTTTTGAAAGAGGTTTCAAAATAAACTATGTCCATGTTTATTAATCCCTTGACTTGGACGGGTTTTAAAGACACTTTCTTATCGTTAAAAATTGTCGCTTTTGCCGATTGGTTGTTACCGATGGAATAGATTTTATACTCATAAAATGATGGGAGAACTTACAGCGCTCATCCTGTCCCCGTAGATGGGGGTGACTTGGTCCCGCAGTAGCTTGCCCCGGTTGTCAAAATGACCACGCGCCGCCACTGTATTTTAGTAATGATGAACGTGCGGCCATATGCTCACTTATATGAGTGCTGAAAGCCTCCGGAAGGGGCCATGAGCCATAAAAGATTGTGAACCCCCAGCCTAGGGTAATGGGGCAATCCTAAGAATTTTATCTCTTGCTCTTTCAATTGCTTTGCCATTGAGAAGTAAAGGTTATGTTGTACCAAGGTTTGCTGGAATAATGATTGTTAGGCCTTACTCTTATCAAATTTGATGACATTGCCCGAATGACTGATTGTTTTCTTAAATTTGGCAAATCAAAGTGAAATTACGTTAGTTATCAGTTATCTCAATGTGTAGCCTACCTATGTTATGGAATAAAACATTTCTGCTAATTAATCACATATGCGCAGTGGCGTATCTAAGTAAAATGGCGCCCATGGCAATGGTTTAAAAATGCGCCCCTTTCGTTTACATGAAATTGATTGCTCTCAACCACGCAACATAACAAGCAATTTAATAACTACACAATAAACAATAAGCAGTAGACGGTCGGGCAATAACAAGATCTTAGAATAGTATATTTCGTGACGCAAATTTGCCAATGATTTCATCAAAATTTATTTTCTTTGTTTCACCCCTCTTTATACTTGATATAGCCAAATCACAAAGTTTTCCTGGCTGATTGAAGATCGAAGGTATGACAGAATTAATTTTAGTTTACTAAACGACCGATGGCAATTTTCTATGGATACTGCCAATGTCAGCAAAATTTGCAAAGCTATCCGGAGATTGGAGAAATCCAGAAAAGACTCTTTGACACACACTGTTTTCTCATCATAGTCTATATTTTACATGGGCAAACTATGGCCCGCGGGCCAAATCCGGCCCGTTGGGTAATTCAATCTGGCCCGCCTGATGCTTCCACAACCAAACTAAAACCAAATTTTGATGTTTCAGCTGAAAAATAAGTCGAGGAATTTGTTTAGATTGTGATTAAATTTAGTTTTGGCACGAGGCTAATTGTTTTCCACTTTTGCTTTACTGTAAATATTGTCCATAATATGTAACTGTTCACGTCACACTTACATGGCCCGTCATTATAGGCGGGCAAAATGTTTGGCCCGTGAACAAAAGACCTTGCCAGCTTGGTCCAACAACCACATGCACAAATAAAAATGATTTACTCTAGCATTCCCCGCCCCACTTTTTCTCTTCCATTTTGTGAATATAATTTTAAAACATAGAATGTTCTACCTTGATATTGAATCATCTGAAATTGTGAATCTTAAACATAATAGCGTGAAGTGGGAAGTTGACTTTGATGATCGCCTGGTCGTATCACTCCCGCCTGTCTATACCAAACTAATTTAAAACTTGTTATTATTTTTATTATTACGAAGACTGTTATTTTATTTTGTTGACAAAAAAATTAATCTCTTTCTTCTCTCTCCCTCTGTGCTCCTCCTATTCGCCCGAACCCAACGACTAACATACCGCCCGAAACTTTGGTTGTGTATCCACATAGAGCCGCATAAACGTACTCTTGGCTGTGTTTGGTGTGCCGAGATCAGTTTAGCGGCCCTGCGTGGTCGCTGGGTAGGGTTGCCAACCGTCCTTTATTTCGAAGGACAAATAAGCTTTTCTGTCCTTGTCCCTTTTAGCATTCAGCAAAGATGCTAATTGTCTTTATTCTTTCCAGCGTCGTTTTGCCCGATAGTTATAGTACTGTGTTTAATATTGTTCCGTTCTTCAAAAATCGCCTCCGTTTAATATCTGCAGGCTTTTAATTATTGGATACGTAGTGGCAGAGGCGTAGCCAGCATATTTTGCGCCCGGGGCAAAATATAAAATTGGCGCCCCGACTCCCACGTTTAATCATGTTTTCTATTGCATTTAATTGTATATGTAAAGAAAATTATATTTCGTCACGCTAATAACCGAATTGCGTAAGTCATTTTTAGCTGTTTTGAGAAAAACGTAAAAAAACTTCCTAATGATATTGCTATGCCATTGAGAGTCTTTAATTTGCCATAGTTCAACTTTTTGATCGAAGCCGGATTTAAGTTAATTTGTATGACGCAGTCATGTGACGTCATAATGGCACACTGTGATTTAGGCAAAAATGTGTCTATGGCTAGAGGACATACGCAATTTTGCAACTTGTCAATATGTACCAGTCCTGAAAACCAAACAATCCAAAATCCCCAAAATAGCTAATCTGTTTCAATTACATTATTTTTTATGTTTAAAAATATTTATTTCATCAATATAACACGCTCTGCACATCACCGAAATAAGACTAAAGTTAAATATAAAGAATAAAACAGTAATGTACTCTTATATAAAAGTCAACCAAGGTGAATTGGACTCAGACAGTAAATATCACAAGTGCACGCCTTCCTATACAGTAGTATAAATTGAAAATTATTAGCGCTAAGCTAGAATCTGAGATGCAAAAACTCGAAAATCCTTCGCCTAGGTTATTTTGCCTTTGTGACGTCACAATAGTCCTGCGTTAACAATGATAATTCATTATGACGGAACAATTGAACAAATTTGCATATTATACAAAATTTCTATTTTTATGGGTTTCGGAATTCTTAAAATAAAATCTGAGTTAACAGACAGGTGCGCAGCATTACATAAATACCTATTTTATGAAAAATTCAAAACCGCCCAAAATGACTTACGCAATTCGGTTATTAGCGTGACGATATGTGAATTCAAATTTATATGTATTTATATATTTTATTATTTATTCAAAAATATATGTATATGTAAATTCAAATTTTAATGGAACATTTTATTTAAAGAAGAAGCAAAGCTATACAAAATAGAGCATATGTCCCACTCAGTTACTGTCAAAGATGATCTACATAGTCTAAAATAAATTCATTTTTTCAATTTCACTGTCGTAAACTGGTTAACACGTCATCAAAATCTGTTTTTTTCCAATGTTTCTCTTTCAACACTTAGAAATGCAAGATCACGGAGACGATCCTGTCCCGTTGATGCACGCGAATACGACAAAATAAGTTTCAATCTGCTGAAAGACCGTTCACAGCTTGCAATTGAAACTGATATTGTTAACAAAATTTGTAGAGAAATTCGCAGATTGAATAAAACGTCGTCTCCAAAAGACACAATAAAACCAAGAAGAGCCGAAGGAGTTTCTGGTTGATCTACAGTTCTGTTACTGAGCAGCATTCTGCAATCTCCAATTTCGGTGAAAAGTTCGTGGCCATTGATGTCCGTGTGGTAGAGATTTGCAAAATCTGTGCAATCTCGACGAATTGTCGAAAACGGCATTGAGGTCTTTTAGCACAGTATAATATATTTTATGTAACTCTGCCGCAAAGTACGGTACTTTGACAACAAAATACAATCCACGTATTACTCAAAACATGTATTAACATCATTCAACCAAATTCCGTTTCCATTTGTCTCCAGCACAGAACTAATATCAACTTACATCCGAGTGCGCAGGCAAGAACTTAACGATACAGAACCACGTAATTAACCCGGTGCATTTTGTTACCTAACGTTACCAAATCAAATTTTGCTTTGTTTTCCGGCCAAATTTTTTTGGCCATGTAATCACGATGGAAATCTGACCGTGCTATGTGCGTGATGACGTCGGCAGTCGTAAGTGGTCTGACCAAGTGTGCAGTTTGCCATGTACTAAGATTAGATGTCTGCCGCCGGTGCGATCTTGCTTGTGACCGTTTTTACCTTTGTTGTGAAATTTTTGCCAGCCCCATTTTGGCGCCCCTGTACCTTGGCGCCCGGGGGCATATGTACCCCACTGCCCCCCCTAAGCTACGCCTCTGGTAGTGGACATAGCGATCGTTTCAATATTACGTTGTTGTTGTTCTTATTGTTGTTCTTAGTGTCCTTGTTCTTTGACACGTTTTGAAGAAATCGCTTTTCTCTTCGAATACTGGACCAATTGCTTTGAAATTTTCAGTGGTTGAAGATAAAATTTTTCTCCAGAAGGCTATTACTTTTTTTTTGCTATGACGTCATTTTATTTCATTGTTTTATATTGTTCTTATCTTCAAGTTACAAAATAATGGCAACCCTATTGCTGGGTCAGGTATCAATCAATCAATGAGAACAGCTAAAAAGTTTATTTTCCTGAAATTTTTTTATTTTATCTGTATTACGACGAAAATCCATTTTTACCAATTAACGTCAGTTCCGTACGGTACGTCGTATACAGTACAGGCGGCGGTGTGGCTCAACGGGCTAAGCGTTAGGAATACGCTCGCCACCGCACCTCTAATTACTCTGCGTGGGTTCGCAGGTTCGAATCCCATGCAGGGATGGTTATGTGCGAGAGGATTGCTGGACTCCTCGCCGTCGTTGGGTGGTTCACGTAACCGCTGGTCGGTTACGGCTTCCTCCACCACCAAGTCCATGCTTCCGAAAAACAAACAATATACCGGTAACTAATCCCATACCCGACTTGGAATGGTACCGGTACCGGTACCGTAACCGGACGAGAGGACGTGGTTCGCCATATGGATAAGCCGTATTATCGGCTTTCCTCTCCCCCGGGATAAATATGTAAATCCTATCCTATACCGCCTACAGCTACGGTACCGGTACCGGATCTTGGACATTCTACAGCCAGACAGTTCTAGCAAGATCCAAGACGGCCACAAATGTGTGTAATAATTTTTGAAGATTTTTTGAAAGACTTTAAAGAATTTCATCACAAAGAACTGCTGCACTGAGGCATGTTACGGGGGTGGAGGCTAACTCGTGGTACGGTACCATGTTTAATTTGATATATCATCATAAAATACTGGTATATTCATGCTAATTCATTCACTAGTTACTACCCATAACAAATTTAGATGATGTCGGTTGTTGTCCAGTGAAGTACTTGCCCATGAGTTCATGACTGTATAAACTACTGAACTATGCCAATTACACATTATTTTGAGGGGTTTTCGAAATATACTTTATAGATCGCTATTGTTAGTTTGCCTTATGTCAGTACCATATGTTAGTGCAAAGACTTGAATGTCAGAGTGTTTTTTTATGTAGTGATGCAGTTGGGCTACTTATTTCTGTACTAGGACTGGTCAGAAAGTGTATTCATTCACTTTTAATTCCATTGTGCAATCCTTTAAATTCATATAACAGGCTATGGTGTTCATTTTTCTTGCGCTCTAACTTGTAAATTATTTTATGGTTTTACACTCCGTTTAAAAAGAATCTTTGAATATGAAATTCAAAGATCTTTGATTTATGCCAGTTCTATCTAAATAGCATCAATAGTTCAGCCAAATACTTTTGTTTGAATGAAGGTGAACTGTTCTTTATGATGGCAAAAATTACTATTGCCTGTAAACAATTTCTTTAAATTTGAAGCAAGTGACAATTTAATTTGAATGTTTTTTGTTAAGCTATAGAGCTAAGGGCCTGTTTGTGTATCGAACGAAATCTGATTTAAATCCTTAGAGTTAACTCACTGCGCATTAATTTACTTCAGGTTGTGTGTCATGTAATTATTGTAATATTGAATGTGAAAAGTCCCATGAAATGAGAAATACTACGGATTTGTGTTCACCCAACAAATTTGAAAAATATTCAGAATACTAGTTAATTGCAAGTTTGAAGTATAGATCTGCAACCTATTGGAACAACCGTTTTGAATTCATTTTAAATAAATTTCAAGATCAGGTCTTAGATACCTGTTATATTACCCATAGGGCCATAATATTGAAATAATGTTATATGCACAAATTTTTGCAGGTTTGTTATTGATTTTACTGCTCAAATCTGCTTTGAAAATACAAAGTAGTGATTTTGAGCATATAAATATTTCTAACATTTTCTAAATAAATGGGAATTTTCTCACTAATCAAATGATTAAATCTGTACTATTCATTTTTGCCTAAATAGATTTTGTCAAATTTACCTCGAAATAAATTATGTCTGGTTGGGATGAGTCTGAAGAATGGGGCGATGGCTTCTCTAATATTACACCATCAGCTAATGTAAATACTAATGAGTCATTTGATCATCATGTTCCGAACAATATCAAATTCGGCAGAGGACAAAAGCAGCCATTTGCATTCCGAGAACAAGAAAATAGTGGATATATAAACAATGACCCTGGTGATGAAAAAATAATAATGGTAGACTGCAAAATGTGTGGCAGAATAATAGGTAAAGGAGGCGCAAAGATACGGGAACTACAGGAGAGCAGTGGAGCGAAAATACAAGTGGATAGAAATGAACAAGAAGGAGATAAAGTACCTGTTAAAATATCTGGTAATGATCTAGAAAAAGAAGAGGCTGAACGACTGATAAAAAGCTTGCTGGAAGAACAAAAGGGTAATTCTTCCAGTTTCCAAAGTGACAGAAGCAGGTTTGGAAATGAACGAAAGAATGATAATTTTTCAAATACAAATTCTGGAAAAACGATTTTCATCAAAGCAACACAATGTGGGAGAGTCATAGGACGTGGAGGTTCAAAAATTCATGAGCTTCAAGATGATAGTGGCGCTCGTATTAATGTGAAAAGCAACGAGAGTGATGGTGATACTGTTCCTGTTGTACTTACTGGCGGCCAAGCAGCGATTGATAAAGCTGAAGAGTTGATCCTTGATCTTCTCAGCGAAGATAGTTATGGATCGTCAAAGTCTACACATAATGATATGAAAATTGACAGAGGAGCAGGGAAAGGTGATGGCTTTACGTCAAGTGGATTTATAGATTGGAATAATGTGAATCTGATGTGTCGCATTCAAACCAAAAAACGATGGGAAAACTCTCCACCAATCAGAAAAAACTTTTATATCGAAGATGAATCTGTGGCAGATATGTTACCTCATGAAGTTGCTCAATGGAGAGAAGATAACTTCAATATATCAGTTACTCATTTGGCTAAAGAGCAAACAAATCGTATTTTAAATCCTGTTTTAACATTTGAACAAGCGTTCAATTGTTATCCGGAGGTTTTAAAAACTATATATGATCAGGGATTTGTCAAACCATCTCCTGTGCAATGCCAGGCTTGGCCTCTTGCAATGAGTGGCTTTGATGTGATAGGTATTGCACAGACCGGCACAGGAAAGACATTGGCGTTTTTGCTTCCAGCGTTTTTACATATTGATGGACAGCCAATTCCAAGAAGTGAAAGGGGTGGCCCAAGTTGCCTGATTTTGACACCGACTCGAGAACTGGCTCTTCAAATTGAAATGGAAATCAAAAAGTATCATTACCGTGATATACGTTGCGTTTGTGTTTACGGTGGTGGAGACAGAAGAAAGCAAATTAACCTGGTTACACAAGGTGTTGAAATAATTGTAGCGACGCCGGGTAGATTTAACGACTTGCTAGCCAATGAGTATGTCTCTTTAGATTCTGTGACGTTTTTAGTATTGGATGAGGCAGACCGCATGTTGGATATGGGATTCGAACCACAAATTATGAAAATTTTACTTGATATTCGACCCGACCGACAAACTATGATGACTTCTGCTACTTGGCCAGAAGGGGTTCGTCGCCTGGCAAGAAGCTATTTAACGGATCCAATGCAAGTTGCTGTCGGATCATTGGATCTCGCTGCGACTCACACCGTAAAACAAATTGTAGAAATTGTTGCAGAAGAAGAGAAACGAGATAGGCTTTTAGACCATATAGCAAATATGGAACCAAGTGATAAGGTTCTAGTTTTTGTTGGTCGAAAGACTACAGCAGATAATTTATCGGCCGATTTGATCATGATGAACATTATCTGCCAGTCTATTCACGGAGGTCGTGAACAATATGACAGAGAGCAAGCTCTGAATGATTTTAAATCTGGAGAAGTCAACATTCTTGTAGCTACAGATGTGGCTTCAAGAGGTTTGGATGTTGCTGATATTTCACATGTATTTAATTATGATTATCCTCGCAACACAGAGGAATATGTCCACAGAGTTGGTAGGACTGGTAGAGCAGGCCGTAGTGGTACTTCAATAACACTCGTTACAAGAGAGGATTGGAGCACTGCTAAAGAATTGATAGATATCCTTGTCGAGGCTCAACAAGATGTACCGATTGAACTCTATGACATGGCAGAAAGATTTGCAAAAATGAAGGAAAGACGTGAGCGTGAAGGTGGATTTCGCAGAGGTGGTGGGCGTGGTAGAGGCGGAGGTTTTGGTGGTCGAAGAGGAAGAGGTAATAGTAGATGGTAAACATTCACACATCTATGCAGATTATACACCAGGACATTTTTAACAACTTGGGTTTCGAAATTATAAAATTCAAAGTATGGTGCAGGGGTTATATTGGTCTTTAAATTGGTTGAATCATGTTTATTTTTAGTAGAAATTTTAAATTCTTAATAATCAATTTGCTATGTGGCAATGGCAAATGTTAATCCCTGTTCATATTATTAATGGATCTGTATTTTGCTGATATTGAATGTTAACTATTAAGGCCTAAGGTCTGGTAGAATTATTGGGGGTTTTGTAGGCCGATTACACTGTTTAACTAATATTCCCTATTTATCATTGAATCAGACTTGTCAATATCTTTCAAAACAGCAACATTAATAAATATCATTCTAACAAATATTATGCTTTTTTGGCAACCTTTTGATATTGCGATTTTACCAGTGGTGCATTTGTCAGTTAAAATTGCATGATCGTAGGAATATTTGTTGGATACTGTTGCGTTTAATATGGATTATTTTTTGCTTTATCTTTCTATCTCAGGCTGTCATTGTGAATTTTTATTTATCCCATTTTTTTTGTAATATGATAAATAATGCAGTTCTTGTTTATTTGTTACCTTAAAAATTCATTACCCTTTTTTGACAAAGTGAAACCAACCCTAACGAAGTTTTGATAATTCTACTAGTAATCAAAATTGGATTCCTCAGATCCCCTATAATTTAATGTTTGCATGTCAAAATTTTTTAGAAATTTAGTGACCATCAAAGACCTCAATATAAGCAGTTGAGGATTCGAATCTTCAATTGTCTTGAAAGGCTTGGTTTGCCATATTTGTTGCTTAGTATTAACGGTTGACCCATAACCGCCTATATTTCATCTTTCATTTACTGTTATTAAAGCACCTTCTTTCATCTTTTCATTTGACCTGTCAAATACAAACAAATTATGTCAAGATTGCTTTATCTTTAGTTTTTGGGGTTCAGAATTTCAAAAAATGTTCATTGGTTTTTAGATGCAATTATGCATTATAAAATTTTGGACTTATTTCTAACACAATTTATCTGTAACCTGCTTTTATCTAAAAAAAAAATAGGCAAACCAAAGTACAACAGTTTCTTATAGCGCCAAGGAAATAAATGCCTAAATTGTAATATAACTTTCAAAATTAAGCTTTATTCATTTCATTTGGGTATGGTTTTAGGTAACCACTTAATCGTTCCAAATTTGTAATGGTGAGGAGGCCACTACGCTGGTATCGATATCCATGTGCAGGCTATGTTATCTTTCGAGAATTTTTTCCCACACTGCTCCTTCTTCTCTTATCCGCTGAAGATAATGAAAAGGTATTTAGGCTTTGGTGGTATGGGTCAGATTGATTATGGTTTAAACCAGGGGTTCATTTTCAATGGGGGTTTCAACTTTATGGCAACAGCACACTTTGTTGTCTGCCGCACGAATAGGTAATCGGTTTCCTCTTAATAGTATAAGTTTATTTCGATTTCATAATAAATGTTATTATGCTCTAACTGCAGCGAATGCTATCTGTTTGTTACTTAAAAAAAAAATTAACTTCGTTAAAGTTAGACATTTGCATTCACAAATATAAATTGAATCTCCTTCCAAATGCGCTTTCGTTGCATGAATCATTATAGGTATTTGTTGATGTAAATATATAGAACATTGCACGGGTTAAATTTTACTTAAAAATTTCATATGAATAAATAAGATATTGAATTTGGATAACCCCTGGTTTTAACGAAATTTCTACTTTCTGCATATTAAAGTGCGCTCTCCCGTGGCGGTTTCTTATGATTTATGGTTGGGGAATCCCCTAACATTTTCAGATTTAAAATTCCATAATAGTAGACTAATATTCCGATATCGCTGTCCTGGTTCGACCAGTTTATTGTTGGATAGAAATTTTCACTATTCTGGTTCCAATATTGCCTAAGTAGGTGATGGACTTGCATCCAATTTTGGAATGTGGGGACAATCCGACGAACGGTTTATGGTATGTTGTATCGCCTGACAAAAGCCCGGAATCAAGAGTGGGACAGGCGTGCGTGGCAAGAACCAGCCAGCAGTCAAACGGCGCCGATGAAATTATTGCTATTGGCGGAGCAAATCCATCAGCGACTTTCAGTGATGTCTACAGGTAGGCTATAATTTTTTTTGTTTGTTAGTAAACAGATATTTTACCATTCATTTGGAGTTAGTATTCTAGATAGCTGTGTATAGACATATAGAATTCCAGAATAGGGCTCACAATTGTCACAAATATGTGAAACCACACGACAGCAGGATATAAATTCCTATGCTATATTCAAACTGTCTTATTCCAGTATTCTGACAAATACCATACTTCTGTAAGCTGAATAAACCTCATCCTGTCATCACTTGTCAAAAAGTTTTTATTGTAATCTATTCCAGTATTCTGCTATATTTTATCATTTAGGTAAATTTAAAATAAAAGTATGTCTCGCTCTGAACGCTATATCCTACCGTCCTATTTGGTATGGAACATATATCTTAGTTCACAGCTTTCTAAGCCAATTAGTTCATAGCTAACATGGACGAGAAGCTGTGGCAGACACACTATATGATAAAAGCATCTTATCGACTTTTCTCTCCTCGGGGATAAATGTGTACAGGGTGGCTTACCCACTTTGCAGCCACGACCTATTTGCGGCCATCAACTTCATCGATCTAATTAATGCCGAAAAAATTAACAAACCGCGACAATATTTCTCACGCGTGATCGTCCACTTGTCCCTCATAGCTCTGCGAATTTACACTAAAATGCGGCCACAAACAAAAAACGTTACGACCGAAAACCCGACTGAAGAGAAAAACGGACCATTTTTTTCATGTCGCCAACTACCCATTGTCCCATTAAAAAAACTTGAAAATCCATACAAATATAAGAGATAAAAAGATGAAACTTGGCATAGGGGTAAGGCTGTGTTTCTTTTAACCCTCTTTACATTTTCGCATTTCTACATTTAAAGGAGGGGGAATAGGGGGGTGCGCATTTTCAATACGTCGATAGTATTTTTGTAGACCAATTTGCGACCACCGTGTTTTTGTCTGTTTGATTGCTGTGATGCGGTGCTTTGTATATAATTTGACGAGATTTGTTCGAAACAATCGTGTTCTTGAAATATAAGACGGTCAGAAATGCAATTGGAAGCCCAATTTTTTTACGCATGGCTGCGTATGCCCTAATCTCGAGGCAGCAAAAACGATGTTCAAGGCTTGAAATTTGTGGTCGCACACTGGTCGTTCGGTCGCAAATACGTCTCCAGAGTGTCATACTTTGGTGGTTTGTATAGCTTTAACCCCTGGTCGTAGAAAGTTAATTCGAGGTTTAGCGTGTAAAATAAATGCCAATGCACCTACGGTGAAAAAATTAACGGGTTGGAAATATTGGTTTTTGTTTTATAGCGGTTTGAATGAAATCGTCCACAGACTGGCTACACCACCCTAATCTTATCCTAATTGAACAAAAAAAACAGGGCCATATTTTATGAGATGAAATTTTACAGTAGAAACATTTGCATTGAATAATATTAAATAAACCTTTTATTGGTCATTACATCTTCAGGCTCAATTGGAAAACATTACAATGGACTCAAATTGAATGTAAAGGACTAAGATCTAGATATGAGCATGCTGCTTTTATTCCAACATCATATCCGAATCTCATCTATATATTTGGTGGAGCTAACAAATCTGGAAATTTAGACTGCTTGCAATCCTTTGACCGAGGTGAGTAATGTATAAATATAGAGCTAATGAAAATTATGCCATGCTGGTTTATTATATATCAATAAATATATCAAGTTTTTTATGGCCTGTATTTATGGCATATACCTATGCATTCAATTTACATTGTTTTTCAGTTTCAGGTTATTTCTGCCCTTTTACGTAGGGGCTACTGAGATATAGACAAGGTATATTTCTAAATTTGTAGAATATTTGTCAAAATGTTTGGCCTCTGGAGCATTTAACATAAATTTTGTAAAAATAAGTTTATTCTGTTTATTCAAAAATTTAATTTGAAATAATTAACCTTGTTTTTACAATGTGTTTATTTCTTTTAATTTGTCTCAATTACTTTTAATTTTGCGACGAAAATATACCAATTTTTATTCAGTGTTTTTCAAATTGAATTTGTTCCTTTTTGATACTGACTTAGATCCAGCTATCTAACAGAATTCTGCCGATTTTTTCATGTGTTTTTTACATCTTCATTCTTGACAAAGGTTGTTGTAATGAGGGCAACTTATATGGAGCTACTATCTTCCCGAGTTGGCATGGATATTTGTCAACTACCTGAATTCACTTTTGTATAACACTTCCACTTCAGGTTCAGGTACATGGAATGTAACATCGTTCAATGGTCAATCACCTAGCCCCAGAACCCTGCATTGTGGAGGATTTTCTGGCAATAAAATGTATATATTTGGAGGGGGACATCTTGGTGCTGACCCTGTATCAGATTTGAAATTGCATGTCTTTGATGCGACTAATAAAGCATGGTCTCAGCCTGAGCTACAAGGTAAAATTTCAACTAAATTTGATAATTTATATAGAAATTACCGGTAGGTTAGATTCATTCAGGTAAGGGATACACGTGCCATCACCCCCTGCATGTTTATGCAGGTGAAAAGCTTGTTTGAGACTTAATTTGGTTGACTAGTAAAGGCCAATTTGTTGGTCAAAATACCAACTAAAATATTCTGGGTTATTCTAAAGATACCGTAAACTCTTTATATCAAGTATACCTAATTTTGAATATATAATATTCAAATATTTAATTTATTCCGGACAATACTGTCTGAGTACTATGGCTGGGGAGCTGATTTGAAATTGAAAGGGTTCTGGCTTCAGTTTCGGAGCCGCAGTATATTCAAATTGTGGCCCTGTTGTAGGAGCTTGGTATTTTATCTCTTGAGCTGTGCTCTGGCTTCATAGTCATGGATGTGTGCATTTTATGGTATGACCCCTAGTCTAGTTTCGTGGCAGTAGGACTCAAAACTATGATATAAGGCAGGGTGGGCATCTTCTCTAGTCGGCGAGCCGGATTGATACAAAAAATACTTCGGTATCCAATCTTTATTAAATGCTCGACACTCTCTGTCAACTTTACATTTCTTGGGATATTCCATGGTTGATAAAAATTACTATAAAATCTAATTTCTGAAATCTATTTATATTTAGTATATAAATATAACTAATAACAGTAGTGGTGGATGTTTACAACACTCTCTGCTCTGACCTTATATTGTTTGTTTAACAAGTGTGCTATCGCAATTGTTTGTTGACTAAGGCATTTGTTTATTCCACCAGCTCGTACTGACAGTGCGGTGAGAGTAGCGAACTTTCAGGAATGATGCCTCGGTCCACATTACAGAGTGTGATTGGACACAGTCAGCGGGCCGGACCCGGCCCGGGCCGTATGTTGCCCACCCCTGATAAAAGGGTTTCATATTTCGCAGGTTTGAATCCCATGCTTAGTTATGTGCGAGAGGATTGCTGGACTTCTTGCCGCAAAAGGGTGGTTCACAAAATCGCTGGTCGGTTATGGCTTCCTCCATCAAGTTCATGCTCCCGAAAACTAATAACTGGCTAACTAATCCCATACCAGATATGGACTGGTAACCGGACAAGAGGCCGTGGTTCGCCATCTTCTTCGCTGTCTTATCGTCTTTTCTTATTCCCGGGATAAATATATAAATCCTTTCCTATTTCTAGGTGACGTCCCAACTCCAAGACATGGTCATATAATGGTTGTTGTAGACTCTACATTATTCATTCATGGTGGAATGGCAGGAACTAACTTCCACGGAGATATGTTTGCCATTGATTTGAAGAATTTCAGGTATTGGCATTTTATAATTAGCTCAAGTTAGATTTATGGGCCTTCAATCTGTAACATAAGCTATATAGTAACAAAATCTGTATAGTTAACACTGTATAGCGCTGAAACAATGGCTTGACATAACATAATGAAACACAATATAGGCAAAACCAGCAAAATATGCTGTGATTTATCTGACAAAGTTCGGAATGAATCCCTCAATCTTTTTTATTGAATCAATAATTTCAGTCGCAATTCTGAAATATGGCTCTTTTCGTCTTGGTGAGTTATTGATGAAACCTGTTCCATATTGTGTCTAAACTCTTAGCGAACTGTAAGGAATTACTATTATTTGGGAGGACTGGAATCTTGTTTAGCATGCCCAACCAGTCGAAAAGATAGCATTTTTTTTCACAACAACAAAAATTTCACTAAACTATCTATAGCATAGGTTCTCAAAGTGCTCCGTACGGAGCCCCAGGGCTCCGCGAGAGAAACCCAGGGGCTCCGCGAGCTATTCGATTACTCTTCGAAATACTGACTCAAAATTTTGTAACTGTTGAAAGAAGCAATAACAGCGCTGATAAAATCTGACAACAATACAGCCTCGAAATATGGTAAAGAGGCTGAATTAAAAATGACATTATTTATAAGCAGGAGCGCAGCCAGGATTCTTAAGAGGGAGGTGGTTCAAAATTGGAATCGGAAATTTCTGCGCAACATTCTTCGCCATTAAAAAAACGGATAACGAGATTTCTGTAAAATATTCAATCCATGACCGATGCGAGCATTCAACGTGTCTTTTCGTTATAATGTAATTGTGATCATCGTTACTCAAGTTTGATTCGAGATTAGTATTAGTATTACTTAAATGAAAGAATACTATTCTAAAATAACATAAAATATGTAATAAACTGCCAACAATAAATAAAGTGGAGTCGTATTTTCGCGATCTTGGGATTTGTCAAACTTGATTTGTTCTTTCGCACCTGAGTATATTTCTAAGCAGGATATCGCCGTTTAAAAAATCACAATGTCTGGGCAAAATACGAACAATTAGAATTTATTTTATTGCATTCGGCTCCGTCGGTAGTTTCAGAATGAAAAAAGGTACATCGTGGATCGCGTGCACAATTGATTGCGTGCGGCTTCGTCGGTAGTTTCGGAATGGGAAAAAAAGGTACATCGCGCGCACAATTGACTGTGTTTCGATTTCGCAGTTACTACGACGAAAACCTAACATAACACCAAATTTTGTGATTTACAATGTCTATAAAAGCGTTTTCAATCTGAGGTGAGTCTAAACGTGTGATCTTCCATTTTAAGTTTCAGTTTTAATATTTTAGAATGCCGTTTTTCAATCAAGAAATTTGAGTTGCGGATTTATCTCTTTATTAATTATAATTTTTAACATTTCGTCGCAGATGACTATTATATGGTAACATGTTTTTCACATTGAACTCATAATTTCCCACGAGAACAAAAAAGGAATTAACGTCGTCATTGTGTAACAATACATGTATATGCCGAGGGAAATTTTTGATTTAAGGAGAATAAACACTGGCGTAAAGATGTTCAAAACACGCCATGCTGACGAAAAAAATCGGCGTTTGTAACAAAATAAAATCGCGCACGTTATTAGCGGCCTGTTAAGTCTTCCAAAAATGTCAAAAAAGAAAAGATTTGACCCCTAATTTATTAATATGTTCGTCAAGTGTCAAATTTACAGCTTTAGTATGAAATTCAGATTCATTTATGGCTTGTGTTAATCCTATTAAAAAAGGTTCAGCATTTTAAATAAGTAAAGTACTTTTAACTTGCCCAGGAATATTAATCTGAAAGTAACAATTTTAACATTTATTTTGGGGCTCCGCGAATAATATTCAACTTTTCAAGGGCTCCGCAACACCAAAAGTTTGAGAACCCCTGATCTATAGGACCACTCCATATTGTGTCCATATTGTCACTTAAATTGTAGCATATATGAAGCCATAAATCTTTTAGTGTGTATATTATCGCCAAGCTCATGAAATAATTTCAAGCTGATATTCTCCATCATTTCCTACAAATGTTGCATATTGGCTATCACTTTCCATTTGCATTGGTAGTTCATAACCATTTTCATATGTTGTTATGTGGTAGTCTTCATATGCGGCTTGTTCACTTACAGACGGGGTATGACAATCAGCATATATATTTTCTTCGCTTGCTGTCTGTTTATAAAAGCAGTATCTGAATTAAAATTTAGATAGGAAGTAATTAGTCAAGTCCAGATTTAAAAATGGTTATGCAGTCTTTCCATGTTTGTGAAATTTGTCATGACGAAATCAGAAATTTTGATTGTACTGAAAAGGAAGCTTTATCAACTTTATTTTTCATTACTCTTATTTTGAGAATCTGAAGCTGAATTCAATCACAAGACAGTGTGAAGAGAATATACACCAGTGGTTTCTGACTTTTCCAGTGCTATTGACCTTTTTATTGGATAGGATTTACAGGCTAATTGACAGCTAGATCATATTACAAACCACTGCCTCTTGTCCGGTTACAAGTTTATGTCGGGTATGGGATTAGTTAGCCAGTTAGCAGTAACCGACCAAAGGTTACTAAACCAATCTACAGTGACTCATTCTCGCACGAGATTCAAACTTGCGAACCCCCGCAGGGTGATAAGAGGGGTGGTGGCAGAACGTATTCCTAATACTAAAGTATGATGCGCCACACTGCCAAAATTTAACTGGAACTGACTGAAAGTGGACCCTTCTGAATAGAACCAGCCAAAACTGTTGCGTTACTTGCGTATGAGTTTTATTCATCAATAATATACTTTTCATGAAAATTGCACATGAAAGCACTTTTGACGAGTGTGAATTTGGAGGATGATATAATACGCCTTTCTAAAACTTCTTGCGCAGATAACAAACAATGCGTAATGTACCATTAAACTTAATCAAATGATGACTTTAATACTTGTTTGACTTTTTCGAGGTGAATATAGTAATATGTCAGCAAATTTTATTGTTACCACAGGGTCAGTTCATATAGTTGCGAATGACTTGTCATATGAGAGCTCTGCTACGATAAAGAATAGTCTGAAATTTTGCTATTTTGGCTTCATTTATGCAAATCAAAATCATGAAAAAAAAGGCCGTTAATATTTAATTAGCAATAAAACTGCTCTGAATTAGAATTTAGCATTTACCTTTGCACAAGAAAAACCAGCAACACCCCGATTATTATTCCACCAATTACAGTTACTGATACCATAGCAGCATTCGTATACGAGATGCATTGTAATTCGATTTCTTCTTGACTAGCTGTGTGTGAATCGGTCTCTGTGATTTTCATTGATAGATGTCCATCAGCAAAAGGAATCGTAGTTATTTCATTAGGTGTGGATCCTATGGTGACAGAAAGTAATATTGTTTAAGTTGATGAATGTGGTTTGTAATTTAGCTTAAATATTCGGGAGCTATGATGTTGCAGATGAAGCGGATTAGATAGGATTTATATATTTATCCAGGGGAGAGGAAAGGCAATAAGATAATCATATAACAAGCCACTGTTCTTGTCCGAATATTAGACTGTGTCGGGTATGGGAATAGTAAACCAGTTATTTGTTACAGATACTTGAACCTGAAATCAGGATAAATACCCATGAGATTAACACATTTTTATCCAGGGGAGAGAAAAACCAATGGGACGGCCCAATTGTATGGTGAGCCAGGGCTCTCGTCCGGTTACCGGTCAATGTCAGGTATGGGAAAAGTAAATCAGTTATCTTTCCCAGATTCATGAATTCGATGTTAGGGAAAATATCAAGTGAGATTAACTCATCATGTTTTCATTTAATTTTAATTGAGTCATATTATTAATTGAATGAAAATTGTTTTATTTTTTACTTAGGACAGTAGTATAGCAATATGTCAGAGGATAATTCGGCTCAAGGTTTGTTTTGTAAAACCGAAAAATATGTAACGTTCTCTTGTGGTGGGTGTGTTGGCGGTGATAATCTGTTGTCCATATATGTTATTTATATTTTCCATCCTAATAGAAATATATATATATAAACCTGATGACATTAGCTCACTAAATTAGATGTAAAAGACTTTTCAAAAATAAAAATTATGGTGGTTAGTATTAGCGCTGCGCTGTTCTAATTTATCTGAAAACTGAAAACACGTCTCTTCTGACTAGAAGCTTGATATTCTACATCTGGATAGTTTCAAATTCAGACTCTAGGGCTTTATCTGTTAGCATGGCGGGTTTAAACCCCATGAACCCCACCTCACCTCACCCAGAGTGTGAGAAATTGCAGAACTGGAAAGATAGTGGTCCTTCCCAGTGATAAAGAGCTTCTTAGATATCGTGAGATATCAGTCGCTGCACATACTGGGCCTTGCTGCAGCCCACAAGGAAAATTTGTGCAGCCCACGGAGAAGTGCCAATTTTGAAGGTGTGCAGCCCGTGAGCCTATAATACACCAAACCAATTTTTTATCTATGCCTATGACATAACAATATGGCTAGCTTGTGCAAAGCGAACAACGCAGGTCATAAGATCAATAACCAACATTTTTGTGCCTGCAAAAGTCTTTGTTAAATGAAGGTGCGGCCCACGATTTCACCCGGTTATTCGTATCTGGCCTTTCTATATTACAGGTTGCACATCCCTGCTCTAGAGTCCACATAAATTCAAAGTAATAGTTTTTAGCGACAAAACAATAAGACTTAGATTCCTAATTTCCCTGATAAAAGTCTCACAGTTTGATTTTCTTCTGTACATCTGTTTTTCTGACAGTCTGAAGCCGTGGATCAATTTGAATTTACTCGCGTCTGTCTCTGTTGCAACATTAAGCCTCGAGCTTTACTGACATGTACGAGTCATAGACTTTCTGTTTATAAATAAGTTTTGTTATGTTGTCTCTTGATGATGTCTGATTATTTTATAAAAGCCAATTTATAAATTGACAAGTAAAGTGTAAACATTGCCCATGTTTCACATCTGCGTCACCTTTTAAATTTAGTGATTTGACGTATGATGAATACATACAGACTGTTTTAAACTACCGAACCATTACCAAGTTAAAATTTTCACTTGAAGGACTACAACGTGCAGTGTTTATATATGTAAATTCCAAATGAACGGCACATTTTTAATAATTACCGCATATTTAATATTTTTTTATGCGACACTAATTAATTCATGTCTTTTGCTCTGGACTAGGCCCTGTGCAAGCAGCACTGGTATCTAATGGTATATTGGGAGCTGCTATTTTTCTGCTTTGGCATTCCCTACCCAATTTTGTTACACCCTGGGTGAGGTGGGGGCATGGGATTTGAAACCAAGATTTGTATTCTGCTAGACAGTTGCGTCGCCCCAGATTTGCTTTCAATAAATTTGTTGTAATGAAATCTTATTTATTTTTGTCTCCTCTCTCATTTCAAATGTTGCCATTTGATCGTCATGGGAGAGGAAACGCATCAAAGATAGAACTGTGGGTCTGATTGATATGTAAGTAAACAAAACAAGCCCTATGTTAAAGGGATTTTGTTACAAAAATAGGTCAGCGTAACAGACACTTTCTGTTTGAAATTTAAACAAGTTTTAATTTTAGTATAGCTGAATTCATAGGTTATATACACCCAATGTACAACGTATGTAGCTGTAGCCTAATAGGCCGATTTACTGGACCCAATTTTTCGGGGTTAGCTAGACTTATTTTAGATTAATATTAGCTTTGAAGCAGAAAATACCGGAAAAAAGGCAATAATGTGTCTTCCCCGTCAGTTTCCGCGCATTGGTGCTTAACTGACAAGCAGAAAAAAAAGTAATGCAATTTTTCTGCCCCTGCTTATTGGGCGGTAATATGAATAAATCCTCATTTTTAGTGCTTACTATTGCTCACTACTTATTTACCAAAAAACACAGTTTTGAATTCTTATTTTTTCAGGTGTTCCAAACTTGAGCCGTCTGGTGATATTCCTTGTGCAAGAGCAGCCCATTCGGCTTGCAGTCATCTATCTAAATTTTACATATTTGGAGGAATGTGCCCCCAAGGAGCTCTCGATGACTTTTATACTTTTGATACAGGTATTTTAGTCTTCTTCATGTGGGTATTCAACATAATGATTTTAAAAAACTCGTTATTCATTTAAAGGTGTTGGAATTTGTACTTGGGCTGACTCATTCAATGGGTTCTACTTTATTGTCATGCTTCCTACATTTACACAACTTTGTTTTCTATATTCTTCTTAAATGATCCATTCATCCACCCATTCATGGGGATGGGGGGGTGCAGGCTTGAACCCTGTGGGTATATCTTTGTGTGCTTTTATTACGGGACTCACTATCTATGTTTATGTTTAAAAGTGTCAAGTTAGTTTGATATCTAACTAGACTGGCTTTTGATACGAGACCATGGTTTTGTCATATAAAAAAACATCGGGGCTCCCGAAGTATGCGAACCAAGATGGCGGACATCGGAATGTAATAGGTGTACTAGGTTAGGGTTAGGCCATAATTTTAGGTATAAATACTACGGGAGGCTCTTGGCTAGTCTTCGAACTGATAATAGGACTAAAATAAGGAAAATTGGAAAAAAAATTATCGCCTAACCCTAACTTGTTACCCATGTTACGTTCCGATGTCCGCCATCTTGGTTCGCATACTTCGGGAGCACCAAAACATCTTATCTTTTTCTCATAACCCAATGATGAATAATTTATGGTATTGACGCTATAAGTCACAGAATAACAAAATTTATTTCCTCAACTAATAGCATTTATAAAGTTCTGTTTGTGGAGGGAAAGTTAACACCTTAGCTTTACATGTTTTAATTAATAAAAATAATTGAGACCTTCACATTTCAAATTGCATATGGCTGAATCCAAGACAAAAGTTCTGACCAACTGATAACATTACCGTTATTTTACAGCGACCTCAACCTGGACCTCATTGAAACTTGATTGTCCACCACCTGCTCCAAGATTGGATCATTCCATGTTATGTACTTCGTTGCCAGTCAGAAGGGATAATAACCCAAGTGTTAATGAGGTTGGTGATCAGCTTTTCGGATTGGAACATTATGTTATAGTTGTTGTATAGTTATAGTTTTGGTTAGAATCTATGTTTTTAATTTCAAAATTTTATTAATTCTTCCAGGTTTCTGTACAAAGCAATGGAACACCATTGCAAAGTGAAACTGCAGCCACCTCAAATGGTAACAGTTCAGATGCACCAAAAATAGTACCTGTTGACATATGGCAAGGCACTGTCGCAGGAGACGCAAATAGTAAAATGCAGAATTTATCATTGAAAGACTCTGGAGATGGTTCAACTCCTCTTGTGGCATCTGTTCCTGACTTAGAAACAGGTGCCACAAACGGCAATGATGCCACTGATCATGAATATGATTACGTACCAGTATGTGTTATCATTGGTGGAATGGATACAACTGGAAATTTGTTCAATGATATATTAATTACAAGAATTGGCGAAAAGAACTGAGAAGGTATTAATAAATGATATTCTTGATGATAAGTAAAATATTCAAATACATGTGAAAGGATTGTGTGACTCGATGTCGCAGGGTAGTCCTTGTAACCGCTAATTGATTTCCTCCACCGTCAAGTCTATGCATCTGTAATTAATCCCATACTGACATGATATGGTAACTGGACGAGGCGCCATGGTGTCCCATTTTCTTAAGCTGTGTTATTTACTTTTCTCTTCCTGGGGTAAATAGGAAAATCCTATCCTAATATAATATTGTATTCCTAAAAATATGCGATGCTTTGTGCAGACTACTTTGTTGAATAACAAGTCCTGTTTAGAATACATTAGTTTTTGATGTATGACTGTGACATATACAATCTTTTATTACTTCTAAAACATACCATCGACATATCATCTTCTTAAATCTGTATATTTCTGTTACATGTCAAAACTAATATGATTATGTTCGGTCCCAATTTTGATAAACCAACTCCATGGTAGGATTCGCAATGTTTTCACCATACTACTTTTTAACAGGAATCTTCCACTGTAATTGGATTACTTGACTATTACATGATGAGCTCAATAGGTAATGAAGATACACCAGGTTTTTCTGATGAACTGAGCACTGTTCCACCTTGCACAAGAAAAAAACTACAGCTCTTTCCAGATACAATGTTTATTGAATATTTTTTGGTTCTCAATTATTTCAATGCTTTGTGTTAAAGTATATTTTTTAATATAAATTTGATAGATATATATTTTTCGCCGAAGTAACATGTTATTCAAATGGGCCTTTGAATGCTTTGTATTATTTGACAATGTTTCAAATCGAATTAGAACGATACTTCTTCCAATGATATATCATCACACAGTAAAAATCACCTCTTTTTTTTCTGCATAGAATAATAGTAGTAATCAAAAATATACATAAAGACCGTTTATAAATTCGAACACGCACATATCCATATTGCAGTGAATATAATGATACACCATAGTGAAAAATTAAAGAGTTTTTATACGGTACTGGGGTGTACAACTTTTCAAAGCCAGATCAGCGCAAAAATCTTTAAAACACTCAAATCTTGACTATAAGATAATTGCACTATTACTTGATAGGACCTGAGATTAAAAAACAACCATCAACACACATTGATAAGGCAAACAGGACTAGTGAAAACTTGTAATATCACAACTGGTTACTTATTTATTGGACACACTAATAGATATATATAGCTATGAACAGCTTAAGACTAGGTACCACCTCATATTACCTTTTAATCAGTTTTGTCAAACTATCAAAACTGAGACCAAACGAACAGGCGTTGATAACTGCTGACATGAACTCTGAAATCAGTTCTATAACAATGACAAATCTTGATTAATAAATGATTCCACTTGAAATTTTATCCCATTTAAACGTGAGCCAGGATGCTAAGCTTCATTCCACGTCGACATCTTGTTTTATGCACAAAGTAGTGCACTCCACTTGGCAGAACGCATGCTGTTTCACAATTCACTTTCCTTGCGCCTTTGGTGTTACAAGACAGGTAACTAGATCTGTTGGGAACCTATAAAATTGCATTTATTTAGTCTCAAAATTAGCTCATTGTGTTATAATATATTTTTCATTTAATTACTGTGTGTCGATCGCAAAAATGAGGCTTTGATAATTATGAGATGTGAGGGAGTTGCCAGTGCAGGGTAGATCACACAGTTATGTTTTATATCATCTTGCCTGAAAACGAGATTGTTGTTGACCTTATTGCTAGGGTGGTAAATACTTGGTCTCAGACTCATAAGATAAAAATTTCTTGGAAGCTCGTTTAGAAAGTTCGTAAATCTTAAAAGCGGTCCACTTAGTCTGAACATAAAAATTACCGGTGTATACTTCTTACCATAAAACATCTTGATTGTATGCTTTTCAATTTATGCGTTCATTCAAGTTTTGGATCTATTTGGCATGTTGTTAAAGTCTGGTATTCTAAATGGCTTGACGAGGAGCATCATGCTAAGAGTTAAGATATGGTGCCTGTGATTACCCTGTGTGGGTTCGCAGGTTCAAATCTCATGGGGGGATAAATATGTGCGAGAGGATTGCTTGACTCCCTTTATGTGACCCCTGGTTTTAATAGGCCGTCATATCAGCTTTCTTCTATCCTGGGATAAATATGAAATTTTTATCATGTTCTTATCTCAATGAAGTGATTTTGAAAGAATATTAACCTGCACAACATCCTTGGCTTCCTTTCCCCAGAAGACGAACCACTTAGTCCCAGAAATAGCATCGATAGTCCAAGTTGGAAAGCGAACTCCTTTCGCCCATTCAATCTTCTGTACATCAGTACCTGGATTAGAGAGCTAGGGTTATTCTGGCATGACTGTTTGGTAACAAAGGTGTTCTTCAAGTTGCCGATACTAGTTTGTTTGAAAAAATGAACAAGTTTTCAAACAAAACAAATGTCACATCCCCTGGAACTCTCTTAAATTTTCTGGTTTTAATTAAGTTAAATCCTCCGGTAAGAGGTAATTTTGATTTATTTGAGTTTTGTTATTGTGAAAAAGCATAAATCGCTGGTGAAAAGATAATTTTTCTAGCAAAAATTTCGAGTTTTGCTCATGGTTGATATATATATATATATACATATATATGAACTGGTATTTAAGTAGCAATCGATATGTTACAAAATACGAAAACTTTTGCTATCTGCACCTACTACATACGAATGAGCCCACTTTAGATATGAACACAAAAAATTAGATTAGATATTCATGTTTAGCTTCTGTCTTTTAATGTATCATACATTCTAAGGGACTAACCAAAACAAGTTTTGACCGATTATTAACTTAAGATTATTACCTTAATAATCATATTTAACTATTACCTTAAATTATTATTTCACCATATTGTTTTTAAATCATTAGTTGGAGTTTTGTCAAAATGGTTTTTATCCACTGTGACAGCTGGTTAGCCTAAACCGCAGTATGGACTATGTTACTTATCTACCGCTAAGTAATTTTATAAATGAGCATGTTTGCTCATATCTACAAAGACCTCATAATGTCAATTCTATGATATCTGAGAAACAGTGAAAAAAAATTGGAAAAACTTACGAATATTCTTTGGGTATAAGATCAGCTGAGGAGATGGTATTAATCTTCTGATGTTTGATCTGATTTGTTTGCAGTTCTTTCGGCAGGATAGATTGTGACTGTAGCAAGCCCTTATCTGCACATTACTTGTTGGAGAAATAAGCTCACGTTGTGGCCTACTCAACTTTCCGAACTGAATTCAAAATTAGGTAAATGAATTTTTAGCGCTGATAATATTTTTTTCAATTTCAAATGAACATGATTATTTTTTTATTTATAAGCTATAAATTTGGCTACATTATTTTAAAATAGAAAAATACATTACAGTATTTTACCATACTCATTTTTACATCTAAAACAAATAACTGGTACCGTAACTACCGTAATCCCATACCCAACATAGACTGGTATGCCATATGATTGAGTTGAATAAATATGAATAGAATAAATATGAAAACCCTATTCTTTTCAGGACTGAATATTTTATTTAATACATATATAAAAACAACTAACCAAATGATTGATGTTTACAATAGTAGGTTGTCTGGACTTCCATGATCTCTCTCTTCTGCTTCCCAGAATTTGAGCACTTGCCAGAAATCGAGTTTCATCTTCATTCAGTTTTCTATGATGAATGAATCATATGAATATGAATAATAAAAACCCTATTTGTGAGTTTTATTTCTAAGCTACATAAAGATAAAGAATTCCAAATTTTAATTTATCTTCAATATCCCCTTATAAGGCATTCAACTAGAGAGGGTCAATATTTTGGGCGTTCTTCATAATTAGGTGGGCAAACTTGTTCGGAAGAGAGTGTCGATAACACAATTTTATAGTACCTAATTGGAAATTTTCTACATGATGAAAAATCAAAATTGAGCTCACGAGCATTTCTTGATGTTAGCGAGTCCTGTTAGTTTATTTGCCAGAAAGTAAGTAATCTTAACGTTTGTTCGGATGCTTCTTTCATATTGTCCTGGTAAAAAAACAAACCTTATTAATCGATTGTATGTTACTAAAAGTTCAATGCTATAACTACAAATGCTGTAGCCTTTACTGACAAAACAAAATGAATTGAGAGTTTTTACCTAACATAAGTTTGTCAGCGGATGATGGAATATGAGCCTTTTCTGCATCACTGGCTGATCCATTCTTGGCCACCTGTTTAGGTACCTTGAGACTGTCATATCTATATGTGGTTTTAAATAAAAACAATACAATATATATTAGTTGGCTATATATGAGTATACTAGTCTGTACGAGTCATGTCTCATACTTTTTCCATTTCTGAGGCTTATCAATTTTTTTTAAGTCCTAAGTCAAGTCTCTTTGGCAATTTGCAGTGCCTGAATACAAGTCGAGTTCTTTTGTCTATACCAGTGATTCTCAACCTTTTTCAGTTCGCGGACCGGCGGACCTTCAAAATTAACCAAAAATGTCATGAACACAAAACATAATCAAAAGAATGCAATTACGACTAAAGTAGGCGATACAAAAGAAGACAATCCAATTTAATGAGAAATTTGCTGCTGTCTTTTTCGTTAGTTTTGTGGGTTTCATTGCGCCGTTTGAAAGAATTTTGGTGCAGACTAGGCACATGGGAAGCGTTACTTTTTTGCTGCTGCCATCAATAGTGAAACCTAGCTCCAAATACTCCTTATCAAACTGCCTAAAAACTTCTCCCTTATAATATATCAGAATTGGAATATATTTGGTAGACCGGCAGCAAGGTTGCCGCGGACAGGCGGTTGAGAACCACTGGTCTACACTACTTGCTTTTATCGAAGCTATAATCAAAGTTTTAAAAATGCAACATGAGTTGAGTCATCAAATAGTTCGAAATATTAAATAGTTCGTCATTCGAATAGTTCATAATGTGTGCAAAACTATGTATTGCGAAAGTACTAAATAATTAAACAATATTTGAATAACCACATTAAATAAAATACTAATACCCCCATCCCCCCAAAAAAAGTCCTGAAAGATTTACAATAAAAAAAATTACTCCTAAAAATTCTACTTCATAAATACACTTCCTAATTAAATTATTAAATATATAATTTACCTGTAGCCAAGCAATTGTCTGTTGAAAAATAGATCTTGAATGTTTGAAACTGCATGAAGCTTTTTGAACGGGGTCAAAGAATGATTGTTGAATGGCAAATATGGTTGGCTGAAATAAAGGAAGAAAATGAATAAACAAGGAAGCAATATTTTGAACTCATTTTGAACAGGTATTATAACACTATGAATTGCTACTTGATGATTTTTTTTTCTATTATGAAATGCTTTTTCCGTCATTTCTGTCATGCATACCAAAATTTGATGATAAAAAATAACTTGCAATCATATGAAATTTTACTTGAAATGGAAAATGTTTTCTTGTGGTTCAAGAACTGATTGTCTTGTCCAAGCTAATTCATTGTTGCGACTCATCCAGTCTTGGAAAACAGAAAAAAGCCTGTCTATATTTGTGTGATGGAAGAAAAATACAGGATCAAAAGCAGCATATGTCAGTCCAGCTGAAATAAGAAAATTGTTGTTATACGCAATTGTTTTTTATGGAGTACTTACTCCAAACATACAGCCATTTAAACGTTCAGAGTCAGAATATGCTTTGAAAAAATGGTATCTGGTTCGGTCTATGATATTTTTACTAAATTTTGAGTTTTCGTCTCTTTTTGATCTGTGAGATAAACACAACTTTAATTTCAATTTTTATTAGGCTTGTGGGTGACAATAGCTATTAAACAGGAATGTTCTAAATTTTTAGGATTCGAAATTATAGGTTTGCTTATTGCATAACTATACGTTCGCATTACATGAGAAGCCCAAATATTTATTTAGCCCGAATCGTCATAATCACTCTTTACGATAAAAAGTTACCGTAATCATTTAACTTGCAATTAAAACGCTTAAAAACTGTCTAAAAGAAAGAGAAATTGTTGGTGATGATAAATATACTTATCTATAGCAACTCTTTTTACTGAGACCTTATTTTTAGTTTCTAGGTGAGGAAAGCCATTTAGCTTACCCAATGTATTACATTTTGAGTGAAGTTGGACAGAAATAGGGTATGAAACATAGATATTTAATGCCAAGGAATTTAGCTACAATGCATGCTATGTAATCTTAAAATAATGTTGTTTTTAATACGGTAGTGACTAAAACTGCAGATTGATTCATTTTGTAGCATGTGTACCAGGTTAGGGTTAGGCCATAATTTTATTCCAATTTATTCAGTTTTATTATGATTTCGGGGACTAGCCAAGTGACCCGTAGTGTTTGTACCTAAAATTCTGGCCTAACTCTAACCATGTACACATACTACGTTCCGGTATCTGCCATCTTGGTTCACATACTCCGACATTTTTATATCACACATACAAGTATTCACATTTCTTACCCATTGAATAAGTGCATTTATTTTGGTTTTGTTGAGCGCCCCAGCAAATGGACGAATGAATCGAATTGTGAGCATTTTCCAAAGCTTCAGAAAATTCATGGATACTGTGTGACTGCATCATCTTTCTTGCGACATAATAATTGTCCTTGGATGTTTTGACCATGAACTGAAAAGAACAAACTCATATAGAGATTTTTCAACGAAGATACTCTGAGATAATGACTAAACCTCACAAATCTTCAAACAGTTGATATATTTAGTAAATCATTTACTTCATAGTGTTGTTTACGGTTAAATTTGTGATTTAGTTTTTAATTCATATCAGAATTACAAAACGTGCATGGTTTTTATACAAAGGTTGAATTTCCAATTTTGCCATATTTGTTATATCATTCAACAACCTGCTGTGAGAAAATGAATAAAAACTAAGGTGTTGAAATTTTTGATAATGAGACAAATGAAATAATTTTGCTCTAAACAATGCTCTGTGCAAGCAGCTACTACCAGGTAATGAGTTACAATAATCTGGAAGGACTGGGTTTGACATTGCCTACCCAATCATGGGTGAGATGGTGATCATGGGATTTGAACCTGAAGGGATGCCATAATAGTTAAGTTTAATGCTGTACCCAGCGTTACTAAAGATGTGTCCCGCGAGCTTCTTCAGAGCTTTCCGCGGAACAGGGATCGAAGTTGTGACTAAATTGGTCGTCATGGTGACCTTGGTCATATTTCGGCGACTCTGGTCGTAAATTTAGGCCTTGCTATCTAAACAGGCGGACAGGCCACAGGCTAGTCTGAAAAGCATGTGGTCTTCGTTAACTGTTCAATATCGTTAACCATCAGCCTAATTTTTTAATTTTCAAGATTACAGCAAACTTTTTAATTTTACCATATGTTAATTTTTTTGGAAACCCCACATTTCATTTCTTGAGATAAAAATCGTAAGTGTTCCAAGCAAAGAAAGTCGCAAGAAACGGTGAAACCGCCAGGGTACTACACCCAGGAATACAGAAAACAAATACAGTAAGGAAACTGATATTCAAAATTAAAAAAAAATGATCTACCAATCACAAAATATAACAGAAAATCATTTTTAAACTTCTTACAGGATTAACAGTAGGCGAACGTTGCGTCACTATATTCGGGGTGACGTCATATCTAATTGTCATTGAAGTAAAAGGGTTATCTTTTTTAAATAGCTTTTTGCTCCAAACCAGGGGTGGTGGGTTAGGATAAGTCAACCAGTCCCAATATGGCAATCCAAGTGTTTTGTCCTTCAGATGTCTGAAAAATGTCATAACTTTGTAAGAATATATTATCACAAAAATTGAAAATAACACTCTAGACTAGACAACATCTTGCTTTAATAATAACATCGGTACACGAAAGAATAAACACAAGAAATGCAGGTTGAACATTTTTGATTTACCAATGGTAAGTGGACTCATAGCAAATTGCAATTCGTTTGGGATAGTCTTTCAAAATACTTTTTATTGATACTCTTTAAATATAATACAATATATAAAACCTAATCAGGAAATCTAATCACACTTTCATTATGAAAGTTAAACTGTTTATATTTGGCAGTAAAAAGCTTCTAACTTGGTTTAAAAGCTGTATAAAGTTACCTTGTTAAACCTTCTTCAAAGTTAAGCAACTCAGCCCTGTGCCACATCGCAAAATTCAGTTTTGCACCATGAAAGCAGCATCCCTTGTCTTTTCCATCAGAGCCCATGCATTGGAAGGGGAACTCGTGAGTTCCACCTGGATGTTAAGGAAATTATCAATATTTAAAAAATTGGACTGAAATTTGAAATAGTATAAGATAACATCTGCCCAAATTTTAGGCTTTCAAAAATGTAGCTTGTTTGATGAGTTTATTTGAAAATTTTTGATCATCATAGTATAAAATTATTATCATTTTTCTAAGATATGATAAGTACCCGCGTTATGGAATCCAAAAGTAGTGGAATCTTTCTTGTATTTCTCCATTGCTTGAATGAGATCTTTCTGTTGTCTGGTATTTAATGAGTGAGCTTCCCTTCTTACGCGCAATGCTGGAAATTGCAATTTTCAAAAAAAAATTCAATAATAGAAAATTTGGCAACATAAATTCCATAAAAGTTTTGGTCAGTATTTTATTATTTGATATTTTTCTAATACTAATTAGCCTACAGGGAAGAAAAGTAAATTAAACACCATGACCATATAGTGGCAACATGCCCCTTAGGAGCGGTGTCTCAAGAAAATCGTGTGCCCACTTGACAAACATTCGTCCCACTAAACAAAGGACAAGTGGGTCACATGGGATAAGTAATGCAACAGTGGGACAAGTGATACATGTAGCGCAATGGGTAGGGTTACCATATTTTTGTGATCTTGAAGCGGGACGTCTCCAAAGACCATAGCTGTGATTTTTGCACCTTTGAATTTTATATTGGGGGCCGACATTTAAAACCATCCCGACCGTCTTCATTGACTATTCTGTAATCGAAAGTTCATGCGCTGTCTGTCTAAATATCGGTTTCAGTTCGAAAAACAGGAACAAATTTACGCTAACGTTAAGCACCCTTTTGGTGTACGGGGCTTACACGTAACAAAATGTAGCAATTATCCGCTAACAAAACAACGAAACAAACAAAGCCACGCATGCACCTTCAGTAAGAAGGCTAACGGTACGCTACACAGCAACAACAGTATCAAGAACATTCTAATTGGTATTGTTCGATGCTGAATGGTTGACCGCCAAAGTGAGACATTTGGCTGACCTTCCGGGACACCGGGACAATACGTTGAAAAGCGGGACTGTCCCGCCTAAAGCGCGACATACGGTAAGCCTAACAATGGGGCAAGTGTGGGACACAAGTGTGGAACAATTGAGACATGACATTTTTGAGACACTACTTTGAGAGTTCATATCTGTATGCAGATAGTTCGTCAGTTAATCATACCATGTGTATAAATATAACTAAGTGAAGGCTTAAATCGAGTAATATAATGTTACGATAATCACTAAGAAAATATTAATCTAACACATGTATTGAAGCAGCAGAATATTATTGAATGGATTGCTTAAAATGAATGATATGCATGGGGCCCAGCACCTGAATAATTTCTTGTATCACTCTATAAAAATGCTTACCACATTTCTTTCCTGTATAGCATGTCTTGTATTGAGTTGCAGGACCTTTGCATTTTCCTTCTCCGACTAAACCATATTTGCAAATGCGAACACGAGTCTAGAAATTATGAGGTGAACACTTTACACCAGATCATAAGCTACCACATACCGGTAATTAAAATTAAGGGTTTCCCACCCTAGCAATAGATTATAATACCAAAAAACTTTTGAAAGTTTCAAAGGCTAATTGCAAATAAAAATGCATTCCAAAACCACGCAGTCTTTTACATGAGTTAGTTTATACAATGTTCTTAAATTCACAATTTGTCAATCAAATTTATTTCCTTTTTCAAAAAATAATTAAAGATTGGGAGTATGAGAAAATGAATCAAAATTAATTGGATCAAATACATATTGAAGAAGTGGATGGTTTCAGATGCATGACAATGGATAGAGAAATCAGTCTTGTCAAACTATAGCTAGATGAATACAAGTTGGTGCATTGAAATAAGCTTTTCATTGCAACTTTGATTCCCCTTGGGGCTTCTAAGGTCCAAATCCTGTGGAGGATAATTATGTGCGAGAAGATTGCTGGACTCCGCACCACCGTGAAGTTGTTCACATAACCGCTAGGTTTCCTCTACCATCAAACTCATGCATCTGAAACAAATAATTGTCTAACTAATCCTATACCGGACAGGATGAACCTGTAACCAGACGAGAGGCCAGGGGTTTACCATATGATTAGGCCATGCTATCGCCTTTTTTCTCCCCTGAGATAAATATGTAAATCCTAATTCTGTAAGGCCATACCAGATAACTCTCTCACATTTTTATTTTCATTCAACATTAAATTTCTTAAACCCAATATTTTTTGACAAAACAAAGATATATCACCTGAATTCCACCTGTACAAGTAGGTTTGCAAGATGTCCAGCAAGTCCAAGGTGACCAACGTGCTAATAAAAGAATGTGAATTATTAATAGTTTACAATGCTAGCAATGAGCTTGAAATGTCGGAAAAATTGACATGACAATTCTTATATTTCTAAACGGTTGATTAAAGTCACAAGTGAATACAATACCTTCAGTGTCAAAAACAGCTTTTACGTTCCAAATGTTTCTAGCACAAACATAATGAATAACAATATCATCTTTCCCATCATGATTTACATCAAATCTTTGCACTCTCTGAAGAAATGTAATTCAAAAGGTTACATGATAAAACATGTGATTTTGTAAATTTTTTTACGATGCTCATCAACACCTTTCGCTCTGAACAAAGCTTTATGCACAACTGATATCGAACAACAATATTTTTGCAAGAACTAGATTTTTCCCGATTCCGCATTGATGAACTAACTGAGTGAGGCAGTGGGTGTGGGATTTGAACTCAATCTCTGCATAGTTAAGTCCAACGCTTTAACCAACTAGGCCATGAGATTTCAAAAGAGAACTGTTGATCTAATGGTATATTATGTTGAAGAAAAAATATATATTTCATACATGTATAATGATATTTAACAAATGATAATACATCATTTCTGATATGGTAATGGTGTGGTATACCTAACTATATTATATGCTAAACAAATATAAAGCATGTAATTTGAGGATAATTTCTAATGTGTGCTTGATCAATATGGCACAATACACATGAATCAAGAGTTCGAAAAATATGTTTACAAATTTTGGACAAAAAATTCGAAAATAAAAATATTATGGTGGTATGTTAATCTTTATAAATAGCTCAAATTTTAACAAGTTGACGAAAATTCTTGGAAAAAATACAATCATTTGTCTCATGTTTCTACCTTTTTATCTCCAGTTTTACAGGTCTTGTACAATAACGTATGAAACAGTGTTAGTCTTCCTCCAAGTTTAGCAATCTTTTCGGTAATATGATCTAAAACAAACAATTCATCACTATAAAAATATTATTTGATATCTACATCTAAAACATCAAATAATATATCAATAACTAAAATTTAATTCCATGGAAATAAATAACACTGTTTTTCTTCATAGGATCCAGGATAACTCTCATTTCAGAAAATTCTTGTATGTCACTGTAAGCTATGGTACTACTTCTGTAGTGTGTGTACTAGGTTAGGGTTAGGCCATAATTTTATTCTAATTTTCCCTATTTGAGTTCTATCATGAGTGTGAGGACTGTCTGTGTTAGCCAAATGAATATACCCCCTGCCCATAGGCTTCTGTCCCTTTACACAACTCGATGTAAAGTAGGCGAACAAAATGCTTTATATAAATCTAATACACAACTTCAAAATGGCAAATATAATGCTAGTGGTCAGCTGGGATGCATGTTAACCATTTACTGTGGTCATTTAACATCTAAAACAGGGTTTTCCAAACGTAGAGCTAATAGGTGTCCCTTAGGACCTAGATCGCTCGTGTACCCCAAAAATTGCCCTTTGTGTTGTGATTGGAAAAAAAAGTCATGTGAACTGCGAATGTGTATAGGTAGTTACAGCTTCTAAGGTGAAAATTTGACTTTCTAAGGAGTTGCTAAACTGCCATCTTCAAATTATCAACATCAGTTATCATCAGATTAAGAATTATGGAAGATAAATTCTTATACTCAATCTACTGTACCCCTTGAAAAGTCGAAACATACCCCTGATTATCATGACATTTCAAGAACGCGATCCCACATGATCCTATGTGAACCCCCTGATTCCCATTCAACCACTGTCTATGGCTATATGTCTGACTACTTCAGAATTAAAAATGTCTTACAATATATGTATAAAATGGTCCAAAATACATAATAATATTCTATTCATCAATTCTAGCCTGTATTTACACTACAGCTTCTCGAGCATATATCGAGCATATACTCTTCAATATGAAAAAATAAATACACAAAAAAAAAGAATTATTTACCGAGAAGAACAGCTTTAGTAGTTTCATCATTCAATCCATCACTGTCACCTTTCGCAAGTCTTGATGATTGGAAGACTTCAGAATTGCCTGGAGATGAATAGTAAAGTATTTTTATATTTATCCATGTGAAGAGAATGGATTCGAAAAGCTAATTCACGTGGCGAACCACCATTTTCCATCTGGAATACTCACAAAAAAGAATCAACTATTTGCTGGTACGTATGGCTTAAAAAAGTATACAGTGACCCCAAACAACAGAACCCAGGTCATTTGAGAAGCACTATATATTTTCCCATATTTGTATTTGAACACAGCTATCTACAATTCTGATGTAAATACCAGATTTCCACAGTTGATACATTAAGATATTTTTTGGACATCTATGCATCAGTGTATTTTATTGTACTTACACTCTGATGGTCTTTTATTGGCTCCTGTAAAAAGATCACAAAAAAAATAATCAAGTACTTTGGTGTTTCATCAACTACTATTGAAATGAGAATGAAACACAACTAGAAACTACTAAGTAAATATGTAAATGATCTTGTCTTTATTGAATAGGATGTGTTATCACCTTTTCACTCACATCAACTTAACTCTAAAGTGTTGCTATATATAGTACTACATTTTTAAAACCTGAAATATTTTTGATTCTAAGTAGCCTCACAAGATATTACACCTGATAGGCGTGAAAAAGGGTTTGCAACCTTGATTTCTAAGCCGCAATGTCAATATGGATCAGAATAAATAATATTGTATATCCTACATACATAGGCGTAGCCAGGGGGCCGGACGGGGCCATGGCCCTTTATAAATAGGGAAAACAAAATTTTAATGCAATTTCGCGGCATCTGAAGTAAGACATATTTACATACGCCGTTTTCAATATCATTTTGCTCTATTCTTGAATGATTTATTAAAAATCGGACATTTCCTGGCTTGCTATCAATAGGATAGGATAGGATTTACATATTTATCCCGGGGGAGAGGAAAACCGATAAGACGGCTTAACGATATGGCGAACCATGGCCTCTCGTCCGGTTACCATTCCATGTCGGGTATGGGATTAGTTAGTTATTTGTTTTCGGAAGCTTGGACTTGATGGTGGAGGAAGCCTAAACCGACCTGCGGTTACGTGAGTCCTTTCACCAAACAAGATAAATGAAAATGCGCGCTAATATGCCTTGGATAACTTCGACAGTGAGGTACAAAGCGTATTGTTACATATCAGTGTCTACTTTTATCTGGCTCTGTTCGGTTTTATGTCAATATACAAAAAAAATTTGCCTCCCTCCCAAAATTTGGGGCTGGCTATGCTCTTGCCTACATATCACTTGAGTATACAATTCATACATACAAAGTACCGGTATACATTCAAGTCATTTATTTGGAAATTACATCAAATAGGAGATAAATTTAACTTACTGTAGCACTTGAATCCACACGGTCCTAGAAGATATCCGTTTTTGCAAGTGCAGAAATAGCCACCATCAGAATTATGACAATGACCTCGTCTCAAATCGCACATTGAAATCCCTTGAAAATATCGAAAAGTGTTCAGTAAAACATTTAAATCTGTATTTCAATATTTGAATGTATTGTATTAATATCATACTCATTTTATTACTTGAATTGAAAATTGTAAAATAAAGCTTGAGCTTATAAAAAAAATCATTTAAAAGTTACAATTTGTAACTCAATGCATTTACTCTACCACGCTTCACCGAAAATAAAACGGGGCATCATTTAAATTATCTTTCGAAAAATAACACTAGGGCTTATTTTGGGGAGATGTCTTTTATTTTCATTTATTATTGGACACGTAGTGGACATAACGATCGTTTCAAAATTTTGTTGTTATTGTTATTATTTTTCTCCATCGTTTTTAAAAAAATCATTTTTCTCTTCGAATACTGGACCAATTGCTTTAAAATTTTCAGTGGTTGAAGATAAAATTGTTCCCCAGAAGGCTATTACTTTTATTCATTTTAAATATTTCTGCTAGCTCTGTGAGATTTGTTTTTGTTTGCTATGACGTCATTAAACGTTCTGCCGTCATCGGACGCCATTTTGTGTCCTACTGTACTGCTTCGCTTGGTGTGAATATATTTGTAGACTGTGATCTGACGGCACGGTAAACCGTACTGTACTGCGAACAGACGTGTCCATATATTTGGCCGTAGCTCTCTTGTTTTAGATTTATCATTTAAAATGTGTAACAGAGATTTTTCGCTATCAATTAGATCAAAAATAAATTTGGGCTATCGACCAGGTCTTATTTCAAGGGGAGGGCTTATATTAAAATCATTTTTGAAATACAGAGTAAGTCTTATTATCAGGCTAATTCTTATTTTCGGGAAAACATGGTATACTTAAAGTTATTTACCCTCTACATATCAGATGGAACCGGTTCCATTACATTTGAACCCACGTACATTTGAACCCACGACGATTGCACCGGCATACTATTGCACCTATGGAAATTTTTGTTGTTTTACGGATATTTGAACCCATACTAACCCTAACCCATGGGTTTAGCACCCGCATATAGATTGAACCCGCGAATATACACATGGGTTCAAATGTACGGTCACCGATGGAACCATATCAATTAGGACCAGAAATCATTCTTTTCATATGCAGATTTTTACAACATGCAATATTTAAATTTAAGGACCCTATCAGTGGCGCAGCCAGAGGGGTGGGGGGGGGGGGGGGGTCGAAGTCGAAATTGTTTGATTTTAACTGAAGAAGTCGCCAATAACACGTGCAATTGCCTTTTGCTAAAATCGTCGATTGTTTTCATCAGCGTGGCGTGTTATTTGGGCCGTAAAGGCCTTTACATTGGTGTTTATTCTCTCTAAATCACAAATTTTCTACAAATTTATGCCACGATAACGATGATATTCATTTTATTTTTGTACTCGCACGGAATTGTGGATCCGGTGAGGGTTATTATACGTTCATCGGCGGCGAGATTCTAAAGACAAATGGAGGAGTAAATCCGCGATCTAAATTTTTTGATTGAAAAGCCGCAATATAAAATACTAAAAATAAAACTGCGAACAATATAAGCTTTGTTGAGGCCTGCGACAGTCTAAAAACGCTTTTCTAGTCATTGAAAAACGCAAAATTCCATATGCCTATGCCACACATTATGTTTGGTCGGCGTTTAGAAACATATCGTCACTAAAATCGAAACACGGTTTGCCTTTTTATCCATTAATTCAAAATTGTCGTAGAAAATTTTCATGTTATCATTAAACCAGATTGAGAACGCGACTGTTTCCGGTTTGTGGTGATATATAAGATAATCAAACTTAAGTATATTCGATCAATTTTGATTGAGCTGAAATAAGTTTTATTTCGTGAGAAATTACAGCAGATTTACGGATTTTTTGAAAGGTTTTATCTTTAAAAATAATCAGAGTGGCAGCATTGCGCGTGAGCGGAGTCAGTGTTACAAGTACATCTCAAATTTGTCGAATTCGCAAAATAGCAAAAATACGGATCAAAACAATATATAATATAATCGGGCAGCAGTTTACCACACATTTTTATTTTTATGTCCGCTCATTGACGGACATTTGTGGTTTTAGAGTGGCCCTTGTTTTGTCGACGCAACCGCAGGTAAAATTAAAGACAATTAAACTAATATACACAATTAAATTAATATATAAGGACATTTTAGAATCTCGTAGTTGTCATGGATTGAATATTTGACGCGACAGAAAAACCATTATACGCTGAAGAGGCGGCTCTTTTAACGAGCGCGTAATCGCAGTGACTGTTACAGACGGCACTGGGAATTTCCGATTTCGAACAGTCATAATATGTGCCTGACGATCTACTGAGGTTTACTAAACTTTTTTATTTTTTGTTCTTTTTCATGAAATTATTTTTTCATTTAGTAATTATTGATTTTTCATTCGAAAGCATCTTTAAACAACTTTGCTGACATATCTTATCACCATTTACGTATACTATTGTGTATTTAACACTTTATGAAAATGTAATTTCAAAATACTGAAATCAACTCAAAATAACAGGATACAGAATCCCTTTAAAATAACTAGTTAACTAAATGACTATTCAATTGATGTACTCCTAAGTAAGATTTGATCAAAGATGTAGACATGCCTATCCATGGAACATATTTTTTCGTCCAGTATCATGGCAATTTATGCTTGTTCCAACCCACTCCAAGGGACGTTTTCCATGGGAAGGACAATCTCATGGCTAATGGTAACTAATTTTATATAAAAAGGCTATATGTATTTATTGATTTATCCTTTGTTTCGCCTAAAAAAAATTTTGGATATAAAGAGCTCTTCGGAGTTGAAAAGTATAAAAACTAAGGGTAATTTAATCATGTTGCCAAGGAATATAAAATATGTGCTGTTCCGTGGGAATGAAAATACCGTGGCCAACGTATGTCATATGAGTCACGCCAAGGTCAAACCAAATAATACTTTTATGAGATTTTCTACAGATTTGCTCAGAAAAATTCTGGACAAGCACGACTGGTTGTCCTGGGATCTTGGGACCTTCCACCATTTGAGACTACCCAATTTCCCACCACCCACGTTAGGCGTTGGTTTAAACATAAAAAGGTTTAAAGTATAATGCCAACCCTGTTAACAACCGGGACATGTGTACCCACTGTGATTGGTGGCACAGAATAACGCACACTATTCATTATACTTTATGTAATACGTACTTAGTCTGCATTCGTTTATGTCTTGGCAATATTTACATCCTCTTCTTTTGGCAAAGCCAGGTTCACACACACAGCTATTAAAAAAGAAATATAAAATTAGTACCGGTATAGAGAAATACAAGTGCTGCCAAGTGAATTCAATGGCATAATATATAATTGTAACAATTTTCAAAAAGGTTTGCAACTTATGCGAATGCGCACAAGTGTTTTTATATTTTCCCTGTTATATTTTTGACCGATGTTTTGTTCATGTTAATAACAGCTATAGATGTAATAAGTACATTCAAACAAGTTTTTGAACTTGTTAAATTATTGTTATAAAATAACTTGTCGCTTTACTGTCTTAGTCGCTAGAGAACAGATATACAAAATGAAATTACCTTCCTCTCTTCCCACCGCGACGACGCTTCTGCAGAGATGATAAAAATACATTAGATGTTTATGACGAAAAAGTTGACATGTTTTGCTAAGCGCTAGGGACGCTTTTGACATCGCACCTTGGGTTACCCTGCGTAGGTTCCGAATTTATATTCCCATGGGGGGGTGGGGGGGGGGGTGCTGGACACCCTATCGGGTGATATGGGTAGCCGTTGTTTGGAAAGTGCTTCGTCCGCCGTTGATTTCAATCATGTGATACAAACAATTGGGTAAATATTCCAAAACCCGACATTTGCTGGTCTCCGAGCGAAAAACCGTTATGCGCATATCATCCGGAATAAATATTAAGATCGTAGTCTGAAGAAAAACGATCTTAATATTCATTGCCGGGTGCAACATATGGAACATATGGTGCAACATATGTCGATGATGACATATGGAAACTAGTTGCAATACGTGCATGGGATAATTAACAAGAGACCTATGCTCAAATATATGGGCACGTCACAAGGTGTCGCTATTTTTTATTCTGACACATAAAAAACGAATCTTTTGAAGTCCACAAAAATTTTTGAAATAAGTAAAAGTAATAGCCTTCGGGCAATCTTTAACCACTAAAAATTTCAAAGGAATTGGTTCAGTATTCGAAGAGAAAAGCGATTTTATTATGACGAAAGAGAAGAAAAACGAGAACAACAACATAATATTGAAACGATCGTTATGTCCAATGACGTGTCCAACAAGCCAATTCGTTCGAATGCTGGAACTTTTCTGGGAAAGTATGCTGTAACCGCCAATTCGTTACCAAACCACCCCAAACGGTTAGACACATGCTTATTGTTAGTGGACATAACGATCGTTTCAATATTATGTTGTTGTTCTTGTTCGTCAACAATATCACTAAAAAATCGCTTTTCTTTTCGAATACTGGACTTACAAAGAAAAACTTACAAAGAATCGCGTCCAGAACTTGACGGCATCTTCGTCCGGGTTTTCAGAGTCGTATCTGGAAGTAAAAAAAAATAATAATATCCCAAACAACGACGTATTTTGAGATCAATTCTATTCCGTATGGTATAAGAGTTGCCAATTGAACGGTACTGGCACTATTACAGAGACAGGAATGGATGCCAACGGGAGTTATATGGAAGGAATATCTCATTTGTGAGTCGCGAAGAATTTTTTTAAACACGTACTTACAAGCGTGTGTTTAAAGTAAACAAACAGGCATTTTTGAACACGAAGTCTTGCTAAATTCTTGTTTGTTTTGATGTTTTGGGGACAGTAAAAATATACTGTTACAACTTCTCCAAATTTCAAATTATGAATGATGAAGAAGAACAACTACTACTATAATAATTTCGTTTCCGGCTGTGATTAAAGAATGCCGTTTGTTTGAAAAGACCATATGGTGACAGTATCATATATATATAATATATATATAGTATATATTTATACTATGAAGCATCGTACCTTTGCCAAATATAAAGTCAGTTGGTTGTAAATTGTATACTATTTAATTATCATAAATATGAAATCACGACCATTTACATGACGTGAAAATTTTTTTAACTGAAAGATATCTCTATTTGACAACGCACCGACCAAAAGCAAAACGAGATAGGCCTACTTGCTCTATCAGAAAATATTGAAATTATGAAATTGATTGACGAAAATATAATGTAATCTCACCTGGAGCGGTTTCGGCATTTTCCACAGCGTCTTCTTGAGCAGGTTCCCTTGATTTGATTTTGCCTCACTGAGAATAAAAATATAAATATGATTAGTTATTCTCGTAGAATTATAATTCGATGATATACTATAAATCCTGTCGAATGACTTCCCCCTATGAATAGATAACAATCACACTCTAATATTGTATTAAGTATATATATATCACATATAATAATCGATTTGGGAATATTTGACACGGTTTATGTTGCATTGTGCTTAGCGTTACGTTCTCTAGAAAAAGCGAAACCATGCTATGATTGATCTCTTTCAAGGCTCAACCTAATCATTTGTGTGAGGTTTTATACATACCTTAGAACAGAGCATATAATTCAATCCAATTTACCTACAAGCAGAATGCGTCAAAGGAACTGTTCGGGGTTTCACGCCGAAAGTGCTGATCCCACGCAACGTGTCCACCGCACCGATATAATCATTCTATAATGTGGTTGCGAGCTTAACCTTTATGACGTATGAATATATAGCACGTCGAACAGTGGTTTCTCGTTTGTGAGGAATGTCTTGCTCCAATCACGCCCATGCATTGAGACAAGACGACAAATCGACAATACGCAAATCTCGATTCTGACGTTGTCGCGTCGGTGATGTCCCGTGTGGAATAAACATAAAGTTCTATTCTCTCCTAAGTAACTTACAGCATTTGGTCTTTGTGTAATCAAGGACGAATCCACGTTTACAGGAACATCTATGAGATCCAAGGGTGTTAATGCATCTTCCATTGGTTGTGTCGCAACTGTGGAGATTCGCTCGGCATTCATTGATGTCTAAAGTGATCAAAATAGAATATTTATAAAAAAAAAATGACTCCAATCTAGAAGTTTTTCGAGTTGAAAGTGATTATAAATGATACTCGAGCTATTTACCACATTTTCTGTGAGCGACCAGGTATAATAATCTGGACATCACTCGTTCGTTGCCTTGGTTATGGTTGTCATTGCAGGTTATGATCTTGGACTACGTTTATTCGAACAAATAACACAATCTAGGAAACGCATTAAGTACACACAGTCGAGTGGGAACGATGACAGCCGTTTCTATCTATATAACTCTATTTAAGAAAATGTTTCATGCACAAAGTATTGTTAAAATGAAAAATGCTTGAAACACCTTATTGAGCGTTAATCAAGTTTAAGCCGGCGGTTTATATTCTTGTACGTTTAACACAAACCATTTATCTGAAATGAAAAACTGGTTAACTACTCCCATCACGAAACGGATTAGTATATGAACGTGAAACCTTGGTAAGGCGTTTCATTGTCCTTGTCCCCCGCAGTGATAAACACGAAATACCCATCTTAACCCAAGTCGCGGAATCAAGCTTTAAAAAGCGGATGATGTATGTAATCATATAGTTTACCACGATGCAAACACAAATCCTTCTAAAGCCAACGTACCAACACACGTCCCTCTTCTGGTATGTGGAAGTCGAAATCTGTAACCAGATTTACAAGAACACATCGAACTCTTCCCTTTATCTGTATTCCAGCAGTAACCCCGACTCTTGTCGCAGCCACCGAAGTTGACAGCACATGTCTTCTTCTGACCTGAGACAAATTGAAATGAGGTATCGCGATAAGACACTGCGTAATTCGAACAAACGCATTAGACAGTTACAAATGTTATTTTAATATTAAAGGCGGATTTTGATGGACTGCTCCAAGCATTAGACCTGCAATTTATTCACAACCACCTTTCAAGGTACTAAACCATGAAACAATATTTTAAACATTTGATGTTAATAATGAATTTGTTCGTACACGTTTGTATACATCAGTTTTACATACTTTCAAATTTTAATTGAGATATGTTATTCTTTTTTTTTGGATTTTTACCAAAGATGTCAATCGACCGTCCCAGCTACTGATCTATACACTGAGACAATGTAATGCATATATACACTCAGTACCTCCAACTTGTATGGCTGCAAAACAGACGCAAATCAACGCTACCATCAAAGAATCCCTCATCATTGCTGAAAGCGAATCCTCCCCTCTATCAAACACTGTGTAAATTAGAGCTTTGTATGCTAACTATATAAATATTACAGAGTTTTTGAATTAAGCAGAAAATGCTTTTTAAAAAATCATTCACAATTTGCAAATTTCAAACCTACAGAAGCACTAAACAAAACGGGCATAAAATTAAAGCTTCATTTTAGGTTAAAGCAGTATTGTGACAAGTTATCATCAAGAAACCCTGAAAATGCAGGTTGAAAATGACATGGGTGTTGCCGGATTTGGATTTTATACATCGACATTTTTTCTCAACTTTCAACAGGAAAGTATTTTTATTGCAAGCGTATGCAGACGAAAACGACGGCAATAATGATCCACGCAAATGATGTCTACAATATGGTTGCAATATCAACAATAGTGTTCATTCTTTGCAAGGTTTCTGTGGCCAGAGACTATCTTGAACATACAAACAAATTTGATCGCGTTTAACAGTGAATGTAGACTACTGTTATATATCATTCTAAAGGAAGTTCGATTTAGTACGCATATGCTTTGTTATGTGGCTTTGCGTACTCTTTGTATGATATGTGTTACGTTTGCTGCAAATATAAATGTGCGAATTCGATAGCGCGCACCTAAACCATACCCAGAAGAGGATATACTTGTTTTAAGCTCGAAAGCAGTACTGAAAGTTGTACTGACTTTTTCTTACGTGATTATGTTTTGTTTAACTTTTCATTTTAAACAGTTATGAATAGTATTTTATTGATAATATCGAATTAAAACTATCCAGAAATATTTATTCGTTTGGGTTTACAATAACTCAGTTCAATCTGCGGTATAACTTAGCAACTTTTGTCATATACCAACCCTCTTTCATCCGAAATCCGAACATCTAAAAGCTGGCATCGCCGTCAAGTATACCTCGTTCCCTACCCATTCAGAGTAACTATTAAAATAGGATTGATAATTACTCCATAATGACACAAACTCAATCAATGAGCCATTGCGGCCCCAGTCTAAATAACTAGCATTTTCTGGTGTAATGAAGTAGACCCGACATCTACGACCTGGATAAAGTTTCAATAACGTTACTTACCTCACACTGAACAACAAAATTTGGGTGACCGTTCATTTGAATCCACGTATATTTGAACCCATACATTTGCGCCCGTATATCCGCGGGTTCAATCTATATGAGGGTGCTAAAATCCATGGGTTAGGGTTAGTATGGGTTCAAATATCCGTTAAAAAATTATTTTATAGGTGCAATAGTAATCAGGTACAATTGTCGTGGGTTCAAATGTACGTGAGTTCAAATGTAATGGAACCCAAAATTTGTATATATTCTCTCCACTTGTATGCAGTGCTTCTCGTTTTGCACTGATATATCAAGAGCTCAATAAAAATTTATAATTTCTAGACAAACACGATCATTTCCCTTTCCTTTAATGCTAGGTGCAAAACAACATAGCACGTATGTGATCTTTCCTGCAAAAATATGGCAACCTTCAGTCGGAAATTGTAAAGATCTATTGTGAATATGCACAGTAGATGAAATTTTCTGATTACTGACGTTTCCTCTGAGCTCGTGTAAAATTACACTTCAATAAAAGGCATATTGCATTTTTATGCACAATATCACTAGCACACGAAGCTGCTGAACATGGTGAGGGTAATTTCCAAAACCTGTCTGAATAGTTAGGTGCAATTAACCGCATGCAGTATTTGTAAATACGGAACAAAACTCGAGATTTACCGTTTTTGATACAAACATGAATGCTTTTTTCCAGCATATTCCAAGGATGATCTGATTATTGTTTGGGTTTATTACACACGGCCCATATCCACCACAGAGAACATGAAAGTTTCCAGAGCAAGAATGAGTAACATCTAACATCAATAGGTTTATTCAACAGATGTGAAAACATGACAGAGAAAAGCGGAAACGCTGGGGATATCACCGGTTTTGAATATAATTATCTATAACTTTCGAAACGACACTGAGTCAAACGAAATAACATAACGAAATATAATTTGTTTTTACAACAGGTGCAGTCTACAGCTGGTGCACGTTAAAACGCGTTGTAGTCTGAAACCAATGTCAAAATTTTTAACTGAGTCGGCATCGGAAATCTCCGGAGTCTGGAGTCACGGTCATTAAGAGTCGGATTCGGCACTTTAATTTCAATCTCAGAATTGGTTTATAATGAAGTTTACATAAAATTTCAAATAGTAAATAACTTAAAATTAAATATAAGGCATATTTACAATGAAACAGCGATTGTCTGGTTCTTGTGTCATCAAGTGTCCGTCTATTGTGTATTTTGCAGAATCGGGGCGGAAAGTACCATTATTTCGATGTGCTATGCTAAAAATCAGCTAATTTACTTCAATTTCGTAGTCATTCAATACAACTTCTACAACAATATTATAAGCTAAATGGACGGTCATGGTGTTGATAGATGACTGATACATGTTACGCTGAAATAGATTGTCCGGATTAAATTAGACTGTTTTCATTTTACGTTTTAAAAATTTAGTTTAAATTAGACTTGTAAGAAACACCTGCCGATGATTATTTCCAATGATGATTATGCCAATTTGTTAATTTTATAAAATTGTTGCTGAGTAGCATATCAAAAAAGATCATTTTGAGTAATTGAACGAAATATTTTGAAATTTCATTGTTTTAATAGTGGGGTGATTATAATACTGCCATAAAACAAAAAGGGAAGCGTCACGATTTTCGGCAAATGGAATTGAACATCCGGGAAGTCATCAACGAGCATTCAATATGTTTTTTTCATACAATAACTGAGTGGCAATTTCAAAAATTGCACGATTGTCTTCCTTCCTCCGTGCACAGTAATCATTTTATTTCATAGAAAATATTTTAAATTCATGTCACGTAAAAGAGATTTATCAATTTTGTCAGAATAGAATTACCCATTGGAATAAAGTAATGAACGCCTCTATTGTCGATCAAACGGAACACCAAACGATGCATAAGGGATAACGGAAGTGTTTATAAACTCTGGCAAAAGGTTAATGGCACCTCTTTTTTCAATAAATTTGTATAGCGATTACAATTTTCCAGCGTTTTACATTATTCAAACACAAACATTTAGAATATTAGATACAATATTACGGCTGCAGAATATAATGCAATGAGAAATAACACATTCGAAATGTGTAATTGGAAATATGGAACCCGCCCCATCATTCATCAATTTAGTTATATCTCTTAAAAACTTGAGGTCAAATATATATGATATATAATTCTATATAAAGTTTCTTTCAATTTTTTTGTAATGGTTTTCTCTGATTTGCTGCAAGGGCTGTTTTTCAATTAGGTATACCCTGCGTGTTAAAGGTGACATTATTTTTTTGACAACGCTGATTTCCCCCAAATATTTATATATTTATATTATAGAAAAGCAATTATAAAAACAAAAGCAGCAATGATCAAAGACATTGACACGAAAGACAAATGACAACCGCAATGTCAGAAAAATTAGTGCAAGTGTTAAAAAAAATTTCCGGTTGTCACGTGCTTTGAGGGAAGATGTTCAGCTACCAAGTTTGACAAAACGTAAGCAATTAAAGTGACTTCCGTGTTATATGCGAGCCACCATAGGGAGTGATCCGGCATTCTACGCTGCTTCCAAAAATGGGAGAGTAATTCAATGCCGAGGATTAGGTTAAAAATGAATTATGAACTGAATCTAATCGTTTAATCCCAACCGATGTGAGGTTTGGATCACCACACACCCATCTCATGATATTTCTGGAATATTGTTGTTTTAAACTGTCGAGGAAATTTTTTATTCCGTGGACTATTTGGTCTTTCCCGCGCTTAGCACGAATTATTGTACACGTAGTGTACCAATAGATCATTCCGCGAAATTTTTGTAGTTGTTGGTCTCATTGTTGGTGTTGTTGTTGGGGAAAAACCGATGAATCAATCAATTTTAAATTCCAGAACGTAAATATGAATGAAGCTGCCACAATGCTATTACTTTATATTTTCAAATTAGCTCCCTTAAGTCCTATGGGAACCCAATATTTGGCCCCGAATTTTGACTTATAAGAACATTCTGTGAATTTAATCTGTCACATGTTTTTTTTTTTTGCTGTCCTACTGATTCCTTACCTACTCAAACTGGGACGTTTCATTTGGAGCATTCCCCAAAAGTAATCATAAGTAGATAAGCTTAAACCCGATTAACCCACAGAAAGACACGAAATTTTTTTTAGAATACAAAAATTATTGCTGAATTGCTTAACTTAAACTTGTTTTATATCACCAACCTGAACAAAAAACACATTGTCTGGCAAATTCATTACAAATAGATATTGTAAATTAAATAATATTCTGGGCAACTATATGTTAAAAGATAATCTGAAAATGCAACAAATTAGAATTGGGCAAAATATATTGGGTCTAACAAAATATCAATACTAATATCTAAAATTGGAGAACTGTCAAAAGCCGTAACGACTTAAGTTGTCAAGGGATCATGCGTGGTACGTTTGGATTTACTATCAAGTTGGTGGCAAATGACATTTGGTGTCAAAATAACTGATGTGAAATGCTACGTGAAAAGTTTATTAACATTATTATTATCGTGAATTGGCGTGAAAAACAATATAAAGTCGGGCAAATGATTCGAGCAATTTATCACGTAATCTATTGGATTTGTAACACTAGCATGAGTCACCGTAAACTCGAAATCCCTGTTATACAAAATGCATTCTGAATGTCGTTCAAAACAACAATGACATCAAAGAAATACAATTATAAGGGTTCTTGGGTAGGAAATACCAATTTCATTTCATCTTGCTTACGTTTCAAAAGTCTGAAATTTTCCCAGTCAGATTTGGACAACCGACTGTTATGACACCTGGACCGTGTGTCCTGTTGTTGTCTAATATCTACAATTGGAGAACTATCAAAAGCAGTAACTGTTCACAAAGTATTCGGAAAAAGCTATTATATGGTAGGTTTCCGACTAAGATCAGTGCAGTCCTTATCAAGATGAGTTCATGACCATGGCCAAATCAAAAATAAAGCTTGAAAACATTCATTCTACGTTATGTTCGTAAGAAATAAAGGATTGCACCGGGTTCATCATTAAATCAATTATTTTTTCATCGAAGAGTCTTTTTCTTTTGTTAGCCTGTGCAATATTTTTAACTTCCAACACTAAACCACTATTATTTAAACCAAAAACACAAATTCAATTAAAATCATGAACATTTACAAAACAGGGTAGGTCTACATTAAAAAGGAAAAGAACTTGACAAAAAGAATCTATTTTTAGAAGTTGTCAGTGTAGATGGCACTTTTACACGCACGCTTAAGATCTTTTTAATGGCTATTGAAGAGGTATCGTACAGTCAAGACGAATAATGACTGATTAACAAGATTGAGTTGGCTTATTGTGTTGACGATATCAAGTGCTGTATTAAACTACTCGGATATACACTATAACAAAAGACATTTAAACACGAAGCAATTGAGCTCTTTTATGAGACTGGAACCTTGTTTTTCTTTGGCGGCGTTTTGTATAAATCTTTAGCTTTGCTATATAAACGATCGTACAACTTGTCGATCCTCCCACATAGAGATCGAGCAGATGTTTCATAACTGTGCGTGATAATATCATGCCTTAGCTATGGCAAATTGTCTGTGTGACCTTACTGTTTTGAGACGATAGGCAGGAGTGTCATTTCCTTAGCGTTTACAGAAAAGCAAAACAAAGTCGCGCGTTGCTTCGATTACGAATGCTATTGTCTGCCACCCAATCATGACGAAACCTTTGTAAAAGCTGAGAAGTTTTTATAATTATCGCGTTCATACGGCATTCGACCACCATAGAAAGTGTTTCTACTTTATGAACAAGTAATCATGTCAGCTTCACATTTACATCGTTCGAGATATCGATCAGTTGGCTCAGCTGACAACAAATACGGAGCACGAGAAGTAGTCAGAAAACCAGCCAGACCATCAACCACAAAGCCTTACTATAAATACGGAATTCATATCAATCGTCCCAAAACCAACTCGATGGCAGAAAAAGCACTGCAGATTGAAGCAAATCGGGCAACTCGTCATGTTAAACAGACTGTAACTGACGAACAAAAGCGACCAGTACCGCGTATTCCAGCTGTTCTGGCCTATTTGCGATGGCTGGACAAGATGGACGGCTGGTACAAGAAACCTGGCAGCCTTCACGAAACATCTGCTCGTTTGCGAGATACCCAAGATCTGTACTCTTGGAACAGCGGGTTTGGTGCCCCCGTGGTACTGCCTAAAATACGGAAACATCCGGACCCAGAAAAATACCGTAGCAGGCAACTGGAAAAAACAATAATGGATCCTAAATTACGAGACGATGCAAGAGTATCTAAGCCAGATTACACCGGTACTATTCGTCAAAAGCAATTTGAAAGACAACTTCGGGCCGCCCACAGCAATGTCGCGGCTCAACAAGGACTCGATTCTCAGCAAACAAAGGGACTGATTTCTGAATTTCCGAAGTCCGGTGAGAAATCTCAAAATAAAAACGGGAGAGAATCTAAGCATACAAAGTTTTATATACACGCCATGAATGGATTTAAATACTGGCCAACCGAAAAATATATCCCCCCAGTTCACCATACCAAATATTCGTTTGGAACTCAGTTTAATCCAGGCCGTGCAGGCGTTGTAACGGATAGAATCTATACAAGACCTAGATCTAACAAGCATTATTGGACTGACTTCCAACTTCATCAAAATCCGATTGGGTCTGGTAATACAGTGGCAGGAAAAGTGCTATCCAACTGAGATGGATATTTTACGGCAGCAAGTTAACTTCAGATATGGTTTGCTCGCAGATTATATACTTTATATTGCATATTATATTTATTTCTAATAAATTCCGCGAAATGAAGTATGTTCTTCTCAAGGTGCTATTTATTTGATGTATAAAGTATTTGATATACGACTTAAGATGTTAAGGAATCGTGCGTGGTAACTATCGAAAGTAAAAATATTATATGATACGTTTAGGTTTACTATCAAGTTGGCAACACTTAAAACTTGGTATTAAAATAAGTTAATAAAAGGATGTTGATATTATTATTATCGTGAATATGTGTGAAAAACAATATAAAGTCACGCAAACGATTCAAGCAATTTATCACGTAATCTATCGGATTTGTAACACTATCATGAGTCATCAATTCGTAAATCGAAATTCCTGGCGTGGAATTCGAAATGCATTCTGAATGTCGATCAAAACAACAATGACATCAAAGCAATACAACAATAACGGTTCTTGGGTAGCAAATACATTTTTTTAAATTGTTATAAGGGCATTTGCTAATCACTTCCAATTTTTCAGGTTTTAACTTCACATATTAACTATATGATTTTACTTTTTTATTTGCGAATAATAAATTTCTTTTCCCAAAGACGTTTTCAATGTGTGTTGTATACCCGATGATAGGTTTGATTTTGAGCCGAAGATACGTATTTAATCCGTAAGATAGCGGAAAAAATCTGACTTCAAATCTGGCGATTAAAAGCCCTCGCGGCTGCTGGACCCATGAGATAGTATCGCTTGTTGGTGCCACCTAGTGGAATGAGGTAGTTGGGTTGGTATTTTCTCGTTATTTATTTAATTTTAAAACTATGAAAAGTATATCGATTTTATATAATAAGTAAAAATCGGGGGTGTATTTCGGGGGTGGGCAATTAATTTTCCACGAAGCCACATGAAAACAAATAATATATTGTGGAGGACCGGAACAGAAGCCTGAATTCAATTCTGCACAAAATGGTCTGTATATCGTTATGAAAATCACCCAATAGCATTATTCTGTTAAGCTGGTAAAACACATGTTAAAGTGTGGTAGCCGATGTCACAATACTCAACGCTCCTCTAAAAGTGCAACAAACAGTCAGTGAATCAATGCAGGTGAGCTGTTAAAATGTGCTATTTTAGTAACAACATCAATACCATGGTTCATTTTTAGCACTGATTTGCACTGCAAATTTTGGTGTATAACACAATGCATTTTTCGCGGGAGCAGAAGTTTTTGAGGGCGTAAGTCACCTAGTGACAACGATCCAATCATGCGTAGTTACTTGTGGGAACATACGTGAATAAAAAAAACTTACAAATAAAAGCATTGCAGCTTTATATATATAATATGGATGAGGCGAAGTTAGAAAATATGTGTAACATGTAATTTCTAATTAACATTAGACAGTCTACATGTTGCCTGGGATCGTACATTATCCCTGGTCTGCTTCAGTTGCAGAGGTAAAATGTAAATGTAGTGGTTTGATATTGACGTCGCTGACCGGACAGAATCGTCACATGTGCCGGATACGACCCGTGGGCCACACAATGCCCAGGTCTGGTGTAATCTCTGTGTAACTGAGCTGCGCCCTCACGTATGGATCAAATGTTGTCTAGACTCTGCACACACATATTTGTTCGGTAACTGCGCAATTATACGAGCACTTTTTTGCAAGATGCTAGTTATACTCTCGAAGAAAGATATATTCTCTTTAACTTTGTGGCAATCCACAACATGTAGGTAAAACCGCATTGATATTTGCTATCGACTAAAATTTTTACAAGAGCAAATTACGTACCGGAATCCTGTTCTACAGTTTTTGTTCTTTTGTAATTAAAAACGACTTTTGGGCGTCACCCTATAACATTAGGTATAATCACATCCATCTTGAATGTTGACACATGTCTCTGACATTTCGTGGAACGATGCGCTGTTTGGTTGTAAATCTAGAATTTACGGTTTGGAAAATTTGCAGAATTCATATTTACTAATAATTTATCATCTTGTTCAGTCGAGATTAGGTCTGAGAAATGTGCAAAATCATTTTTTTTGTCAAATATGAAGGCGATTAAATTTCCCATCTCATTTGCTTATTTGAGATTTAGGTTGAGTCTTCTGATTAAACCAAATCCAAATAAACCAAAACCCTGCATACAAAAGGCAAGCGTGTCTTTGTACAAAACACGGAATATGCTAAAATGATAACTAATAAAAAAAAAACATTGCAACTGTCAAGTTATTTTTGACTTGATAAATACGTTTGCATTTGGGTATTCATATGGCAGGTGAAAATGCCGGGTTCGGAAGATAACATTCAAATGGCGATTGGATTCAAAAATCAACCCAGCACCTAATTATACTCTGTAAAAATAAAAGTATTATTGAACTCGTCGAGTCAGACAGAATAAATGAACTTTTTTTATCACCTGCTTGGTGATAAACTGCGCGACATCGTAACGCCCTTGACAATCAGATACTTTATCATTGGCGCCAGGGTTTTGTTCTTGACTAGTTTGTTGTGGACAAATTCATCAAAACCATTTCCGCCCTTGTGGTAATTTTATCATGTGAAAAAACTCACAATAAGTATTAGTCATGAAATTAAATAGTCCCTGATATTTGTTAAGATCGTAACTACGTTGTTTTGCTATTTTTGTCAATATTGGAAAACTGGTCGATTGTGTAAAAAGGCTATAAAAAGACACGACTTTATGTGCATGACAGCATTGTGTACCAAAAGCAAACTGGTACCAGGTAAAAATTACAATTCGCACATTCCATACTGTTTCAACGAAAATCTCTTTGTTGTATCGGTTCGATATATGACAGCAGAAGTTTTGGTCGGAATTTGAAGGGACAGGAGTGAAATTTAAAAAATACAGTAGAGTCAGAATCACCTATTTAATATCTATACTCTTGAATTAAAATAAAAAAATATATAAACAACGCGAAACTTGATGTAAAAATAATACAAATTAATAAGAAAACTGGTAATTTTTGTTATATATAAATATAGTTCAGTATTAAATAACCTTGGTCAATTGTGATTTTCATCAATAAAAAATGAAGACAACAGCAAGCATTTTGATGGTATTGCTCTTCGTCATCGGTAAGTCTTATAAAACAATATTTTTTAAATTTTATTGATTAGAGAATCTTCACGTATAATTTACCTTCACATATTTTTACAGGTTCGCTGGGCAACGAAGCGGTAAGATGTTACAGTTTATAAACATATGAATATTCAAAATTATTCAGACCAAACAATCAATTGGTGATGAAATACTCCGCCAAATCAAATTTTTATTTTAAACTTCGTATAGCAAAGGGGCTGTGAATTTCTAAAAAAAAATTATTTAAACGTATTAATATTACTGCAATTTTGAATTAATCAATATGAGACTCCATTAGAACAAAAATTCATATAAAATAATGTATACTAAAAAATAGGAATAAGGCAGTCATAATACTATTTTTATTCTTGTGGTAAATCACCAATACTACTGCTTGAGCTTTAGAATATAAGATACAACCTTTATACTTTCTACCTTCATTAAATTAAATCGCATATGCACCTATATCAAATATATCAACTAATAGGGTTATCGTACTTGAACAAATAAAAAATATGTGCGAAGATTATATTTCGTTATATTCATGATGTGTATATCTGATTTAAATCTACAGAGCTGTCCAGCCGAACCGAATGGTGCTTGCACTATGATGTATGACCCCGTCTGTGGCAACTACAAGGGAAGCTATCAAACATTTGGCAACTTATGCGTTTACTGCAACGCTATATATGATGCTGGCTTGCTGTAAGTAATATCTAGAGCTGGGCATTTTTAAATACCTTATGATTTCCAAATTTAATCGAAAATATTATTTTCAAATCGAATCTCGAATACTTGGATGATAAGACACATAAATTACTAAAAAAAAAAAATTGTCAATCAGTCCACTGGGTTGTCACATACAATAAGACACATGTTTCATCAATAACTCATTTGAAAGAAAAAAGTCACATGTCAGAATTGCATTTCAAAAATATGGCTTCAATAAAAAAAATAAGGTTTTCACTTTTTTCACCTTTGGCGGATTAAAAAAACAAGATGGCAGTTATTTGATTTTTTCGTCTGAACTGATTCAAATAAATCACCATTCGATTTGGTTCGAATATTCGATTTGAAATTACCACCCTAAAAAATATGGCCAAGTTGATCAGGTTTACCCAATCATTTTTGAACGTAATATTCATTTCCCACTTTTCTGAGTAAATATGGATCGTCCTTCTCATAATAATTTCATCTTCAAAATAGTGCTCGAAGTTTTCAAGATGTCAATTAGTAATAATAATACTTTTAATATTACTTTGTTACATTCGTGGTGCAAAAAACTAGTTGGAACGAAATTTGAAGCTAAATATGCTATCGACATGGCAACGACTAAAAACGTTTAAAGCAAAAATACTTAAAAGATTTGTGTTTATATTGTGTTAACATTATTCCGTGAAAATATAAATTACTTTGTGTTTGAATATTTTTCCATAAATATTACGAGTATGTTGGTTGTTTGAGTCTTTTGTTTTCAAAATAAGTATTTGGTTAAGTATACTAACACCTTCCGTGTATCGAAAACGACCATTTTATACATAGTTTTAACTCGCGATATTAAATTGTGGGCACACAACGCATCTATACAATGAAGAATGTAATGAGTGAGATTAAACAAGAGAGCTATGCTCAAATATATGGGCACGTAGAGTCACATAATTTTGATGACGTCATAGCGAAAAAAAAAGTAATAGCCTTCTGGAGAACATTTTTATCTTTAACCACTGAAAATTTCAAAGCAATTGGTCCAGTATTCGAAGAGAAAAGCGATTTCTTTAAAACCTGTTGACGGAGACAAATAATAACAATAACAACAAAATTTTGAAAAGATCGTTATGTCCACTACGTGTCCAATGACATTTTCTAAGCTAAACATTGTGATTCTTTACTTTTGCCATGAAGAGAATCAGAGGATTTCAGATCGGGACAATGCATAATGACTGGATGTCCATTCGAACCGAAAGGCTGTAACCGAATGTACGACCCAGTTTGCGGTCTCCTCAATGGATCTTACCATACATTCAACAACCTGTGCACGTACTGTCAAGCTTTGGGGCAATCGCACACCTTGTAAGTATTATTTTATAGTATCGGTAACATATCACATCAGATTTGCTAAACAATTCTATTTTGTTTTGAATGATTTTGTATATGAAATTGTATTGGTTATAGATGCAAGAATTGGGTATTTAAGATCTGGATAAGAGATAGCAGTTGTAGTAAAATACAAAACAAAATTGTGACGTCATAGTACAAAACTGAACCACACTAATACTTCTTTTGAGATGCACGGTCCCGCGGTGGTTGAAAGACTCCATATATACTTAAATACGCGCAAAAATTTATTTAAATATATCATTTTTTTTAGTTTTGCAAGAAAATTGATTTACTAAAATACAAAACCACTTGAGTTTACTTTTTGTTACGATTAGTGCCTCTCAGTTTACAGTATGTATATGTAATAAATGGAATGTCACACTAGAATCCAGATGCGTACAATTACCCATCTAACATTTTTAACGATTTTTTTTGCAGGGCTCAATACCACTACACAGAAGGAGAATGCAACATGTAATTCTTTCATTTATTATGTTGTTTGCTATAAATTTATTTGTAATTACATAAAATTATCTTTAACCATACACAGTGCGGACCCAAATTGGAAGCCATGGCAACGGACTTTGCCTGCGGTTTTTGTTATATGATTTATTAAGCGAGCGTAAAATTTGCTCATGGCATTGTAGAAAGCTATCTAATATTAGCATTGATAAAATTGTTAAAAAAATAGTTTAAAATATAGGATATATATTCATAAACACAGACATCTATAATTGGAGCTCCAGAATTATGTGCACCAAGATAGCGCACAATCTGAACATAGTATGTGACAGGTTAGGGTTCAAGTTGTGCGCCATCTTGGTGCACATACTTCGGGAGCGCCCTCTAATTACCCTATGATTTTTAACAGGTAGAATTGATAATTCCCTTTAGTGGTCTGAAAATTAATGTTCTGAAATGAATATTCAACATTCTTATGTGGTAAATACCAATCATTAAATATAGCAAAGAGAAGTTCGGTTATGTAATATTCATATGTTAATATGATAAACAGGACTGTTTTTTGTTTGTGAAAATGCATAGTTGATTTGATGTCCTAATCTCAGTGAAATTCGACATATGTTTCGATTGTAATCATTGTGAACTAAAAAAAAATAATAATAACTGAATTCTTCGTTTTTTTACCCTTTTTCAATAATTGTTTTATTTCTCCTGCAGGATCCAGAGACTCATCAAAAACGGCGAACTTGAAGGAAAGTGATATTTCTTCTGTAATTCGCTGCAATTGCCATATGGGACAATGCCCGATTATGCTGTTTTAATAATTCTGTATTAACCTAGTTGTTATTTGTTTCCTATCATGATTTCATCATTGTCTTAATAATTAGTGAGAAATTAATTACAAAATAAAAATACTAGCCAACTTTTGTCTCTGTGGTTATCGGGGTATAGGTTATGGAGATTGGATAAGATTTAGCCCCTCAGCGGGGAACAAAGGCTTGTAACAGACGAATTACTCCTAATTTGGCCTTACCTATTTATAGTAACGATTTTGTTCCGGACAATTTGGAACTGTATTTGTCTAGAAACGAATTGCCTAGTCACGAATTATAATTTGTTGAATAGTCAATTTTCGACACTTTTATTCTAGCTATAAAATGTTTTGAAACATTCAATGTGCACCACGTTCATTTGCACTCACAGGTACAAAAGTATGCAGGTATGAATATCTTGTAGTTTGCAGACGCGGATGTAGGCTACGTGGTGCAACGATAATATAAACTGTGTGGATAATTGTGAAGAAAATCTGCGATTTCGTCCGATATTACTTGTTGAATGTTTATGAAATATAATAACAAGAATATCGGTCAGAGACCGAGGACTTATCGATCAAAAGTTAGGGGATCCGCCAAAACAGCGCTCTTAGTCCATAGTGACACCTTGTGTCCCATCACTAATTAATTGATAACTCGCTAGTTATACGACATAATTCGCCCAAAATCAATAGGCTTCTGGTCCGAGATATGATGAATGCACATGAAAAATCTGGAGCAGTGAGATATCGCGTGCATCTAACAGACAGACAGACAGACAAATACCTATCAACATACTTAACGATTAAAATCGATAACTAATGACAGTTTGACAAAAGGATCATGAAAAAAATATTTGGAAGTGCATATTTGAGCCACTATTCTCGCATGTTTAAAAATACAAAATTAAGATTCGAAATTTGTTCTGGCGCCTTATAAATTCTGATTTGCAAAGTGAACGAAATGGAAAAATTGAAGTTCATCAGCCTTTCTAAAAGTAAATTTTCAATTTTTAGATGCGAGCTCATGTTTAATATTTCAACTAAATCATAAAACAGCATTAAAATTTATGAAAAAAAATCTTGCCTTTATTTTGATATACGACAGACAGATACAGACAGAAAGACTATAGTAGTACATGCAATTACAACAAAATTGAAATGCTGTTATCTGATGGCTTCATTCGTAATATGTGGTAAATGGAGTAAAAACGCCTACATTTGCTGACATGCTTGTCGAGAACACAAGCATTGATATCATGACATAAAATATGATAACATATATAAGCAATAATGCATAGTAGAGTAATAAAACCCATTTCGTCATTCTTTTTAAACCCGAGCAAAAAATATTTACAAAAAGAAAATCAATTTTCTTCGTTTTAAAACTAATTGAAACAATTAGTCACAAACAAGCAGGGTTAGAGCAAACCCCAGTGGTAGGCCGATGAAATCTTTAAATTTCGGTAAAGTTTGATTTAATAGAATCAGTCTTTTCTTCATATTTACATTTCCGTAGAGAGGAATAGAATTAAGACGGATTACGCGTTTGGACTCTCATGAGTTAAAAAATTAGGTTATATATGTGAATCGCTGAAAAATTGTACGTTCCAAATACATGAACACGGATGGTTGAAGAACCACAAGCGTTTCGTGAAGCACCGTGCACTCAACAATGTGTGCAGGCTATCGAGCCAAAATCCAAACGAAATGTATTGCACCGGAATCCCGTTACAGTTACATTAGGTTGGATGAAAACTGAGTTCTGTTGAACCTGATATAAGTCTGCAAACTGGGAATATAGTCGTTGGAACCAAATCTGGAAAGCTAGCGCCGATGATGAATCAGTTTTTTAATGAGGAAAAAAATTAATTTTTTTTCTAGTTTGTCAAATGTACAATGAAAAAAAATGTTTTATCAGTGAAATATAGTAGTTATTTTACTGCCCAAATATTTTATAAGCGAAACAACGTTTACCGATTTCAGTAATTTATGTTAAATTGCCATAAAACTACATTGACCTACAAAAATATGTTTTATTACTAAGTCAACAGATTTACTTCTAGTTTCACGGTAAATATTATTCGAGTTATGTTGAAGTGAACGTAGCCACGAACATGTTGTCTGTTTTCTCTCTGATGTAACGACCTTCACATCCTTGTGTAAGCAAACTTTTCAAAAACAAGTCTACAAAACGTATTTTTAATCAGTGTTTTACAACATTACTGCACACACTGCCAGCTATTTCTTTACATCGAAAACATCCTTTAGCTTACTTATTTCATCAACAAGAAATGTAAATTCTCTAGAAATTTGGTATTCAATGTTGAGCAACTAAAATAACAAAATACCAATGAGTATGCGCCATGTACGATATTTATTTGTACTGTCAAGGGCCTCAAGTATCTCTAATGTTACCCTAAATGCAAAACAAGGTTTACTAGCGTCTTAAATTTGTAAACTTTAAAGATTTTATTCAAATGAAACTTTAGGAGAAAACTTTCCCCGTTATTCAATTTCTTTATATTTCCTTTCTTTTAACAATCTTTTTGCTTTATAAAAAATAAAAATCCGATTTTTATTGGGTTAACTGCTCAAATGTATTTGTCCATCGTCTGCATGAAGAGTTATTATTATTATTGCTATTAACCTTCAACCATTTCAGCATAAAAACACATTGTAAAATTTTTACAAAGTTTGCTTGAAGCAAATAGCGAAATAGCATAAATGTTGTAATGAAAAATTCATGTCTTATTGTATTCTACTGTAAATGCATGAATCTCATTCACTTTTAGGCGTAAAATTTTGTCTAAAGTCTTTAAAACAGTTTTTACCGATTGTGCGATGTGTCAACGTTCGATCTCAAAGCATTTATAATAATAGTTCATCTCATGTTGTAGATGGTTTAGATAATATGAAACATCAGTGAATTCACTGTATTTTGTTAAAGATTTACAGTAAGTTGCAACATGTGTTTCGATTAGATTTACACTAAATGTTATTCCAAAGAACTTCTTGTTCAAAATCTTTCACAAAACGCGCGATCAAGTACGCTTTTAATCAGTATGAGTGCAAATCAGTGACTAGTGGAGTGGTTTTAAGCCGAGATTCTGCCGGTGCAGTCCACCAGAGGTTCCGCAAGTTACATTTTAAGTCCGAGAGTCAATATTGTTTAAATTTATTTAAATATCTATTAGGTTTAGATTTAGAAAATTACTATAATAGTGAATTGTTTTAAAAAAACGTTGAAAATATGAAGACAACAATTTGTCTTATTTTTATCTGCGTGCTAGTCACAAGTAAGTAACATGTTAAATGAAGTGAAATTTTACAATGACGGATTTTATTTACGGACTAGCGTTAATTTCTTACCTTAGAAGTCCAAAACACCGACGATTCGGAAATAAAAAGTAAAGATTTTTATTTGTGGATAACGAAAATATGGGGTTTAATGATATTTGAAATTTTAATTGTTACTTATAACACTGTTTCCCAACTTATGGGTTGCGATCAAAAACTGGGTTGACTGCAAATTTTCTTGGGTTGCTTAATTTTTCAATAAAAACCTAAAATCACTAATGTTATTTTCTAGTGAATTTTATTGTTTATTTTATATTTGTTATCGAAGTGTTGCTCGATAGTAATTGTAAAAATTTGTAAAAGTAAAGCCACGACAGGGTTTTGAAAAAACTTCGCTGCAAACAAGTGCATTTTTTCACCTTGAGGTAATTTCTGGGGAAATAAATGTAAAAATAATTGTTTAATTCAGTTATTCAATTTCGCGGGCATAAAAGTACTACATGTCATTGAGTATTTCATAATATCCTTGAATCGCAAGATTTCGCAAAATTTAGTTTTCAGAAAATTCCGGTCGTCTGCAAAAAATGTTGGGACCACTGACATATAATATATATTAATCCTATTTGTGTTATTATGAACTAACCGCATAAAACTAATTCGTATTATAGATGTTAAGAATAGTGGTAATGAATCTTAACAAATTTTCAATTAATTAAAGTATTTTTATTCGATTACAGATACTTTTGCTGACTTTGATCACAAAATTCTGGTAAGATAATATATTTCATGCACCTTTTAGAGATAATGTTTATCTATTTGTCGTGAAATGTTATAACTTTTGAAATTTAAATTTCATTGGTATATATAGTATTATTTATAATACAAGATGGTAACACTCATTCCGCCCAAAAAATTGCATTTGCTCGACTAACGAATTAAAAATAAAGGCTTAAGCATAAAAAATACGTGGTCTCTCATGGGCTAAGACAGTCGACAATTTTGTTTTTTTTTACAGTAGAGTAAACTGGTAATGTGGCTGGTACTAAAATGTGTTGTATTTATGATCGGGGAAGTTTTGTTTTGTCCTGCTGTTCTTCTCGTTGAATATATCTTTCTCTGTTTTATTCTTAACAAAACTGAAATACTTATGTTTTGCTGGAGCATGCAGATAGACTCATACATCACTTACTACTTGCTTACTAACTACTTAACTAAATTCTTTTGAAGGATTGCTCGGAATTACCGACGGGACGACGGTGTACAAGAGAATCTGATCCTGTGTGTGGTCTTCTACCAAACTCAGAGGGATTCAAAACGATATCTAACCGCTGTGTATACTGTCGCCGCCTTGACGAGTACGATTTTTTGTATTTGTGTTATGAAAAAAAACATTGCATATAGGGCAATGACATCCTTCTGTCTTTAAAATGATAATGTTGATTTATTCTATTAGTAAAAGTAAAACCAGGAATTTAAAATAAAGAAGAATCTTTTAGCAATTTAGTAGATTTGATGAAAACGCACCAATATTCTCAATAAGGGCAAGTTGAGGCGACGGCTAGTGGTACTGCATCCACAGGCTCGTTATTGAAAATAGGACATTCTAGTGATATTTACTAAAAAAAAGTAGGCAAAATAATCCCAAATTCATCTTTCTTGTATGTGAATCATTTGTACAAATGGACCCCAATGATATCAATCTAGACAAATGCCAATTAATATACAGATTTTTCGATCTTAAAATAAGTCAAATCGAATATCTGAAATCGCTAATTTCTACAAACCTAGTTGCATGAAGCTTAGTGGTTTGTTTTTTATTGTTTTTTGTAGTTTTGTTTATTGTAGTTTTTTTAGCGCTCCAGAGGTATGTGCACCAAGATGGCGTACAACCGGAACCCCAACCTGGTACATATACTAAGTTCAGGCTATGCGCCATCTTGGTGCACATACTTCGGGAGCTCCGTTTTATTTTTTGTATTGAATTATTATATGATATTAAATAGTTCTGATGTTTTAGATTGAAGGCTGAAAATGATGACTATAGCGGGTTCACTCCCAGTTTTTCCTATGGGAAATGCTAAGAATATTTGGGATGAATCTCGCCGGGAAAACAACCGGGTGTCGTCAGATGATAATTAATTATTCAATTTGATATTTCTGAAGATAGATTATTATTGATAATTTTAATAAATAAAAGAAATCTAAACTGCGTTGCGTTTTTCGCATGCTAAAATGAGTGAGATTAGGAAAACATAGCTTAGGTCACCTGTCATAAAATTCTAGATCGTCAGCTGGAGGAGAAATGGAAGCAGTTATAGTTGATCTATTTTTATGTTAATACACTCTTTTGTTTGCCAAATATACCATTAAACATCCGTAAAAATTGGACATTTCTGTAATTTATAAAAAAAAATATTTGCGTTCATTTTGTGTAATGTCCTGGACTACTGCTGGTAGCAATTTAGAACAAATTCTTATTGGACTAGGAATGGACCTATGGACCGCTTTGTTGAATTGTCGTTATAATTCTTCTTCTTCTTTATGTCGTTATTGTGAAAAAAAATCGATTTTCTTTATCTATTCGACCAACTGCTTAAATTTCTAATGGTTGAAGAATGTTGTTTTAGCTGGAAGGCTATTACTTTTTTTTCAAAAATGTTTGTGAGCTCTATTCCCTTTTTCACTTCGAAGTTTTGTGTGGTGACGTCATCAGTATCAAAATTACTTGTAATTTGTCCTGGAATTTTTTGATGGTGTATCGGTACGTTAGACAAGGTAAGGTACTGCAAAAGATGTGATATATAGGCTACTACAGTTAGGGCTCGAATCATTTGGTATTTCAATTTACGATGAGGCTAGAACGCATGAGTCATCATCGTCGAAGGACCTGGAAAAGTCTTTGTACGGGTTCTGGTGGAATACCGTAGCTGTCCCGCCGTTCCAGTTCCGTTCAAAATATAATTTTGGGGAAAATTATGGATAAATATTCGTTTTGGCCATCGTGTCCATATATTTAAGCATTGCTCTTTTTGTTGTTGTTATGTGACGACTTGACTCCATCAGTCACATACATCAAGCCTGAAAATGCACTGGTACAGAGACTGGTGCACTGGCACCACAACACAATATTACTGGAATTGCTGAGAACGATTAAATAGAACATACGCTAATGCAGAACTGATCATGAAAGACCATAGATACCATAGAAGACCATACTAAACAGTATTCTTTTAGTGTTTTGAAAGATAGGTCTACTCAATATGGCGAATATGGGATCCCAACCAACATGTGAACAGCCTCTGAGCTCCATATAGATAGTATAGTTCAAGGTGGTTCAAGGTTGCGAGATTAGAATGCCCGCTAAAATTTTGAAGAGACCTTGCGGGCCACAGTCGGGAAACCCAAAAATGATCGAGTTCACTGTTCTAATCAGCTTATTGTTATGTTGCATGGGTGGCGTTTTCTTGTATTAAATAAGGTTAAGCACAAACAAAATAACAAAACAATTTATTGTTACTTGCTCTTGGTTACTCTTTCAATGTCAGCATTAATTTCAGTAACAGATATCACTTGAAAGCTTACCAGACACTGTGGTTTCATACACCATGATACGTTTCCACCCAGTCAACATTAAACTCTCTGTTTTCCTTTGCCACATATTTCATGATGAGTTGTTATATTTGACTACTTTAATAACTTGCAGCGTGAGCAGGCCTAGTGCTATCGTCAAAGAACAACAAATTTCGTCCAAGTTGGGATTTCGAGATCTAACTAAAAAAAGATGGATCCGCGGCTCGCTTGCCAGGGTTTGGACCACTCTGGAATAGTTTGAATTTTGTGGCAGCTACCATTATAATTTGGCAATTATTTTAGGCATGTACTTGCAATTTATATCGCTGATCATGACGAATCTGCTATGGTGGATGGTCTCTTGTTCGATTTAACATTTTGATTATATCAGTCTTTCTGTATAGTATATTTTACAAGTTGTTCATTAGCTTGTAGAGAAAGCGTTCCATTAGTACAAATTCAGTGAGCATTTATGAAATCCTTATTTGCGAAGAGATTGTATGCAATTGATTGTATTAAGTTGAGTTCCCCATATCTTACTGTATATATATATACAGAATATGTTTATGGCTTAGCGCTTGAAAACCATGAACTGACTTGAAATGAAGCATCAACAAAAAGATTTCAATTCTTCCAAATCCATCATTTTCTTGTATATATATTTGTTTGTTTGGGGTCAAGTCATAAATATACTAAAAATATTTGTGAACCCCATGCTAAATAGGCGTTATCAAAATTTGATTGCCTTGGAAACGTGATCAACGTCACAACAAGCTGAGAATATGCCATGTGTGTTTGTTTAATATTCAGAAAATAAATAATCTACATTTGACAGCATAAGAACAAAACGAATTATATTTGATCAAGCATGAACAATTGTTAATGTATATTATTCGTAATTTTAATGAATTTCAATATCGATTTATAGTTACAAAGTGGTCAAGCAACTAAAAATCAGAATTTGTAATGACTTGAGTCAGTTTCTGAGTACAGCTTTGCGATCAATTGATTAGTTGCTATTTCGCTGGCATAACTAGGAGGTAACGTAAAAAATAGCTCTCTTGTAATAGCAGACGGGGGTATTCATAGCAAGAAGGATAGGGAAATACAGTCTGACATAAAAAAAAAAAGGAGAACCCAGGTCTTTTAAACATATTCCAGACAAATTATAACTTTTGCGCAAAGCATTCTAATTTACTGAATCTTTTGGGTGCAATCATACATAAACAGAAGTTCAAGTGTTAATTGAATTTTCCGCATTTTCGTAGAAGTAGTTACGAAATTTCTATATTCTGTTTTGAGGGTCACATTGTAGTTTGAAATATATATATATATACTAGATTTAGCGTTAACGTTCACCATAAGTCTATATGTGGTTGATAGTTTAATAGTAAGAAAAGACATCGATTTACGAAAGAAAGTAGGCAGCAGGAAAACTGAACGGATAATCTAAATAGTTGCTAACACACAAGCTTACCCATAGCTTTTCTATCACAACTTTGAACACAGTACAACATAAGAAAGTAACTGAAAAAATCAAATCTGGAAAAGTCGCTTGATGTCCTAACATTTGCAAAGGAGAGAACAAAAAAATAACTCCAATGATGTTGGTGTTTTCGCTGGTTTTCTCCATATTATGCTTTAATTCGCAGCATTAAACAAATAAATACATAGATAACAAATAATGAAGTACGTCTTGTGCATTGTTTTACTTACCGTATTTCTGGCGGTTTCATGTAAGTATACTTCAAGTTTATATTAAGTATATATAACGAATGATGGTAATTACTCCAAGAAGCAAAAAATACTTCAGTTCAATTTAAAAATTGTCTGGCCAATACGGTTTTAAACTTTGGAATTTTCTAAAAATGTGTTAAATGCCATTAGGGTTTTAATATGATTACCAAATACAAAAGTAGTATGACTTGTTTTGTTTTAAAAAATTTTACTTGAGATTTCGTCGTAATATGTTATATATTCAATTATATAAGTTTTTATTTTTTTAGGTTCGTCAGAACGCTTTGTGAGTATTTTATCTAGAATTTCGTATCAATATATTTGTATTTTTATATTGTGCAAATTGAATTTTATAAATACGCCATTTTTATTGACCACGAAGAGGACCTATAGATTGTTGTACCTGCGATAATATGTTTTAAAACCTTTACCATAGCCCAATGATCATATATAAAATATAAAGCACTCAAATAGTTTAGGAAAAGCTCATTTGTGATGAGAGTATTATAAAATTTGTTTCATCGTGTTGTTTCATTATATATGTATTTAGTAAAATTCATTAATCAATGTTTAAAACTCATAACCTTGCTCCGGACAAACTTTAATGAACAAAATCCATGTAGTGTCCTTTACGATGCATAATCATCATCTGCATTTTAAGCCTAAGTTTCAAATAGTTAGCCATCGGAGCTCCTGAAGTATGCGCACCAAGATGTCGCACAACCTGAACCCTCACCTGGTACCATGGCCCATGGTGAGCCATCTTGGTGCGCATACTTCAGGAGGTCCTAGCCGTTTAATTAACCCATGACAACAAATATAAACAACCATATAATTTTAATATTTTAGTCTTGTTCTGGCAAAACTAGAGGATGCACTCGTGAATTGATGCCAGTTTGCGTCAGAACGAAAGATGGAAATCTGAAAACATTCAATAACAAATGCATGTACTGCGATGAAAAAGGAATGTAGGTTTATTTCGGCCGTGTTATTTTATAACTTATTGATAATGAGCATTATAGCAACCACACTTCCAATCGTTTCTGGAGGTTTTATTATTATATGAATGTACATTCCAATACCTATGCAATTTTGAATGGATGGGATAAAATGACCCAGGTAAAATACACGGACAGCCATGATAAATTACTTCGGAGTACTTTTCATCTAACCAAGAACGTGCGATAGGGTGCTTACGACGACGTCTGTACGACACTGTATCATTCCAATTTTTATGCTCGATTTGAGAATGATAATTGCGTGCACCAATTGAAATCTGTCTGAGTGTATATAATGTTTGAACGGCTCCTCCAACTGTTACATCATTTTGACACCTTGTTCATTAGTCAACGTTATGGAGGTAAACGAGGTTCTCGGTGCTCGGGGAAACAACCATTGCATCTCGGTTACTCTTTTCTTCTTATACTTGTAAGTTGTCCATCATTTCGTCGTCAAAAGAAAATCTCTATTTTCCTGGCGAAAATGTGTCCACACATTTCGTTATGTATATCTATTATTTATTTTAATTTTTTTTTTATAATTTTCTAGAAACGAGGTGGTTTTTACTCCGGGTAAATGCAAATGAGGAAGAACGACAAAAGCACAAAGACTGAGATTGATTCAATCTGAATATGTGAATTAATACTTTAATTTTAATATTAATCAAATTAATTATCAACCTTCGAATCAAATAAATTCGAACAAACATACAAAACTCTTTCACATACATTCTTGCTTAGTAAGATAAGGCAGCAAATGACGTATAACCATTGAAAGAACTTGGTTGCTCGAAAACTATAAAAAGGCTTTGACATTTTCCATGTGAATATCAAAACCAGGCTACGAGAATCCATTCACTCAAAAGAAATAAAACGGCCTTCAAAAGTAGTTGTGAGCAGGGCTGAGATTTTTACTAATTAAATTTACATGACTTACGAACACATTGAATAGTATCAGTTAATGGTAATGTGAGTCAGTAACTGGTGCCACTAAGATATCATCGATACATCAGGTTGCAATTCCACTGACGTGTCAAAAAAAGCTGTTATTAAGCATTTGCATATATGCTGCCGTATAGGCAAGAGAGTTTCGGTAAACGTGTGAGTCTCACCGAAGTCTTTATTTGTGAGTATTTTGGGAGTGCGATTCTTAACGCTTGTCGATTAGTTCAAGAATGTTGTGAAACATTACGCAAGCTGGAGATGCAGAATTGGATTTTAAAATAAATGAGCTCCAAAATCAGTTCCTATTTTTTTCGCTTTTCTGATGACTATATTTCTGGCAATACAGTAGATAGTGGGACACGGTCTCAAGTAGAAAACACCTTTCGCAATATCCGTCAGAGTGGCAACCAATTTTGTGTAAATGAGCATTTAGGGTGCACTGACTGGTTTGCAGGCGGAATAAAAGAACTTGATATTTACGTAATAAATTGTTGTTTCCGAATCGTGACATTTGGTACGATTGATAGAGTACATATGTGTAAGGTAGTTGACTTCAGATGGGAAATTGAACACAGAAGGGGTTATAACTTGCTTGAATAACGATACCATCATTGTTAGGCTGATAATGTTGTCACTAGGGCTGGGCATTTTCGTATACCTTGTGATTTCAGAATCGAATCGAATAATATTTTTCGAATCGAATCTCGAATACTTGAAAATATATAATTGTAAGCGATTTTATTATAGTAATTGGTCCTCTCAACAAATGAATTACCGAAGACATAGCATAAATCACCCAGATAGATTACTGAGGGCTCACACAGAATAACAAACACGTTTTATCAATAACTCACTACATGAAAATAGTCATATGTTAGAATTTCGTTGAAAAAACATGACTCCATGGAAAATAAAATTGGGGAATTCACCTCGACTATTAGCGGAAAGATAAAAACAAGATGGCGGCGATTCGAAATTTAGCTCTGAACCGATTCGAATAATTTACTATTCGATTCGAAATGCCCAGCCCTAGTTGTCACAGAGTGTATTAAATATAACAAATGCGAGCAAGTAGTTTTTTGAACTTTACGGAGCTCCATGTTGGAAGCGCGGGAAAATTGTTTTATCAAATATAATCATATAAATTCATTATTTATTATTATGTAAGTTTTTCGTTTTACAATTGTTTTCTGGCTTAGTGGTACCGCAATGCTGGTTCCTCAACCTTGTATTTAGCAAACAAATATTTAGGCCCATATATAGAACACCATATGGATCGTTCTCATGTTATCACAAAAGTACGTTTGTAATACAAATATTTGGTTCGTATGAAGCGTTTCATATATGCGTTCCGTGCTAGACCTAATATCATCTGAAGATTAACCACATTCTTGTAATATTTTGAGAATTATTGAAAACTCCACCGAACATTTGAAAGTAATTGGAATTGGTATTCACGCTTCAGTTTACCTTTTTTAAAACTCTGTTCGCTGTGTAGACTACACAATATATGATAAACTCCTGGAAGATAAGATAGAACACCGCTAAATGAGCGTTAATTTTACTATTTTTTGTCATAAATTGTATGGTTTTGTAGCTAATTTAATAATCGTGCAAACACACCTATTGTGTGTCTGACATTTCAGTATTGACGTTGCTCGTAAGAGCCTGGAATATCATATTTTGTTGGAAAATGTTTCTTCGAATATCGATCTTTGGGTTGGTTTTGTGCAGTCTTGCAACTGTCAAATCCGAACAACGTAAGTTTATATATTGAAAGTAATTAGTAGTAGTATTTCTATTGATGACGAATGGACAATATATATGAATAAATATCGATAATAAAGATGAATGGCCCATTAATCTTTTTTCTGATTTATACACCAGCAATTTACCCGGAGTTTCAAGATGGATACGATACACAAAAATATTTAGACGCCGGTCTTTCCAAGAAACAGTAGCTCATTGGTTATCAGAATAAGCCCGATTCTGAGAAGAGGCCCATTAACACCCCACATTCACTTGGTGACTTTTCTAAGACCATTTCGAGGGGGCAGAATTAAAGTTTGTTTCCTCGAAAATCAACATTTCTTGTCATATTCTACCGAGATATTGAGAAATTTTATTGTTCAATAACTTTCACTAGGTAACTAAATCATGATTTTTATTGGTGTATAAGAAAATATTTTGTTTTATCGCGGATTACAAATAAAAGGTATGATGCCAGATAAACATGTATAGCCTAATACGACAAGCGTCATGGATGTATATAAATAAAAAAAACTAAGTTTCCCTTGTTCCAGCGTCAACAAGATTAGGAAATCCGGAAGTGATTGTTACTCAAGGAAAAATTGAAGGAAAGGATATTCGATATGATCTTCGACGAATCGACAGATTTGTGGCAATTCCGTATGCATCTCCGCCCATTGGCGATCTGAGGTAAGTTCATTGAAGGGCTTGATATATATATATTAGAATAGACTAGTGGTAGCTATGGGATTTAAACTACTTTTGCGCCCATTTCATCTTTCTCTGTAGTGTCGAGAGTGGTACTATAGTTAGGCTTACTAAGTGATTTCCCTACACCCCCCTAAAATTTCGGTATTGAAAAGAATCAAACTTCAGCGATTTGTCTTCATTGCCAACTAATATTTCAGTTCTGAAAGTTCAAAATTTAATTCATTGCTTAATTCATACAAAAACCAAACAAACATGTTCAAAAAATGTGAAATGAAAGTGGATCTACGTTATTGGACAGTTATAGTGTAGCCCGCAACATTGCTAAAAAGAATAATTCCCGTTTGTTGAGGGGGAATTTTCGCGCGAATATATGCTGCAAGTTTTGGAAGTCATTTCTCCTGATATAAAATGTAATTTTCCAGCTTCAGTCTTTCTAACGACACAATTATGAACCTTAACAAATCAAAACTTTGGTCGAGACTGACAGACAATCACTTGAATGCGTTATTCGGAAAACAATGTATAATGAATGGGAGCCACGTTTCGAACTAAACTAAATTATGGCATTTCATTTTTTTATATACATATACACATTGGGATGTTTTTTGTGTAACAAAACAAGCCATAAGTAGCCATTCATACAATGCCAGATGAGCAATTAACTTCCTTAGTGACTATCAGTTGCAAATTACTTGTTGAAAGCCGTGCTTGTTATTTATTTTTCAGGAATTCTATCAGCTAACTATTATAAATATTAATTTTATTACATAACAAACTGCAATGCTAGATGTATCTAAAATCAAGCTTAGAGCCTATTTTGAGGCCTATTTCTCAAAATTTTCACAGGGCGCTTCAGCACGCCCTCAACCCCAGCCGTGTCTTCGCGCACTTTTTGTCGCTCCCTTTTCTGGCCCTCTAATTTTATTATGCTGTGTATTTTGGCTCGCGGTCAATTAACTTGGGGGAAACCTCATGTATTTCGTTTCTTCAATACATAACAATTTTTTAACGATACAAATAGTTTTATCGCTATAATAGAAAATTATTTACCACCCCCTAAATTTCTTTTCTTCAAATGTTGGATATTTTTCTTCAACCCGTTAGAAAACTTTCTTTTCGGTATCCGTGTATAATCGATCAATAAATCATCCAATATCCAATAAAAAAAATTGTACTAATATCAAATAAAAATAAGATTTATGACTGACATAATGCATGACCGAGACATTTAGATCTGCCGAACGGCGGAATAGCTCGCTAAAATCGGGACGTATGGTAGGCTAACTCTAAATATAGTCATCGCCACCATTTTAGCTGGTACCACTGTTGTTCTTTCTATTTTTTGAGCATAAGTCATCGTGTTTAAGACTCAGTTCATAAGGAATTAATACACTGTTTCGAAATGCAGAACAAGTGACCAACCTTTACTTTGATTTTGAAAAATAGATCAACTTCAACATCTTTTTTCCTGATTTTAAGATTCAGTCCTCCTGTGGCTCATCCAGGATGGGGAGCCAATATATATGATGCAACTGGAGGCTTAGGAACAGACTTGAAGGACAAGATGTGTATGCAAACAAGACCAAACACAGATCTACGAAGTGGTGCAGTTGGAAGCGAAGATTGTTTATATCTGAACGTATGGGTTGCTGGGGGAGTTGACGGTAAAGTTACCTATACAACTAGCAAAAATTAAGATACAGGTGTTCAAAACGTTGTTTCTTAAGCTGATATTTTGTTATAATATAAACACTAGTACTACATTGCACTTAACAGAAGCCAGAAGAAATCCACGTCCTGTAATGGTTTGGATTCACGGTGAAGGATACAGTTATGGGAGTAGTTGGGGACCAAGTGTAAACGACGAAAGACTTTATGATATGGCACCTCTCGCACTGCGAGGTGATATAATTGGTATCAGTATCAATTACAGACTTGGTCCATTCGGTGAGATTATTTTCTTTATGAGTGTTTTATTTCATTTCTATATAAGTGCCCAAAAACGCTCGAATAATCTGACAAAATTATTCGTTTCGTCTGCAGGATTTTTCAGTACTGGTGATGAAAATGCACCAGGTAACTACGGAATGCTAGATCAAGTGATGGCGTTACAGTGGATTCAAGATAACATCTGGGCATTTGGAGGAGACGCACAAAGGGTAATTTAGGTTTTACGTATCCAGGGATACCTGTTGAATCGGATGTGTGTGCGTTGCATAGTATTGGCGATGTATGATGTAATTAATACTCGACAAGTTGAATGTAAGCCCCTCTCAAACAAGTGACGTTTTTGGCAATTCAGACCAATTTGATTAATTCAAAATTCACCTTCTTTACCGTGACAGGTAGATAATTACTTATTATATGTAGCACATAGTTTTATCTCTATATCATATCATAATTCTAACAAGCAACTGATTTCAGGCTAAATATACATATTATATATATATTTCCATAGGTGACTATATTTGGTCAGTCAACTGGTGGAACAAGTGTAGGTTTACATATGGTATCTCCGATGAGTACAAATTTGTTTAGTCGAGCTATTTCAGAGAGCGGAACATCATTGTCACAGTGGGGATTACAAAGAGACCCGATGCGAAGTGCGACAAAGGTAAAAGTTAAAAAATCTGTATTCACGAACCACAAGGCTTGTACATTTACCTTGTTATCCAATGACGTTTATGCAGCGGTGCATGTTCGTATTAAATACCAGATCCTATATATCAAGAAGGGAAAAATTCATCCGAGAAGATTATTTTAATAATAAAGTGCCAGAAATACAAGTTTAACAGATTGGCATAAAATAAATCCATAAAATGTTATCCAAAAGCCACGGTGTCAATGCCAATGTTTTACAATTTGACGTTCTGTATTAGGCACTTAATAATTATGTTCTAAGAATCTAGATCAAGGGAAATTGCATTTACAGCTAGCCGGAGAACTGAATTGCACAACAGAAAACAATGTTGATCTTGTATCCTGCATTAAACAAAAACCCGCGGAGGAAATTGCAACTGGTTTAAGAGTTTATGGAGTATTGAAGATCTCAAATCTGAATTTACCTTGGGCGCCAGTCGTTGATGGGTAAATCAGTGAGAATACTTTTTGTTGTTATAATACGGCACATTAGCATATCATATAAATAACAAAACTAGTGTGAATCCGTTCACAACTATAAAGTTAGCTGACTTAAAAATTCGATCGAGCTATTTATCTATAGACAAAATTTTGTTGGTCAGGAATGACATATTCAAAAATTGTTGAACCACGCAGACTAGAAGTACTTGTGGTACTAAGCTATACCAGACCCGCTAATACAACTAATAATAATATACTTGCCTTTTATGTAGAAAATTCCTGCCAAGTGAACCAGAGCTTCTTATTCAAAATGCTGCTACAAAGGATTATTTGATTGGAAGCAATAACATGGACGGTCATTTATTCGCCGGACTTGACTTTCCTTTTTCAAGATTACCTATAGTTCCTATGACAGAGATATCTCTACTCAGGGCATCACGTCGACTGAGTCCCTACATAACCCCCCACATATCTCAATTGATCGACTTCCAGTACCAGAAATATAAAGGTATCGCATGACGATGTCAACTAAAAGCAACTTTGTAATATATATTAGAGCATTTTATGCTTTCAAATCTGTGGTTTAAACCGTTCAACCTACTTAAAACACTTTAGTTTCGTTAAGCATTTACAATGGGTTCATATGGTATTTGTGTTGCCATATTTTTTCATTTACGGTACCACCATAATTGGTGCACTTGAAACTGGCTGTCAATTCTAGTTTGTAAAGTAACCCTGAATTCTGCTTTTACAGACGGACGAGATAAGCATTATTATAAAGATGTGCTTGTTGATTTATACACTGACTTTATGTTCACTGCTCCAACCTATTCTATGGCACAACAACATTCATTTTTATCACAGTAAGTAATTTGTTGTTATTGCAATCTTGTTATTGTGAATTTGGTATCTAAATTAGTGGACGTTTAAAGAATATTCCTATAACTCATTACTGGAAAATTTTCGATGATTATTGTAAAATTATTTTAGCAAATTGATACTTGCGTACTGGAATGTTTCCCAACTGTTAATTTTATTCAAAATATTTATTCACGTGCTAAATGAAAGTAGGCCTGCTGATAACTATTTGTAGCGTAGTCTATCACAGCTTTTCCAGGACTAAATTTTTATTATTTCAACTAAACTAAAACTACAGGAAGACAAAATAACCATTGAGTTATTCGATTTTTACTTAAATTTCGGAAACACAACTAAAAACTGGCAAACGGCTAACAACACTACAAAAAAAACAATGTTCACAATCACGCCTGTAAATCTATCCGAGTGAAAAAGGTGTCTGAGAATCCAAAATTTCAATTGTTACGTCACCTTCATCATGTTGCATTACACACACGCATTTATATAAACTTCTGCCTGATTACTTTTTCTACGTCATGTATATTAATACCACATATATTAGAAACCAGGGCACGGGAGCAAAAACGTTTGTTTACCTTTTCTCCGAACCCAAAACCCGAACGCTACTGAACGGAGAATTCGATGGTAAATTGGATGGCGCAGAACACGGAGAGGAAGTACAATATGTTTTTGATGTACCCAATCGAGCGGGACTCAGATACAGCAGAGCAGAACAGAAACTTGCCAATTCAATCATAACATATTGGACAAACTTTGCTCGGACAGGGTAAGCAAGCGAATTTTAGAAGTTAACCAACGTTACTGTAACGCCCATATCCTGGCGTTACTGCAGCAGCAATGGAAAATAAGGGGGCCTGCAATGGCAGGCCATTGATATTATATTGCTTGTGATATTGCCAGGCTTGTCCATGGGACATATTTTTGCTTTCCCATCCCATCCCATAGCCATTATGCCTGTCCCATCCCATCCCATGGAATTCCCATTGGAATAAAATTCAATAAAAATTGTTAAATTTAGGTTTAGCGTCTAATAAATAGGACTACATGTATACATGTAAGAAGAGACATGCAAAACAACAAAATTTACGGACTTTGTTAACTTTATATTTATAACTATTATACATGCGTCCATCTAGCCCTTCACGAAGTATATATATTGTTAATGTTGAATATATTTTGCTCTTCATAACTAACAAGACAGCTATGCTCAAGTATATGGACACAAAATTCATAACGAAATATTTTATCATCATTTCCCGAAAATCATACGGTTTTCGTGTCCCATGGGAAATACAAATGTGTGCTGTCCCATCCCATCCCATGGGACGTTTCCCATAGAAATCTCATTCTCATGGACAAGCCTGGATATTGCGAATAAGGCACATGATCCAGGTAAGTGTCATGTAAACAGCCTAAATTCCATTTCTAATATATTCTCTAAATTAAGACACATATGGTGTGAACGATTAATTGGAATATGTTAATTGCTTCGCCACTGAAAGAAAACATTAAAGCCGTGTAGTTGGAAGCTTAATAATAGTTATTTACTCAATTCTATTGATTCCTATTTTCAGAAATCCAAACGAGGGTGCGAAAGATGCTTCTCCGGCTTATTGGCCAGAATACGATTACAATACGAGGCATTATCTTGAACTAAACACGAGTTTAGAAGACAGTGGCAACAATGCAGTTGGATATTCTTTCCGGAGAGATTTTTCCGTATTCTGGAGTCGTATGGTACCTCAAATATATGGTTCAAAAAGTGGAATTTGCGAATCGGTTGCAAACAACCAGTATTCTCGCACAAAATCACTCAATGTTTGGGGGGCAGAAACCGCTCTCAAACGCCCCAAGTTCAAATTAGACCAACCCGATGAGGATGACTTCCTAAAACTGAAAAGTTTCCCAAAAACAATCAGCAGTCGTGAAGGCAGCGTATGCGAAGGAACAGGGGATTTTATTAGAGCTACAAGGTAGGCTATGCGGAAATGAGTATATATATATATTGCAGAAGTATAATTTATATATATATAAATCGTTTTTGTTATCCCACGGTACAATGTTTTCAGTTATGGATGCATTCAAGGTGAAATGGGAAAAACCAACGGAATGTTGTACTCAAGGTTTCTTGGCATCCCATACGCAATACCGCCGGTTGGATCAGAAAGATTTGAGAAACCTACAGAACCAACGCCCTGGACAGGAACGAGGCAAGTTATGTTATTACAAAATATGATTTCTATTGTGTGGGTACTCATTTTTATGTAATTAATTCAGTAGATAGAAAGAGATGTTATGTAAAACGTAAAAATAAAAATCAAGTAATTTGGCGAATGAGTTTGAATTTATATGGGTATATATATTATATATACCTAAAGTTCATTGATTTAAGGTAACATGAATACATTTGAATCATGCAACAATTACATTTTGGCATAAAAGTGTTTATAATTCCGCTTTGCAAAGATGGTTTTTCTTGCGACAGACCCGGATTTTAAAGTATGTAAAATGCGAACAATCTTTTTCAGGTCGATGACTACTTTCCAAAAATCGTGTCCGCAATCTCCATATGATGCTTTAACTATGAGTGAAGATTGCTTGTACATGAATGTATATGTTCCCATTGATTCGGTAAGAATTGGGCGTATCAATGTTGAAAAATCATGATGCTTAAATGGCGCAGTAGTTAAATTGAATCGATTTGGCCCCGTGAAACCTAAAGAACAAACTGATAAACTTCTATTTCAGACAGAACCGTACGACCAAGTCATTCCGAAAAAATACGCTGTTACGATATGGTTACATGGTGGTGGTTATATGACAGGAGATGGGATGGAAAGTTATATGGGAGATGTTTTAGCCACATCTGAACAAGTAATTGTGGTTACAATGAATTACAGGTACGGCAAGACATTGAAATAAAATTGCCATAATTAGAGCATGTAGCATCTTTCAAATAATTGATAAAAAATGAACTTCACCCCAGTAGGCCTACTTTAATGATGATGGGCGATTGATAAAATACTCATTATTTGAAGTTGGAACTCTGATCTAGTTGGAGACTGGAATTTTAGTAAAAGTCAATGCAGAATCAGATTTTTTCTATTTGCATAAGCGCATATATTATATGTTCTACTCGTCTTGATACGTTTGTCGGTGTTTTTTCTAGTTTTTTTTTTTCAAAACATGCCCCTTTGTTGAGTTTCTTTCCACTCAGCTTTTTCCGACGGTATTGTAATGCCCCAATACTCATTTCAGTCGCCATCTGGTGATACAAAATTTTAATAGTTCCAATATAACCGTATTTCATTTTACAAAAAACATCTTCAATTTTTGACAGGTTAGGTGCTATTGGATTCATGAGTACGGGCAATCGATTTTCACCAGGTAATTACGGATTATGGGATCAAAATCTTGCAATGCAGTGGGTTGCTGATAACATAGAAGCGTTTGGTGGAGATTCAGAAAGAATGACTATATTTGGACAAGGCGCGGGGGCAGAAAGTGCTCAGGTTATTCACTACTTATAGACAAAATCACAAAGATTGTATTTAATTCACGTTTAAACATGAACATGCCGTAATGAGATATTGTGCAATTAAACGTTAGTATTGAAAACGAATACACAAAATCATGACTTCAAATCCCGTTTACACTCATTATAATTTTCTGTCTTTATTTGAATGAGATACTGATTTTATGTTCTTTGCGTGCTTACCAATCCGGCTACAAAGATGTGAGTTCAAATAATCTTCGATGTTTTCACGTCATAATTACCCTGACCGTTAACAAAGTATGGCCATCGAACTGACAACTGTCTGTCACAAGTTAGTGTGATGTATGTAACGTGTAAACTTGGGAAACAGTATATGATCTTTCAAATGATTTTTATTTTAGTTACATATGGTCAGCCCTTCAAGTAGAAAAGTTGGAGTCAACCAAACTATTTTGCAAAGTGGGACGTTATATGGATTTTACGATTATCCAGACCAGGAAACAGTTTCATCAGAATTGATTTCTCGTACTGCATGCTCGCGAGCGACATCAAGTGACTCAGTATGTATTATTTTGAGTCATCTGTTATTTTGACGATATATTTACTAAGTTTCTAACTTTATTCAATATCTGCTACTTGTTTGTAAAATATCATCAAAATATCATAAATGTTTTCAAGTGTGTGAACGCTTCTACAGTTTGGAAATAAACGACAATCGATCGTGCCACATTATGTTTGTTGACTGAGTGATCATACTGCAGCTTGGGCGAGCTAATGTACATATTAAAGGAATACCATTTACGCAAACTAATTTTGATAGGGAACAAGCATATGGTCAAGAAAATCAGTTTATAGTTTCAATTTATTGGACACAGATTTGAGCTATAGATCGATTTGCTGAATTGCTGTTTTTTGTTGAAATTGAAAAAATCGCTTCTCTCCACTACAAAAAGAACATTCGATTTCAAATTTCCAGTAGGCCCATCCAGAGATGAATCAAGTTACAATACTAGGAGACTATTACTTGGTTTCCTGTTGCCAGATATTCAACCGTAAATGTTTTTTGTATTGATCTTTATATAACATTTGGTAGATAGTCCTTTTAACATTTCGCCGAAACTTTTTCTGATATTGTGGTGGCCATATTGGCCATTTGACGTTCTTGTCCATATTTTTGAGCATTGCTCTCTTGTTAACATTATTATTGTCGTAGATGTAAAATATGCTCAATGTAAGCTTAGAAATATATACTACTATATATATGTCTAGGTTGAATGTGTGAGATCGCTTCCTATCGAAGATATTGTTTCTGGACAAGATGGATCGTTGGACGAATCAGTTCCTCTTCAGTTTGCGCCTGTAGTTGATGGTAGCTTCTTACTTAGAGACCCACGAAACCTTTTAACTCTTAAGGAAATGCGTGGCTGGAAATTCATGCTGGGTAACTTCTATTACATTTGTACTTTCAGCATGTTTGGATGGATTGCATATGAAAATTAATCAGTAAGGAAGTTGCCAGGAGCGCAAAAGACTTACATCGACAATATCTCTACCTTGAAAACAAGAAGATCTCAACCTATTTCTAGTTAGGCGAGAACGATACGATTTTGTGGAATTTGATTTCACAACACTCCTGCTCACCCCAAAATTTTTGTCATTTAAAATTGGTTTGTCCGAAGCTGGTTGTTTGTACCTTGGAGTCGGGGTAAAAAAATGCTTAACTCGCAGTCAAAGCCAAAAATTATTTTAACCCAGAGTTGGGAGTTGGTTGTAAATTTTCCAACACCACAGCTTTGATTTGTATATAAACTAAACTCTTTATTATTAATATAATGTTGACAAACCGATGAAAGCTTTGATAGGATTTAGTAGCACTTTTTATTCCTGATTTACAGGTTCTAATAGCGGAGATGGGACCCCATACTGGGATACAGTTACAAGCGTCAATACCGCTGATCAATTCCGAAATACTATCAGAACCTCATTTAGAGATTCTTATGGGGTGGCATCAGATGATGTTGAATTTGAATATACAGAATGGGCAAATGAATATTTTACATCGGATACTACGGTAAGTTGATTTCTGACAATGAACGATATTCATTAATTCATGGAGGAATCGGATTCACTAGTTGCCTACCTTTTCTCATTTTACGAACACGTACTTACTTTTAGGAAATGCAAAAACAACTATTCTCCATGTACACCAGTCAACGATATAATTCCCAGGCTGCTAAACTTGCATTTACCGCTGGTGGTACATTGACAGATGTGTACATGTATTCTCTCGATTATCCATACCAAACAACAGAGCAACAGCAATATCCATCATGGACGGGTATATCAATTCTACTCATTTGTTTAAATTCAAGCGATATTAATAGGCAACCCATCTCTGAGTAAAGTCAGGTACACGATTGGAATCCCAAGAGCTTCAGGAACTATATAGATTTGTAGTGAACATTACGCGTCAACATATATATTCCATTTGACTCGAGACTTGGAGTATATATCTCAAATCTATGCGAGAAAAGCTATGAGGCAATCAATTTCATACAGATGTAGTTCTTCGGGGAAAAAAATTAATTTCTTTGTCCAGCACTGAGGTAAACAATAATAGTAAACAGATAAGAAATAACGTTTTTAAAGAGCCAAGTTGCAAAAGTTTTTATGCTGTTTCGAGAAATTTATTATTGTTTGTGTTCCCAGCTAGAGCAATCCAGGTTTAAATGGAAATTCGTATTCATAGGTGTTATGCACGGGGGAGATATTCCATACGTCTGGGGAGATATTGTGAGAGATTCAGCTACGCAAGGTGAAAATCCGGAGGCCTCTATCCTTAGTTTCAACATGATGAAATACTGGGCCAACTTTGCAAAAACTGGGTAAGAATTGGCGGTAACAACTGCTTACGTTTTAATTGTTTCTGGGAAACCTAAATGAGTCCTTCCAAGTCCATTGAGTATCGTTCGGCCCAATTACACGGGTATTTTGTATGAGGTAGAGTTTATAATGTGACATAATGTGGTGTGCAGATGGACGTGGGCCCATGCATGATTCTAATCTCCACGGCGATGAAATAGGCTAACTAATGACATGTCACAGCCTACATGAACAAAACAACAAACCAGTGTTTTCGATAATATTGTTGGCAACTTATTATGCATTCCAATCAGAAACAACAGCTTGAAATAGATTGAATACTTGTTTGTATTCATTTTTTTGGTTGAAGATAGTAAAATAATTTTTTATTAGCAACGATCTTGCCTTGCCAATTTTCTAGAAATCCAAGTATGGGCGATCAAGGTGTATTGACAGACGTCGAGTGGCCACGGTATCGCAACCTACATCGTCATTATCTCAAACTTGACGGCAACGATATCTCGGCCGATTCTTATCTAGGTGGAAAAGAAACGGCATTCTGGAATTTTATCATGCCTACACTTCGAGTGTCCTGTCCGTTATATATGCCTTGATAGAAAAAGACTTTAATTGAAAATGCTCAAAATAATTTGGTAATATTAAGTAATTTGAAAATTTCACTCGAAATACCGCAGGTGATCTAATGTTGCTTACATTTTGTGGTTGGCAGTATAAAGTAATAACCATGACCTGTTTGTCTAATTAAAATACTTTGAAATAAATATGGACAATTTTGTTGCTAGTATAACATTATGTTTAACTTACTTTGTGGGGTGATTTTAGGTTTTCTCTCAAGAAGAAAGACCCCGACAAGAAACTACATGTACGTATTGGGCTACTGTATTCGGAATAATGCGAATCTCTCAAATTTGCTATTGCCGGCATAATTTGGCGGGTGGAGGTCAGGTGTGTAGAACGTTAACATAGTTAGGTTCGACGCCTTATTATCATTCGTGGGTCGTGGTTCATCACACTGCGTACCGCCCGATTCCTGAAATGGAGAATTCAGCTGCTAAGAAACTCTCTTCTTCTCATCTTTTACAGAGTTAGGGTATGATTGTACTATTTGACTACGTGTAAAAGTGTCACAGAGTCGATTGTCTGACTAACACACCACGTATATGCGCTGGAATGTTAAATAGATAAATATATTCTTGCACTGCACTTGAACTGGTAAACGAAAGAACGGCTCGATGGAAGTATAACATTTAAGTGGAATAATACCCTCGACTATTGTTCTCAAAAAAGGAAGTTTGAACGCTACAATATTTATTACGAGAATTTCAATATAATTATTATTATTTTACTGCATCATTTGTGTAAACTTGCAAGCAAGAACTAGAAATGCGTAATTAGAATGTAGAATTCGACCATTTTTCTTTTCATCGTTGTCGAAAGGATACTTCGTATGGCAGTGGCCGCGCGTGGTCATTTTGACAACCGGGGCAAGCTACTGCGGGACCAAGTCACCCCCATCTACGGGGACAGGATGAGCGCTGTAAGTTCTCCCATCATTTTATGAGTATAAAAACCATTCCATCGGTAACAACCAATCGGCAAAAGCGACAGTTTTTAACGATAAGAAAGTGTCTTTAAAACCGGTCAAGGGATTAATAAATATAGTTGCTTGGTGCTGAATTGCCCAATTGCTTTTGTGCTGATTAGAATTAATCACCTCGAGTTTTAACGTTTTCTTTTCCAACAAAACAATACCGCGACCATTATCATAGGTAAAATCGTTACCGAGAAATTCACAATTTTATTTACGGAATTTGCTAATTCAACACTTCACTTGACGATTTTGATGATGCCACGCCCTAATTATTACAGCAAGAAAAGCTTCAAAATGCAACGAATGTAATCTACTCCGATGATGACGCAATCCATAGTCGAGTATAATGGTCACATTTTTGAAACATTATTTGGTCAAGAATGGAATGGATCACTAAAAAAAGGGAAGAAGATAAAGTCCATTAAAAGGGAATATGGCCTGTCATTTCTTATCTGGTTACAAGTTTTTTATACCGACTTTCCAAAACTCTGACTCCCCGTTTTCAAATCGACGCTATTTATATTATTCAAATGACGTCATAATACCTCGAAAGAGCGATTTTTCGCAGAACACCTGGATGTCTCTCGCGGAACACCAGTTGAAAATCACTGCTCTGGAAGACCAATAAGCTAAAATATCTCGTTGAAAAAAACACTATAAACTATGATTTACCTTGTTTATTTGTTATCTGACCTCAAATGTTTTTGTAAACTGGGTGGGTATATATTACTGCGAATAAAAAGTTTAGGAACCACTGATATAGACCATGATAATTTACAGATACATTTCTGCGCTTAGTCGGATTCTTTTTTTAGTATGATACTATTTTGTGGAAAAAAACAAGTGAATTCTACGCAGAATAATCAGAACCATGTTATCAATAACGTAATACCCGTATAAATAAAACGTAAGAAATATAGACAAACCCGTGTATTTATTCTATTGCATCATTTATATAGATGTATACACATAATAACCTAACATATTAGTACCTGCAATCAACGATATAGCAATAGGAAATATATTTCTAGATTCAGACAGTTATGAACATGAACGAAGTATTACCAATAGGATTTACGGCTATATTGATACGTTACAGCAGTGGTTTTCAAAGTGGGCGTCGTAATTTTTTTTTTTTGCGGAATCTCTTTTGCGGCGCGTAGAAAAAGTAATAATACAAGCGTGAAAATGATACTAAACAAGAAAAGGCTAAAAACGCAAGTATGACGTAGGCTACATTGACTTTGGATCGTTCAAGAAGTAAAGCTCCGTGATTTTTGTTGCAACTGGGAATGCGATGATACTAAATGCCGTTTGGGCTTATTAGATAACATGTTTCACTGGCCAAAATCTTGCTTCAACAATACATTGCTGCTTTTCTTCGCCGTTTTTGAACGGAATCGATGTAAAAAGAAATTTGGATTTTCTTCAATAAGGATTATCCTTCATTGGTAAAAAAAAGCGTTGCGCACTCTGATCCCTTTTGCGACTTCGTATTCATGCGAATCAGGTTTTGCGACCATGGTCGTAATACGCACAAAATATCGATCTCGAGTGAGAGAGAAATGCGTGCGGCTCTCACAAATCTTACCAAGTAACAGTTGTAAAAAGACGCAAGTATTCCCATCCCATTAAATGCAATTTCACTGACTTTGGTTTAGTTTTCTTTGATCGTTTAAAAAAAACTCATTGCAAAAAAGGTCCTTTATTGGAAGGTATTAATACGGTTTCCACGAAGAGTCGCAACTTGAGCATATTTTTTGGAGGGTGTCACAATACGAAGAAGTTTGAGAACCACTGCGTTACAGTATCGCCACTGGAAACGATATTTTAGTTCGGGGCTTGCATGGCGTGGTTAACCAGTGGCAAATGGTATAGAATTCACATTGATACACTCGGTTGGAATTACTTATATAACATCGTTATTGGAAAGCTAAAGTAATTCTAGCTTGGAACACGAATGACACGGTTAACTGGTTACTACCATGGTCATAGACCATTATACTTTCAAATTACATATATAAGATTAGCCAGATTGGCCCATAAAATTAAATCAATAATTCTATGCAAGATAATAATGACTATGCTATCAATAAAAGAAGGCAATATACATATAAATATGACACAGGATATATAGACATCCTTGTATCCGCAAAACTCAGTGTGTACTCAATTTAATTCATTATACATAGAAATGAGTTTCAATGTTTTAGAATTAATGATTTCCTCTCTATATTATTATTGATACAATGCTGTTCTAGCAGTTAGGTAGACGTTTTCGAAGGGAGGATTCAAGGAGAAATCGATAAAGAAGTACTGGTACTTATATCTTGAGTAGAATTTTTTTTCATAAGTATAGTATAGCTATGAAAATATTTTTACGAATTGTGGTAATTACAATGTAACTCTTGTTATGAAAATGCTCGCCACACCTCAAAAATACCTAGCTAGCAATAAGCTACATATAACAAATATTATGTTTCATTCAAAAATACCTTGAAAATACGGGGATGGAATGTAAATATCCAAAAAATGCACGAATAAGTCCAACAAACAAAAAATAGATTTAATTAGCTACATGCCCCCTCAAAATTGTCTACGCCCCTTTTGCAAAGCGCGCCCCACCCTTTGAGAACCATTGCCCCAGTGAATAATTGCTGATACCATTAAATTTCATGCCAACGATACTAAGAAATGAACACCGGTCCGGTTCTAAAGACTTTGTCATATGAAATTATTAGCGCGCATTGGTGCCTAAACTAACAGTATTACTGCAAACACAAGGGAAAAAGTTCCTTCTCAACAATGACGAAAATTTGACAAAATTTGGAACAAAGTAATGCAAGTTTTATTCCGAATATTAGGCGGTAATATGACAAAAACACGGTTTTTTATTGCTAAAATTCATTCTTGTCTTATTCGCTTATTAGCCAGAAAAAAAAACGATAGTTGTCCGAATCATGATATTATAAAGTATTTGGGGGGTTTCCAAAAAAAATTCCATTTGACAGACAATTTCCATTTACGTATCCATATTTAGTTTTTGGCCATTCGGAAGCGTTGCCACAAAATCCTAATATGGTGAGCTGGAGTGAATATTTAATTATTAGATGCAAACAGCTAATTTTCAAAGAGATGCTAAAATTGTACAATATTCTGCCTAAAACTCAGCTATTAAACATGTACAACGATACTTCAAACACTTTTACGAAAATTTCTTCCCTGGTCTATTAAGGCATAGGTTCTCAAAGTGCTCCGTGGGAGAAACTTAGGCGCTCCGATTACTTAATAAAATACTGACTTGTCCAATTTTGTGACTGTCCAAAGAAGTAATAACACTAATAAAATTTGACATCAGTAGTGTCGAAATATGACAACGAGCGCAAATTCAAATGTGACATTATATATAAGTAAGTTTATTTTGAAACCTCTTTCAAAAGGAAAGGCAATATTTACCCAGATAAATACAATGACATATTAACAGAAACTTCGGGAAAGCAGGCAAAACCTAAAATAAGGTTTAAAACGTTACTATGAAGAAAGGAAAGTTAATGCAAAGATAAGGACATGCGTCGCTCCCTCATAGATAAATATGCTGCTAGACTTCTACTGCTTGAACATATATGCAACACGCCGCGGTTTCTTGGAAGCAAAATGCTCAATAACGCGCTGATTAAAGTCATGCATCCCAGAAATAACGTCTCTGTGAATGGATAAAACAGCCAAGGAATTTAATCAATCTTGCTTCATTGTGTTTCTGAGATACGTTTTAATACGCTTCAGCGTGCTGAATGTTCGCTCTGCGTCGGCGGAAGAAATAGGCGTCGTCAAAATGATGTCCAGAAATTTTGCAGACGCCGCAAAGGTAGTTACTAGAGTGTTATCTATGAGGAACCCATAGAGCGCGCAAGTTGATGTGATGTTCAAAAAAGTTTGATTGGTGTATATACATCGCAATTCATTTTCCAATTTACCCACGTTTATCATGGGGTAAAATTTGGAGACAGTAGCCAACAAATGGATGGGAAATTGACGTGCAAATTTTGAAAAATTTTTGGGGTTTATCAAAGAGAACGAGGCAAGGTGTTCAGTGCGCAGACGATCGCCTATTTGATTCACCAGAATGTCACAGCATTCCTCTGCAGACAAAATCAAACGCTGCGTTGTTTGCCCGCGGCGTAAAGAAGCACTCCATGTGTCGTCGTATTTTATTGTTTCCCGGATACGAGATACAGCATCGCAGAAGTCTGAAATACACGACTGCACAGACGCTCCATCCATTAGCCTTGACTGCAATGCGCCGTATAATACATCCACGTGATAGAATATTGTAGAGAAAAAAGCGAGAAAAAATGAAAACTCACCATCTTCTAGCAGACGCTTTAGACCTGCCGCCTCCCTCACAGAGCGTTCGTCCCAAACCGGAGAGCTCTGAATGCCATTGAAACACTCAATGAGCTCAGACCTAATTTCGGACACGCCCTGCACCACGCGTGATTGGAAGTTCCAACGTGTTGGTGCACAAGCTGGGAGACGGCGGCTACATATCTGGCGAAGGAGGTCAGTGCGCTTCGGCGAAACGGAAAAAAATGAAGAAAACCCCGAAACATTTGCAAAAAATATACGGACGAGAGGGGTATCAAGACACATATTTTTAATAACGAGGTTAAATTGGTGTGCATAACAATGTAAAATATGCGCATGAGGAAAATCTTTTTTTATATAAACTTGAACACCATGTTTCGACCCATTCATGACTGCCGCGCCGTCATAAGTTTGAGCTATCAATTTTGACTTCGCGTTGTAAGGCTGTAACACTTCTTTCAGTACAGCCGATATCCCGCAAGCCGTGCGATCAACGATTGGTACAAAGCTGTGAAATCTCTCGGTAGGTTTACCATCTTTCACAAACCGAAAAATCACAGCCAGTTGGGAAACGCGCGTGATGTCAGTTGTCTCGTCAGACTGAATCGAAAGGAACTGGCAATTCTCAATTTCCAGAGCCAAATGTTGTAAACAAATTTTATACATTGAGTCGAGCAAATCATTTTGGATATCCTCAGATGTCCCTTTCGAAACAGTTGCGGCATCAAGATGATCTCTCAATACTGTATCTAGGGATGCGGTGTATTCCACCATATCCAAAAATATCCCTCTATTAGAAGAGCCAGCCCGTTCATCGTGCCCACGGAGGGACAGCTCGTGACAACCAATGAACTTCAAAACATCTATCAATCGACCGAGAACATGGCGGTTTTTCTCGACGTTTTGGTTGTGCCGACGAATGGAAACCGCGCGTCCTTCATCCAACTGTGCTGCAATATTAACATTTCCGAATGTTCGGTATTTTACTGCATTGTCCAGATGCTCCATAGAAGATTGATGATCCCTGGCACGCTCGGAAAGATGTTTAAGATCTCTAAAACCCAATTTACACCAACGTGGGTCACGGGCGGTAGCAAAAAGTAGGCAATAAAAACAAAAAAGTGCATTTTTGTCCTCGCTGTAACACAACCATTCGTGTTTTTTATACCAAGTTTCTGCGCAGAATGTACGACGACGCTTTCCTCCGTCATGGGATGGTTCCAGTGAACAATTTTTTGGTTGATAAGGCCCAAGACGTTGTACCTCTAATTTTTGTTCCAGCGGCAGCTGCGAAAACGGAGTGCGAAGTAGTGCATCAACCTTATTCATTATGAGGTCTAAGGCTAAGAAATGCGAAGCCGGAAAGAAGTGAGGAGCTCAAAAGGAATGTGGAAAATCGAAAGCAAATGGACTAAAGGTCTCTAACTGATTCAAATAGCGAAACAAGCGACAAAAACGAAGGCGAGGAAACTATCAACTCTTCAAGCAACCAACGAACGAGAAGGAATGCGTGAATATGTCAACACGTTGTTGCAAGAAACGTCGGCATTGTGTCGTCATAATTACGGGGCTAGCCCCGATCGGCCCCGATGATTTAGTAAAAGAAACAGAAAACAAACGAAACAAACGCGGCGAGTGGAAGATAAATGAGAGAATACGATATACAATGAGCAACCGGGGCAAAATTGGCGTCGCCCCGTCGACGTTCGGCGAAGGCTTTGCGAGCGAAAAATGAACCATGTCGGGAGAATATGGCTAGTGTAGACAGTCTGTGCAACCGATATTGAGGTATTTTTCGAATATTTTTTATTATACCGAAAAAACAACCGGGGCATTGCCCCGGTTGGCCCTATTGACGCGCCGCCACTGTCGTATGGTAAGGCGACATCGGCCATTCCGGTAACACTGTCACGAAAACTGGGCAGAGGTTTTTCAGGATCAGGTACGATTTCAAATCTTTGTATTATGTTGGTTAGGAAAAGAAAGAGTTCCATTTTTGCAAGTTGTTCGCCAAGACAATATCTTGGACCAACAGAGAACGGAACCACTTGATTACTCGGAACAAATTTCCCAGTGTCATCAATGAATCTTTCAGACTTGAATTCGTTCGGATGCTCAAAGACGTTTGGGTCGTGATTTGCGGCATATAAGTTCGGCAGTACCTGAACAAAGTTTAGTATTTAAGACAATAGACAAACAAAACTATATAAACATGATTTTTGTACATAAAATTCGACAATCAAAGACCAATACTATAGTGAATATATGCAAATCCTAGAAATAAAACGACTTACTGGTGTTCCTTTTGGTATTCTGTATCCTTTGAATTTCACATTTTCTGTCGTAACGTGCGGAATTGCTAAAGGTACCAACGTTCTTAATCTGGTTGTTTCATGGATGAACGCACACGTATATGTCATTGCTTCCTTGTGACTCATCGAAGGAACTCCAGACCCTGGCAAGAGAATTTTAATTTCATTTATCAATCAATTCTATAACTACGGTATATTGAATATTATGTACATGTTCGCTGATTACAACGAAATAGTTGAGTCTGTGTTAGACCTAGTCAAGTATATTCGAGTCACGCTTTCACTAAAGGCCAGTGCAGCACTGTCATAATGATCTTATGCTTACAGTCAGTGTTAAATGGGTGTTTATAACGTGAACGGCGCCTTCTACCATTTTTGAAAATCAAAATACAATAATTACCAATGACTTGCTTTACTTATTTTGAAACTTTTTCTTGAATTTCTGGATAATGGGCAAAGCATAAAAAGGACCATCTCAATGTACTTGACGAAGTTTCGGTTCCAGCAATAAAGAAATCACGCATCGTGTGTAGAAGCTGTTGTTCCTGTAATATTTAGAACGACACATTATAACAGTGAAAAATAACTTCTATTTTGATGGTCCAATTCAAAGTCAACACATTTCAGATTCAGCTTACTTTAAATGAAGATTCTTTTTCGCCTCTCAGTTCGATTTGTTTAAGATATTCATCAATATAGTCGCGTGTGTTATCAATGTCAAAGGTTTTTCTTCAATTATGTCTCTGAATACATCTTGAATATTTCAATATAAAATGATTGCTTGTTTGGGTTCGTAGTTCGTCATTCGTAGTTAAATTTAATGGCAAGGGGTTTTTCAGATAGCAACATTAGTCAAACAATATGGGTTAACAGAATAACATTTCTTAGTTGTAAAATTTCGTAATCGCCAAATATGCTCAGAAAACTGCTGGGTGCAATAAATCTTTACATAGATGCTGGAGGCTGTAACGTACAATATATATCTAATAAATTCTTCTGGTTCGGCTTCTCATAAATGCCGTGTCGCAAAGGGGCACCCTTTTTGGCACACTTGGACCGAACATCTTCAGTAGTTTTCTAAACTTGGCAGTATTCACTAACAAATTGTGGAATCCAAAACATACCTAACACACTGGTAACGTCACTCTCTATACGTTTGAAGGCTCCAGAAAAAATGGGCAAATGTCTTAAAATCGGGGCATATGCCAACAAAGCACGTTGTATCGCAAGTCTCCTGTCACCAAATCTGTTTTAATGAATGCATGTTAGTTAGATTGTAATGCAGTGGTATATGACACATATCAGATGTAAACATTTGGTTCTTAAATTTATATAAGATTGAGCGAAAAAAATTATTAAATGAAAAATTAGATTTATACATTATTCCTGGATTTATTGGACAAGAAATGTACATATGGATCGTTTTGTTATTATGTTGAGTTTTTTTTTTCTTGTTGAAAAAAATCGTTTTTCTTTAACTACTTGATCAATTAATTGCTTTGACAATTGATTGCTTTGATTCAACGTTGAAGTCGTTTTTGTGGATGTTGTCGCTCGAAAAATATTTACTTTTATTTATTGCTAAATTTTCATAGAATGGTATGAGATTAGAAAATTTCATCCAAAATTTCACAGTTTTATTTTTATCCGAGTGAACACAGTTTTTAATCCGCCAAGCGTGACGGCTGTCTTCGGTTTCGATTTTTCGAACTCTTGCTACGCGAAAGTCAGAAACTTATCGATATCAGTGACGCGCTGTAGACTAGGTACGTAACGTTAACTGTAAATGATGTGAATTACTGTAAAACATTTGATACTACAGTTATGAGTTGAATCATTTGAAATTTTAATGCAATTTAGCACAATACTAGTAGATTAAGAAGTTACGATACTCTACAGTTGAGGTTTCGTCCAAGATATGACATTTGGGGAAATTGTGGATAAAATATTTGGATTTGGCTTTCCTTTCCATATATTGGACATGGGACCTCGTGTTGTTGTTTCCGTGGGCTCTGTGGGATTCTTTTTTGTGTTCTATAACGTCTCAAATATTGCGCATCTTGTGGCGGCTTGCGCTCGCGTTTGTCGTGAAACCCGTAGTCTATTGCATAGGTTCTCAAAGTGCTCCGTACGGAGCCCCAGGGGCTCCGCGAGCCATTCGATTACTTTTCAAAATACTGACTAATTTTGTAACTGTTCAAAGAAGCAATAACAGCTTTGATAAAATCTGACAACAATATAGCCTCGAAATATGGCAAAGAGGCGGAATAAAAAAATGACAATGTTTATAAGCAGGAGCACAGCCAGGATTCTTAAACTATAAATTCTATGAAGCATCGCCTGCAAATATGAATAAATTAAGGATATTATTGTAGTACATGCGAATACATTGAATATGTGGCATACAATTTTAACGTTCTTTCTTTCACGTGTTGCGCTCTCGGAATGGACAACAATTCGTTACTATTTATATACTTTAAATCTAATATGTGGTTATGAAAGTTTTACGTGAAATTTGAAGAAATGATTTTATTTTTATCTCACACATGTCCATTCTCATAAAGCGCCAACAGTTTGATGAAACTGATTGCGTATTTTGAGACTCTGGACATGTATAATATATAATCTTAAAAGTTAGAGTTTTTTCAATATTTACTATGATTACCTAAAAGGAAACATAGATGTTTGTCGCGACAATCTTTCACACATAGATGGAAAAAAATTTCACTGTATTCCTATATACTAATAATATTGTTTGTCGAATTTGAAACATTTATTACAATGTTTGGAGATTGCTAAATATTTTGCAAGATGTTTTACTTGAAATCATTTCTGTGTGTGTTTATTAAATATATACGCAATCATCGGCGCCCCTGTAGTATGTGAACCAAGATGGCCGACACCGGTTTAGACACGTAGTATTTGTACCAGGTCATAGGCCATAATTTTATTTAAATTTTCCTTATTTCAGTTCTATTACGATTTCGACTAGCCAAGTGACTCCCGTAGTATTTGTACCTGAAATTATGGCCTAACTCTAACCTGGTACACATACTACGTTCTAGTGTCCGCCATCTTGGTTTACATACTACGGGAGTACCCAATCCTCTATCCCTAGTTTAATATTAATTTTTATAAAATACTAGCATTCTACACTTGCTGTTAAAAGAGAGCTCACTTACGTTTTCGTTAATACACTATTATGGTATGTCAATTTTATCTTGCAATTTTGTTGTTGTTGCACGTTATGTTACAGTTTGTCAAGATTAACTGCTTCAAATTATATAAACAGTAAAAAACTACTTTTCCACTCTATCGTTCAACATTCATTGATGAAACCGAGGGACTTGAGTATCATACTTACTTTATTAATTGATAACAAAGCGCCTTCATCTAGTATTTAACAAATAACTTCAAATATAACCGTTTTTCTTTAGGCAATAGTCAACTAAACTTTGCAACTTAACTCAACATGAAACTCGGTTTTCATCTTCAGCGGATTCTACTTTCCATCGTGATACTCTGTTATGCCTCAAAGTAAACCAAAATTGAGACTGGAGAAGAATATAAATTAACTCTTTTTTGGCATCGCTGCTCAAGACAGACACATCACACACCCAAATAAGATACATTGCAGTCACAACTCACAATTGACAAAAATTACTCAAAATAAAGCAATTAAAACAAAATCAAGATTACCCAGTTTCGTAAGGCTATAAACTTACTGTGGTATTGTTTTCATCTTTCACTATAGCTCCATAATGCGACGAAAATCTTGTCTCGCCAACTTCCAATTTGAATGAAGCGTTGTCATTGTGATGCGAAGGTGGAATACAGGACAGTGAATAAAATACAAAAATTGAATATTTCGAAAAATTATTCTGAGTTAAACTAATTTTACACGTAAATTTAAGAATATACACAACATTGCAGTATAGACAGTAATTCAGATTTCTCTTTAATAAGCAAGTATCGCACAGTTGTTCTGCCGAAGCGCCGAATTTGTGAAAGTTCGTTTATTACTAGAGACCAATGCTCAAACACGTGACACTTATTTTACACTGGATTTAAATTGATCAGCGAACAATTCATTTTTGTACTGGCGGATTTTTCTGAAATACGACAAAATGTAGAGTAGCAGGAGACTCCAGTTGGAGGAGACACATGCATATTTAAAAACTAAAAATGCAATTGGTACTCAAGTCAAACAGCATGATCACATGCCAGAAAAAGAACACCTTGACTTACATTCTAACTGAGAGCTCAAGATTTCACTTTGAAAATCATCAACAATATCATTCAGTCCTTCAAAATTTTCAACTTTATATACTCTGACATCAGTATCTGTTCCCGTGGCAATCACCTTAGTATTTAAGAAAAATTACATAAACAATTTGTATTTTGATTACTCTATAGCAACGGTGGGCAAACCGCGGCTCGCGAGCCGCATGCGTCTCGCCTGAGTTTTTGTTCGGCTCTTCTCGCTAGCAATAATTATTATCCAAATTCATCTTAGAGAAACTGTAGCGCCTTTTTTTTAATTAACAAGCGGTTGGAGAAATTTTCAGAAATGATTAAGACAAATTATGTTTTAGTATGAAAATCGTAACGTAGAATTTGAAGTTAAATCAGTCAAATGATAAATCTTACATCGCAATGATCAAATGTTTGTTGATGCGTTGGCACATATTACCAAGACTTTTAAAAACTTTCAGATAGGATGGGAAAACACAAGTCAACTACTTCTGATATGGCCTCGCAATGAATACTTTGCAATATTATAAGTTTGTGTGAAGTTCTTTTCAGTTCACTGTATTCAATTATGCGACTCTCACATATTTCTGACTTGCCGCATGCGGCTCTTATCCTAAAAATTTTGCCCACCCCTGATTTATGGTATAGAGTAGTCAGTACCTGGTTAGGGTTCAGATTGTGCGTCATCTTGGTGCACATACTTCGGGAGCGCCCAATCAACTGCTTAATAGCCTATTTCTTAAGCTATAGGCAAATGCTAAATCTATATACACTATGCAAAGTTTTTTTAATAAAATATTATTACTCTTAGTTCATTGTCATCAGTTTCCTGTCCAACTCCAATCGCATAAGGAACAACTCCAAAGTCACGAAGTTGTTGAGCATAAATTGTTACTCGTTTCGAATATATTGAACTGAAAACATAAAATTCATATAAATCACTCACGTTCAATGATTAACTTGAGTAATGTTATCTTTTGATCGTTAACCAAGAAAAAATGAGCAAATTGTCGGATAAAAAATAGGCGAAAAACTCCATTTGCACATCATCATATAACCCAAATACTAGCCCTTTTGTTGTCTTTTCTGGTTATTTACAAACAACTGGCAAAAATCGTAATTTTTAAATCTAAAAGTTTGTCATATTCTAATAAAAATGAGAAAGGAATTTTTATACATTATTCCGCAATATCAGAGTTTATTACAAAGAACAAAAATTTTTCTTACCGCCCGTCGGTAAGAAGTATCATAACTTGTTTATTGGTCGAAGAGTTATATCTTTCAGATTGTGTGAAATCGTCAACGACTTTTTTTAATGCAGCACCTGTCATTGTGCTACCCATGCTAATATTTACATGCGACATGGCTTCCTGGAAATAGATTATATATCGAATTACTATTGATCCCCATTATACATAAAGCTGAAATTCTATTGGAAAATCCATTGATTCATCAAGCTTGATACAATTCCAGCATAGAATTTCGCGATAGGTCTTTCGTTCGGTCTCAGTTTGGGTACAAGAATTACTTACCAGTTCAAGAAGACCATATGACAAACCATTGCCCAACAATTATTCGTACGAAATCAGCGATGTATTGGAGTTGTGTCAGTAGTCTATAATTTTAGTTAGATTGCATAAATATACTTGCTTGAAAATCTTCCAAATTTTGAAACTCTCCTAGTTTTAATTCGGTTTTGATGTAATTTTTTCGATGCTGGGGTCTGTTTGAATATAAATGATAAAACCACATTAAAATGAAAACTGTAAATGAAACACTTATTATCAAAAAACAAAAATCAGTCAAGATTAAAAGTTCAGCGGTCTTAATACACACCTGAGAAATTGAATGTAGAATGCAATATTGTGAACTTTTGTGTCCGAAACTGCCAACATTTTAAAGCCTAATCGACCTGACTATACCGAGTCAGAAAGTACAGCATAGTTTATCTCTATATAAAATGAATCTATGTACCTTTTCCATATATACGTTGAATACTGAATGACTCCAACGTGTATTGTGCCCTTTTCTATGTCAAGCAAGGCCGTGATATTCGTTGCAAAATCTTTAATCTTTTGAAAGTGACCGACTACTGAAGCCGAACCATCAAGAACGAACATGACGTCGACTGTTTCCACACCGCAAGCTGCAAAAATAATCCATACTTTTTATGCTGATATTAATTAGGAGTGAAAAATATTTTCATAATATCAAATTGTTTTACCTGCATTTCTTGACCGTTTATCCATATTCCACGTCTTTCCAAAATCAGAACTTCTATAACAAAACCCCGGTAAATGAATTGCAGAAGAGCAGTCTTTCCTCTCGTTGCAGAGCAAGCCTGCGAAAAAGAAACATTTCAGTTAACTATTGAAAATTCATCTAAACCTAAGTGCTGGCATATTATAGTGACAGGTTCGATAGTTTTGAGTTGGCTATAAAATGATATATATATATGTAAATAATATATCAATATATATCTATAAACGTTAAAAAGAAGTCTGGTTTTAGATGGTATCAGAATAACTCAGATTAAAAATCCAATGTTGGTAAATACCGTCATATCTCCATCAGGATTTGAAGAAACACTTTTTCCAAATACATCGCCGGGGAGTCGTTTTTCTGGATGAATTGGCACGCAGAGTGAAGATATTTCGGAATCATTTTTTTCAATTATGAAAATGTTTTCAATTTGGCATTCATAAATTCCTCCTTCCGGCTCTTAAAACAAAACAGATTGAAAAAAAAATGATATAGTTTTAGGATTATCATATTCATTTATTTTGGTGGAAGAGAGGAAACTAAGGTGGCGTGAACGGATAGTTGATTAATACCACAAAGTATCAATTTTTGCCAAAAAAATCTAATAAATGATATTTTGATAGGAATTTCGAACAGCAGAATTTTAGATGAATTGACGTTGACTCCGGACCGGGTAGATCGTCTGTTAAGAATATCTGCTAATCGATTATAACTGACTGACCAAAAAGGACCGATGTAAAACATCAATTCGACTTTAAAAGTATACGTTGAATATTAAATTACTTTTTTCAATGTGCGGATGAACTGAAGATCGATTTGTTGCTCTGTGCAGTGGTGATCCTACGAGCAATCTGTGAATTATATTATTGGAATGGATTAGGCATTTGAGCAAACAAAGTTAATACCTTTTTTATCACCTGATTTCATTGCTACTGCTGCGGATATTTTGTCCGAGTATATCGGATTTTTGTTATATCAGAATTCAGGCTGAGAAGAACTGATATGTGGACATGCTACAACTGGGAGGCACGGTTTGATCGTCTCGACAAATTAATCCAGACTGATAGATTAATATTTTCAGATACGAACTTAATATAATTGATACTATATTTTATAAATATAAAATAAAAATCAATATCGTTGATTACAAAGTGTTACGTTTATTTATTTACTTATCCCCTTAAACTTTATAAGTATTGCACTTTGTTATTATTGCTTCAACAATTGCGAAATTCATCCTACCAGTTCAAAAATCAGTCTATATAGAAATATAGATCTCTCCCGATAAATTTTTATTAACAGCATTAAGTCAAATTAACAGCAGGAAGTCTTTTACAAGCGCAGGGAAATTAAATCCTAAACATTACTAGGAATTTAGCGCTCCAAAAGTGTGTGTACCAAAACCAAGGTAACTAATTTTGTTCGGCTACTTTACATCAAGTTGTGTAAAGGGATTGAAACCTATGGGCAAAGGGTATATTAACTTTGCTAACACAGACAGTTCATTAACTCGAATTGGAACTAAAATGAGGCAAATCGGAATAACCCTAACCTGGAACACGCACTATGGAGTACACGAATTAGAGAATAGAAATCAAATTAAACTGACTCCTACACTGTAAAAAAATTTCAAGCTAAATCTTTGGCAGCAGTGTATCCATGGCCCATGTTCGCACCACATACAGAGTATCTGTATAGCCACTATAACAGAGTCACCTAATTTTGTAAAAACAAACGTTGTGTACTAGTGGAAAATATACACTCTGTTTTCACATAGTACATAGTGTTACTTACTTCAAAATACAAGAAGCCTATTTCGCGAAAATACATACGCCCTGTAACTTGCTAATACATAAGCTACTTTATTCTCAAAAACAGAGCCTGCGGCCCCATTAACCCTTTACATTACCTGAACCTGCATAGCATACACATGACAAAAGAAAAACACTACTAATTGTGAATTCAACCAAAAAATTTATTCCAACAATAAATGCAATATATATCTCGTGAATCGACGCTGTTGTAATGGACTTGTAAAAGATATGCTTTTCTAGGTTGATCTACATACTTGCAGTGTGAATGTGGATTGGCCATAGTAAAATAATTGGGATTCTAATAATTTGTCTTATATTTCATATTGGTGGCTGCTTGTATAAAGCCCTTGTTGGGAGTGAAGGTGTAAAACGTGGGCGTTATTGTAATTGGCAAAATTCAGTAATGAGACTGTAATTTCGATTCGCTTAGGATAAAAATTACCAAATTCTTAATGTGAAACATAAAGAAAATTTGAATACTCCCAAAACACTTCAACTTCACTAAAAGCCAAAACATCCAAAAAATCAAATCAAAACAGTCTTCAATCACTGGCAAAGGCATAGAAACGGTGGTACCAAGTTCATACTAATATAAAAAATTCAGTTCATTATAAGCATGTCAGAATAAAATTCAATTTCTTGAACGAAACTAGTTACCAAAGAATATGAAAAATTTAGAATTACTGAAGTTAGTTCAAAATATCATATATCCGAAATGACTGTATTTTGAAAACTAAATGTTTTCATTTAAAATAAATAGGATTTTGATTAATAATATAACAAACATATTATGCATATAAATACAAAGCGAAAATATTCAAAAAAGGCCGTTTTTTAAATATTTCTGGCCATTGAGTAACCATCCCAAATTTATAAAACAATAATATATTGAAACTTTTCATGAAGGGGTATTAATTTGTAAAGCAATATTGACTTTTCAAGGCATTTTCTTTACATACACAGACTTTTAGATAGTTTCATTCCAAAAATTGGTGCTTAAGCTGGATTTCTACATTTTCAAGATAATTTCAGAATCAGATTCAGTTCACATAAACATTAATAAATATTATTCTTCCTTGTGACATTTGCTAATCAAATATAAGAGAATAAAATAACCAATTGAAGTAAATTGTAAAAATTAGTTTGATAGACATATTACAATGAAAAACAGGGACCACATAGTAACACCAACAGTATATATAAAGTGAAAAATTGACCAAAAGTAATGTGTAACATGGAGCCTAACCCAAATTACAAGGCATCTGGATTATGGATAAACTGTAGGACAAGAGTTCAAATACATTTAACTGATTTGTGGAAGATGATATCTGGCTATGAATGCCCCAAACGAGAATAAAATAACCAATTGAAGTAAATTGTAAAAATTAGTTTGATAGACATATTACAATGAAAAACAGGGACCACATAGTAACACCAACAGTATATATAAAGTGAAAAATTGACCAAAAGTAATGTGTAACATGGAGCCTAACCCAAATTATATGGATAAACTGTAGGACAACAGTTCAAATACATTTAACTGATTTGTGGAAGATAATATCTGGCTATGAATACCCCAAACCCAAGTTGTAATCTTGTCCTTTTAATTTCTCTGTGGGATGTACACCAGATTCTGCAAATAATCTGAAATACAATAAAATAGATTAGGAAAAAAAGTTAAAGAATCAATTTTTGAAATCCCCACTTATCATGAGAGAAAAATTAAATACAGTTAACTTAAACACAGCCACCAACTTTACATTACCGCTTTATGCATTGCATATGAGCTTCTTGGCATTAGAATTGCATTGTACCTCAGATTACCTTGGGTAACAGGAGTAACTATGTGCAAGGGGATTGATTGGTGGACTCCTCGCCACCATGGTTCATGTAATTGCTGGCTGGTTACGACTTCTTCCACCATTAAGTCCATGCATCTAAACACGCATCTGAACACAAACAGACATAGTCTGAAGAAAGGGCGAGTGGTCGTGGTTCAGTCGTTTTATTCGCTTTCCTGCAAACCCCATCCTCCCGAAGACACATAAAACCATAATTACGTAAGTTAAACAAAAAATGCAACTGCTTGACTTCTGACCTGTCAGACACCTGCATGACTAGACTAAATTGATAGGTTGAATCTCACACACGAACTCGAAGGAAATTGTTTTTATTACCGATAAAGCATTAAGTTAGTTACCTGTTAATGTATTCCAGAGGCACTGGTCTGTTCATCCCTCATTTGAAGTTTTCGTGTAACGTTATCCTATAACTGCAGCAAAAATAGGCCTGTATCCAAAAGCCCAACATCAGGACAAAAAAAGGGCATCTCAATTGTTGATGTGGAAGCAGATTCATCTGAAAACATAAAATTTAAATTAACGTTAACAGAAATGTGCAGAGTATCGGTACCAGCAGCCTACCGTAAGACAACTATGAAAACACAATTTTCATTCAGTTTAATAATTTGACCAAACAACGTGCTGGACGTCAGGACGTGGCCTAACTTAGTCTACATTAAAGTTGTAAAGTTAACTTGTTCATATCAATAGAAGACTGATTTTACATATTCGGAATAAAAACAGCACGATAATTCAAGCAAGTTATTGGTACCGCACGCCGCAAGGTAGTCTACGTTACCGGTACTAATTGGTGCTGTAACTGTAAGGTCACTTTAAAGAACTTACCGGTAATAGGCTAGGCCTAGTATCGTACTGTAGTAGACTATCTTTTGATCATCATCTCACGGTATTGCAGTACCAGTATTTGTCGACTTTTATCCCTCCCATGCCCAGTCAGCAAACAATTCTAACAACATTCTAATAACTGTTGTCTGTGAGTTGACTAACATCATTGATACCTTAACATATGTAGTCATCAATGCTCTAACATCGCCCGAAACACAAAGTTGCAAACTCCGTAGTCTCAAGTGCAGTAAGAGGCGGCGAAATTCAAATTTTGTACGCATGCGCAAACCTGCGTAGAGATTATGGCGTAACAATGGACGTTTCCTCGACCCTTGACCCCCGAAAAATTCTCCCTATACTGTACTTTACTATAGCAAAAGTTTGGATGCTTATTTTGAGAGTGTTTTAGAGAGTTGACATAAACTGATTTACATGCTCAAAACCCTTATTTTTATTAAAATATACAACCACATGCCGCTTACACGTACAGCAATTATAGCTCATTTTAGCATAGTCTATCGCAGATTTCCCGGGACTAATTTTTGATTATTGAGACAAAACTGCAACTCACCTGAATACATAATGACCATTAAAATACTTCATTTACAACTAAGTTATGAAAAGACAATTAAAAAGCGTTAAATAACACGTAAAACCGAGGCAATGTTTACAACTATGCTTGAATATCTGTCTAAGCGAACGATGTGTACGAGAAGCTGCAAAATTTCTAATTGTTCCGACAACTTTGACATTTTACTGATTGATCATTGTTACGGATATGAACAAAAAAGTCGATTTTCTGGGAAACATCCATACGGTAAAATAGGGGTCGACAACCTACGGCCCGCGGAGTAAATCAATCCGACCCACGACGCCTCACTTATCCATATTAGCAAAACGGCTGTTTTGAAGATTGTATTCTTTACGTAACAGAATTTATTGTGAGACACCTGTAGACGAAATGGTCACGTGTTCTGAACTAACTTTTATGACAAATGTCTATCGAAGACAAATATATAAAATACCAGTAATAATTTCCCTACATTCCCCTGAATTTACACCACCCTCTCTGTTTATACTGTGATTTCCATTTTTATACTGAATCACGTGTGATTGCATTTGCTAGTATAGAACTGGGATTATACGCCAGTAAACGACATGATTTACTAAAATTTACAACCAATTTTTTATTATTTAAAAAAGGTCATCGCAATAGCAGAAACCCCTGAGAACGACAAGATATATATATAAATAACACCCCCTAAAGTTGAATTACTTTCCCACGATCCCACTACTGCTAGCGGATAATATATTCTACTTAGAATCTATGAAACATATGAAATATATTTTAAGTTTATATGATGATTTTACAGAAAAATATGTTTTGCGTGAAAACGTATAAAATTACTACTATGTAAATCAATTTTCCGTGAACTTCTGTTACATTTACATAAAATATTTTTTTTTAACAAAAAGTTTTATTGTTTTGATGACCTTTTTACAAAAAATACTCTGTATTATCAACTTTACATAGATTCATGTATTTTTACATAGCCGAACTTGTAAAATTTACATAATATTCTATGTCATTGTTAATAACAGAGTAAAATTTGTAATTTTTACAAAAATCACCCTGTAAACACCATGATATTTTTTACAGTGTACCTTGCCTTTGTTATATTATTTATGTCGACCATGTTAATTCCAACAGTATATCCAAAATACGAAGTTGTATCGGAAATATTACTACTTAGTGGAACTGTTAAAAGTTTTGTGTTTACATCAGGCGACGAAATGATATCAATGTGATTTGAAGAAATGTCCACGTTAAACGCCGCAGCAGACGACAAAACAGCCAACAGAGACAAGATAAACACTAACTTTGATCCGGAGTTATTCATATCTCACGTCGTCATTGCAATTTTCATGTAAATACACTGCAAAAAGAAGAATTGCATTATTTTCGTGCCTAGGAATTGGCACATGGTGACATTAAAGCTGACATGGGCAAACTATGTCCAGCGGGCCAAATCCGGCCCGTTAGGTAATACAATCTGGCCCGCCTGATGCTGCTAAAACTAAACTAAAACCATTTTTTGATGTTTCAGCTAAAAATAGCTCAAGGAATTTGTTGAGATTGCGATTAAATTTAGTTTTGGTGCGAGACTCATTTTTTTCCACTTTTGCTTTTGTAACACTGTAAATATTGTTCATAAAATTAACTTTTTACGTCACACTTACATGGCGCGCCAGTCTAGATAAACAAAACCCTGGTTCAAAAACCTTGCGTCGAAGACGACATTCATTTAATAAAATTAAGAAGAATGGTGACTGAAGCAAAACAAAACCTATATTGCGAGATCGATCAACTCGATACGAAATTTATAAGGTTAAAGGAATGCCTAAATGTTTTGCATTGTCACGATCAGATCTGCAATACCTCATCGCAAATTGAATAATGCCAAATGACCATATTATTGCGATTTCCGTGAGGTGACATAATCTAGTGTGTTTACAATGTATTCATTACGCTAATGATCATGAACTCCAATAAAACAATTGACAATATGAAAAATTATGTAATTTTTTATTTTTTTTTTATTTCGATAATGTATATACAACCACAATTAAATCCAATATTGAACAAAAATAATATTCACCATCGTGCTCTACATTAGAGTGCAATTAGTCAGATAACCCTAGTGGGATAACACTACGGGTCTGCCTTGGATTTTAACACGTATTTATTGCTCAATGTTCAAGCATTTGGGGAGTGGACGGTGCCAGGTAAGTGGAGGCGGGGTCCGTATTTTCAACTACCATACGGTGTTTGAGAAGGTGGGTGCCAGGTATGTTGGAGCGGGGTCCGTATTTCAACTACTATACAGTGTTCGAGAGGATTGGGTCAGGTAGGTTGTAGCGAGGTCGGTATTTTTTACTTATTAAGTGGGATCATTTAGTTGACCGATTGTATAACTAGAGGGAATTATTTATAGCTTATGTTATATTACGATGTCAGTGACTTATTTGGAACCATATTTCACTTATGGTACATAACTCATATTTACTATAGCTAACGGGGGTCATTAAGTTATTGTTATATTACAATATTAGTAGCTGTCTTCGTATAACAGTTGAGGTTGCGTGAAACTAACTACCTTTCCTTGCTCTCTATGCCTTTGCGCAGGTGGATCCGTATGCGTATTACGCAAGGATGCTGTAGCAAATGTAAGTGTAATGGCTATTCTATTCAATTCAAGAGTCCTGCTGCACACGAACACAAATATATTTCTGTAACGTTTCGCCTGACCGAGGTCAGACTTCTTCAGACAAGCATTTTACAACTATAACAAGAAACGCAATTGCATGCACATAAATATTGGTTTCAAATATTGGGTCTGTTTGCGAAAGAGAGATATAAATAAAATTGGGACAGTGCCAGAACAAAAAGAAAGCTAAATTTGATTTAAAATCAATAGATACCCCACAGTGTAGTGAGTGACAATTAAAAAGAAAATTAAACAATTTCATGCTGTTATCCCGTAACTCCGACTATGGTATCGCCTAAGTTCATTTAAGGGTCCTGGCTGCAATGTAGGAAATGACTTAAACCGCGAAATAGAAATCAAGTGTACATAGCTGGTTTCCGTATATGCTTGTTGGGGATATCTATATTTAGTCACTCAGCATAATTAATATAGTACACTGTTGGGATCTCCATATTTAGCTACTCAGTATACTTAATATAGTGAACTAGCATACGGGTGTTGGGGAAAGAGGATGGTGCCAGGTAAGTATATGCAAGGAGAATAATTTATAGCGTATAGTATATTACGATATTAGTAAGTTATTAAGACAACCCATTTGACTTACGGTGTATAAGATCCATATTTAGTATATATATATATACGTAAACGTATATACGTAAACCATTGTACGTTACGTCATAGATTCAAATAAAAGTATCACGTTTTGGGAATCTTGGGATGATTGATAAATCCTGATTTTAGTCATCTGTGATATTTCAATATTATCCTATTTGTCCATAAAGTCATCTGAGAGCAATATTTGTGTGCACGATGGCCCAGGTGACACTGTGGTAACTTAGTTATGCTTTAAGCTCTTGAAGTCCAAGAGCTCCCACCGCTTCGAGGATTGGAAAATCAATGCACGAGGGATTACACCCTTATAGCTTGGCTATTGTTCGGTTTGAATTAAAAGTAACTCCAAAACCTTGGGAATATTTATAAGGAAAAATACCTATAAACTAATCAGCTAACTTTATGTTTAATATGATAAAATTGGATCATCAAACAGAGAAGCTCTTACATGTACTTCGGTGAACCATAATTTTTTAATGTCTTACCTCCTGTACACGGGACCACCACTATTCGCAAAACATCATAATCACACTCGGATATTTTGTTCCAGAATGGTCGTCCAAATCTAAACTATCCAGTGGTAAATATAATACATCATATTATTACCGTGACATTATTGAACGGGTCATTGCTTTTACAAAAGTCAATTTATCGAAACGAAACGGATATATAAACACAAACACGCCAGGTCTCGGAAAGGGAACAAAAATGTTACAAATTATTACTAAACCAAAGATGGGGGATATCATAAATACGCTACGTGGAATGGTATTCGCGTTTTCCAAACCTCCCGGAAAGGTCCGTATTTTCATTTCAGTTGATGGAGAAGGTAAATAAACATTCGTAAGCTCGCGATGTTTATTTTACCGGCATGTGAGAGGATGACGAGCATTCAACAAGCGCCGTCAACTTGTCAAGTTTCGTTGTCCAACACAATGGTAGTTTATTTTGAATAACTTTCGCCATCCGTTATCCAAGAACGTGAATTATTATACAGGCTATTCACCGCAATATATTGTGTTGTAAAAAATCTCTTACGCTGCTTAACAGGCTTAATAAAAGTTGACAGACAGCCTGGGGTAAGTTTTATTACCAAAACCATTTTGGTTTATGGGATTAGTAACAAGGTGACATAGCGATAACTGTGACTAGAGTTAGACCTAAAATGCCGTGCGAGTTGGCTAAACCGCCAATGTTTTGCCACCGCATGTCACCTCACTTAGGCATTGTCCATATCCCTCTTGTAACTTTGACGTCATGCAGTGGCGGCGCGTCAATAAGGCCAACCGTGGCAATGCCCCTGTTGTTTTTTCGGTATAATAAAAAATATTCGAAAAATACCTCAATATCGGTTGCACAGACTCTCTACACTAGCCATATTCTCCCGACATGGTTCATTTTTCGCTCGCAAAGCCTTCGCCGAACGTCGACGGGGCGACGCCGATTTTGCCCCGGTTGCTCATTGTATATCGTATTCTCTCTTTTATCTTCCACTCGCCGCGTTTGTCTCGTTTGTTTTCTGTTTCTTTTACTAAATCATCGGGGCCGATCGGGGCTAGCCCCGAAATTATGACGACACAATGCCTACGTTTCTTACAACAACGTGTTGACATATTCACGCATTCCTTCTCGTTCGTTGGTTGCTTGAAGAGTTGATAGTTTCCTCGCCTTCGTTTTTGTCGCTTGTTTCGCTATATGAATCAGTTAGAGACCTTTAGTACATTTGCTTTCGATTTTCCACATTCCTTTTGAGCACCTCACTTCTTTCCGGCTTCGCATTTCTTAGCCTTAGACCTCATAATGAATAAGGTTGATGCACTACTTCGCACTCCGTTTTCGCAGCTGCCGCTGGAACAAAAATTAGAGGTACAACGTCTTGGGCCTTATCAACCAAAAAATTGTTCACTGGAACAATCCCATGACGGAGGAAAGCGTCGGCGTACATTCTGCGCAGAAACTTGGTATGAAAAACACGAATGGTTGTGTTACAGCGAGGACAAAAATGCACTTTTTTGTTTTTATTGCCTACTTTTTGCTACCGCCCGTGACTCACGTTGGTGTAAATTTGGTTTTAGAGATCTTAAACATCTTTCCGAGCGTGCCAGGGATCATCAATCTTCTATCGAGCATCTGGACAATGCAGTAAAATATCGAACATTCGGAAATGTTAATATTGCAGCACAGTTGGATGAAGGACGCGCGGTTTCTATTCGTCGGCACAACCAAAACGTCGAGAAAAACCGCCATGTTCTCGGTCGATTGATAGATGTTTTGAAGTTCATTGGTTGTCACGAGCTGTCCCTCCGTGGGCACGATGAACGTGCTGGCTCTTCTAATAGAGGGGTATTTTTGGATATGGTGGAATACACCGCATCCCTAGATACAGTATTGAGAGATCATCTTGATGCCGCAACTGTTTCGAAAGGGACATCTAAGGATATCCAAAATGATTTGCTCGACTCAATGTATAAAATTTATTTACAACATTTGGATCTGGAAATTGAGAATTGCCAGTTCCTTTCGATTCAGTCTGACGAGACAACTGACATCACGTGCGTTTCCCAACTGGCTGTGATTTTTCGGTTTGTGAATGATGGTAAACCTACCGAGAGATTTCACAGCTTTGTACCAATCGTTGATCGCACGGCTTGCGGGATATCGGCTGTACTGAAAGAAGTGTTACAGCCTTACTACGTGAAGTCAAAATTGATAGCTCAAACTTATGACGGCGCGGCAGTCATGAGTGGGTCGAAACATGGTGTTCAAGTTTATATAAAAGAAGATTTTCCTCATGCGCATTTTTTACATTGTTATGCACACCAATTTAACCTCGTTATTAAAAATATGTGTCTTGATACCCCTCTCGTCCGTATATTTTTTGCAAATGCTTCGGGGTTTTCTTCATTTTTTTCCGTTTCGCCGAAGCGCTCTGACCTCCTTCGCCAGATATGTAGCCGCCGTCTCTCAGCTTGTGCACCGACACGTTGGAACTTCCAATCACGCGTGGTGCAGGGCGTGTCCGAAATTAGGTCTGAGCTCATTGAGTGTTTCAATGGCATTCAGAGCTCTCCGGTTTGGGACGAAAGCTCTGTGAGGGAGGCGGCAGGTCTAAAGCGTCTGCTAGACAATGGTGAGTTTTCATTCTTTCTCGCTTTTTTCTCCACAATATTCTATAACGTGGATGTATTATACGGCGCATTGCAGTCAAGGCTAATGGATGGAGCGTCTGTGCAGTCGTGTATTTCAGACTTCTGCGATGCTGTATCTCGTATCCGGGAAACAATAAAATACGACGACACATGGAGTGCTTCGTTACGCCGCGGGCAAACAACGCAGCGTTTGATTTTGTCTGCAAAGGAATGCTGTGACATTCTGGCGAATCAAATAGGCGATCGTCTGCGCACTGAACACCTTGCAAAAAATTTTTCAAAATTTGCACGTCAATTTCCCATCCATTTGTTGGCTACTGTCTCCAAATTTTACCCCATGATAAACGTGGGTAAATTGGAAAATGAATTGCGATGTATATACACCAATCAAACTTTTTTGAACATCACATCAACTTGCGCGCTCTATGGTTTCCTCATAGATAACACTCTAGTAACTACCTTTGCGGCGTCTGCAAAATTTCTGGACATCATTTTGACGACGCCTATTTCTTCCGCCGACGCAGAGCGAACATTCAGCACGCTGAAGCGTATTAAAACGTATCTCAGAAACACAATGAAGCAAGATAGATTAAATTCCTTGGCTGTTTTATCCATTCACAGAGACGTTATTTCTGGGATGCATGACTTTAATCAGCGCGTTATTAAGCATTTTGCTTCCAAGAAACCGCGGCGTGTTGCATATATGTTCAAGCAGTAGAAGTCCAGCAGCATATATATCTATGAGTGAGCGACGCATGTTCTTATCTTTGCATTACCTTTCCTTTCTTCATAGGAACGTTTTAAACCTTATTTTAGGTTTTGTCTGCTTTCCCGAAGTTTCTGTTAATATGTCATTGTATTTATCTGGGTAAATATTGCCTTTCCTTTTGAAAGAGGTTTCAAAATAAACTATGTCTATATTTATTAATCCCTTGACTTGGACCGGTTTTAAAGACACTTTCTTATCGTTAAAAATTGTCGCTTTTGCCGATTGGTTGTTACCGATGGAATGGTTTTTATACTCATAAAATGATGGGAGAACTTACAGCGCTCATCCTGTCTCCGTAGATGGGGGTGACTTGGTCCCGCAGTAGCTTGCCCCGGTTGTCAAAATGACCACGCGCCGGCACTGCGCCATCGCGATGCGCAAGCTTTCTTAGAGAAATTTTCCGCGCTATTGAGTCAGAGCGAAGGATACACGACGCGCTATTGTGTTACTTACGAGTCAGAAATTTCCGCTTCAATTATTCCAGGCGAGCGTGTTCTTCCAGTTATACTGAAATGTAGCGAGCAATCGGTACAGTTTTAGCTATTGGGTGGTTAGTTATATACTTACCTAATTAGTACAGTCATTTTATGGTTTTTACATATCTCAGAAACAATATAGTTAGGAATATTATTCAAAATTGCATTAAAATGTCAGGGGTCAGTTTTTCCGACATAATTGGGAATTCCGATCTTCTGCATGAGACACAATTCAAACCATGGTGGGAAAAAGTGAGGCAATACAGCATGAGAGCTTTGTATATTACATCATTCATTATGATTTATGTTGTCGAAACCACAAATTCTACTCCATGTACGGTGAAACAGCCGTCAAGGAACGTCACTCTGTCAAGATCACAAGCTGATTTTATCAATAAGTTTTGCTTCCACGAAGTTGATGGAGTCATCCGAAACTCCGGACTCGCAGCAATCCTAGCAAGTACCATTATATACTGTCTTTATGCTTGGTGGGAACTTATACCGAACGTTATATCTGGGTTTCATACTGTTAGAAGCATCGACGAAATTCTGCGGAAGGAACATTTGACAAAAAAGGAAGCTTGCGACATTTTTTCGACATATCGAGAAACCATCGATTCAAGAAAAATCACTGAGAATGTGCTTTGTCATGCAAAAACTCTAAGATACGTCATGGGTCTGCTGTACGGTAGAACACATAAATTGGGAATCTTAACTTTCTACAACCTAAGAAATTTTTCCGGCTTATTAGGATCAATTGTCACTTTCTGTCTTATCTGTATATTCTGGCTCAAAACTATCATTTCTACTGATCATATATTTTTGTGCTATGCCAAAGATAGTAAAGCTTCTTCGTCGCTCCCAGCAAACGAATTTGTGTGCTTTAACGAACTTCACTCAAGACTTTTTCCATACTCCATAATATGTTTAGCCCTCCTAGCCATAATGATCTGTATGACGTTTATCGACGGTGCATGCTCTATCTGGATGTGTGGATCTTGCGGGATCAGGGAAAAAATGAATCGAAATTCAATTGAAAATGACTACGTTCTAATTAAGTTATTCAGCCGTCATTCGTATTCCCTCTACGAATGCACTTGTTTCATACTTGATAAGATATCTGAAAGAAAAAAAAACATAGAATCACTTGAGACGCTGACAAATATTATAACAAGGGCTGAAGAAGCTGAGAAAAATAGAAGTCCGGAAGATGATGGCGGAGATATGACAAAACGTAATACCGAGCCTAAAGGCAAGCAGCCACATACTACTAAAGCCACCAGCTACTCCGATAGCGGGGAAGGAACGTCCAAGCAGCTTTTGCCCAATGACAACAGTTAATCGTTGTCATTTCAATATTGTTATATTTATATAAGTGCATTTGCATGTTCCAAGGTAGACGATGACCTCCCAGTAAGACTCGTAGTTTTTTATTCGAACAAAAGTTGATTTTATTAATCGATATATATACATTATTTTCTCAAGTAAAAATTCTATTTTCAAGTGTGACGTTAATTTTGTTTTATTTGGCATGCGCGTTTCTATTGATTGAATGAATTGTATTTCGAACTGTTCTTTGTCATGACCATATTTTGATTATTTAGGAAGTTAGCTACTTGGATTATAGCAATGCAACCGTGTAGAATTACCTATAGGCTGCATCAAAATGAATAGAATTTACCGAACAAAGTGGCCTTTGCATGCCCCTATTTCGGATACTCATATCTATGAGATTTCTAGTTTGTTACGGAAGGACCAGAGTACTTATTCAGCAGTATCTCCTTAGATTAGTAGATTAAACTAATTCGACAAACAATTTGCAGCCCTAAATGTTCAGTGTGTGATCTTATTTACTCATTTTATCACTTAAATCTGATACGAGCATTTGTTTAATTTTGTTCAAGTACTCATCTAACAAATAAGTTTCAAATGAAATAAACCAATGTAAAGTGTATTGCATTATTGCACTTTCATTTATTCAATCACAAAATGTTTTATTGCTTTCCCTAAAACGTTGAAATAAAAATTACATTGTCTCATTTTCGACTGCTACTGGTTTCCTCTACGAGATAACTTTCCCTCCAGTGCCAGTCCATCAATTCCTTTTGTTCTCAATGCAAAATCTTTCCGACTCCTTTAAACCCCTGGGTGATTCTTTGTGCGACTTGAAATTTCGATGGATTCGGCTAAAGACGTGTTGTTACAAGGATTGATAGTTACTTATTTCAGTATGTAAGCTCATTTAAGTTATGAATGAAGCTGTTTACTATTCTAGTCCTTGACTTTCAAAGAGAATTAGTCGGGTGGATTGTTCAAGATCTATTAGCAGAACACGGTATTAATTAAAGCTCTTTAATTGACTTGGGTAAAATTAGATAAGATAATCAGATAGCTGACTAATCAGAATGCTGACTGACTGACCGTACCATGCCCAATAAATGCATAAAAGTTATTTTAATAAAGATATATCTGATGTTCATGTGTGTTTACAATGTGGCTCTTCGTCGTAATAAAGTGCGAAATGTGGGCCTTGGTCTGTGACTGGTTGAACACCCCTGAAGTATATTAAGGAAAATGTAATAAAAATCGCCAAAATAATAATATATAGAAAATGAAGTAATTTGGTAGAGAATTTTTATTTCATTGGAATACATAAAGTTAATCGATTTAGGTAACATGAATACATTTGAATCATGCAACAATTACATTTTGGCATAAAAGTGTTTATAATTCCGCTTTGCAAAGATGGTTTTTCTTGCGACAGACCCGGATTTTAAAGTATGTAAAATGCGAACAATCTTTTTCAGGTCGATGACTACTTTCCAAAAATCGTGTCCGCAATCTCCATATGATGCTTTAACTATGAGTGAAGATTGCTTGTACATGAATGTATATGTTCCCATTGATTCGGTAAGAATTGGGCGTATCAATGTTGAAAAATCATGATGCTTAAATGGCGCAGTAGTTAAATTGAATCGATTTGGCCCCGTCAAACCTAAAGAACAAACTGATAAACTTCTATTTCAGACACAACCGTACGACCAAGTCATTCCGAAAAAATACGCTGTTATGATATGGTTACATGGTGGTGGTTATATGACAGGAGATGGGATGGAAAGTTATATGGGAGATGTTTTAGCCACATCTGAACAAGTAATTGTGGTTACAATGAATTACAGGTACGGCAAGACATTGAAATAAAATTGCCATAATTAGAGCATGTAGCATCTTTCAAATAATTGATAAAAAATGAACTTCACCCCAGTAGGCCTACTTTATTGATGATGGGCGATTGATAAAATACTCATTATTTGAAGTTGGAACTCTGATCTAGTTGGAGACTGGAATTTTAGTAAAAGTCAATGCAGAATCAGATTCTTTCTATTTGCATAAGCGCATATATTATAATGTTTCTACTCGTCTTGATACGTTTGTCGGTGTTTTTTCTAGTTCTTTTTTTCAAAACATGCCCCTTTGTTGAGTTTCTTTCCACTCAGCTTTTTCCGACGGTATTGTAATGCCCCAATACTCATTTCAGTCGCCATCTGGTGATACAAAATTTTACTAGTTCCAATATAACCGTATTTCATTTTACAAAAAACATCTTCAATTTTTGACAGGTTAGGTGCTATTGGATTCATGAGTACGGGCAATCGATTTTCACCAGGTAATTACGGATTATGGGATCAAAATCTTGCAATGCAGTGGGTTGCTGATAACATAGAAGCGTTTGGTGGAGATTCAGAAAGAATGACTATATTTGGACAAGGCGCGGGGGCAGAAAGTGCTCAGGTTATTCAATACTTATAGACAAAATCACAAAGATTGTATTTAATTCACGTTTAAACATGAACATGTCGTAATGAGATATTGTGCAATTAAACGTTAGTATTGAAAACGAATACACAAAATCATGACTTCAAATCCCGTTTACACTCATTATAATTTTCTGATCTTTATTTGAATGAGATACTGATTTTATGTTCTTTGCGTGCTTACCAATCCGGATACAACGATGTGAGTTCAAATAATCTTCGATGTTTTCACGTCATAATTACCCTGACCGTTAACAAAGTATGGCCATCGAACTGACAACTGTCTGTCACATGTTAGTGTGATGTATGTAACGTGTAAATTGGGAAACAGTATATGATCTTTCAAATGATTTTTATTTTAGTTACATATGGTCAGCCCTTCAAGTAGGAAAGTTGGAGTCAATCAAACTATTTTGCAAAGTGGGACGTTATATGGATTTTACGATTATCCAGACCAGGAAACAGTTTCATCAGAATTGATTTCTCGTACTGGATGCTCGCGAGCGACATCAAGTGACTCAGTATGTATTAACTAAGTATCTAACTTTATTCAATAACTGCTACTTGTTTGTAAAATATCATCAAAATATCATAAATGCTTTCAAGTGTGTGAACGCTTCTACAGTTTGGAAATAAACGACAATCGATCGTGCCACATTATGTTTGTTGACTGAGTGATCATACTGCAGCTTGGGCGAGCTAATGTACATATTAAAGGAATACCATTTACGCAAAATAATTTTGATAGGGAACAAGCATATGGTCAAGAAAATCAGTTTATAGTTTCAATTTATTGGACACAGATTTGAGCTATAGATCGATTTGCTGGATTGCTGTATTTGTTGAAATTGAAAAAATCGCTTCTCTCCACTACAAAAAGAACATTCGATTTCAAATTTCCAGTAGGCCTATCCAGAGATGAATAAAGTTACAATACTAGGAGACTATTACTTGGTTTCCTGTTGCCAGATATTCAACCGTAAATGTTTCTTGTATTGATCTTCATATAACATTTGGTAGATAGTTCTCTCAACATTTCGCCGAAACTTTTTCTGATATTGTGGTGGCCATGTTGGCCATTTGACGTTCTTGTCCATATTTTTGAGCATTGCTCTCTTGTTAACATTATTATTGTCGTAGATGTAAAATATGCTACATGTAAGCTTAGAAATACATACTACTATATATATGTCTAGATTGAATGTGTGAGATCGCTTCCTATCGAAGATATTATTTCTGGACAAGATGGATCGTTGGACGAATCAGTTCCTCTTCAGTTTGCGCCTGTTGTTGATGGTAGCTTCTTACTTAGAGACCCACGAAACCTTTTAACTCTTAAGGAAATGCGTGGCTGGAAATTCATGCTGGGTAACTTCTATTACATTTGTACTTTCAGCATGTTTGAATGGATTGCATATGAAAATTAATCAGTAAGGAAGTTGCCAGGAGCGCAAAAGACTTACATCGACAATATCTCTACTTTGAAAACAAGAAAATCTCAACCTATTTCTAGTTAGGCGAGAACGATACGATTTTGTGGAATTTGATTTTGCAACACTCCTGCTCACCCAAAAATTTTTGTCATTTAAAATTGGTTTGTCCGAAGCTGGTTGTTTGTACCTTGGAGTCGGGGTAAAAAAAATGCCTAACTCGCAGTCAAACAAAAAAATTATTTAAACCCAGAGTTGGGAGTTGGTTGTAAATTTTCCAACACCACAGCTTTGATTTGTATATAAACTAAACTCTTTATTATTATTATTAATATAATGTTGACAAACCGATGAAAGCTTTGATAGGATGTAGTAGCACTTTATATGCCTGATTTACAGGTTCTAATAGCGGAGATGGGACCCCATACTGGGATACAGTTACAAGCGTCAATACCGCTGATCAATTCCGAAATACTATCAGAACCTCTTTCAGATATTCTTATGGGGTGGCATCAGATGATGTTGAATTTGAATATACAGAATGGGCAAATGAATATTTTACATCGGATACTACGGTAAGTTGATTTCTGACAATGAACGATATTCTTTAATTCATGGAGGAATCGGATTCACTAGTTGCCTACCTTTTCTCATTTTACGAACACGTACTTACTTTTAGGAAATGCAAAAACAACTATTCTCCATGTACACCAGTCAACGATATAATTCCCAGGCTGCTAAACTTGCATTTACTGCTGGTGGTACATTGACAGATGTGTACATGTATTCTCTCGTTTATCCATACCAAACAACAGAGCAACAACAATACCCATCATGGACAGGTATATCAATTTTGTTTTGTTTGTTTAAATTCAAGTTGCAAAAGTTTTTATGCTGTTTCGAGAAACTTATTATTGTTTGTGTTCCCAGCTAGAGCAATCTAGGTTTAAATGGAAATTCGTATTCATAGGTGTTATGCACGGGGGAGATATTCCATACGTCTGGGGAGATATTGTGAGAGATTCAGCTACGCAAGGTGAAAATCCGGAGGCCTCTATCCTTAGTTTCAACATGATGAAATACTGGGCCAACTTTGCAAAAACTGGGTAAGAGTTGTTGTCAGTGGTAACAACTGCCTACGTTTTAATGGTTTCTTGGAGACTTAAATGAAATTTACCTAGTCTATTTAGTGTCGTTCGGCCCAATTCCACTGGTATATTGTATGCGACCTATTTAGCGAATATTATCGTGATTTTGTATTATTTGACACGAAGAGTTTATAATGTGGTGTGCAGATGGACACGGTCCCTCGCATGATTCTAATCTTCCTGGCGATGAAATAAGCTTTGTGAACTAATGAAACGTAACAGCCTACATGAAGACAATAAATAAGTGTTTTTCATAGTATTGTTGGCACCTATTATGTATGTCACTAATGCTAGTCCGAAACAACAACTAGGAATACGTTGAATACTTGTTGTTTGTATTCATTCTTCTTGATTGAATATAGTAAAAAAAAAATTATAATTTTTTTTAGCAATGTGCTTGTCTTGCCAATTTTCTAGAATTCTCCTTTTTTTAGAAATCCAAGTATGAGCGATCAAGGCGTATTGACGGACGTAGAGTGGCCACGGTATCGCAACCTACATCGTCATTATCTCAAACTTGACGGCAACGATATCTCGGCCGATTCTTATCTAGGTGGAAAGGATACGGCATTCTGGAATTTTATCATGCCTACACTTCGAGTGTCCTGTCCGTTATATATGCCTTGATAGAGAAAGACTTTAATTGAAAATGCTCAAAATAATTTGGTAATATTAAGTAATTTGAAAATTTCACTCGAAATACCGCAGGTGATCTAATGTTGCTTACATTTTGTGGTTGGCAGTATAAAGTAATAACCATGACCTGTTTGTCTAATTAAAATACTTTGGAAATAAATATGGACAATTTTGTTGCAAGTATATTATTATGTTTAACTTAGTTTGTGAGATGATTTTAGGTTTTACCTCGGAGAAAGAAACTACCTGTACGTATTGGGCTACTGTATTCGGAATAATGCAAATCTCCCAAATTTGCTATTGCCGTCCTAAATTGGCGGGTGGCGGTGAGGTGTGTAGAACGTTAACATAGTTAGGTTCGACGCCTTATTATCATTCGTGGGTCGTGGTTCATCACACTGCGTACCGCCCGATTCCTGAAATGGAGAATTCAGCTGCTAAGAAACTCTCTTCTTCTCATCTTTTACAGAGTTAGGGTTTGATTCAGTGTTCCCTCTAAGGTGTGCGCGCGCACACAGCTTTCAGAGGCTGCGCACACGCATAGCTTTACTGCGCACAGACGTATTTCGATGTAATGTAACAATGTGCTCGGTTGGCAGGTTGAGAAAGTTTGTTGTTGGCCCACTTATTACCCGGTTAGAACGCCAAAATTTCTTCATTGGTTTTTGCACAAATATTGTCATTTCCAAAAAAGTGCGCACACACCAAAATTTCTGCGCACACATACTACAAAAAATTAGAGGGAACATTGGTTTGATTGTATGTAGAATGTACATGTACTATTTGACAACGTGTAAACGTGTCACAGAGTCGATTGTTTGACTAACACACCACGTATATGCGCTGGAATGTTAAATAGATATCTATATTCTTGCACTGCACTTGAACTGGTAAGCGAAAGAACGGCTCGATGGAAGTATATCATTAAAGTGGAATACTATCCTCGACTATTGTTCTCAAAAAATGAAGTTTAAACGCTACAATATTTATTACGAGAATTTCAATATAATTAAAATTATTGTTATTTTACTGCAACATTTGCGTGAACTTGCAAGCAAGAACTAGAAATGCGTAATTAGGATGTAGAATTCGATCATTTTTCTTTTCATCGTTGTCGAAAGGGTACTTCGTAGGCTTGCACGTAATTTACGGATTTACGGAATTACGTAATTATTTGGAGTTACGGAAGGGAAGTTACGAATTACGTAAAGTCGTAATTATTGCATTGAAACGAGCTTTCTTCAAAGCAGTCAATTTCGTCGATTGCGAAAAATGAAAGCTCAACAAGTAGAAGAAGTTAGAGTTCCGGTATTCGCAGCCGTTTTTCTCTCTCTTGTTACGTATGTGAAGGAAGGCATGCCGCGTTGCCATTTACTAACCTATTATCAACTTATCTGGCGTGGCCAATGTAAATTATTAGTTAGTTGATGGGGGAAGAACTGAGTAGGGTCGTTTGATGTCAACACACCTGGTTTTAACTTCTCCCGCAACTTAACCATAGATAAGGGATAGAATTGTGTTAAGACCGATGGATGCTAACACGCCCGGTTTCAACTTCTTCGGGTGAATGACTAATGAACGCAGGAGATCAATCTATCAAACATGGCCTATCAAACATTTGTATCCATTTTACTTTTATTTATTATTTACTTGTTCCAGTTTTCCGTTACTTATGGTATATATGTTCCGTTTCTATTTTATATTCACGCGTTTGAATAGTGGGAATTCCCCGCCAAGTGTGGATTAGCAATGCTTAACCATTCTTTATTGTTAATATCAACACTTGATATATGAACATGGAATATCATATTGTTTTTGGCTGTTTCATTTCAGACTTGGGGTATAAACAGGAAAATATCCATAACCTTTCAACACGACGATCTTGTGAAATTTAACGAAGAGCTTTCGCGACGAATTGGAACCAAATAAGCGAAAAGAGCGATTGATCACTCGCGCCAATACCTCGCCGTGATAATTAATGTCGCGCTTATCAAATAGCAATTTGACGACAAAAGAGAGATTGCGTAATGAACCAAAACGACGGATTCCTCGCGGACCGTTGAAAATTTAACTGCTATCATATATAATCAAATATGAGCCTGTGTGTTTATTCTGTGCGAGATCCATTTTCTATTACAAAATCTTGATGTTCTGTTAACTGTTTTATCTTATATATCAGTCCGGACTTGGCCTTGCTCATGATGTTTTTCACAATTCCTCTCAATATTTCGGCCATAAATGATTAACTGTCTTACCAAATGCGGCAACTTATTTTGATTTATCGTCGACTTGAATACCACCGGCACTCGACCAAACTTTTGTCAATCTTGGCCGATAGGATCGCCGACTTGAGTTAGCAAATAAATGTTGTGAGTGTAAAATAAATGTCACAAAATGCATTGTTTTGCGATATAACTTTGTATTTTCGGAGAAGGCATGTCATATAAGTTCGGTATTTAAATTATACGCAAATAAATAATATTTGATCTAAATTTATCGCAATTAATGTTATAAACATTCAGTCCGCGAAATGATTGAATGTAAAATGAAGCATGGTAATCGGAATATCGTCAATAAGTCGACATCAATAATTATTATTATAAAAATGCTAACAAGGCATTAATGTCGAATAATGCAGAAAACGCTGCAAAAACAAGTCTTCGTCGCGAGGAAATCGCAAGTATAATCAAATGAGAGAATACGCTCGTCGTTGGTTAATAAATTAGAAACCCGTAATTTTTATTCAGTACTAAGGTGGTTTTAAAACACTATCGTTTCCATAAATATCCGTATACCAGTGTCGGTAATGATAAAATAAAATTGATCGCATAAAAATGGGACGGTTAATTTGCGAAGGTGATAAAGAAAAACCAAAGCTAACACAAAAGATAAAAATCAGAATAAAATTAATTTGAATTCACTCCTTGATGGTTGTTTTTAACATCTGCCGCCGGCGTGTAGTACTGCCAAGAATAGAAAAACCCAACTTCAATGTCCCATTCGGAAAAAAAGTGGATTCAATGGGTTGTTACGATAGGTTTAAATGCGTGGAAAAATATCGCAATTACGGGGTCATTACGTAATTGATTTTGCCGTAATTACGGAATTGATTTTTGTCAATTACGTGCAAGCCTAGTACTTCGTATGGTAAGGCGACATCGGCCATTCCGGTAACACTGTCCCGAAAACTGGGCAGAGGTTTTTCAGGATCAGGTACGATTTCAAATCTTTGTATTATGTTGGTTAAGAAAAGAAAGAGTTCCATTTTTGCAAGTTGTTCGCCAAGACAATATCTTGGACCAACAGAGAACGGAACCACTTGATTACTCGGAACAAATTTCCCAGTGTCATCAATGAATCTTTCAGGCTTGAATTCGTTCGGATGCTCAAAGACGTTTGGGTCGTGATTTGCGGCATATAAGTTCGGCAGTACCTGAACAAAGTTTAGTATTTAAGACAATAGACAAACAAAACTATATAAACATGATTTTTGTACATAAAATTCGACAATCAAAGACCAATACTATAGTGAATATATGCAAATCCTAGAACTAAAACGTCTTACTGGTGTTCCTTTTGGTATTCTGTATCCTTTGAATTTCACATCTTCTGTCGTAACGTGCGGAATTGCTAAAGGTACCAACGTTCTAAATCTGGTTATTTCATGAATGAACGCACACGTGTATGGCATTGCTTCTTTGTGACTCATCGAAGGAACTCCAGACCCTGGAAAGAGAATTTTGTTTTTTAATTTCATTTATCAATCAATTCTATAACTACGGTATATTAAATATTATGTACATGTTCGCTGATTACAACGAAATAGTTGAGTCTGTGTTAGTCAAGTATATTCGAGTCACACTTTCACTAAAGGCCAGTGCAGCACTGTCATAATGATCTTATGCTTACAGTCAGAGTTAAAGGGGTGTTTATAACGTGAACGGCGCCTACTACCATTTTTGAAAATCAAAATACAATAATTACCAATGACTTGCTTTACTTCTTTTGAAACTTTTTCTTGAATTTCTGGATAATGGGCAAAGCATAAAAAGGACCATCTCAATGTACTTGACGAAGTTTCGGTTCCAGCAATAAAGAAATCACGCATCGTGTGTAGAAGCTGTTGTTCCTGTAATATTTAGAACGACACATTATAACAGTGAAAAATAACTTCTATTTTGATGGTCCAATTCAAAGTCAACACATTTTCAGATTCAGCTTACTTTAAATGAAGATTCTTTTTCGCCTCTTAGTTCGATTTGTTTAAGATATTCATCAATATAGTCGCGTGTGTTATCAATGTCAAAGGTTTTACGATGTTCTTCAATTATGTCTCTGAATACATCTGGAATATTTCAATATAAAATGATTGCTTGTTTGGGTTCGTAGTTCTTCATTCGTAGTTAAATTTAATAGCAAGGGGTTTTTCAGATAGCAACATTAGTCAAACAATATGGGTTAACGGAATAACATTTCTTAGTTAAAATAAAATTTCGTAATCGCCGAATGTGCTCAGAAAACTGCTGGGTGCAATAAATCCTACATGAATGCTGGAGGCTGTAACGTACAATATATATCTAATAAATTCTTCTGGTTCGGCTTCTCATAAATGCCGTGTCGCAAAGGGGCACCCTTTTTGACACACTTGGACCGTCCCAAAGTTAGGGTGAAGACATATATTGTGGGGCAAATGACGAGACATCTTTCGGACGTTGGTTCAGATGAAGTTTAACATGCCGAATTTGTTATTACAAACTAAGATATATGAGCATGTTTGAAAAAGTTGAATTCGGAGGAATTAAAATTAAACCATTTAGAATGATTCGACATGATTGTTTTTAAATTCACGAAAATATTCATGACTTATATCATAATTCGGCCCATGACAAATTAGGTTAGAATATTCTGAAAATATTAAAACCAAAATTCCAAAATAGGAGTAAAATTCGAGTTTTAGGCCTAGGTTGGAAAATTACTGGAAATAGGTCATAACAAAATATCTTTAACCTGTGATAACAACATCTTCAGTAGTTTTCTAAACTTGGCAGTATCCACTAACAAATTGTGGAATCCAAAACATACCTAACACACTGGTAACGTCACTCTCTATACGTTTGAAGGCTCCAGAAAAAATAGGCAAATGTCTTAAAATCGGGGCATATGCCAACAAAGCACGTTGTATCGCAAGTCTCCTGTCACCAAATCTGTATTAATGAATGCATGTTAGCTGATTGTAATGCAAGTTGTATATGACACATATCAGATGTAAACATTTGGTTCATTAAATTTCTATAAGATTGAGCGAAAAAAATTATTAAATGAAAAATTTGATTTATACATTATTCCTGGATTTATTGGACAAGAAATGTACATATGGACCGTTTTGTTATTATGTTGAGTTTTTTTTTTCTTGTTGAAAAGAATAGTTTTTCTTTAACTACTTGATCAATTAATTGCTTTGACAATTGATTGCTTTGATTCAACGTTGAAGTCGTTTTTGTGGATGTTGTCGCTAGAAAAATATTTACTTTTATTTATTGCTAAATTTTCATAGAATGCTATGAGATTAAAAATTTCATCCAAAATTTCACAGTTTTATTTTTATCCGAGTGAACACAGTTTTTAATCCGCCAAGCGTGACGGCTGTCTTCGGTTTCGATTTTTCGAACTCTTGCTACGCGAAAGTCGGAAACTTTTCGATACCAGTGACGCGCTGTAGACTAGGTACGTAACGTTACTGTAAATGATGTGAAGTTACGGTTAAAGGTGTAAAGTACTGTAAAACATTTGATACTACAGTTATGAGTTGAATCATTTGGTATTTTATTGCAAATTAAGAACTTCCGATGCTCCACAGTTGAGGTTTCGTCCAGGATATGACATTTGGGGAAATTGTGGATGAAATATTTGGATTCGGCTTTCCTTTCCATATATTGGACATGGGACCTCGTGTTGTTGTTTCCGTGGGCTCTGTGGGATTTTTTTTTTGTGTTCTATGACGTCTCAAATATTGCGCATCTTGTGGCGGCTTGCGCTCGCGTTTGTCGTGAAAACTATCTTACCCGTAGTCTACTGTGACAGTTTACATACCGGTACCCGTACTACTAGCAATTCGTGTTCATATATTTGAGCTTTGCTCTCTCGTTTATCATTAGTATGTTATGGGCAGTTTCTATTATGAAAAAAATAGGCATACCCTTTGTTGAGAATTTCGACAATGTTTTTAAAAACTTCGTCATCGTAGGAAAACCTGGACCCCAAAGCAATGCTACATAAAACATTCGAAACTGAGGTTGACAAAACAGTCTGTAAAAAAATGACATCAGATGACCACAGTAATATGATATATATACATGTAATCATTGGTAATGAGCTAGCATAGATGGCCAAATCTATACAAAGCATTGTGGCAGATGGGCGTCTTGAAAATTACTTCTGCAGCTATAGCTTGTGCATTCATGGCTCTGATCATACACGACAAACCTAGACTACACTTCGCACGGGTATCCTCATGCGAAATTTTGGCTGATTTTAATCAATTTGATAGAAAAAGACTCTCATTGATATTATGCGCAGAATGATCACACATTCATTTTATCCCGTGTTCGTTGGTCCTATGTTTCGTAAATCATAGCCGCAGGAATTATGATTGTTGATCTTCATCGTGTTATATTTGACATGACACACAGTTACCATAATGAAAATTGTTATATATATATATATTACTTTTCATATACCCAATTTGTCAATTGAAGTTTCATATTGTTTGTACAAACCTGGCAATTGAAAGATTTGCCGTTGTAAGATCCAATTAACTCGGCAAAATATTCAATTTCTTCTGTGATTCTGTCTTCCATGCTGCGTTTTCCAACACCGAAACTAGAAAACAATGAAAGATAGATGACTAATTTATAACTTCACCGTTGTTCGTTGCTCTGCTTTTTTACCTCTAAAACATCAGCAGAACATATCATGAAAGTACATTGTGCAATTTTAATCAACAATTGTGAAATCGACAAACACGCACGTATATCGTTTTGCTGTACACCGGTTGTGCTTTATTTATCTTTGACATGAATATACCTGGTGGCAATCATGCGCTAAACAGGCACGACTGTTGAGCGGTGTGTGCAAAGTTCAATAGTGAATAAACATTATACGAAAAGAGAGAAATGAATGTGACAGAGCAAGTTTTATCTACCAGTTAGACTATTGTTTCATGTATTTAATTTCTTTGTTCGTAGCTTCGGTTATAAATCGGCACACAAGATGTCGACCGAAGGAAAATCAATAAAAACGATTCAACAACTATCCGATGAAAATCTCACCCTCTTAAAGTCATAAGTGTAAATTTTCTCTGATCTTTGAAATGACCATCAAAATCTCTGAATATGATCCCGTAACCTTCGGTGATTTTCCGAAGAACAAAAGACTGAGGACGCCCAGAGAATGCGTGACCGTTTTTCACGAGAGCCTGAAGAAGAAGTAGGTCTATCATACCCAGTATTAAATTGTAAAGATTAAGCGCATCGACATTGCCCAAGTCAGAGCTTTCCAGCGTTTACATAAAACTGTGTAGTGAGAATAATTACCGTAGGTCACATATACTTAAAAACAGTCCTCGACGGGGAAACCAATCAGAACGGGAAAATATGAACTCAAACAATGTTTCAGACATTTTTTATTTAATATTTATCTAATATTTTAAGTTTAATTGAATTTAACAGCATTTATCATATTTGACAGTCCTGGTGTGTTCCACAAATTTGATGACTTAAGATCGTGATTTGAAAGTTTTGTTTGTGTCCAACTGCTCAAACACAAGCGCGATCCATTTATCGTCATTCATACCCCAATACGATATTTTAACCTCCCACCTTTTTTTTTCTTAAAAAGTATTATGTTAAATTTAAAATCAAACTGAAACAAATAAACACTATTACCTCTTGTATCGATTGGTAGTCGTTCAAAACCACATATGTTTCGGACCCAATATTGACAGAAAATACAGGTCCATATTTCTTCGAAAGCTCAATGAATTTTCGTGCTGGATGTTTCCCATGAATGGAATGTATCCGACCAAAGGTAAACCTGTTGGACCTGGCGGAAGGCCTTTGCGTTTGTTACGATTCTTCATGTAGTAATATGTTCCAAGAAAAATGCATAATATTGTGCACAGCCAAACGCTGTCGATGTCATATGCATTGTACATAGTCATTAGATGACTGGTTAGATGATTTCTTCGTGATTTCGATCTATACTTACTAGAAAAAATGAGAAGAAACCGGTGTATTATACAAAACACATTTTTACATGCAAATTCTACATCTATACATCTTCAGTTCATGAGCTATTTGTGATTTATACCTACCGTGTTTCCCCGAAAATTAGACCTAGCTTGAATTTTAGAAAATGATTTTAATATAAGCCCTCCCTCCCCTTGGAATAAGACCTAGTCAATAAAGCCAGATTTTTTTGACCTAGTCAATAGCAAGAAATCTCTCCTACACGTTTTAAATGATTGATAATCTATATTTTGCAGTTAATTCAAATAAAAACGTGTTATTTATAAGTAAATGGTATCGGTTTTCATATTTTGTATATTTGAAAATCTCGTAATTCTCTACCTATGTAATTCTGTTTCTGATAAATGAAAATGTAAGACATCCCCCTAAAATAAGCCCTAGTGTTATTTTTTGGAAGAAAATTGAAATAAGGCATCGGTGAGCTGTGGCCGAAACGCACGTTTGTTGGACATTTAATTGCATTTGCGTTATGGTACAAAAAGTCTAATTTCTCTGGTAAACCTAGTTATTAATTTATGTTTTGTTACATCGTAATTCTCACATCACGCAAATAATTAGTACATCAGTAACGCGTAATAGATGTTTCCCCGACCTTTGACCCCATGGGAATTCATCCCATACCTTTCTAATGATAACATTTGTATCGAATCGCTATGAACATTCTTGTAATTTTACACAGACATAATTCGGATAATTTCTCCATATTTCATTGTAGTTCGTCGGCTCTATCTTAAGCCAGACAAAACTTTCTGTAAACGTCCGCGTCGCGTCGTGTTGTAAATATATTTTCATTTTTACGAATTAGGTGCGTTCCGGTTGTTACAATTTTTCCAGCTCATCACTGAATAAGACCCAGTCTTATTTTCGGGGAAACACGGTAACGGCACGGTCGACGAGTACAGTTGTGTACAATGTAATCGCTTTGCGCTTTGAGAGTGTCCATTTACTTTCACCGGCTTGAAGCAGCAAACGCCGTCGTGTCAACTGAGTAAGTCAGCTAGGACTTACGGTCTTATAGTTGATCTGAATAGTTAGTTTCTTTGCCCAGGGTAAACAGCTGCGGTTGAATGACGTCAGCTATTTCGGTCTGCTGAGAATTACGCAAATCAAAACGTTGTTACCATCTATTCAATATTTATATTCATCTAACGTTTCCGTCCATCAAATCAATATTAGCTGTGACATCCTGTTTTACTTTAGTTGTTTATTAGTCTCCCCTGTGCCACGTTGAGTCCGCTCTTTCTCCCATGAATAGCTTCTCAAACAATAACAGGAGAATTTCAATAAGTGCTTTATAACCGAATCTTCTGAGTTAATGATTGCGCCATCCATACTTATTAACTATAATGACATCATCGAACATGACACTGCAAATCATTTTGCAGCTATATAATTATAATTCTTATCTGCTGTTGTTTCGCATGAAACTAGGTGAAAGTTTGCACCACTGCTCCGGTATATAGTGTGATTCCAATATTTATCTGGGGGTATTCATTACCTTCATTAACAGTTAAAGTGTTAGTAGAGGACCAATTTTCTAGTCGAAAATGGAATTAATTTTTGTCATTTCTGCCCTCTACCTGACTACGTCATTTTAAAATTACGCCACAATCACGGAATCGAACTTCAAATTATAGCGACGATCACCCGTAAATGCCGTAATGGCGAACTACGCTACGTCGCGTGAAGATTTTCCGGGGTCGCCTAATTTATGTCAAACATGCGCACACAAGTGTCTAGGATTTGAAAGCTGGAAAGTTAAATTTGTTCTGGTCGGCAAGTTCCGTAAAAGTGCCTAACTTCGGATTTTTCAGCAATAACTCGACCATTTATTGTCCGAACAGCACCAAAATTTATCGGTAAAACTTTCATGTGGTACTTAACCTTTCCAGTTGGTCTGCAGGTACGGGTATTAGTAAATGTAATTGAGTGACAGTGTTACGAGCGCCAATATTATTTTCCCTTTTTTGATCCTGTGACATCCGAATAAGTAGTTGTACCGCTGGTACGCAAATCAGATTTTACCAGGCTTCGAGAAATAATTTTGGTTTGTAAATCTTACTATTTCCGAAGTATCGTACGCTTCCTTACAATCTACCACATTTTACCAAGTCCGTCTATGTTTCGCCAAAGAACCGTTGTAACTCTGAAGATTTTTACCCCGTGGTTTACATACGATGCCATGTGTTTTCAAATTTTCTGAGGTGTTCCTGTTTTTCCGGCGCATTGCTGGACTTGTTCGAAGATATTTATTTGGGCCAATGTTCACCGTCAACGCCGACTTGCAGTACAATCGAGGCAATTGAAACTGATATACTAATTTTTGAAGTTCGGAACGTTTCTAGTTGTGGGGTCGCGAGTATCTGTAGGCTTCGATTTTATAAAAATTAGGGTCGCGAAAAAAAAAAGTTTGGGAACCACTGCTTTAGACGAGCTGGAACGTATATATTAATTTACGTAAATGAATGTATGTGAGAAATGTTCATACTCTGAGTTAGTGCATTGTCTACTGGAAAGCTGTTTGCCTATGTACACACAACAGTTTTACCCAATGCAACATTTTAATAATGTGATATACCTTGAGCATATGTGCAATGCCCATCAGCTATTCTTATACGATCGAATTTTACACGAATTGAAAGTCTCAGATTATAGAAACTTGAGCAAGGCGACAGGCATTCGCAAAATATGATACTCATATTCAGACGGCGGAGTGATCAGGTGTTATCAATTGGTGTTTTTTCATTTCTATATAGTGACACCCAACTACAACTCGTGTCGCCCATTTATTGGCCAATGTATCACGTCGCTTGACCCCGTTGGGCTGTTGGTGCTGTCACTTAGCAGGATTCTGCCTGATTCGAGCTTCCACTTAACTTCAATGTGTTAGGTATGTCGCTTTATCAAAAATTTTAAGAAAGCTTAGTCTCAGCACGAACCGGAATCCAACGGGAGCACTCGATAGAAAGCTGGTAATACCGACGTGACGATCATGCACTGTCAATCGTAATTAACCTTCTGTTCAAAAATCTAATACACCGAAGAGTTAAGGTTTCAAAGATTTTATTCCGGAACTGACTGATTTTAGAGGTTTTAAAATGTTTTATTAGCTTTAAGGGACCTTTTATCAGCCGATTTTTTTTGCCATTCAGCCTATTGCTCTTAGCACAAATTACTTGCAATAACGGCGAACAATATCTTCAAAAAAGTTTAGCAACGGGTAATACGAACACCGCTGCAGTTGGACGACTTTGTCTTAGCGTCTATCTTTCGAACAGACATTTAGATTACTAACGTAACTTTTCACCTTCTTCTGTATATATATGTATTTATTCATACGTAATAATGCACCTGGGTGCAAATGTCCATGGGCGCATATGCCGGCGGTTACAAAAGTATGCAGGTGCAAATGTCCTGGGTGCAGTTTGTGGGTGCAAAGATAATGGAACCGCATGTTATGATATCCCAGATGTTATAACTTCATTTTTTAACCAAATGCGCTCTTGATACGCCCTTCCAAGTTGGTGACATTGATAATTATTTTGACATTGATAACATTGTTCAATTACATTACATGTCAAATTGAAATATTTTAATTATTCAGTCGAATGGAAATGTAACTTCAGAATCAATAAATTCTAGATGCGAAAAAATGCAATTTTCGTCCAATTAACTTTTATCAATTTATTGTAGCTTATACCAACTCATTGTTGTTGCGTGAAACGACGAAGAAAAATTCTTGGATATAAAAAACTGTTTATATACATGTTAAGATCTTCGTATTTAACGTTGGATGTTCTTTATCATTGAAATAATTTCTTCAGCTCGAAATCATCTGAATAAATAATACAAAAGTATTCACCCAACTTTTCTCATCATTTTGCGGTCAATTTATTTTAAATATAAGTTTAGAAAATGGACAAAATACTGATACTCTACATTTCTTGTATATATAAATACCTGAAAATCAAGTGATGCACATTCAAGCAGGCCCCTTGGTCCGCCATCTGTCAACAAGATATGAATTGACTATATTTATTTAGTCTTTATATGAACGATAAACATAATCAATCTTACATATACATAATATGTATTAGTGTGTAGTTTTTGGCCCTAGCGCATGCTTGTCATAAAACTGCTTAAACGAAATAAATTCTAAGCCTAAGTTTAGAACTATTATTTAACACCAATCATATAAAGATAAAATGCATACTTACGTACTACAGGCAATACCAACATATTGACAACAATAACGAGCAACAGTATTTGATGAAACATTTTGGAGATGATATCCCCCATAAATGTATTTTAGGATTCTGGAGAAATTCAAATTAAATTTTAAAGGCTATACGTGGACTAACTAATTATTGCAAATCTGTTTGGGCTTTTTCTTTATTCAAAATAAAATACCTTTAGATGATTAAGATAATTACGACTTACTCGGAACTTAGAAACTCGGTTTTTCATAGAACTTTGATAATTCACCTTTACGCAATTTCTGCCCTCTCTCACAAGTCGTAATTTAACATAACGTCACGCTAATAACCGAATTGCGTAAGTCATTTTTAGCAGTTTTGGGAAAAACGTAAAAAACTTCCCAATGATATTGATATGCCATTGAGAGTCAATAATTTGCCATGGTTCAATTTTTTGATCGTAGCCGGATTTAAGTTAATTTGTATGACGCAGGTAAGTGACGTCATAATGGCGCACTGTGACTTAGGCAGAAATGTGTCTATGACTTGGAGACATACGCAATTTTGCAACTTTACTATATGCACCAGTCCTGAAAACTAAACATTCCAAAAACGATAAATTCTCAGTTTCTACAATGTCTAATCCCAAAAATAGCTAATCAGTTTCAATTACATTATTTTTTATGTTTAAAAATATATATTTCATCAATATAACACGTTCTGCACACCCACCGAAATAAGACTAAGATTAAATATAAAGAATAAAACAGCAATGCACCCAATATAAAAGCCAACCAAGGTGAATTGGACTCGGACGGTGAATATCACAAGTGCACGTCTTCCTATACTGTACTATAAATTTAAATTAATTTGAGCTAAGCTAAAATCCGAGGTGCAAAAACTCGAAAATACTTCGCCGAGGTTATTTTGCTTTTGTGACGTCACAATAGTCCTGCGGTAACAATGATGATTCATTATGACGAAACAATTGCACAAATGTGCATGTCATACTAAATCTCCATTTTTATGGGTTTCGGAATTCTAAAAAAAAAATCTGAGTTAACAGACATTACATAAATACCTATTTTATAAAAAACTCAAAATCGCCAAAAATGACTGACGCAATTCGGTTATTAGCGTGACGATAAGAGGCTTTTAGATACACCTTCACGACATTTTTTTCTCACATTCCAATTTCACACTAGTTATTTCATTTATAACTTATAACATATGAGATAGTTATCCCGAAACTCTATATTTATGCCGTAATAGAACTGTGGTCAGTGGGATGTTGCCTGTTTTTCTGCCTCTTACTGTTCTGTCTCGGTACATCAACATATGCGCACACTTACAAATTAAAACGACTATAAGATATGTTTCGAGGTTGATTACATCAATTTTCACGATTGAAACGCTTTTCGATCGTGCATAAGAAAGTTAATTGATTCTTGCGTTTGTGCAAAAACTAGGGTTTTGTTTTTAATCAATTCTAAAAAAAACATCTTGTTTTCAAAACAAAACAGATCCACTCTCAACAAAGCAATAGAAAAAAATGCCCGATATGTGGAGTAATGAGCAGCCTGTCTTGAAAAGATTGGAGATATTTCTTCATCGTCTTATAGCAGATTTATCACACCCCAAGAATGGCGATAAAAATGTGCTTGGATATAGGATTTCTAACACAAGGCGTCAATATTGGTTCGGTATACCCCAAAATAGTCGGAAAATATTCTGGGCGGTTATTAGTTCTCCTAAACACAGTGGCAACGTACCACGTATGATACAAATAAGCAGTTACTTGGCCCACATTTTCCATTACGACTATTACAATACTCTTTCAAAAATTCACATAGCACATTATTTCAATTTTCACAGAGTAAAAACTGTTTAAATAATTATGGCCTGTTTATTCATCATTCATCTAATTCTGTTGAAATTATATTTCTATGCAACTTCACGAAAAACACGTGTTTTCACCGTAGAATATAGGCATACCTGTTAACGTAAATACAAATAGATAATCAGGTAAAAACAATCATTCATTTTGCCATGGGATAGAAAATTCATGTGTCTCATACTTACATTGCAAAGACCGGAAAAACTTTTGACCATATTTTCCTATTCCGCCCTATTGCCAGAAGCTTACTCATTCTTTAAAATAACGGGTCTTTAAAGTTCTATTTATTTTCAAACTTTCCGAAGTTAGAATCCAAATTCTTACATCTCGGGAGATGGGTATTCAAGAATCATCAAACTCTTGGTTCAAGTTTCGACCGGAATTTTTGCCGAAGAATTAGAGGCATTGCAAGGTTGAAGCCCGAGTCGAAAGTTTTTTCCTTTCTTTTGAACAAAAGAAAACAAAATCTTTTTAATAACTATTATATATGACAAATGTTCATAATTAACAGACTTTTTATTAATTTTCACCAGGCGGACACAAAAGAGGGTTTGGAGGAGAGGCAACAGATATATTATCTAATTCCAGGTGAATAAATGAAAGAATAGATAATACATTCTAGGTCTAATAATATAAAAATAAATCAAAAATTATAGAAAATACGTTTACACCTCATTTATTATTATTATTTCTTTCGGAAGACATCGATAGTTTATTTTTTCAGTAGAAGACAGTATACAGCTTTGGTTGAATATTTAGGCGATCGGGATTAGATATATTATTATTGCAAAAATTTTCACATTCTTTTTTCGTGTTTTACTTTTTATTTCATTATTTTTGTGCAAAATCCAAATCATTTCCAACTCATTAACCATTCCAACGCATTGTATACTTTTACTTACTTGCGTATTTTGGAATTATCCCTAATGTTGAATTGAAGCCGTCATTTTGATGTTAAAATAAATTCAAGAGCCCTAAACTTATAATATGATAATGAGTGTAGATGTTGCATTTGTGGAGTATGTTGCACTTAAATCTACTCAAATATTTAATTCGAGGTTATTGATTGCGATTACAAATCTGTATGACTGTAATACATTAAGTGAATAAAAGATTATCAAAATGAGTGTTAATACATTAAGATAATATCAGCAAACACCTACCTATCTGTTTCGGCATTCTAAAAACCAGTAATATGGGATGATAGGACTTGAAACACGCACACAAAAGGTGCATAAATCAGCATGCTTTGGTATAACAGAAACATTAGTTGTGCACTTTATTTTTCATTTATTTTTGCGTATTTTCAACGGTTTTGTTACACTCAATCATAAAAAGTAGTTTCTTACATGAGGAATTTAAACTTAATAGTGAAATAAGCTCACTGGCTATCTAAATTATTATTGATTTCTTCATTGCATAAGACAAGTGATAGTATTAATTGCCCAGAAGACTGAAATATGTAGACATGTATACCGACGTCTTTTTCGACAACATCGCGTGTTATAAGTCAAAGTCCAAAAAAGTATTTCGCCGAAATCGACTAATAACAACACGCGTTATAATTTATTAGATGAAGAATAGTTTTTATCCTATAATAGCGCCATGCTATTATTGTAATGCCCCTTAGTCTATTAGGAGAATAAAGTTATATCTTATTTTGTTTCCAGGTATCTGCTTTTATTTTATATATAAATTTTATGCTTTTTATTTCTGACAAAATTATTGTCAATTATGTTTTTATTAAATAAATTTTTCAAGATTATATATATCGTTTCCAGGCTCTTTGAAGGTAAATCAAATCAGATAAATATAGTAAATCCCTATCAGTGCATATGTGCAGCGGTGCAAGCTTGTACATAGTTTTATGTCAAACTAAGGCAAATCAGTATTTTGATTTCATAGCTGCAGCATGATGCAACCACCATGTCATATTTCATGATGTCATTATAGACAAATACGTAACGATGGCGCAATCGATGACGCTGAGGCTCCAATATAAAGCAGCGCATTGAAATTTTGCTGTCACTTGTCTCGCAAGAAACAGACTGAGAAAAACAGGGGTCGAAATGAACGCTTTGTTACTTGACTACCGCAGCTATTGCCATTTCGAAGTGGAAGGTAGGTATAAATAAAGTATTGCGACGATGGTGAACTTGAAATAAAATAATGGATCATTAAATACAATTATTATTTAAACAACGTGAAATAGGAAAATAATCGCTATCCGGCAGAATGTCGCGGCAAAACGCTAGACAAATATAAATTATGAAGATTGAACTATGGGCAAACTGTGTTTGGATTGCTTTAATATACGACTGACCGAAATAGTTCATGTCACCCAATCAACACGAGGTTGCTGATTGTTATGAGCAAGGAAACTACTATTTGGGCCAACTGTTTATCTGCTTCGTGCCGCCGACAACAATCGGACACTTTTGGAGCGTGACGAAGGCGACGATTGTTTATATTAATTATACTCCTATGGTCGAGTGACAGTGCTGTGTAGGCGAGAAATAGTGGTCACTACAAGATGGCAAAACAATCGTTAACTAGGTAGCCCATGAAACTAATAACAGTATATGCGAGGAAAATTTTTATGTCGAAATGTGAATCATGCCGAATTGTGAATCAAACCAACTTCTTTAACATACATTTTCCTTTTTTCCAGTAATAATTGATCGAAATCACGAATATATATTGTTATCTTACCCTAATGACTATGTATAGTGAATACGGCATCGACAGCGTATGGCTTTGTACAACAGTATTCGTTTTCCTTGGCACATATTACTACATGAAGAATCGTAACAAACGCAAATGCCTTCCGCCAGGTCCAACAGGTTTACCTTTGGTCGGATACATTCCGTTCATGGGGAATCATCCACCACGAAAATACGTTGAGCTTGCAAAGAAATATGGACCTGTATTTTCTGTCAATATCGGTTCTGAAACATATGTGATTTTGAACGATTATGAATCAATACAAGAGGTACTATTTTTTGCTGCAATATATTTGATTTCAAACTTGGCTTTGACAATGTTAATGCGTATAATTTGCTTTACAAGTTATAGATATATATGGTTGTTTTCTTTTCAGGCTCTCGTGAAAAACGGTCATGCATTCTCAGGACGTCCTCAGTTTTACGTTCTTCGGAGGCTCACAAATGGTTACGGGATTATTTTCAGAGATTTTGATGAACATTTCAAAGAACAGCGAAAATTTACATTAATGACTTTAAGGGGGTGAGATAAATACTGATTAACGTTTGTTTTTTTCAAGTGTATTAATGATATCTCATATGTCGATATATCTGTGACTGCAATCAAACAAAGCAAATACAGAAACGCCAGATTTAGTGCATTGTAAAGTTTGTTCTGTTAGCTTTATGTTTGTTTTTGCCTTCTGGTAAAGTATATTTATTGTTGCTCTTACTTTACACATGCTGCTGAAGCGTCTCACCATGTAGCGTCCCGTTCGGCGCATAAATTACCTGGTTTTCGAGCCATCTGAGCGAGTTTGTCGATTTCGTAATTTGTGATCATAATTCCACAATGTACTTTATGATATGTTCCACTGATATTTGAGTATTAAAAACATAGCAACGACAACAGTTGAGTACTATCTTGCATTTTTTTCTAGTTTCGGTGTTGGAAAACGCAGCATGGAAGACAGAATCACAGAAGAAATTGAATATTTTACCGATTTGATTGCATCTTACAACGGCAAGTCTTTCAATTGCCAGGTTCGTACAATAAAAAACTTCAATTGGCAAATTTTATGAAAATATAGATGGAAAGCAATATATCGTTTTTCACTGGTGACCGTACATTTGAACCCATGTACATTTGAACCCATGCGTATATCCACGGGTTCAATCTATATGCAGGTGCTAAAACCCATGGGTTAGGGTTAGTATGGGTTTAACTATCCGTGACACAAAAAAAATTCCATAGGTGCAATAGCATACAGGTGCAATTGTCATGGGTTCAAATGTACGTGGGTTCAAATGTAATGGAACCTTTTTCACTATATAACTGTGTGTCATGTCATTTATAACATGGTGAACAACAACAGTTGCATCAACACACGTCATTTGTGATGCTGTAATTTCCGAAACATGGAAACACGGGGATAAAATAGACGGATTATTATTCTGCGCATAAAGCATTAATAATTTCGCCGAAGTTATCCTTTTCACAACCGCTCAAAATCATAGTATCACATACTCGTTCTTCCAGGTTTACCCTGATAGGATCATAGCTTCAAGCAAGTAATTGCTGCTATTTTTAGAACACTCATCTGCTACGATGCCTCATTCATATAGATATGATCGCCTAAGTGCGCTAATTCATTAACTGTATAAAAATATTATTATATTTCTGTGGTCATCTGATGTCATTCTCTTTTGCAGACTGTTTTGTCAACCTCGGTTTCAAATGTTATATGTAGTATTGCTATGGGGTCCAGGTTCTCCTACGATGACGAAGTTTTCAAAGAAATGGTTCAAATGCTCAACAGAGGGTACGGTTTTTTGGTAACTATAGAAACAGCACAAAACGATTTTGTAATGAACAATATATAAATCTAATTCTTTATTTGATCACGCGCATAATCTTATCGAAATTTATGAACTAAATTTGGTATATACATTACATATATATATTTGCTTGCTGTGTAAATATATCAATATATCACATCCTATCGTTTATTCATTGATACAGATTTGGTGACAAGAGAGATGCAATACACCTTGCCTTGTTGACATATGCTCCGGGACTAAGACATTTTCCAATTCTTTCTGGAGCCTTCAAACGTATGATCAACGACATTGAGAATGTGTTAGGTAAGTATTATGAGTTCTTCAATTTGGTGGAAAATATCCGGGGCTCCGGTTGCCGAGTTTCAAATGTCAATTCCAACCTCTTCTGTTGTAGAGAAATTCGTATCCGAATATTATTGTATTCTACAATTGTACTTTGATATAAATTCATAGATATTCTCAAGTTAATTGTAATTAGCAGCTAAATTGTGATATAAGAATAGGACGCTAAACAAGCATTCATTTCATATTGAATTATTATTTCAGCTGTATTCAGAGACATAATTGAGAAACATCGCAAAACTTTTGACATTGATAACACTCGTGACTACATTGATGAATATCTTAAACAAATGGAACTAAGAGGCGAAGAGAAATCTTCATTTAAAGTAAGTTGGGATTTGAAATGTTATTTTATTTTGAAAAGCTTAACGGTTATCGAATATTCAGACAAAATCGGACTGACTGTGGAATTTGCAGAAAAACAATCTCTTACTGAGTGTATGAGGAGCGGAAGAGTCAATTATGGGATTCATGTTATAACTTATCTTTCTAGGAAGAACAGCTTCTTCAAACAATGCGAGATTTTTTTCTTGCTGGAACCGAAACAACATCTAGCACTCTGAGATGGTGCTTTCTATGCTTTGCCCATTATCCAAAAATACAAGAAAAAGTTTCAAAAGAAGTAAAACAAGTCATTGGTAAGAATTGTATTCAGTTTATTTATCATGTATTTATGTGTTGAAACACTGTCATACCTTTGACTGGAAGCATAAGATCGATATGGCATATGCGGCAATTAAGCTTTGTCATGAAGGCATTTTGATAATGCTCTTCTAGCCTTAAAATTTAATAGTAAAATTTGAAAAAAATCGAATTCGTTATCCAGGGTCTGGAGTTCCTTCGATGAGTCACAAAGAAGCTATGCCGTACACTTGTGCGTTCATCCATGAAATCACGAGACACAGAACACTAGTACCTTTATCAGTTCCGCACATCACGACAGAAGACGTGGAATTCAGAGGATACAAAATACCAAAGGGAACACCGGTAAGACGTTATCAGCCATTTTTTAAGGTTTAAGGTTTTCTATAGATTCACTACAATATTGGCTTTTGATAGGCTACTGGTGTGTAAAATATACTATGTGTATATAGTCTAATTAATATGTCTATGGTCCTAAATACTAAACTTTGTTCAGGTACTGCCGAACTTATATGCCGTGAATCACGACCCAAACGTCTTTAAGAATCCGGACGATTTCAAGCCTGAAAGATTTATTGATGACACCGGGAAATTTGTTCCAAGTAATCAAGTGGTTCCGTTCTCTGTTGGTCCAAGATATTGTCTCGGCGAACAACTTGCAAAAATGGAACTCTTTCTTTTCTTAACCAACATAATACAAAGATTTGAAATCGTACCTGATCCTGAAAAACATCTTCCCAGTTTTCATGAGAGTATTATCGGAATGGCCGAAGCCGCCTTACCATACGAAGCATCATTTCGACAACGATGAAGATTTTTTGTTTCCCAACTTTTCTACCTTCGGCATATGTATGTGTAAATATTTTTTATATGCTGGTATATGTTATTGAATGTTTACCCGTTAAAAATTGCTACTAATAAAATAAATTACCATTTAAAGTGTTCACGGCAAATGCATTGGACATAGGTTATGGAAGTCGAAAATAATTAAATACCTTTTGAAAATTTGATTTTGGAAATACGGAGTTACTTTTGGTGCCGCTTTCATGGCATCTGATTGTATGTTTATTAGGGTAGATTGATTTCGTTGGCAGCGTTATTATTTATATTTACCGGTTTCTACATGAAAAATTATTCAATTGTTTTCAAAAATGTAATGTTATATATATCCACGAGGTTGTTTGAGGTGTCTCTCTCAGGGCATGTGATCGTATTCTCATGTACTGGCGCAGAGACATTGGAAATTAGTGCATTTTTAATAAATTTACAAACTCTAAAATGGAATTTCATCGTTTTCGTTCAAACATATTTATGTTGCCATGCATCGGAGGTTATTCGGTTCTATTAAACATAATATACATTATAATTTCGTGAAGTTGCGTGTAGCGGTGTTTTTAAAATTATCATGTGAAGCATTCAACATTTAATTCAGTAAGTCAGATAAAATCATCGGTTTGTTATGTTCATGGTGTTTATACATTGAACTATTGAATTGTGGATTAGTACTCATTAAAAATAAGGTTAGGAGGTATTTGTTTGCTAGGCTTCATTGCATCGGTATATTGCTGAACAATTTCAATGACAATGCTGGAAATTGATTTATATTTTAAAACATCCTCATGGATATTTGATCTTTTTTCAATTGCTTTATGCATGCTACTTCTGAAATAACAAGAATTCAGCATCCCGTTTTTACAAAATAGAAAACTGACTGTATCACAATACTCTTGATTACTATAAAACTGTTGTGCCATCAGAGGAAATTATGCCAATGAATCTAATATATCGAAAGCACTCCGCTCTAAATTAGAATAACTTGAAGACAGTTTTCCGAATCTGATGATGGGGTTTAGAAAATCTTAACAGTTTAGATAACTTGTCTGGGGTCAGAGCTGTCTTAAACAAATCTAATCGGCGATAAATAAACGTGACCCCATCCTGCAACTCTGTGCAGCCCTTCTTTCATGTTATCAATGTAACTATTTGACTAACCTAGCACACAGAAATGTCTGAGCAGAGTTTCCATCCTCCAACCCGCCTACAATTTATCTCCCAGTTTCCCCTTCTCTCTGCATCTGCTGGAAACTTGAATTATCGCACCGAAAACGGTGGCCAATTTTCATTGTTGCGTAACTTAGGTATATTATACATTGGCTTTGGTCGCGAAAGTAGCGGGCTTAGAAAAACAGAGCTCAAATTAATGCTTTGATACTGTACTACCTCAGCTATCCGAATATTACCTTTTTGAAGTGGAAGATCGGTTTAAACTTTAAATTAAACCAAAGTATTGCGACGACGATAAAATGAAATTAGTAGATCATGAAATTCATTTGCCATTTCAACAACGTAACATAGGAAAATACGTAACAATCGCTATAAGGCAGGATGTCACGACAAATATTAATAGACCAAAACAGTAGATAACACTAGATTATGGAGACTGAACTATGGTGAACTGCGTTTTGGTTACTTTAATATTCGACAGGCCAGAATAGACTATGTCATCCAATCAGCCGGATATTTCTGATTGCTCCGAGCAAGGAAACTAACTTTTAAAGTCAAAGTTTATCTGCTTCAAGCCGTCGACGGCAAATGGACTTTCAGAGTGTGACAAATCCGACGATTGTCCAGAATCAGATTAATAATACTTTGGACCAGGGTTGCCATATTGGCTTTTTTAACGCCAAATTTGCCATTTTTGGCTTTTTTCAAACGCGTTTGGCGTCAGAATTTCTATTTGGCTTTTTGGCGTTTTTTTGGCTTTTTTCAAGTCTAATCTAGTGTCTATTATTAAAATCATATGGAATACAATATTTAGTGTGCTTAGCTACTTAACATTAGGATTTCCTGGAGCATCGATTTCCTTGTTTGTTACATCAACTCTTAACCATATCCTACCCAATAAGAAATAATTGCAGTTTCTGCAGCTGCTCAGACAGATGTTCAAGCAGGGTTGTAAACATTGCCTCGTTTTTATAGTTTTGCCCATTTGTCAGTTTTACATTCTGTTTCCAAAAAATAGTTGTATAACTTAATTTTCATTATGCCTGATATGGTTTATGTGAGCTTCAGTTTAATTCTGCAATTGCAGTAACGATGTGATTAACTACGCTAAAATTACTGAATTAGATATCAGTTGTCCACCTGTGAGCGGCAGGGGGTTAGATAATTTTTTTTTTAAATTGATGGTTTATAAATTTTGAAAGTGAAAAAATTTTCAATAGTAAAGCACGATGTACTGATATAGGGAGAATTTTTTAAGGTAGACTATATCACAAGTTTAAGTAGAAGCATGTAGGTATATTACATACTGACATTGAATGGTAAAATGATGATGTCCGCTTGATATTTATTTTACTTTCTACAGTTCTATAGGAACTTTACTTTCTATTTGTGTGCCTCACTGAATGAACTGATGGCTCTACATCATCATCAGTACGTTGCTAAGCGTTTAAAATCTGACAAATCATGAGGCTTTTTCTGGCTTTTTTATGTCTTGATTTGGCTTTTTTTGATCGCTGGGGTCTGGCAACCCTGCTTTGGACACGGTGGGATGCTGTAGGCAAGAAATAGTGGTAACTGCAAGAAATCAGAATTATCGTTAACAAGATAGTCTATTAAACTAATAATAGTTTTCACATTAGGAAAATTTTCATGTCGAAATGTGTTCGGAAACAATAGAATGGTAGATCATGTTAACCTAGTACCGTAATAATTGATCGAAATCACGAAGGTATATTGTTATCTTACCCTAATGACCATGTATAATGAATACGGCATCGACAACGTGTGGCTTTGTACAACAGTATTCGTTTTCCTTTGCACATATTACTACATTAAGAATCGTAACAAACGCAAAGGCCTTCCAACAGGTTTAACGTTGGTCGGATACGTTCCATTCATGGGGAATCATCCACCACGAAAATTTATAGAGCTTGCAAAGAAATATGGACCTGTATTTGCTGTCAATGTTGGATCTAAAACATATGCGATTTTGAACGATTATGAATCGATACAAGAGGTAACAGTTTTGTTCTTGCTTCTAATAAATCCCTTCAAATTTGAACTAATGTAATTCTATGAAAAAAAAAATGAGTGACGAAAGTAAAAAACGCATTTAAATATTGTATTGAGCTTGCTTGCAATGGATGCTTCCTTGACCCCAGCTCATCTCGAAATGGTTTTTGCTAGTTGGTAGCCTACCTACGAACTGGTTTACTTGTTCAAAACTTTCGTTTTTATTCTAGGCATTGAACTGTTTGCCATTTAAAGGTACTAGTAGCTAATTTTAGTCCAATCTATCGCCGCTTTTACCGTACCAATATTGGATTACTACAAATAAACTAAAACTTCGCGGAAACATAATGACTATTAAATCATTTCAACCACACCTAGATTTTTGGAAGTCAACTAAACCTAAAAACTGGAAATAACCGGAAAATCACATAAACGAAGCAATGTTTACGTATATACTTGTCTGAGCGGTTGTACAGATTGTTATTGTTACAGCATCGTTAACGATTGGTCATCGTCATGGAAGTCGATCATCTATTCTAGACCCTCAGTGTTCTCAGCAAAAAGTTGTTTGTGAACCCCATTAAAAACTTTTGCTTAACAATTTGCAACTGATATAGATAGAGTTTCTTTTTTTTTCATGCTCCCGTGAAAAACGGTCATCATTCTCAGGACGTCCTCAGTCTCATGTTCTTCGGCGGCTTACAAATAGTTACGGGATTATTTTCAAGATATTGATGGGCATTTCAAAGAACAGCAAAAATTTACATTAATGACTTTAAGGTTAAGGTGGTGAGATTTTCATTGAATATATAGCGATTGATCTTTGTTTTCTATATAGTATTAATATATTGTCTGGCGCTATATACCTGATGCTGCAAACAAGAAAATCAACTGCAGAAACGCCAGTTTCAGTGAACGATAAAGTTTCTTCTGTTAGTTTTATGTTTGTTTCTTCCGTGGTACAGAATATCTACTATTGCAGTTTCGTTACACATGCTGCTAAAGCGTCGTCATTATTTAGCTTCCCGTCCGGCAAGTAAATTACATTGTCTTCGATCGGTATGTACATGGAGTGTATGTATATGGAGTATACAAAATACCTCTACATTTATAAAAACAAGAGACCAATGATCAGATATAGCGACACGAAAGCCAAAAAAGCAGTAGTCTACCGCACCTTCCACAGCACCTTACTCTACCTAGTCCACTGTTCGGTAAGATCGGAAAAACTTCCGACCTTTGCGTAGCACGAGTGAGGTCGCAGGGCCGCGACAATTACTTTTTATTAGCTTTAAAGAGGTTATCACACAAATTTCAAAGTGAAAAACGAATCATATAGAACTCCAGAATATTTTAAAATAAACAAAGACAATACCCTTCTAGCGAAAAATACGATTTTAAACCACTGAAAATTTCAAAGCAATTGGTCCAGTAGCTAGTGAGAAAACCGATTTTTTCATACCGATAAGAAGAAAAATACCAACAACAACAAAGCGATCCATATTTACACTTCGTGTACAATAATAAAGTACCAGCAATGAATAAGTGAATAGCATAGCTACCTTTAGTCATTCGTAATATTTTCATAATCTAACTTCTTCAGATAAAACAAGATATGGCTGCAAATGTTTTGTTGTGTTTGTTTTAGAATCTTTTTCTTTGAGTTTCATTACGCTGATTCTTAGTGATTGCCGGGTTCTCATTGTGCTATCGAAATGATTGGTGACTGGTATTGCAGCTTTTTTCCGGATATCCCTTATGTGGTCCGAGATCCTGGTTTTTCATTTTCTTCCACTTTCACTTACGTACTGCAATTAAAATTTTTTGCACGTAATCCAATATATGAAATTTTTTTGTATTGCAGCAATACGGAATAAAATATGTCCAAATCAACTACTAACCAAAAACAGGCCCTGTTCAAGCGATACACCAAAATTTACCCTACCCAACAGCATCTTTTTTAAACGACGCTTAGTCACGCTGAACAAGGCCCTGAACAGTGCAATCTGCGATTTCAACTAAGGTCTAATAAACCAAGGTATACGAATAGGATACTATAGGTATACTATAATGCATTCTGTACTCTGTAAGTCAACAGGCGACCCACGGGCTGAAGTTTGTTATATGGCCCACCGACAAATATGTTTCACAGCTCTATTGTAGTCTGATTGTATGAATATAGTCTTGATGAATTTGGTGGCAGATTACTGTGATATTTATATAATAGGTAAACTTCCCCAAAAATCCGATTATTAATAAAACGTAGGCTACTCCATAGACGCTTCTAACGAAAAGGGAATTTATGACCTTGGATATTTGTATATATATCAAGAAGTAGAACAGCCTCATGATGGCACGAACCGATACTGAAATACTATAATATGGGATATAGGCATATAGCACATCTAAAATCGATAGGTTGTATGCATTTCATATATTTCAGAATGCGACACGAGTAAAAGGGTTATTCTCTTAGCCGTGCCTGAATTTCTCCCACTGTCACGCATTTCCAAGAAATCATGTACACTCTTCAAGTAAAAGCGTACTTGAAATTTCATTCTAATTTTCTGAAATAGATTAACGCAGTGTTTTCCCTAACATATATACTGTATTAACGGTCAGGGAATCTTGGTTGAAAATGCTAAAATATACGATATATATTAATATAAATGAAGTACCCAGTTACACAACTAAACACGAAAATAAGTAGATGCGAAGCAACTAATTCGAACGGCATTGCATCTCGTATTTAAGTTCGGCAATCTTCATTCGAAAAAATTATTTAATTGACCTATTTATTTCACAACAGAGCGTACAGGTGTAGTAAAATTCTTGGATTTGACGATTCTTTGTCTGCAACGCATTTTTATTTCGAATGACATGGTGTTAAATACAAAACTAGGTATTTTTATATGAAAGAAGGGGGCTGTGGGTTATGAAAGTTTAAAAACCACTTGAATAAAAAAATTACTTATAGAGGGTCATATAAACGATCGATGTCCATCACTGATTTTCTACAGATTGTGGCATGACGCGGTATAAAAAACGTCGACGGAGACTAGGGTTGCCAACCATGAAAAGTTTCAATAAAGGACATAGAATAACGCCATCATTTATTTTGTAACTTGCATAAAAGAACAATATAGAACAATGAAATAAAATTTTTATACGAGCTTAAGAGATATGTTAAAACAATCTTCATGTGTTTTACATTTAATGTTTATTTAACATTGACCCAAACAATGTTAATGAAATTGTTATTTCTTTGGCTAATTGAGCCAGACCAAAGCGAAATTGAAAAAAAATTTAAACTTGCAAATACATGAACGGATGCGGTTTCTAAGAACGGAACAATATCAAACACAGTACTAAAACTATCGGGCGAAACGACGTTGAAAGAATTAAGGACGATTAGCATATTTTCTAAATGCTAAAAAGAACAAGGACCGAAAACTTAATTAACGGATTGTCCTTTGAAATAAAGGACGGTTGGCAACCCTAACGGAGACTCACAATATAATTTATGAATGTGAGTTAGGAATGTTTGCAAGTGTGCAAATATTTTTCTACAAATAATCAATATCCATTTATACCGTATTTAGTTTTGTTGTGCGGAATTTTAGTGGTTTCACGTGGCAGTCATAATCCAAATGACCTGAACAATGAGAATATTGTTGTAAAGATATTACAGAGTTAAAACTGAGCTATTATTTGCAAAAGTATGTCCTTCAACATTACCTAATGAATACAGAGGTCGTGATCGGTGGTTCAATTTGTGAAATTATCCAAAGTTGAGGTGTTGACATAAGCCCGGGGGTATTGGATTATCCACAAGTTTTGCTACTGTTTATGATGATTTGTTGCCGTAAAACAGCGGTACAAATATTTCGTCGTAATATTTGTTACGTTGCTGCCAGAAATTTTGGATTAGTCGGAAGCGATCGCTTTTTGGAACCTGTATTTCCATCGGTAAGCAAACTTGGAAACATGCATGTGATTTGCCATTTTTCGTTAACTCGACTGCGTAAACATGACTTGACGAATTGCATATGTCAGTATGTTATTTTTATTACCCGATACTGCGATAAGTCGCAGTTGATGCGCTTTATATATGGCCTTTTCCGATATTATGACACAGCCTTCCGTATTTCAAAGGGAAAGTACAATCATGAAGTAAGGTATTGCTATACTCTGTTCTGAAGGTGTTAGTCAGGGTAGTGCTGTAGTGCTTTACACTGATCACAGTACAGTACTAGTGAATTTTGTGATGTGTTTATGTCTTTATATCTCATTTTTATCCAAAAAGTGCTGATGTAGCTAATTTAAAATCCACCAGATTCTAGAATTCAGGAATTAACTGAATTATTTATTGATGTATTGAGATTATGTGAATACAGGAATAGTTGATTGGTATTAAGTTCAGTATTATTGAGTATAGTTTTTATATCTATAGCTGCATTATTCTAACTGATTTGCTTTTCAACTATTTAACTTAGTGAACATGATTTTGAAATATCCTATTTGCTTTTTATTAAGATTAATCTTTCAATATCAAGAAAAATGTCTAGTAAAATCCGAGGAACGAAACGACTGGAAGGAACTGATGAAAATGTTTGGTAAGTGGGCCCCACCCTAATCTTTCTTCGGACAAACACAAAAAAAAACCTTCAAAAGTTGTGTATTTGATTCACTGCAGCCAATCGAACAATGATAAACGATTTCCCAGTTCTGTATTTGGCCATGATCCTGCATGAGGCATTGAAGGATAATTAAAGTTACTTGTAGTATTGGTGCACTGACCATTGCTATTCAGATAGCATCAAATGCATCGTAGTCATGTCCCGCATTTCATATGATTTTGCACATGATATTTATTTTGGCAGCAACTTTCAATTTAGATTATATACCTTTTAATTTTTCCCGGAAATTTCGTTTGCTCACTGATTCTTGCATTAATTTTTATTTATTCATTTTTTCATCAATTTTATTATATTTTACATTATGTTATGCTGATTATAGAGTTAAAATAAACTTATACTTATCTGAATTTTGAATAATCTTATATCATTCAGGAATGTCTATACAAAGATGGCAGCTGATTTCAAGGCAGTCAATGTCGGGCAAGGATTTCCAGACTTCAGTCCTCCTAATTATGTGAAGGAAGCTCTTGCGAATGCAACTGCCGGAGACAGGCATATTTTGAATCAATATACTAGGGGTCATGTAGGTTGATTTTACAATTCTTGATTGTGAAATTAGAAAATTGAATTGAGGATTTTCTCTTTAAATTTTTCGATTATGGCTCTTTCTATGTAATCGATGGCATAGCAGATTAATATTCATGCAAATTTATAATTTACTTTTCTTCTAATCAGGGCTGGGGGGCTGGTTTGATGAAATCACAAAGGCCTGGGAGCTTTATTTTTTTTTTTTTGGAGTTGGGCTCCAGCTCCATCTCATTAGCTATTGATGACTAATGTTTTTATCAAGACTTCAAATTTGAAATTGAGTTTTTAAAGTTATTTATACCCCACCTTTCAATTTTTTTCTTTGCCATTCATGTTATTGGGAATAATTCGTTTGTATTAGGATTTTCGTCAACTGTTGGATCTAAATTAAGTTACATTTTAAATAAGAATTTTATCTCGATCCCATTTGAAAGAAAAGTAGTGTTGGACGGCCTAATTATATTTCAAACCATCGCCTCTCATTCGGTTACAAGTCCCTGTGGACTATGAAAATAGTAAACCAGTTATTCGATGCATGGACTTGATGATAAAGGAAGCCGTAACCGACCTGCAGTTAGGTGAACTACCTTGCAATGGCAAGGAGTCCAGTAATCCTCTCGCACATAATTATCCTGGACAAGCACAATCAAGATGCTCCAATCGTTGATTTGTTATGAAATATCTATGCACTTTGAATTTGCAAGGAGAATCACAATTTGGCATTCTGTAGAGGACCTGTTTATCAAACTCTTCAACGATTTTATTTTTTGTATTCAGGGTCATCCAAGGCTTGTAAATGCTATATCTAAGTTGTTTAGTCCTTTGATGGGTCGAGATATTGATCCCTTGAATGAAGTAATTGTAACAACTGGGGCATATGGTGCTTTATTCTGCAGCTTTCAAGCGTTCATTGAAGATGGAGATGAGGTGTGATTGAATATTTGCTGTAATATTTTAGTATATGCCTTGCTTGCAACATATTTTTCTTGTGTGTTTCAGTAGTCTGTTTTTTTACTCTGATTTTCTTGCATTTCAACATTAATATTTATTGCGAACTATGTGTATAATTTTTGGTTTCTCCTTAGCTTTATAAGCCATCTCTTTTTTTAAAGACATCACAGGTTCAAATTTCAGGTTTAAATCCCATGCCCATCGCCGCATCATAATCGAATTAAATTGAGTAGGCAATTCTGAACTTGAAAGATATTGGTCATTTCAAATTATAATAGCTCCTTATTATTTACCAGTAGATCCATTTTACTCCTTATGCCCATAATATCTCTTTGTTTATTTCAGGTTATTATCATTGAACCGTTCTATGACTGTTATAAACCAATGACATTAATGGCAGGAGGAGTTCCTAAATATGTATCTTTGAGGCCTGTAAGTAATTTTTCACTTTGCCATAGTACCATAAAAATACCAAAAAGAACAACAACAACATCATAACAAAACGATTCATATACACACTTCATGTTTAAAAACTATTTTAATGATGTCACACTTGCTTCAATGATCTTACAACATTACAAACAGTTTTTCTTCTTTGCATTTTTTAGAAAGCTACTGATGGTCAGTCATCAAGCGCTGATTGGGTTTTCGATGAAAAAGAATTGCGATCTGCGTTCAACAGTAAAACAAAAGCAATTGTTGTCAACAATCCTCATAATCCGTTAGGAAAGGTAAACATCCAAGATGTAATCATGTACTAAAATAAGATTTCGAGGAATAAATATGTACAATCGGATTGATGTACTTCTCCTCGTCGTAGTGTGGTTCACATACCCAATGGTCGGTTCTCCTACAATGGTTCACGCTCCCCTAAAATGGTTCACGCAACAAGCAAGTCGCTTTGTCATGAGAATATTTTGGCGACCTGCCTGCAGATAAATGACAGCATGTAATAAGCGCATGAACCTACTACTAATTTAACGAGATAGCGATCGGAGACCACCAATTTATTGACAAAAAAATTAGTTAATTAACAACTTGCTGATTATTAAAAAAATTAAAAAAAAATCAATTAATTAATTGATAACTCCCTAATAACTATCGTTTTTATGTTTCATTTCATTCCAGCTGTACACAAGAGAGGAATTGCAGATGATTGCTGATTTATGTATTGAACATGACGTTCTATGTATTAGTGATGAAGTGTATGAATGGTTACAATATGATGCCAAGCATGTTAGAATAGGTAACTTTCATTCAGTTTTTGCGATCGACTGGGTTTCTGCGAGACTTTTTCTTCTTCTATGCTTTTTCGCCGGTGGATCCTTACAACTATCCTAAGGGATTCAAGAGTCTTGCTGCACACTAATACAAACACATTTCTGTAACGTTTCGGCATACATTATCTAATTACATTTAGTTATTGTCTTTTCAAGCTTAAATATTTGGTGGTGACCATTTTATCTGCTTCAAGTCTCTTGATGTTTGATACCGGAATGTGGGGTTTGCGCTTTTTTATATTGGAGTCAAAGTCTCATAAAAAATAATAGACAATTTTCCAAAGGAACTCAAAATACATCTTGTTGACGAAGCATTATCAAAAGACAATAAAAGAAGGCTTTGATTAACATGTGGTTGATACTGAGAGCCAAAGTCGAATTTAAATTTTTTCAACCCTGTGTCGGTATCATCTTTTGAATTTCTTAATCTTTTTAATATGCTTTCACCCAGCTGGGGTTGTAAAATGTGGTTGTACTTGCCCCATGTGATGAAGGCCTAGTAATTAATTGATAACTGTTTTACAATAAATATTGTACTGATGTTGATTAATTGTTATTTGCTGTAAAATTGAATATATATATTTCTTACTAGGATCGCTACCTGGGATGTGGGACAGAACTCTGACTATTGGAAGTGCTGGAAAAACATTTAGTGTTACTGGTTGGAAGGTGAAATTATAAATATGATATGATAGTATAGCATTATAAATAACCAGTGTTGGTAATTCAAAATTCTAAGAACAGGTTTTCTTTTGTATCGAACTTACTAAAAACTGGTTCCATCATTCAGAAAACCATGCCAAACTTGACGTAAGATAAGATCAGATTTGAATAAATCTAATAAATAACTTTAAAAGGCCGAAGAAATTCCTAGTCATCGGATGCGGTGCACGTTTTACCTGGTTCTATTACATTTGAACCCATGTACATTTGAACCCGCGTACATTTGAACCCACGACAATCGCGCCTGCATACTATTGCACCTATGGAAATCTTTTTGTTTCACAGATATTTGAACCCATACTAACCCTAACCCATGGGTTTTAGCACCCGCATATAGATTGAACTCGCGGATATACACATGGGTTCAAATGTACGTGGGTTCAAATGTACGGTCACCGTTTTACCTATTTGATAACTTCTTCTAATGCCAAAATCAAAAAATAAAGGGCTTTATGGATTATCACAACATCTCAAGACCGGGGTCACTGAGTATCCCCTGAATCTCACTGCATTTTTTGTCACTTATCCATCATTTATTACTTAATGAAGTCTTCTCATTCATAGCTATACCCACTGCCACTTGCCTATGATTCCTACCGCCTTAATCTTCAAAAAAATGTTTTCTCTTGCTCCTGAATATAACTGTATACTTAATATGAAGGGATTGAACTGGCCAGACCTAAAAGTTGCAGCATTTTTCTGCAGAAAACTGTAAAAGGACTGAGCATGTCAGTAAATAGTTAGGATGTTGACAGATGTATTTTGTATTGTGAAAATAGAAAATGTGTTACATTTGTTTTCATAATTAGATTGGCTGGGCAATGGGAGCTCCAGAGTTAATAAAGCACTTGGTTACGGTTTGGCAGAACAGTGTATTTCATTGCAACACACCAGCCGCAGTAAGTATATATTGTTTTGTTGTTATGGAGCTTTAATGAACTATCCTATGATTTGTCTGTCAATTTGCTTTTACATATTCATATCCATGAGATGACGAGGCCTGTTCGCCTGTTTAAATAGCAAGGCCTATCCGCCTGTTTGTCGCCAGTTAGGACTTAGGAGACAAATTTGCACACAGAGTCGCCGAAGAATAACCGAGATCGCCATGGTGACCAATTTAGTCACAATATATTTCTGATTCATGTGGATATATGGTTTTTAAGTTCCAATATATTTAGCTTCTTTTTTTTTCAAATTACATCAGTTATATCTATCTACAGGAAGCTGTTGCTATAGGGATAGAAAAAGAAATGTCTCGTTTCGACTCTCCTGATTGTTATTTTACATCATTGCCAAGAGAATTAAGAGAGAAACGTGATCAAGTTGCAAAATTATTGTCTGAAGTTGGGATGAAACCAATTCTTCCGAACGGTGGATATTTCATGCTAGCAGATATTTCGGGCATAGGTATGTCTTGTTGTATAGTCATGAGATTCATTAACATTATTCTTATTGGCGAATGAACTGTTTCACTGAAACTAGGTGATTATAAATAAACAGGTGTAGTCCAACTCGCAAGAGGTTTCTGTAGCTGACTCAATTTCAGCTCTATCTTAGTCAAATGTTACCTTGACGGATGATAAACAGAGAAGAGCATTTGGGTTTGTCCATTGCCGTGAAATCGGGGAAAATTTACAATCGACTCAGACTTTTAGATTGAAAATTCCAAACTTAAAAAATATTTTTGTCTCCTGTTTCAAACTCATTAGTACATCAAATTTTGATAACGAAAACTTTGGCATATACAAATCTTCTTTGATAGATGGTTGATTAATAGGAAAGTTTAGTCAATTTAATACTTGTTTTAGACTTTTCTGTAGAAAATTTGTATTTCAAATATCAAATTTTATATATTATGACCATCCTTTGGAAATATAAGTATTATTAGTAATTCTGATGCTAAATCCTCTTCATCTATTACAGAGGCAGACTTATCTGGTGAAGAAGGAGAGACTAGGGATGGAAAGTTTGTTAAATGGATGATCAGAAATAAGAAGGTAATAACTAAATTGAATAATTTACGCAATATGGATTATTATTTGGAAACTCTGGAATACTCATAAGAATTACGCAAAACTCTTTCGAAGTTTATAACATGAGAATGCTCATGCACCTACTCACCAGCATACAAGGAATCCGAGAGTAAACACAGACCTAGGCAATCCAAGCTTTGATTAGACTTGAAATATCTCAAATTCTGCCCACTTGAGGGCAAAGAGCTAAGTTATTCACTAGGTACCATTTGCGATGACTGCATCAATTAAAAAAAAAATTCACTATGAATTGTTTGATTCTCTGAATGAGTGACTGTAATGCATTGAAATGCTAACATTGAAAGCGAAACTAAGTATTTTTAGCAAAAAGGGCCAGAAGTATTGGGAATCTTTAAAAGGGGACCACAGCTCATGAAATTTTAGAAACGGGTATAGACCTTTTCAGCTGTCTTTCGAAAACGCTAGTGCTACTCATGCCCTCCTGTTCACTCTGATACAAGGATAATGTCCCGAAAACACAATGTGAGAAAGTGACAAAAATATTCATAAATGTGTATTATAGAAGTGGTTCCCAACCTTTTTTTCAAGCGATCCAATTTTTATGAAATATAAATTCTGTAAAACCTCGCGGCCCAAGGATATGCTCAGATACTAAACGGTATGTAGTGTCTTTATAGCCGAAAAAATTAATTTATTGAGACAAAATAATCATTTTTAAATAACAATAAATTTACTAGAATTTACTGAGCCTTATGCCATCAGCAGGCTTGCAAATCAAGGCGTGGCTTTACTTACCGGTAAGCTAAACAGCAGCCGCCAAATTTTACCCTGTGATACTTCCCATGTAAGCAAGAACTGACTTCATAACAAAATTGAGAGTGCAATGACTTTATGAACACCCTGTATATCTTATGCTCTTCTAATTATCAAATTCAATTTCTCTCTTCTGTTGATTATATGATTCCAAGTCTCTACATAAATGTCAATTTTTATTGTTACAGTTGGCAACAATCCCTGTCAGTGCTTTTTACAGTGCCTCACACAAAAAGATGGGAGAAAATTATATCAGATTTTGTTTCTGCAAGGTAATATTTATAAACCTATATTATTCATTATGATTGGTATAATCGATACTTTCAAGACAAAAAAGAGAATGATGAAATTCCGAATGTCCTTAATTTAAAAATATTGAGAAAAAATAAAATGCTTTTCATGCTGGTATCTAATCATAGTTCGAAGCAATATTCAGCAAAGAATTTTAATGAAATATTACATTTGTTTAAAAATCAAAAAAATATACATTTCGTTATTTAAAACAGCTTTTTAAAGAGTCCCCCTTTTGGGTTAAAGCCCTCGAAATGGTGTTGAATACAAAATGAACGAATAGAGTTTTTTTAGGATGTCTGCAATATCTTGATGATTGTTTAATGCTCATTGCTTTTTTACAATATTTGGGACAAAATTATACTTGCTTTTAATTCCATATCCGTTCCGTCCGAGTTTTGAGACAAGTACGAAAGATGAGTCGATTCAATCATTTGAGTTAAGTCTCACTAGCAATTAGTTGATGACGAGTCTGAGTGGTTCTATTTAGATGACTCACGTCTCACTCGCGTCTATGATAACTGTAACCTGGTCCTTTGACTTGTTTGCACTCAATTATTGTACTGTAAGTGAGTAATCGTGAGTAACGTCGAGTCACATGTCATTTGAGTCCAAAGTCGAGTCGATCCATGAGTTTTGTCTCACTCGAAATTGCTGATGACATTTCAATTTAGATGACGCTATTCGCTTTAAGATTTTGATAAAAGTGACTCGGTCGAGACAGTTGGAACCAAAGGAAGAGTTCAAATATAGCCACACATATCTATGTTTTACATATGTTTTTTTATTAATTCATTCTTTCACATTTTATACAGAGTGATGAAACTTTGAATAGCATGGCTGACATTTTAAAACAGTGGTAAAATAGGGAAACACTGCTTCATTTCAACAAAGGTGGCATAGGGTGTTACTAAAGAAACTCACTTCGCTATGTAATAAGAATATATATCTCTATAATATGAACTTCTATACCTTGTCTCTATTTGCCTTTTACGAATGATAAGCTGGAACGTGACACTGTGTGTTATATTAGTGTATCAGGATTATAAAGAAAGTTCAATATCTGCATATGGAGGTTCTCAGTCAGAGTGATACTTCTGTATTTTGAATATTTTGTTCTATTGTTCATCAAATTATGTTTAGAGTGTTTTAACACTGGTTCAATATGCTTTTCTTGGCTATATACTCATTATTACTTATCGATCTTAAGATCGGTAAGTATGTTGATAGGTATTTGTCTGTCTGTATGTCTGTGTGTTAGATGCACGCGATATCTCATGAAAGCGAGGTTGAATCTGCTCCAAATTTTGCATGTGCATTCATCATAGCTCTGATCAGAAGCCTATCGATATTGGATGGATTATGTCTTATATATTTGGAGTTATTAATTAATTAGTGATGGGACACACGGTGTCACTATGGAGTAAGACCACTGTTTTGGGAGATCCCCTAACCTTCGATCGATAAGTCTTCGGTTTCTAACCGATATTCTAGTTATGTATATTGGTTGGCTTTATTCATAAATCCTTGACTTTGATTAAAAAAATTATTTGTCATGAAAAAATCATTTATTTAAATAGATTACAAAAGTATAGTCATTTTCAATTATGGTTCAAATTTCGAACTTTTAGTATTATATTTAATCTTTTTGTGAGAACTCCTGGAGGTTTTCATAAAACCTGTTCATTAGTTCCAATAAATGTTTATTTGATTAAATTTCTCTTCAATTTCCATGACCCAATTTTCAAATTTAATGTTCTGTGTTATCTAGTTCCATATACAAATATTTTTTTCCCATTTGATTGCCATTTATTGAATAGAGTTTCTTTATGCCTTTCATGTTCTGCATCATTGGTCATTATTTTGCAAATATTCTGCAATTTATATTGGCTAATATTGATGTGGTATTGGAATGTATTACACCAAAATTGTATTCGTTTCCGTGACTCGTGTTGAATTTTTTAATTTATCTTTATGAATTATTTTCAAATGATATGTTGTATAATTTGAAGCAATTACATTGCCTTTTATTAACTTTTATACGGCAACAGAAATTGAAACATAGGGTTTGGACTAAAACATATGATTTTGGTGCTTCGTTATCTCTATATTTTGGTGCTTTATGAAGCTTGTTTTTAAGCTAAATTGATCAAAATTGTATTTTTTACGGCCATTATGTGCCATGAGACGTATTTATTAGTTACCTCGCTGGAATATTAGCCTATGAAACGCTGCAATTGTTTAAAATAGTTTTTGCTTTATCATTTCATATGCTAAGTAATGTTTATGCTAATTTTGTTTCGATTTCGAATATCGGTTAATTATGAATAACTTGCTTATTAATAAACGATTCATCAACTTACTTGCTATTTGAGTACTTAGTGTAATAATTGACATCAAGTTCGATGACTGTTCGGAGACTGTATATATATTAAGAGTTGACCGTATTTAGAAATTCCCAGTAAAACAAGGAAGTTCCTGTGTAGCCATGTAACCATGTGTTAGCCAGAAACATAAGATGTACTAAGCACAATTTCTTGTTAGTTTTTTCATTTATACGACGTATTTGTAGACCTGCTGCTCAAAACAAGACTCCACACAAACAGCTGCCGATATGTAACAAGCTATTTTATTTTGGAAGAACTGGATTTTTTTGATTCAGCATATTACACACAGGTGGAGGGATCTGTTAGATATGACATTTGAATTTTCAACCTGTGATGCCATCGTAGCTACGGTAAGTCTAACGCTTCATCTACTGGAACGCTACGTTCAAAAAAGAAAAGAGAATTCACTTATCGCTCTCACACAAGCTATAAGAAATAGTCAAACAGAAACCTATATTTTATTTATTTTCACTTGACACTAACCAGATCTCTATGCAATACCAAAGATCATTAGTGTCAATTATATTCAACTTTTCATCCGGGATGCCTCAATAAACTGGCCTAAGGAATTTTCATATCTATTACCCTAATTTGTTATTGAATGACAGTTACATTGCAAATACCGGTATTTGTTTTATTCTTTTAAAAAAAAAACTAGATTAAGGCAAAGTCGAGCATACTCATACTGCTCTCCTAGCTCTCTCTTCTCATACTCAACAAATATACTCAAAAAGAGACACAAATGCAACCATGTTCTATATTTCACATTCAATGTTATAACTCTATAGTATATATTTATTACAATAATAACAAATTAGGAACTAATGTACTGCAAAATATAACTTTTTGGATATAGTTTTTCAACAAATAATTATTAAAAAATAGTAACTGCAACGTTTGAAAATTAGTAGACAATAAAATAAGCGTGGATAATCCAATCATAGAACAGTACTCTGTTTTCGACATAAGGTTAAATGGATGAATCAGATAGAAAGATATAAATTTTGTGAGGTTTTTGAGTTGGCTACATAAATTATTTGTATAACTTATTTGGACGTCTATTGCTCCGAAAAAAAGTTAAACACAAGGTGAGTATCTATTGTAATTAGGAAGGACAAGAATCCTTCTGTTTTGTCAACGTCTACTTAACATCTAACACCCTGGGTGAGATGGTGGGCATGGGATTTAAACCCAAAATTTTCAATTGACCCGCATTGCCATCATAGTTAAGTCTAATGCCTAATTAAGTCTAATTTGGGGGTTACCCCTCACCCACAAAATAATGGAAGTAAAACATAAATGTTCAGTAATAATTGCAAGTGCCTGTTTCAGTGGTTTTTAAAATAAGTGGACGGTGAAGTGGTGAAAGATAAAGAATATCTTCTATAAAATTACTAAATTCTTCATATTGAAGTTTTGTGCAAATCGGCAGAAACAACTTATAAAATTTTCTACATTTTGCTTGAGATAGTTTTCTCTATGAAATTGTCATTTTTAAAAAAGTTTCCAAAAATATAAATGTTATGATTCTCTCAATCAGAAAGAAGTCAAATTCAGGATTAAAAATGAATACAACATGTTCAAAATGACAAAAAATGCTAAAAAAAGTGTATTTGGTGATTTACATCCTATTTTATACATAATGGAAACATGCAATGAGAGAAATGCTTCATTTAACTTTGCTGTGGAACTCTAAAAACTAAATCAGGTCTAAGTGTGCCTTAATCGTATATATTTTTGAAATAAGATAAAAAACGGACCGCAAGTTTTTTCAATTCATAATAAACAATTTTTTAAATAAATGTGGTATGCACAACAGCACTAGGCATTTTTAAATTAAATTATATGCTTAATAAGCAAATATATGCCCAATAAGTTGAAATTTTTATTTTTCAGAAATTAAAATTGCAAGGAACTGCAAGAATTGAGTACCATCTATTAACACCTTGAAAATTAAATATTAAAATGCTCTTATACATACTCTAAAATACAAATGATATCTTGTGGTAAACAGGCAGCTTGTGCGAAAACTCAAAATGTACTGCATGCAAGTCATACAAAGAAAGTGAAAAATTATAGTTTATCAAATACTGCTTGAACTTCAGCAAACACGTCATCAACGGATTGTTCAGAATTTATCTAAAATTAATAAATACAAAATAATTTGAATACAAAATTGATATGACAAATTTATATAGAAATGCCTATAAGTAAATGGTGCGACATCAAGGGAATCTGAAATTACCAAAAATTAAATTGTTCCAATAATTAGCTGATTTCAGTTATGTCCAAAATTTTATAAAGTATGGAAATGCATTTGATATGTATGATATTGTAGCATGGGAAGCCAAATGGAATAATGCTACTTCAAAAAATAAGTCTTGTATTGAATGTTTAGGCTTTTCTTTTTAATTATACTTCGACTTATACACATTTCACTCCTTATCTTATATAAAAATAATGCCCGCAACTAAGAATACGCCTGAAACCGATTAAAGAGTAGCTTTCCGTCTGGGATTCTAACTTTTTATGCGTCACTCATTCACGCTTTTTGCTACGAACACGGCTGTAAACAAGCAGCCACTGGTATATTAACAATATGAAAAGGATTACTATTACTCGGAAAGACAGGATTTTCCCTGTTCGGCATTGTCAACCCAATTTATTACACCCTGGCTGAGGTAGGGGGCATGCAATTTAAAGCTGATTTAGGCCATCCAAGGTGGGTTTCTTGGTTTTTTTTTTAATTAAATGATCTTATTCTAGATTACTTACCCTTCGGACTTTTTGTTGTTTTTCATAATGAGAAATAACAGGTTCTGTCGATTCCACAAATGTTTTTAATCGTTTTCTAATTGTTTCTTCATTATCATCTGCACGACCACTTGTCTCTGCTCGTTTGAGAAGCCTTTTCACCATCGTTTCTTGTGAAGAGTCAATCCACAAAACAAATGTACATGGAGAAATCTGGAGAAAAAAGTGTAATTCGGTAATCAAATGGGAAACATTAAAACTTTTATTTTTATTTTTTTTATCCTAGAGGGCCCGATATTTCACTAGAGAGTTTGATGTTTTATTTTAAATCATTTACTTTTTATGAAACATGAGAACACTTTGTTCTGCCACACTTATCCGTGTACGCCACGCTTGTCTAGGTACGCCACGATTGCCTACGGATTTTTTCAGCAAACTCGAGGGTTCATCTCAACTAGCTTCTATCATACCAATAACAATACACGATCTATGTCCATATATTTGAGACAAGCTTTGAATTAAAAACTGAGTGAAGTAATCCAATAAAAATTTATACCGGTAATCGAAAATGCTTTCACATATCTCAGTTACCGTATTTTCAAACTCGATTCCCTGTTGAACGTCTCTCGGATATCCATCGATTAAAAATCCTTTAGAATGATGAGCGTGTTCCAACATGTTTTTCTTTATCAATTCAAGTACTGTAGACTAAGAAAAGAAATTTATTAATTGAAGACTGAAAATTAAAAAAAAGATGAATCTATAGCAAGATTTAGTACCAATTCATCATATTGACATGCCTGCATTTGCATATATATTACAGAAACTGAAAAAAAAATTGCAACAAAGCATGGTTGGGGAGCTGAGTCGAAATTAGAAAGGCTCTGTCTAGGGTTTTAAATTTAAAAATTTAACTTTTTTCAATTGTAAAGATTTAACCTGAGGCAATTAATAAAGATTAGGATAAATGTTAAATTAAAATTAATTTTGTTTTCATAAAATACATATTTCATTAATCACATTGATTTAGAATTTTGTTAAATCTTAATCCAATATACATCCTTAACTCCAAATAGAAAAAAAATTGATTCTTACCAATGGTACAAGTTCTCCTCTCTCCATTATCGCTGTCAATTCTTTTCCTTTCTCAGAACCAGATGCAACTTCCGCTCTCAAAAGATCACCAGATGAGAAATGAGTGAATCCATACTTTTCTTTGATTTTATCACATTGTGTTCCTTTGCCTGATCCTGGACCACCTGATATGAATAAACAACAATAAGAATAAGATTATAAGAAACTCACATGCAAGATTTCAATTAGTAGGCTTGGTGGCCTAGTGGTTAAAGCATTAGACTTAATAACGATTATGGCGGTAAAATCTCAAACTGAATAGACGATGCTAAAACGGAAGGTTCTGGTTCTTCCTAACTCTATTAGCCCCTTATGTAGCTATGGCTGCTTGTGCAGGGCCTTTTTTAGAGCAAAATGCATATAAATAGGTCGTATAAAAATATACGCCTAATTTATCCTAGATGATTCTGTCCGATAACACCCTATTTTATGCCTGATCATTTGTCTGGTTACCAGTCAAGATTGTTGACGCAGAAATTGTTCCAGATGCAGTAACTAATGGTTAAAGCGCTAGATTTGAGAGTTAAGACCTCGTGTTGATATGCCAAGGCCTGAGTCTCACCCAGGAGTAATAAATTGGGTAGGTAATGCCCAACTGGAAAGATTCTGATTATTCCAAAACAAAGTAACTCCTCATCTATCAGTGGCTGTTTGTGCAGAGCCTTGTTCAGGGCAAATCAAAACTACCATTTTCTGTACAGTTTACGATTCATGACGTCTAAGCTGGTATCTAATATCTATCTTTATTAATAAAAAGCTTAATGACAACTTTTTAGCTTAAAGACAATGATAAGTCTTTATAATAGAACTAGCATACCATTCTACTTCAGCAAAATAAATTTCAAAAAATATGCACTCACCAACAACAAACACAATAATCTTGGATTTCAGTTGCTGTGATGCAGGTGCTGAAAATAAACAGGTTGTGAGACTTTTTTTAGCATGTGGGATGCCTCTCAGCAAATCAATAGGCAGAATGTGAACAAAACTCTCTTGCTTTGTATGGAATGTACGGTAAGAACTTACCCATATCTGTATTGTTTTCTTGCTTGTTTTCCGTTTCCTATGCAAAATAAATTATATATGTACTCTGTAAAATTAATATTTATAATATACCAATACAGTCACAGGAATTAATTGAGCCATCTTGTATTATCAGTTTATTCAAACTATTTTATTCATCCTCACTCATCAAATGTACTCAGTATTTTTCAAATTCTCGTACAGCCTAACATTTTCCTGCTTGAATTAAACCATAACATGTACTTTATAGAACTAGTCATTCCTTTAACATCTATCACAATAAATATTACAGATGATAAAAAAGTCTAAATCAGTGGTTATAAAATTTTTATGATAGTTGGCCCTCTCCCGATAGACTCTCAACACTTATTTTCCGTGAAAATACTTAGTTTTGCTTTCAAGACATTTTCATCAGTTATTTTATAGGTTTAATAATAATGAAGAACCCAACAAACAAAAGCAAAAGAATAAATGCATTACGATCAGAGAATTTGAAAAAAATCACAGTTTTTTACTTTAAATTAATGTCATCATCGCAATGGTACCTCGGATATGCCTTTGCTGGTGGACCCTCATGTACCTCAATGATATCTGTCTAAATTATTACCCTAGTTACAATATATAACATGTCCTTCACTGTATGGATTAGGAGGACTTGATAGTCATTTTGCAGGAAGTTCAATTTCTCAATAATAAGCGCCCAATTGATGTAGATTTTGCATTTCTTAATGTGGAGAAACTAAGCTTGTCTAAATCCTAACAAGTGCTTGAAATAGTTAAATATAGGGTGACCCAAAAAAATAAGTATCCAGGTCATTTGAAACATATTCTAGATAGAACATAACTTTTGTTCAAATAGTTCTCGATTTGGGTACAATCATACACAAACAACAGTTCAAATGTCTAATACATTTTCTTCATTTTCGAAGTAATTACGTTAAGCAATTTATGAGTTCTGTTTTTTTTTTCAGGTCACCCTCTACAATGAAATAAACTATTCATTTCATTGATTATTAGAAATTATTTAGTAAGAAATTGTTAGTTTTAACAGTTGTCACAAAATGGCCAAATATAAATATATACCGGTAAATCTCAATTATAATGAGTGAGGAAAATAAACTAAAAAAATTGCAAATCCATATATGGCATATACATGTATTGAACTTTCGGGCAATACTTTTAAAACACTTAAGCTAATAATGACCAATTCAATCTGATAATGCCCTATTTTAAATGTCTCGAAAGGATGGAAATATAAAATTCCAGATTCAATTATATTTTTGACAGAATGTATCTGGGAGTACTAAATTAACATTTGAGCATCTCTATCTGTAAATGCTTCCATGATTCTGCAACTGAATACTATCTGAATTCTATCTAACATTAACTTCAAGAACAACGCTCAGCTTCAAATGAAACATTATCAAATATGCATGAACAGAATGACATGAAGCCCTGTATTCTAATGCTCAGTAATAACCACATATAGTTCATGCATCAGCTGTACGTATAGATAAGATAATCCCATGAGATTGTATGCCAGATATTTCACTACAAATGCATGGAGAATTGCCATACTGCATGGTTAATTATCTTTCAACATACACACTCGGACCTTAGTAGGTTATATATAACAGTATGAAATATCAAGTATATACAATAGATAAAATTACTTTAATGGTATTATTCGTACAATTACTAAACACACTTGTAACATAATAGTATAATATCTAAATTATTCTATACCCATGTAGATACCATATTATTATTGCATAGATGTTTCCTAACAGCAGATTAAGCATTACTGATTTTTTTGCATATTATTACCGCAGAGGCATATTCAAAGATATTGAGAACAAATAATTTATAATTGCAGATACTGAAAGAAAAAATATCAGTTGGGGTAAACTAACTTTTCTTTGCCTTTGCGCAAATGGAGCCATATGCGTATATTGCAAGAATGCTGTGGTGAAAATGAAGATGGCTATTCTTTTTAATTCAAGAGTTGAATTAAATAGAATTGATTTCTGGTAAAACTATTTTTTTTACGAAATGACTTATTATAAAGAAATCCTAATTTATGTCCAATGTTAACTTTTTTTAAATTTAGCTTATAAATTGAAATGGTCAAGATAAAAATATTCAAAATCGATTTTTTTTTATAGAATTCCGCTCCAAGATATACTATATAAATATATAAATAAAGCACCCACCGACTTGAAGGCAAAACTGTAGCAGGTACCACTAGGATACCAAGAACTCTAAAATAACTTGAACAAGTCCATGCATCTGAAAGTAATACCTGGCTAACTAATCTTAACTTAATACCCTGTTAACCGGACCAGAAGCCGTAATTTTCCATATAATTGAGCCATCTTATGAACTTTCCTCTCCTCAGGGATAAATATAGACCTGTTATTCTATCCTGAACTTCAGTTTTCCATTTCATATACCACAGCTGTCTCCTCAAAACCCACTAGTTTGTAAGTTGGAATACTATCATCTTTCGGTTTATATCCACTAAATTAACCTTGTAACTGTTTAAATATCACAGCTTCATGAAAGTCATAACAATTACCTATGGTATCTAACGCCTCCATTAATTATCACATCAGCTCATCAAATTTGAATTACTAAGTGAGAACAACTTGACATTCAAAATACTATTCATCACTCCTGCTCTTTATACATTTGCCTTTTTGATAACCAACAAATTTGAGTAAATGTTTTGCCTCTTTCTAACAGCATCACATTACTTATTTCAGAAACAAATGCATTAAAAAAAACTCAATAGGCGCAGTTTGTGCAAACTAATAACATGAATGCTGGCCAGAAAGGAAGTACTACCATCATTATGCAGCAATATTGCTGCATTCCGTTGAATGTATTTGACTCACATCCTTTTATATAATCGACTTTGTAACAGTGTTCACACAAACAAGCTGTTATTACACTGAAGCAAAAAGTAGGGTTGATCAAAGCTTCTATGGTATAAACTATCCAAGCAACCAAGCATATCAGATATTACAATACAAATGGATGGGACTCAGTCAACCATAGCTATTCTATATTTTTTGTATTGTGTGAACATACAGTGAAATAAAGTAACTTTGACCTAAATTTGGTAGACAATGATATTTAAAAGCCAAGTTTCGACAAAGTGGTTCAGCAAAAGCAAGAGATGTTTTCCCACATGTATATAATGTCTTGTTTCATATCCAAAAAAGCTTGATAATATAAGTAGATTTCTATAAATAATAAGCTACTAAATTTGAGTGGAACAAAATCTATCTCTGCATATTTATTTATAATATAACTTGCTGTTTTTGTTGGCAATTATGAGAATTGAGCTAGAGACATCCAAGCTTTAATACCAATAAAGTTTGGTCGTGCACTCTGAGTACTCCAAAGCCAGAGTTTCTTAAACTGGGCTCCCACCCCCCTTAGAGGAAACAGATTGATTCTGAGTGGTCACAAGCAAAGGTCAGTACCATTTGTATTTAATACATAAATTTAAAATAAAATAACTATTGTTTGTTTGATTCTTTAATATTGCATATTTTGTTCTTTTACTTCAGTTTGTTGGTTTTTTATTTTAAAACATTCTGAATGAAACAACTGACGAAAACCTGTGAAAAACCAAGTTTGTCTTTTTGTTATTGAAAAGCAGGGGCCCATTGAGTGTTGATGGTCTTCAGACGGGTTTACCAAAACTCTCGTAGTAGGGATAAAATCCATTGGCACACAAAGAGGAAGAATTGTTTATACTTCAGTGGCCTATACCAGAAATCCAATTAGATCCATGGGAATCTGAGCTAAAGAATTTACGGTAATACCTGTCAGTTACTTACCAAAGTCGGTGAAGGTGTCTGAAGTTTTCGTTTACCTGTAAAATTAATATTCTATTTAGGAGATTTCGCATAACGAATCACCAGAGCTAAATATTGTTTGTTTCGGATGCCTTTAAGTATTGCATAAGAAGATATTCTCATTTGTAATAGATGGACATATATCATGAAATCATTTAATTTGAAGTTAATTATTTACTATAACCAATTTGAAAGATAGTTTATAATACATTCCTAATATTTACCGTATATAAAACTTATATTTCGAGCAACATGCAGAGATATAGAAACTATGAAATGATTAATTACTCAGAGTGTAGACAGACAAGATAAATTATGGAAATATTGATAGAGTAACTTATATTTAGCTTATTACTCGATTCAAAAAAAGAAGTATGAAATTTAAGAATGCATAAAATACAGCATATTACTAATATTTTCGAGTTTTCAAAGACCAGAATTTCTTATATTGATATCTAAGCATTTGTTTGACAAATCGGCTCAAAAGTTTTAACCTTTGAAAATTTTTTTATTCTGCTGTAATTTACTGTCACAAAAAAAAACAGTGTTAGTTCAGAATTCCCAATCGTGGAATGTATTTGCAATATTTATATATAAGACCTACAGGAGTGGAATATAAATATTGAATACCGACACTTAGATCAATATATTAAAGTTTACAGCAGAATAAATGTATATGATGTTTGCACTGGTAAATGTATATGGTAGTAAGTGAACATCTTTTTGAAGTTAAAAACATTTGTATTCACAATTACAATGCTACTACAATTTAAGTGAACAGAACAGGAAATAAAGTGCTGAAGAATAATTCTAGCCTATTTGATAAGAAATTCATAAATCAACTGAATCCGCACTAAATAGCCTAGAAGCTTCCTATTCTTAGCGATGGTCCCGAGTAAAATGTAATAACTCATAGCCCTGCGTGTGCAATGGCTTAGTAGTTAAACCGTTGGACATAACCACTGTTGAATAGAAGTCCTTTAACCCAGAGTTACAAAATAATTCAACTTACAGGTCATAGGGTCTCAAATCGAGTCAATTAATTGGTCTTACTGGCGATTTGTTGAGGCAAGTTCGAGTCATTCTTTTTCTCTATCCCAATTAAATTTGAGTCTTTGTAATTGGTGACTCAAGTTGAGTTAATTACTCGAGCAACCAACACTTGACCAAACTATCTTTAAACCTAAGGATGAAAGTCCGGGTTTAAACCACACTTTCACCACCTCAAGCAATTCCAACCCATGAAGATTCCAGTCATTTTATAAATACCGTAGTGGTTCCTACCGTAGTGGAGCACTGTTCAGAGTGATTATGTGATAACATCTTTTAATGAAGAATGATTATTTAATAATTAAAATTTCTTGCAAACCAGTAATCAATATCTGGATTGTGAGATCTAATTACATTTAACATAGAATAAGTATTTTTGTAAAGCAGCCAACAAACATAATTTTGATGGAGAACTTGATTAGAGAAGTTTTTAAGAAAAGATTCAATGTCAATACCTGATGATTCATGCGAATTTAGCAATAAAATAAACCTAAATTACGAATTTGTATTCAAATAGAATCATTCATGTACTACCAGAAATTAATGATATAAATTACTTATTCAAGAAATATTTTTTTTACATTCTACAATAGTGCGGAAGACTACGCTTGTCTACAATGTATTGCATGCATGATGCAATACACCAACCATCAGGACTTGCATCAGATTGGCACAATTGGTCATTTTCAGTCAGCTGCTTATTATCAGATTCCTCCACTGCCTGTTTGTCATCCGAGGGTGTTTGGAGAGGATTGGGTGGGTCAGGTTTTGGTGTGGGAGATGATGAAATAGGACTAGGGCTACTAGGATCGTCAGGTCCCGCAGAATAATCAGTGGCTGAGTTTGCGGGATTATCTGAAGTGTATTGCTTTTCTGTATTTACAGTGTTTTCTTCCTTCCCAGAATAAACATTGGTAGTTTCATTGTTTGTAAATTCATCTTTTTCAGCTTGACATTCGGGGGTTTTAGTTTCTGCAACATCCGTCAAAGACACAGAGTCTGATCTGTTCAAAAGGATAGAATCTTCTGATTCAACGACATTAGTCGGCGAATTCTCAATCTTTTCTAATGTGCTACTTTCTTCGTTGGAACTTGGTGATGGAATAGGTGACTGCGTTTCGTTATCGACAGGATTTGTCTTTTCTCCTGCTAATGGGTATTGCAATTCCTCTGTATAACTATCATTACCATTTTGGTCATTTTCATTGACTTGGATAGTGCTATTGGGTTCACTCAATTTTGAATCCGCCAACTCTTGAGGTTTGTTTTCAATAGGAGATAGTTTAAAAGCCTCATGCTTTTGAGTGCTGTCATCCATGGGATTCTTATATTCTTCTGTCAAAGGGGTTTGGTGTTCCTCTTTATGACTATCAGTATTCTTTTCAGTATTTGCATCATCCTGAACTTTTTTATTTTGTTCACTCAATCCAGATTCAGTCAAGTTTCGAGGTTCATTTTCACTTGGAGCATCAATTGACTGTGTGTTCTCATTAATTGGATTGTTGAAATCCTCTGTTGATGAGCTTTGAAGTTCCTGCTCAACGTTTTCAGTGCTCTGTTGATCATTTGCAGTGCTTTCAACAATACTAATCTTTTCACTTTGTACATTATTAGACAACTCTTCAATTTTCTTTTGTTCCAATGATATTTTTTCATCAGAGGTATCATCTGCAATAAACGCAGGGTTGCTTCCAAGCAGTGGTGTAGCAATAATCAGTTCTGGTTCCTGATTTGGTTCCATTTCTATGTCCTCAGTAGTCGGAGATTTCAGCTCTTCATTACAAGAAAAGGTATTTTGACTAGTAACTTCTTCTACTTTACTTTCAGTTAGATCTTTTATATCTAGAGGAGGTTTAACTTCATCATCGTCTTCTACTTGAAACTGATTTTCGATGAAATTGATTGATGAAATGTGATTTGACTCCATTGGAACATCTTCTGAAAATACTATCTTGCCCGATTCAAGTGTATTTTCTTCACTTTGAGGAATTATTTGTTTCACTTCACTATCTTCAACTTTATCAGCATCTTGGTGATTCTTCACAGAATTCTGTTTGTTATCAATAGTTTCATCTTCATTATTGCTTCGATAGCTGATCATATCTCCAGTTTCTGGGTCAGTGTATCGTGGTGAATTCTCTGGGGTCTTCGGTACTTTGTTGACATCACAACTATCATTATCAGTACTAGCTGGTTGGTCGACAATTTGAGACTCATCTTTCAGAGATTCAGTTGGAGATGGGGCTTTCGGATTCACTTCCCCATTAACCGCATCTTTGTTTTCTACAGAGATTGTATTGGCCTGTTTTCCAGGCTCATTATCTGACATATCCTTCACTGGTGATTGATTGATGACAACGCCAGATTCAGGTTTTGGTTCATCACTTGAGGATAGAGTAATAGATTGGTGATTTGTGGGACTAAGAGCCGCTGATTGTTCTTCTACGTCCTCAGTAATTTGTTTGCCTTCATGTTGATCAGTAAACTTGTACATGTTTTCTGCTTGGGATATGTCCTCATCTTCCACAGAATAGACTGGAGATTTTTCTCTTTTTTCAGAAACACTGCTTTCATTTTCGGAATCTTTACTTGGATTGCTGGGCTGAGAAGTATCGCCAATTGAATCTTCTGCGTATGTTTTTGCGGGAGTGATTTCTCTATGCTGTTTATCATCATTTGGTAAGCTTGTCTTAGATTGAACCTCTTCTACAATATCTGAGCTAGATGTCCAATTAGGTGTTATGGAGTCAATATCTGGTGATTTCGGTCTCTGGGTATCATAACTCAAGCTTGCGCTGACATCCTCTGGAATTGGTGAACCCACAGGGGTTCGTGGTAAAGATGCTTCAGATAAAGAAGACACAGAATTCTGCTTGGTAACAGTTGGTGGAACAGGACTATGTGAGGGAGGTGTGGGTAAACTATCTATCATTTGCTGTTCAGAAGGGACGGGGGTCAAAGGGGGAGCGGTGGGGGTCAAACAAATAGGGAATGCGTAATGAACAGATGACAAGGCAGTTTCAATTGTATCTGTAAATTGCAATCAAATAGGAAACAAAAAAAATCAAAACAAAAAATGATATATTTTCAGTCAACATAAATTGATAACAAAAAAATTTCATAACAATTTTTTGATCTTCATTTGAAAAGATAACTGAGATTAAGGTGTAAGAAATAAAAATTAAAAAAGTTGTACCTTTTAATGGTGATCCAATTGGTGGCAAAGGACTCTTTCTGTTAAGCATACTGTTTGGAGTTTCTATACATAAAACATACAATTAAAGTGAAGATTTTAGCTGGAAATATAAAAAAATACCTGACAGATTTCTAAGAAAAGAATTATTAGCAGAAGGTGATTTCTGTTTCAAATACTATGCTACAGCTAATCAAGAAGTTAGCTTCAACAAACAATAATAAACAATAGAAAAAATGAGTTCCATGATATGACCTAAAAAAATGATTTTGATCACTTGGCCGGTTACAGTTAATCCCGTTCATATATGGCGTGTTAACACAATGTTTTGTCCAGCTTCAGGTTTAAAAGTACCTGATGTAAAAATTTGAGATTGTAACTCCAAATCAGTAATTGAAAACTGATATATTAATATATAACACTATATAGATCATGTTGTACAAAATCATGATATAAAATTATAAACAACAAAATTGAAGTTTTGTCCACCTGTTCGAAAAATTGGACTCTGTGATACAGGTGGAAGGAGATTAGAAACAAATGAGTCCCATTGTACTTTTGAAACTCCACCAAGTTTTTTTGCTCTTTTTGCACAGAGAGCAATGTATTCCAGGGGATCATCTGGTCTTTCGTGTATCAATCCAATCATAATGCTCTATAAAATGAGAAATATTATAATAGAAAACTAAGTGTTAGAAATTTTATAGGTGTTTTATGCATTCGCTCCAACAAATATAATAAAACATAAAGAGCTATCAAGTTTTTGAATAATTAGAACTTTTAGAACTGGTTATCGAGTAGAGACACTCGTATTCCTCGTCATATAAAATACATATACTACAATTTCAATGAGACTGATATAATTTTAAGTTACCTCCATTAGTTGTGGGATATTCTTTTTTAAGAGGTAGTCTTGGCCTTGCGTCGGAGTAAGGGCCATGTTTGAAATACAGATTTTTTAATAATCTTCAAGCTTTATGATGAAAAAAATCCATATTTGTCATCACAAGCATTTGTTGTTCATATATAGAAATCCATCGAAGTATTGATTATATCCCATAGTCCATCATTGTATACCATTATGTCCAAGTTTTTCAGAAAGTATAAATATTATTTTAGTGAGGTATGCGTGGAAATAGAAAAATAGTTTCACTAATTAGACAACTACCTATCATATTAAATCAGCTGATCAGAGTTTGAGAGGAGGGAAATATTTAGGGTTAGAAAAATATTTTGTATACCAAATTTAGTTATCTCCCGAGTGTTATCATGTCTTTATGAAAAAGCATTTTGTTTGGCATATTTCTTATAGATAATTCAAGAAACGAAAAATTGAAATGAATCTATATCAAACATACCATTCTGCCGTCGAAATGTTGCAAAAATGTTTATAAATTTCGTTCAACAAGTACATGAACCCTGAATTAACTTACTTTCAGTTTTACTGACTAGATAGTGTAACAAATTTTGTAATAACTTCTGCTGCTGTTATCTTGTTTGAATTTATTTCTATCTGTGGACTAATTCATTAGTTGTTGTTGACTAATTTACTACTTCAGCCATATATTAGACTTCTAGAATCCAGACTCCAATATAAGACAATATATTAGTCAGAAGTTTTGCGCTGTTCACTTGGGAATACCTGTTAATTTGATACCGTATAACAGTTAAACAATCTTTTCACCATCTTTAAGATTTTATTGCGCCGTTAAAATGAACATACGATCAATACAACAATTGGAGTGTAGAGAAGTATGAGACACGACATAAAGCTTAAAGTATTGAATTATACCGTAAAGAGAATTGTCCTCATCTCTTCTATCTATTTTGGCTTGATTTAGCCTATTTAAAGCCGATTGGGATTTCTCCGTTTAGTGGATAAATTCTCTTTTTTCATTTCTTACTTTTCCAGAGAGAAAGTCTTTTTTGGACCAATTGGGGACTAGTTCGTTTCGTTTTTGATAGGAGAAATTGGGGTGAGCAAGGTCAGTAATTAAGGTCAAGCGTATTGTAAAATTAATGAAATGACTCAGTTTACGTGGGAAATATCAATGATTTCATTGTCTCAGGGATATTTGATCATTTTTTATGCAAGTGGAAAATTACTTGTGTTTCTCCGACAAATGAAGATTAGAGTTTACAGCCAAAAATGGATTTGGTGCATAATCCATAATTTACAAAGTGACAAATTTGTTACAATAGTAACAATTTATCCGTAACGTTAGATCGTTTCGAACTAACCGTTTCTAGCCATATTATTGAGCCGTCTTATCGGCAATCCTCTCTCCCGGGATAAATACGCAAACCTTATCCTACCCCAACACTTCAACACAGACGCCGCAACAGCGGCGACGGACATGAGAATGGCGTAGGATTGCCTTGACAACGTCAAGTTGTCATTTTGAGAGACGCACTCATGCGTTGACAGAATTATTGCGTCAGAGAAATATATAATTTAACAAAATAGTAACAGTTTAAATACATTAAAATAAATTGAGAGTTACAAATTTTATAATAAAAATATTGACAAACTGATGATTGTCGTAATACAGAGATAATGAGTTCAAGAAAAAGTCGACGTAACTGAAAATGTTACGCAATATCGCAAGCACCGAACGAGTGCACGTGTCAATATCGAAGCTACTTCAGGATTTAGCGTAGTCTGCTCGGTCGTTTAATTAACTGCTAGTGCTTTTCTAATATTTGCGTTCAACTGAAGTTCGTACAGGATACTTCATGATGGTAACTTTAACTGAAACAGATATGGATATGATGCCGACCGAAATAAAAGTCAAAAAGATTAAAAAAGTAAAAAAACAGGTAATTTTAACTGCAGAAGGTGACTTTTAATACCTAATTTGTCAATTGGGCTGTCAGTAATTCTGAATTCTACAGTCCCAAGATCAAAAATTAAAATATAGTCTTCTTGAAATAACATTTACTATAATGACAAGTATTTTTAAATTAATTTAGTACAATCTTATTGTGTCGTCATACGTTCTGACGTTAGGTCAGTGGGCAGGTAGGTGGTTTAGTCAGTCAGTTTGCGATCACGATAAAAACGATTCTAGATTTTTCACACGTCAGATATTTTTTCGTCTTCAATTTTGTGGTTTTTGAAGAAAATAATAATTTCAAAGTTGTATTATATCCTATTAATATATATAATCAATCGTATTCCTGTATTCTTATTTTGAGCCTTGAATTCCTTCATGCGTTTCTTGTGTATGACGTCATTTGGAAGGGTTATGATGTACCGCAGCAGCACGTGTGGTGTGATCACAAATAGGTTGTTTGCCTTACTGCCTTATGGACCCTGGGCTTTCTGTCATGTTAACCTATGGCAGCATGGATGGGCAGTAGCAAAGTTAATCAAAGTGTAGGGTGGTTCAGCCACTTCTGCACTTTGCGGCCACGACCTATTTGCGGCCATCAACTTCATCGATTCAATTAATGCCAAAAAAATTAACGAACCGAGACAATATTTCTCACGTGCTACGGTATCGTCCACTTATTCCTCGTAGCTGTGTGAATTTACACTAAAATGCGGCCACAAACAAAGAAGTTACGACCGAAAACCCGACTGAAGAAAAAAACCGGACAATTTTTCCATGTTGCCAACTACCCATTGTCCCTTTAGAATAGCTTGAAAATTGATAGAAATATATTACAGTATTAGATAAAAAGATGAAAATTGGCAGGTGAGTGGAGTGGTGTTTCTTTCAACCATCTTTAAAGTTTCGCGTTTCTACATCAAAACGAGGGGGAATAGGGGGTTGCGCATTTCCAATAAGTCAATAATATATTTGCGACCATCATGTTATTGTGTGTTTGACTGCTGCCATGCGGTGCTTTGTTCGTAATTTGACTAGTTTTGTTCTAAAAGGTTGAGTTAACAGTTCGTCCTTTAACTTATTAGAATTTGTAGAAGTAACGCGTTGAATTTTAATAATTGCAAGAATATTCCTGGCCTAAGAAACATTTATTGATAAATTGACGCGAGGTGAGTATGACTGAATTAGTGCAGTCGGCCAGGCAGATATACAAGCATGGTTGTAAACATTGCCTCGATTTCGTAGTTATGCGTGCTATATGTCAGTTTTTAGTTGTGCTTCCAAAATTAAGGAGAATTTTTCTGGGGTCAAGGGTCACGGAAATGTACATGCTGTCGGCCGAAATAAAAGAAATTGAAATTTCACAAACTACGTTAGTTTTTCTCCAGTACAGATAGATTAAATTTAAAAAAATGCCTGGAAACATTATAAAACGTAAAATAAAGTACACGAAAGAAAATTTGGAGGACGCTTTAAAAGCCATTACTGAAAAAAAAATGTCTCATCGCGAAGCAGCAGAGCATTATGGAATCCCCAAATCTACTTTGACGGATCGTATATCAGGTATGTATATTTAATTTTTTCAAATTATTCTTATTTATCATAGTATTAGTAATGACGTCATATCTTACATTTTCAAGGAAAAAGGTCATCGGATATGATGCCTAAACGTGGCCCCCCCACTGCTTTATCATCCGAAGAGGAAGAGTCGCTGAAAACATTTTTGAAGGACCAGGTTAAGCGTGGACTCGGAATTGGCAAGAGAGACGTGAGACATATCCTAATCTACACCAAATCTGAGTGATAGCATTTTTTCAAATAATTTCCCTTTTTCAGGTGTTTCAAATGGTAAAAAACATGCTGGATTTGTCGGGAAAGCACGTGCGGTATTTTACGAATAATCTCCCAAGTGACTCCTGGTGGTGCGGTTTCTTGTCGCGGAACCCGGACCTGAAAATGATGGCAACGAAAAAATTGGAAGTGGTGCGAGCCATGGCTTGTTCGGAAAAAAAGGTGAGTAGTTGGATGGAAAAGTATACGGCAATGTTAGAGGAAAACAACATCACGAGTGGAAGCAGTATACAACTGCGACGAAACCGGATTTTCTTTTCAAACGAAAGCCGGTAAAAAAGTCGTGGCTGGCAGAGGGATGAAAATGTGCTATAACAATAAAATTCAAATCACAGTGCTGATTTGTATTAGCGCCAGCGGTAACATCCTTCCGCCTTACATACTTTTCCCCGGCAAGCGCATGAATTCGTTTCATGCACTGGATTTTCCAGAGAGCATCAGATGTCATGTAACCGATAAAGGCTGGATGACTAAAGATTCATACTATGACTGGATGGAGAAAATACTCATACCCAATTCACCTAACAAGTCAACAAGAGGGGCCGTCGTACTTCTTCTTGATGGTCACACGTCCTACAAAGATTTTTACACAAGCACGTTGGCCCGAGAAAATAATATCATTCTTTACTGTTTGCCTGCCCACACTACACATATTCTGCAGCCACTGGACAAAAAAGGAAGAGGGCAGACGGAAAAGAGATAAGCAAAATTTGAAGATTAGGAAAGAGATTAGAAAAAGTCAAACCTTTAAAAAGGAGACGAAATTCGTCTATGAAACAAAGAGAAAAAAAGAAGGAAGATTGCAATGTATGTAAGGTGCAGTTCAATGGCGGGCCTGATGAACCACGCCGGATTGCGTGCGATAAGTGGTTCCATCTGCACTGCACGGAGTTGAATCTACATTTAAGCGCATCAGCAGTAGGGGGACTTCGTTGGTTTTGCTGCAAATGTATTTCTGCCATTTAGAATATGTTACTGCGACCATTCGAGTAATAAAAAATTCTTGTTGGAATTGATTGTGTGTCTTATATTCTCTAAGCAACATCTTTATCTACCAGTACAAAAAATGTGATCATAGTTTAAATCAAAACATAGTCTTTAATAAATTGCCAGTGATGTACGAATTACGCAAAATGGTAATGTTTCTAACATATAAGGCAGAAACTTGAAAATATCACATATAATTTTTGATGAAAAGTGAACACAATGGCAATTTTGTTGAAAATATCAGATAAAAATCGCTGTTTGTGCCAAAAGCAACAAAGTCATTTGGTAAAATTTTATTGTTTCAAAGACGGTTGAGGTTATGGGTTTTATCGTTTTGACATCACTATTAGAGGCTAAATCGCGGCACGTATATTCAAAAACATTTGGGTTGTCGATATAACCGTGTTTTTAAAATATATCGCAGTCAGAAATGCAATTAAAATTTCAATTTTTTCACCCATGGCTACATATATTGTAGTCTCGACGCAGCCGAAACGATGTTCAAGGCTCGAAATTTGTGTTCGCACACTGGTCGTTCAGTCGCAAACACGTCTTTGTACTTTGGTGGTTTGTATAGCTTTAACCCCTGGTCGTAAAAAATTAATTCGAGTTGTAGCGTGTGGAATAAATGCCAATGAACATACGGTGAAAAAATCAACGGGTTAGAAATGTTGGTTTTTATTTTATAGCGATTTGAATGAAATCGTCCGCAGACTGGCTACACCACCCTATTAGGCTAGACTAAGTCTGTAAGTGAGAAATACCAGGGTTAACATCTGTATATTCTCACTACTGATTATTTTTGTAGATAATGACCGCAAATTCCCTGGGATTGCAGAATGGCTAAACCACCATGCATGGTTATTTTTTATACCATATTTTTAGGACTTCATTATCAAGTTATTTTAATTTAGATGGAAAATGGAACCTCTGTTAGCCTCAAAACTGTGAAAAAAGAAAAGAAATTGAAAACTAAAAAGTCATCTGAGATTTCACAAAATTTCGAGAATGAAGGAAAAAAGAAAATGAAAAAGGCAAAAGTAAAATGTTTTATACCAGTACTTAATATTGTTGAATTGTAGGTGCGTTTTTGTTTGCTACCCCGAGTAATTGGTAAGACTCATGTGCACGCACGTTCACATTTTACTGCATGCTATGAAGTGTGTTTGTCTTTCACTGCATTGCTATGCCATTGCTGGAGAGTATAAAAGTCAACAGAATTTCGCTCCTTGTACCTTTCAGATCACCAGGTTAATATGGTGGTTTGAGTTATGACTTAGATATTCAGTCGCATTGGGAGCTGTTTAAAAATATGAATTTAGATTGTATAGCATTGAAATTGTGTTGTTCCTGAACTGACTAAACCACCTTAATTATAGGTGTCAAGAGTGACATCTTTCGATAAGCTGAAATTCAACTTTTCTGTTTTTGACTTTGAAATTAATTTATTGGAAACTGACTAAACCACCTTAAAGATAGATGGCAGGGTGAAACATCTTTCGAAAAATTGAAATTTATATTTTGTGTGCTTGGCTTTTTCAGGAAACCATAAAAGAGGGAAATTCTGAACCAGTCAAGAAGAGAAAGAAAATTGCTGAAATATCGTTGACTAATGATGGTGTTGTTCAGGTACTTTTGTTTTTAGTAAAATTTTCACAAACCAGTTTTGTAATTGAAACAAGATGTGAAATCTAACATTTATAGTACAATCCTGAATTGTGACAATATCTCTTGATGAGTGTTTCAGTTGTAGTAATTACTACACACAAGCATAAAACTGATAATGAAGATAAACAAACATGACAACCAGCCCTGGCAATGCTCATGAATTCGTTGAATGTAATTCAATTTGAAACATTCGAATTGAACTCTATTGCAATTTGACTTTCTAGAACAGCAGTTCTCAGCCGGCAACCCATGGTGCCGATGGGGGAAACACAGTGGTTGGAGAGGGGCCATAATGTTAAGCGTAAAAATGATTATACTTTTCCTTTCCAATAAAACTTCCTGTTCTTCCTAGTTCATTGCTTGATAAGGTTATTTCACAGGGCGTTTTCTTTTTTTTGAGCGTGTATTGTTTGAACATAATGGGATATACGGTAACACTCTACCAGTAAATATCACTGGAGTGATAAACAGGGCGCCATGGGTGCTGAAAACCTCTGGAAGGAGGGTACAAGCCATAAAAAATTAGGAACCACTGTCCTAGAATATTAAATGCTGGATTTTTCTTGAAACTTAAAGCTTTATTCATTGGATGTACTATTTTTTGAAAGTTAAAGGATTATGACTGAACCCCAAAAGTTTGTTTTGGTTTTCCCACATTGCTTTGAGATTGGATGATTGTGGAAAATATAATATAATCAGGTCTTGGGAACTGGTTTGGCATCACAATGGGCCCAGAATTTTTTTGGTTTGTTCGCTATTGCGGAAGAACTCGAAACGATAATATCAATGCTTTTAATTTTAAAATTGAATCTTATTAAGCGTTTGAATATAATAAATTTATCATGAAGTAATAGAAAATTGTAATCATGGAAAACTTAACTTAACTTTTTCTAGCTCGAATAAAACACAACGGCTCCATCTCTGGGCCTGTGTATAATTGGATATATTTGAACTGTTTATCTTGTTTATCAGGATTATATTGAAACTCCACCAGCTTCAGACGAAGATGAAAAAAGTCAGGCGGAAATTGAAGGGGACTTCGCTAAATTCAGAATATCTGATGATACAATTGAACTGTTGAAAGAAAAGAAGATTTTATATCTTTTCCCAATACAAATCCAAACTTTTGATTATGTATTCGATGGATTTGATGTAGTGGCCCAAGCAAGTATGTACTTTAAAATATTTCAATACGGTTGGAATTGTTGTGTGATTTGTATAATGGCCAGATCATCATCTTATATGTTTGGTCCAAGCCATGGTCAGTCGGTCAATTCACAATTAGTTCACCATTTTCCTAATTTGGATCTCTTCAGTCTTTCCTCGCTATGTATGCAAACTTTCTACAAACCCTTTTTTTTCAATTTTTTTGCCCAATTATTAAATGATAACATCGGCTAGCGATATGTATCCTCTTATTCTACTTACTGGTATTGGGTATTTTGAAATATTTTATTATAATACATTAATACTAAGTAACTAAACAATATCAGTAAAGCTACATCGAATGCAAAGTAATATTTCTGTATTTCCTCCAAGCAACTGAATTCAGATGAAGGAAATCTAAACTTCATTTTTTCAATATAACATTGTTTCTCAATCTGTCATTTTTTTTTCAGGAACTGGAACTGGTAAAACGGTGAGTTGCAATTCATTTCTTCTTTTTTTGTGTATTTGTTCCAATTTTAAAAAGTGATCTTACTTATTATGAACTTTGTTGTGTTAATTCAGATGTCTGCACAAGACATAGTAACTAGGCGCTAAAGGTAATTATCTGTTTTTCCAGATGTCTTTTGCTTTACCATTGGTTGAAAAATTACAACGAATTGGTGTTCGAAGAAACTCAGGAAGACCTCCAAAGGTAACTATCAATTAATGGGTTTCAAATGATAATAATAATAAATTATTCCCATAACTGGGAACAAATTTTGTTAATATTTAAATTATGTCAAAGCTTGTGATTGTGAGTAACCAAATATATTTTACCTTGTCTTATCAAGATGAATGATTTCTGAAATATCTTTCTATCTGCAATTGCCAACTTCTATTTTACAGATTCTAGTCATGGCTCCAACAAGAGAATTAGCTTTACAAGTATTCAAAGATTTTGATGCGATAACAACGAAATTAAAATGTCTATGCATCTATGGTGGAACACCGTATTATCCTCAAGGTATTAAAACAATTTTGGTTTATTACTAAATGTTGATGAAACCTTTAAAAATGGTGTTGCATCATATCTCACTTACTCACTATGAGATGGAATTGTTGGGATGGGACCTATTCTAACCCAGAAAAGTCAGTGTTTCTTTCTTTTTTTGTTTCTTGGGTACGACGGCGTATAATTGCAATAGCATAGCCAGCCCAAAATTTTGAGGGGGAGGGGGGGCAAATTTTTTTTTATAATGATTTGATACGACCCTCACTTGTGCCTTTTGTCCAAACAAAGCCAGATAATAGTAAACACTGATATCTAACAACATTGTAAATAATCGCTCAACAAACGTACATAGGCATATAAGCACGCATTTTTATCTATCTCATTTGGCGAAAGGATTATCGATAGCAAGTCAGGAAACGTCCGGTTTTCAGTGAATCATTCAAGAATAGAGCACAATGGTGTTGAGAAAGGCGTATGAATTTTTGTCTCACTCCAAATAGTGTAAAATTGCATTTAAAAGGAAAATGTTGAAAATTTATTTATTCATTATTATGGCGGCACATAGGCTATGTATAATTGTACTGAAATTGACCTGACCCGAAATGCCAATATATCTCCCATTCCCCCCACGGAGTTGGAGATGGATATAAAATGGAGTCAATTTTGTAATACTACTGAAGCCTATGATTTAAACCATTGCTGTTCACATTCATATGTAAATGTTGATGATGCAATTATAACAATATGAGGCTTGTTTATATACCGCTCTTAGTTTTTATCAATTAAACAACTATCACGAAACCATTTGCAGAAACCTTGCAAAACATATTAGACATTAACAGAAGTTTTGAAATTTGTTCAAATCTGGTTGTGAATCACAGCCCGATTTATACAAATTCCAGAGCTTCTTCTAATGTCTTTTGAGTTTTTTAAGGTTCTGCAAATGGTTTGTAACAATTTATTAAACGTCTATAATAAACTTAGTGTTTTTGTAACCATACTCTATCTATGTTCCATCTTATAACAGAAAAAGCGATGCGCGCCGGACTAGATATTGTCGTTGGTACACCTGGCAGAATACTGGATCATGTTAAGTAAGTTGATTGCTGTAAAATTTAGAAGTTATATAGAACAGCTTTTACTGAAAAAATGAAGTAGGTATAAAAACAAAATGTTTTTCAACCATAACTTCTTGTAATATCTCATAACACAAATGATTTAACAGAGTATTTAGGGTTCTTTTGTAAGTTATGGAAAATTGTGTATGTCAGAAACGCCAATCCAATGCTCCAAATTTACAGAACTGATTGGTAATTGCTTCGAGGTTTGAGGTAATGTTAATTAGAGCCTGTGATTAAAACATTGCTGTTCACATTCATAATAAATGTTGATGATGCAATTATAATAATATGAGGCTTGCTTTTTTTCTCATTTAGATAGTTTAGCTCAATTGAAATTTTGGCAATTTGTGGAAGTTTATGGCCGTAATCTTTCATTCTATGTTGTTAACCCATTGGACTTGTTAAATTTGTCCTAATTTTTGTAAATCCTTTCAGTAAAGGCAATCTACATCTGGAAGAAATTGATCATGTAATTCTAGATGAAGTTGACCAAATGCTTGATATGGGTTTTGCACCAAGTGTAGAAGAAATATTGCAATATGCTTACACTGATGGTAGGTTGTTGTAGTCGTATTATGCTATTCAAATAATGGATCTCCTTTCTGTAGCAGAGCAGCATAAGCATAATTTGCCTGCAAAATAGGAATTTTTGTAGAAATATTTTATGTGGAAAATGTACGATTTTTCAATATGGTATTCTTATTTTGAGTTTATTGATATGAAAGCGAAAGTTAAAATTTCGCGAAAGGAATCTGTTATATGGCTCATAGGTGATACAAAATATATGGCTTATTATAAAACAAAAATTAAATGCCTTAATTCGCAATTTGATTTCCCCCATTTCTGTTTTAAAGACTCTGATTTATTGGGATGTCACAGAGCTGTGGGCCTGTGATATCACAGGTGGATTTCAATTGCAGCCATTACAAGTTAACGAACTACAGAGGTGTAGCTGATCCTGCGAATCTTATGTAAAGTTAGGTTCATTGTGATAAACGCAGGTGGAGAAGAGATGTTTTTCACTATACCGTACGGCGCATTGATTTTTTGTTGTGATCTTTTAATGTTTTGTTTTAGTGCACAAGGCAGGGGGAAATTATTAGAAAAATTGCAGAGGGCCGTCATGGAATTTTTTTTAAAAAGTTTGAGAACCACTGGTTTAGTCTAACGCTGCAGGCTCTGAACCACCGTCTTACCTGGAGTGCTCTTTAAACCTTTATCCGATTTGTTTAGGACATCGTCATCATTTAATATGATATTTCCATGCATCACAGATCGGGAGAAGCCACCGCAGACACTTCTATTTTCTGCGACCTGTCCGCCATGGGTCAAAAAGACTGCTGGTAAATACATGAGAACAAAAGAAACGAAGCATGTTGATCTCATAGGAAAGGATTCTATGAAAACTGCCACTACTGTGCAACATCTTGCCATCAGATGTCACTACACCCAGAGAGCCAAATGCATCGGTATGATTTTTTTTTATTTGGATGAGTTAGCGATGATTTAGGTCAGGGGTGTGCAAAGTGCGGCCCGCAAGGGAAAATTGTGCGGCCCGCAGAGGCAACTGGAGAAAAGTTAAAAAAAATAATATTAAAAGGTTTGAAAGCCAGCTTATCAGTTGATTTTGTCTAAATCTAACCTAGAATAAGATTTGACAGCAAATTATTTGGAAACGAATCTTGGCGTATTCTACTGAAAACATCTCAACCAAGATAACTTTCCACATTTCATTTCAAGGTCATGGCTTCAAATATGGCACTTTTCGGTAACATATTTTTTTCTAAAATGGGTGTCATTTAAGCAAATTTGGATAAAAGTAGTAGGGAAAAGAATCCAGCAGCAAATTTCTCACTGAATTTGTTTAAATTGGGTGTGACAATATATTTGAATTACAGACCCCTAATGATGACATGAGATCAATAACAAAAAACACCATTTTGTGCCTGTAATTAATAGAAAGCCTGCGTTAAATGTAGGTGCGGCCGGCGGTTTCACCCGGGTATTGATATTTGGCCCGCCTACGAAAAAGGTTGCACAATCCTGATTTAGGTCACTGGTTCCCATACTTTATGTATCGATGCCCTTTACTGCACTCTATACATCATTGCCCTGCCTTGGCAATAAAAAAAATGTAAAGTTATTAACAGTTAGGTCAACTGATAATAAAACAATACATGGTTTTTTCGAGATATTTTGGTTAGGTACAATCTTTAAATTGCCCCTCTTGCTGATGGAAATGTGGTTTGATTGTTTTGATAGCATGAGTATCATGATCAAAAACCCATTTTCATATCGACGCTGTTGGAAATAAGAATCCATGCTCCTAATTTGTCATGTATTAGTGGGTATTTGCCAGATGTCAAAGGACGAAAAAGTTTTGCGGTAATTTCGACTTGATCAAGAATGTGGTATTGCTCATTCAGTGTTTTCCAATGTCATCTATTGTATCTCTTTTGCCGCTTCGAGGACGATATTACCTACTTCGAGAATTACTGGTTTAGGTCTCTCTGGTCCCTGAAACCAAAGTGTTGAGTATATGTGGCGATATTTGTTTGTCACGTAATAATGAAACTTTGGGAAAGAAATTTCATATCTAACTTCAATTCACTCATTAGTCTTTATACCAGACTATGGGTTTATTGATGTGAAAACATAAACAAAAAACATCTAAGGCTAAGTGAAGAAATACAAATTTTCTTATGATAGATGGTTGAGAATTTGTAAAATAAATGTGTAAAATAAAGAGAAATACCGGTACTTCATTTTGTTGTTAGAAAATAGTTTAGTCCCGCATGATGGCTGGTCTACGTTTGATTTTGTTCTATCTGGGAGTGGCGTACTTCTTTGTTTCTCTAAATAAGATTTCGCAGCTCGAAAGTGCAAGTTCGAAAAGCCCTGGCTTACACATTTTACCCAAAGTGAGGTGATGGGCATGTTGTTTGCATCAGAGATTTTAACCTGCGTTACCATCGTAATTAAGTCCAACATGGTTTATTAAAATGTTTATTTTCAGGTGATGTAGTTCAAGTGTATAGCGGTAGATTCGGCCGTGCAATTGTTTTTACCGAAACAAAGCGAGATGCCAATGAGCTTGCATTAAACGATTCTGTGAAAGTTGAATCACAAGTATTACATGGAGATATCGAACAAAGACAAAGGGAAATTACACTAAAGGTAGATACAGTCTTGTTGCATGGGTTTATGAGCTGAAAAGATCTTATTTTAGGCATACATTCACGTTTTTATGCATCTTTGCTTATTTTTCATATAATGCTGTTTAAATTTCAAGTTATCCAGAATTCTATCTTCGTAGATTCTTTTTATTTTATTTTTTTCTACAAGATTGTTGCAGTCTTTTTTAAAATGAATTCTATTTCAGGCATTCCGCGATGGTTCTGTAAAATGTTTAGTTGCTACAAATGTTGCAGCAAGAGGACTTGATATTCCTGAAGTCGATCTGGTTATTCAAATAAATCCACCTAAGGTTTGTTAATAACTTTTTAATTGTAAAGTATCTTTAAGGAGTATGTTTGTTCTATGCTACCTTTAATGAGCAGAAAAACAAAAGATTTCTAGTCTTACTTGACTGCACAGAGGTATTTTGATATTTAACTTTGACATAATTGGGAATGGCCGAAATCGAATAATCTGCCCGCTATATTGTGTATATTCTGATACAATACTTTTGAAGAATATGGAATATATCCTGAATTTGTTCATGTTTAGCTAATGACACAGCACACAGATATTTTTGAAAATAAATAAAAGTAATAGCCTTTTAGAGGCAGGCAAGCTTTTACCACTCAAAATTCCAAAGCGATTGCCAGTAGTTAAAAAGAAGTGATTTTGCCACAACAAGATAATATAGAAACGATCCACAGGTCTACTTTTGTGTCCATCAAAAAAGTATTTCTTTTCCAGGATATAGAATCATACATTCATCGGTCAGGAAGAACTGGTAGAGCCGGTAGATTGGGAACCTGTATTTGCTTCTATAAACCAAATGAAGAAGAATTACTCAGGAGAGTAGAAAGAACTGCCGGAATCAAATTTAAAAGAATTGGTACGCCACAACCAAAGGTAAGATCATTTTGTTTTAGAATGGAAGATATAATGTTTAATAAAAATATAGCTTTGGGAGAGGGAGTATACTGATATGTTAGGATTAGTTCATGATTGGTTCGTGTAACTAATCATCGGTTATGCCATTCTCACCTATTTAGTCTATGCATCTGAAATAGGTACGGTAAACTATTCCAATACACTGCATGGGCTGTATAGCTGAGGGTGAGGTCGAGGCTAGATATGATTTAGCTGTCTTGTCGACTTTTCCCTACTCTTGATAAATGTGAAAATCTTATTCTATTACACATGACATTTGTTTATATGATTGTTGATCATTATATCATCTTACTTTTCTACCTAGGATATAATTCAATCATCATATGACGACACATTAAAGTGCTTAGACGCAGTACCTGAAGAAATTTGCTCCAAATTTTTAGAACAAGCTGAAAAGGTTGCACAAAAGTATACAGGAGGTTTGTATATTCATCAAAAATTACTTTTACGATTGTTTAGGGTTTCTCAAACTGGTCTGTTGGCTCACCAGGGGGGCATGAGACGGTTCTCTGGGGGCCCACATGCAAAGTTTTCCACTTGTTAGTATTTGCGATGACTACAATTATTTATTTAACAAATACTGACCTTGATTTGTTGAATTATTTGACTGTAATGCATTAATTTTTGCCTTCATTTGTTCGCTTTTTTTTATTAAACGTGACGCATAAAATAACTGATTTAAACTCGTTAAAAGCAGAACTAGGCCTTTCATATTGAATGGCAGGAACTAACAGAATGGTATGAGTCCTCGGAAAACAACCACAGATCAGGGTTTAGTTCATATTCCGTAAATACAAATGAAATGAAAAAAAAGAATCGAGAAGAAGTTGCTCGAGTTATAGCGAAGCCTGATTTTATTCGAATCGTCCAATATTCTAAAATTCGAATCTATTAGCTTTTTTCGTAAAATCTTTTCTACAATGCTATATTTCTTTTGATCAAGAATTTACAAGCATCGCTAAAATGAGAACATGAATAATAAAAACTTAAATTAGCAATATTTATACATTCAGGTGCATTGGAAGCACTCTCTGCAGCCTTAGCTCACATGTCTGGTGCAACAGATTTGTCATCAAGATCGTTACTGAATGCTCAAGAGGTATGTGGAATTGAATTCATCATTTGGTAATGAAAAATATTCGCAAAAAGACTCTATGTGCATGTAGTAATGTCCTGGTATGGATTGCACAGAAAACTTATTATGAATATATTTGAGGTCTTTCAATTTTTGTCTCTTTTTTTCAAGGCTATATAAGCAAGTCGGCACTCTGAAATATAGTAGTGTTTTACTTCTACTACAAACACACAAATATTGTATTATGTGTGAGAGGATGTGCATCTGGGACGATGAGATATTCCAATAACATTCTGTTCACAATATGTGATTTTGTGCCTTTCTGTACTTTCAGGGTTTTACAACATGGCACCTCAAGTCCTCTATTGTAGCCAGAGGATCTGGGTTCTTCTGGAATGCCCTTGAAAGATGTTTTGGTCAAGATAATAAACAAAAAATGCTCGGAATGAGATTGACCCAAGATAAAATGGTGAGTGTTTCTACATATTTCAATTGAATCCTAGGATGTTTAGCTGTGTAGTTCTGAAAGCGTGGAATATAACAACGAATTTAGTGTTACTGCATTATTTATCAAAAAATGCCTGCTATATTAATATATCAATTTTGAACCATGCGATCTAATCAATGTATAAATCATGGGCATAATATGAAAGGTAGCAGAAGTTTTTAAAATTGACAACTTAAATACCATCAAATTTTTCTATAAACACTTTCTGCTATGTCTCAAAATAAAGAAATTTCGGACCTCCTGAAGTATGCGCACCAAGATGCCGCACAACCTGAACTCAGGTTGGGTACCAGGTTAGTGTTCGGGTTATGCGACCTCTTGGTGCGCTTACTTCAGGAGTACCGAAATTTCTAATGGACTATACATTGTTAATTATATTACCACCATTGTCTCTAAGTGGCAAAAATAAAAGTCAAATCAAATGTACATTATTGGCAGTATTAAATGGTATATAAGAAGGCGAAATCTTTCACTTTTTAAGGTTTTAAAATTTGTCATATTTTGCATCCGTGTGTACATTGGCTGAACCATGCTTCCTTCGCTCTTAATTCCTGTATTGTTGCACACACACGCCTAAAATATCGACATCTTTTTTGAACAAAGTTATCTCCGATATCGTTTTTATTTTTATCAATCATTTGTATTACTTCAACAGGGCTGTGTGTTGGACATTCCAAACAATTTGACAGCGTTGATCAAAGAAAGTTGGAGAAACACTGATAAGATAACGATGGAACAAGCGGAATCATTACCCGAACTTATTGAACAAGATAGCAGGCGATCTGGTGGAGGTGGCGGCGGATTTGGTCGCGGCAGAGGTGGCTGGTCACGGGATGGTGGATTCCAAAATAGAAGAAGCTTTGGTGGACAGGGACGTGGTGGTGGTTTTCGCGGCCGTGGTGGCGGTTTTCGTGGCCGTGGCGGTTCGAGTAGAGGAGGTGGTGGCATGAAGCGTAGTTGGGGCGGGGACCGAAAATATAGATAATTTTTGTGATCTAAATTCTAAACTACTGTTGGCTACTGATTTGTTTGGAAGTATTTAGTTCTGTTTAACGTTATCGTATTTGGCAGATGTTTGTCATGCTTCTGAGGAAGGGAATGAATGTCGTTTCTTGTGTGTATTTAATATTTGATTTAAGTAAAACACCCCACACAAGCATTCCATTACTGAAGTTATAAGGATACGGCCATAGCGTTTGTTCCAGTAACCCACCAACGCCAGTATATTCATCTAACGTTGGACCCAAATTATGTAATATAACCATCTGCCTAACTGAGTGTGATTATTCACAAGTACTGGATGTTTGGAGCCTTTTTACTAATGCTTCCAGGATCATTGAATATTTTCCATACGTTCTATATTGCGTTTTACTGTCTTTGATTCTATTGAGTAAACTTGAAAAAGGTGGAGTGTGTGTGATTGCTTTTTGATTGACACGGACGCTTTTGGTGACCAAATTTTTTTTGCAGGTACACCGACTTGGGGAGAACCAAATCTTACCTTTGCCTTCTGTTTATGCAGCAATTTTTAACGGTTCATTTCCGACAGGTTCTAACTGAAAATCCTTGTTAGCAAAAGGCGACCCTCTCTGAGTACATTCATTGAAAACCAAAAACACTTTCTGCTTGGTCAAGCGCGACCATACTTTTTGGTCAACGCGGGATCCCTGATAGACTTCGACCGTGGGACTCTAACAACATTGTTTGTCTAGTTCTGACTGATAAGAGAATGAATTGGTACTTGGTAGTATTTTTTATAATTGTTAACATAAAAAAATACAGTAAACATCGCACGAAAAATATAAAAGTGAATAATCACAATGCAAGTACGAAAATAACATGCTTCAAGATCTGGGGAGCTTTCGCTATGGGGATCTCGTATATACCGTGGCAAGATGTCATCTGACGAACCATATGCATACGCAGGATTTCATGGAGATTTTGCAGGAGAGATATACTGTATAACAATTTCCGAACCAGTTGCTCAAACTAAGGTCCCGAGGACACGAGCCTTCAATTAAACGCGAATATAATATTTACAAACGGCCACTGACGTGCTATGGGTCATATATATTCTCTTTATCACTGAGCCAGAGATGTCGGTAGACGCGAAACTTGAGGCAGTTCTAGTGTAATAGCTAAGAAGAAAGCGAATTTTACAGAGCAGAAATTTGTGGAAAATTTCTTCAAAAATTAGTGTAATATAGTAAAGTTTAATCAGTATATATTACACAATGAGGTATTACGTATATATTTAAACCTTTCGGGCTAGAATCCTGCAGGCTAGGTTGTCAGGGAAGACTCGAATCACCACTTATTGAGTTCGAATTATTCAAATGATATGCTTCGCACTCATCAAACCGCTAGTGAAATTTAACTCTGCTGTTCGGGACCTAGGGACATGTACCCAACAATGGTGTCAGAAGATCAAAAATATCACCATCTGGTGAGGCGAAATCTTTTTTTTTTTCAAATGAGAGAAACAACCTTTCTCTTTACACACGACGTTTCGATCATCACTCAGGTGTCAGGTAAAAGTCGTGGTTATTTTGAAATTGACTTGAAAGCAGTCGCAGCCGCTATTTTTGGTCTGACAGCTGTGATTCTGCTTCCTCTCCCTGATTGCATTCTTCGTTGTAAGTCAGGGTGAGCACCTTCGTCTTGCTCATCTGCCTCGGACCTAATTTCCATCTTTTGAACAATCAATCGTAACAGGTCATGTTGCTTGTTCATTGTGATTTGCATCTCTTTCAGCCTGTGATATAAGGGAATGAAAAATGGGAGAACGATTGGTGGTTAAATGCGAGAGAAAATATGTGAAGCTGTTGGCCTGTTTGAGTCTGTGATAGGGGAGAATGATTGGTGGTTGAATGTGAGAGAAATGATCAAAGTGAGAGAATGTGATTTTTTGGCCTTTTTGAGTCTGTGATATGAGAGAATGAAAAATGAAAGAACGAGTGATAGTTGAATGTAAGAGAAATTATCAAAATGAGAGAATATTAAATTGCTGGTTTGAGAAAAGAGACATAAAATGGATTTCGGAAAACAAATGTTGTTGTTAATCCAAAAATAATGTACTGACCTGTCTTTCTGTTTTTGAACTTCGACATTCAAGTAATTTATGCTTCGATCAGTCATTGTAATGTGAGATATTGGTTCTTCGTGAATTCCTTCTTGTTTAGCTGTCAACTGTTTGTAGGAAAGCAGTTTCAAATCATTACTTACGCATTACATTGTTACTACTTTTTAGAATAAATAAAACTGTGAACGTTATATTTGAGGGCAAGCTCGTTTTGACATGGCTACTAGTTGAATGAATTAGGGAAGTCCGTAATATCACAACCTAAACTGTAGCGTTAAATTTACTTTCGGTTGAAACGAGTTACATCCTAATTAGTAACTCGCGGAGTTGATGTGGGTGGCTCGTCAGAATGGGAAATTTTAATTTATCGCTTGACGGAAAAAGTCGGCGTAGTTAAAGATGGTGGACCCTAGCTATTTAGAATAGAATAGGAGTTTCATATTTATACAGGGGAGTTAAAGTCGATAAGACGACTTAATCTTATGGCAAACCTCATCCGGTTACCAGCCCATGTCGGGTATGGGGTGAGTTAACCCGTTTTTTATTGTTGTTTCAGATGCATGGACTTAAGGGAAGCCGTAATCAACCAGTGGTAACGTGAGACACCTTATGGCGGCGAGGAGTTCAGCAATCCTCTTGCGGGCCTGTGCAGGATACACTCAGCAACAAGGGGATCACTAAAGTAACTAGGTCGAAAATACCGGTTCTCACCTTTCCAAATATTTGTCCAATCAGTCCACAACGTCTGTTAGGGTAGATAATTTGTTCATCTTTATCAACGATTCTAAGAATTTTAGTTGATAATCGTCCTTCGATCTCTGTGTGAAGTTGAACCTGAAGAGATAAAGACAGGGTTTGCCATTTTGCATTGATCTATCTATTTCCGACCGCTTCCAATCCACTGCAATTGCAATAATTCTATACAGTAGATGCAGACCCACTATTGTTTTTGTAATTACGAATTCTTTAGAAGGAATAACGCTATAGAAAATTAAGGAAAAAATAAAATCACATCCGTTTGTTACGCGCGACTAATACCGTTTCTTGTAGTATACCTTTGCTAATGCACGGATTTTGAACTAGGAATAAATAGGGCTATTTTGTTTGATTCAAAATTCTTGCTGCACACTAACACAAATGTATTTCTGTAACGTGTCATCTGACCGACTTCATCTTTGATTTCCAAATGGTTAGTGAACAAGATTAAGATAGAAGTTACCTGCATTGCCAATCGCTGAAGTTCAGCATTGCTCTGCACTGCTGCGATGTCCCCGACAGCCAAACCAATGAGAAGATTCATTAGTAATATTGGCATCACAATGATAAATCCACCCAACAATAACATAGATGCGATAGAATAATGCAATGTTTCGTCATTCCCGTCAACAAATGGAGCTAAGAAGTTATCCAGATAACTAATTTCCCCCAATGTCATTGTCACTACTCTCATGAACGCAAGTGGTGGCGTAGAGAAGGATTCATCGGCCTGTGAATGGAAAATTTCAAAACAATATTTGGTCTTCAATAGTTGGTACATAGAGGGAACATAGATAAACGGAGCCAATAAATTTCATATATTCTACAAAAACGAAGAAATTTCAATTCCGTGTAGATCTGTACCTCAGATTTATATTTAATTAAAATGTAAACAACAAGTAAGAATCATTTAAAAATTCAACAAATAACGGAACAGACTTTATATGCATAGTGAGAGGGCAAGAGATCCAAAATATGAAAAAAGGGGAATATATCGAAAAAGACTGGATACCTCTAACTTGATTTAATGCAGTTAATTGGTATTACACATCTCGTCAGTCTGCCCTAAAAATCTTTTGATATGGTAGCCCAATTGATCTTTACATATAATAAGACGAATTCATTTTCTATTACAAAATCTTAATTTTGGGGTTTCATCCTCATCTGTACTCTTGGCTGAGCCATGCCTAACCCATTTCGCTTAGGACCCCGCAATAGTTCTGCACTAGTTATAACTAAACCAGTCAATATATTACGCTCTTTTGATCAGACTTGAGGTTCAGATTTAATAATATATATATTACCTCGTGGTTCATCAAAATGTAGAATGATAGAGTGAAAGCGATAATGAGGAATGAAAACAGAGCAAGTACTTTTACAAGTGTCCGTAGAATTACTATGAACATCACCACGTATATACCGGCTATGTCAAATCTGAATGAAAAAATATCAAAATAAAACATATTAATTGAATACCGAAAATAATAATATATATTATCAAGAGCGCAATGATGAAATATATGGAAACGAAAGCCAAAACGAATTAGTAAGGGTGTCTAATCTTTCACATTACCGGTATGGTAGAGTAGATGACGTCATCACAAACAAAAAAAAAACGGAAGCCCCGAGGTGTCCACATCAATTTTTGTAATAAAAAAAAAGTAATTGCCTTTTAGCGATTACAACAATTTTTATTAATTGGGAATTTTGAAACGCTTTTTTCATAACAACAAGAAAATGAATTCTAACGACAACAACAACATAATACCAAAACTATCTATAGGTACATTTCGTGTCCAACAAGTACGAGGGTCAGAAATTTTGAGATTATATCAGAATCTAACTCTAGTATTCTTTCCAATATTTGTGCTTTGTGCTATTACCGAGCAAACACCGTCCAACACCAGTGGTCGTTTACCATACGTATAAGTTTTTATTGGCTATTTAATGAACAAAAATATGAAATTTTCCTAATATCTTTGTTGTTAACATGACTTTCGGAAAATATGATTATTTGAATGTGCGCTACCCCGACTTTATATCACGACAGCACACCATATATATAATATTTATAGAATACAAAAACAATACCTTTGAAAAAACAACAGCAAGTTGAACCACGCTAAATACACGGCAATAGCTCCAAACTCAAACTGCCAATGTAGTGGATATCCAGAATAAAACGGAAAAACGTATAAAATACTGCTCACATATAGGACCCATTCAAACAGATTTGTCATATCCAGAAAATACTTCAGTCTCTGAAAATGAAAATAAAACATTTGAATAGCCTTTTAGAATCTAGTTAATTAGAAGATGTTTATTTTCGGAATTTTTTGTCGATGTTCAATTTTTCTGTTGCATCGGGGCGGCAGGGATGTCATGTACATATTGCCCAACATCTTAGTTGGTAGGTCTGTCGATATGGGTTTACACTTCAGTTATATACAGCACACATAGCAAAAAATTGACTAGCGATTTGATTTTGAGTTATGCTGAGAACAATAAATGATAAACGTTTGTAAACTTGCAATATTTCAGCGTGTTACCCGAACCCACATTCATATCTGGTTTGAAAAGTATGGAAGAAACGATCATCAGATTATGAGCGTTTTTTACTATTAGAAACCATTTTCATCGGTATACCTTACTGTCTTACTTGCTCATCTTAAAAATTATTTCTCAAAAACCTTTTTTTTCTCGATAATTACAGTTACCAAAATATTGGCAGCAACACGTAACAACGAGTAAAAAATTTGTACTAATGATTATATATTTAATTAAAAGGCATTGATTGAAAAAAAACTTTTATTATGTATTCACAGTTATTTTCTATTCAACAAAGGCCACAATAATGCATTGTTTAAGCTTTTGTAGCAAACGATATACGTACTCATTTACGAGAATATTGTAGTAAAATTAACATATTGTCTAGGCTTTGATGATTGATGACATGGCGACTGACATGGATCAAGAATATGTCACAACTTAATTGAATTACAAGCTTCCAATTGAATTAAAATAGTTCAAGCCGTAGGAACAAGTCCGCACAAGTATATGCTTTGGTGTTGTATATCAGTCCTGAGGTCTGTTTCCAATTTTGGAAACATATTGTCCATTGGGAAGTATCATTTCATTGTCTTTCAATCCCGCGAAAGGCTGGAAGATCGCCGTATTAAAGTAAGCGATATGTGAGTGCGTTGTAACGCGATAGCATAGATATAAGCTGCCGAAGTCTGTAGGATGCGATGTACCCGACAGTGCACTGGTCCACTGTTTCGCCTATACAGACTCTTTCATTCCACTTCATATGTCTCGCCCTTTTATCCTACTCTTGGTTGTATTTACATTCTAGTACTTTCGACAATATCAACATAAATGGCTTTTATGTTTTAGAAATTTTACATAGAACGCCATACAGATAGATATTCACGCATTTATTACAATTTTCCAATAATAATCTGGAACCTTTTTTATTATTATAAAAAAATATAAATTACTTTGTAAAATAACATTTCGTACTGAAAACATGTCACTCAAATGTATTTAAAAAATGAACTTTATTTTTAGTACATAACTCAATACCCCTTCACAAATGGGGCTATTCAAATGACCATTGGGAACATCCATCCCTCTTTATTTCAACTATAACATTTCAAAATATGGGTTCTTGTGTCTACGTACCTGCTGGCACATTTGTACAATTTCTTTTATAATTTGTCCCAAAGACAACAGCGTTAAAATCACCATCATAGCGAGTTGGACTTTGGTAAATTGAACTGGAGAATCAAGGCGACTTGTGTAATTCCTAAAAAAAAAATCGAAAGTGTTTCGAATCAAGTGACGAATAATAAACGATAATTCAAAATAAAAGCCTGTTCATAGTATAAACATGAGCTAATGAGGTAGCAAGCAGCACTACCAATACAATGACAAATAATAGATTGATTGGTCCCTTATTTACAGATAAAAGCGATTATTTCATCACCAGTAAAATAACAATTTATCGTAACGATTCATAGTTCCACTTTGTCTTGAATTCAAGAATAAATTCAACGCAATGAGTAAATGAGAATTCCAGATGAAAGTATATATACTAATATACTAAAAGCGACATGTTTGATGTATTTTATAAAATCCATAGGATGTGTGTCATTAAATACAAAACTTGTTATTGATATTATAAACAATTACCCTGATACTTCATTATGAAACGTAGGTCCTGGATCCGTAGTACAAATAAGGTAAGTGAGAGGTATAAGTCCAAGAACGTAGATGAATAAATTTAAACCATGGAACCATCGTCCGTAAGCATTCCTGTATAAAAAAAATATGAAAAAAAAGTGACATTGCCATTGACAATTTTTAGATCTAGTATCGGGGAACCTGATGATATCAAATTCAATACATAAGTTAGTCTTCATTTAAAGCTTAAATATGCTAATATATCGAATAAAAACGTATTGAAATTACGAAGAACTTCTACGAAAATGAAAAAAATTATGTAATACTCGAACCTCTGTTTGTGTATGATTGTACTCGAGAGTTTCAATGATCTAAGACGTTTTGCACAAAAGCACAAAAATTATGTTTTTTTCTGGAATATGTTTCAAATTTTGCGTGGGTTCCGTTATTTTTGTCACCTTATATATATCCCAATATATATATTTGGATGAAATTCTCTGCCAACGAATCGTTTTCAAACGTACCATTTCATTTGAAGATATGCAGTTGAAACTGGATGTCTTAGGCATTCAACTCTGTTATACTGAACCATTTTCTAATAATGGAAAAGAGGAAAGTTTGATAAAATTATTACTATATCTTATTACTATAGTTGGTTGACAATTTATAATAGTTACATTCTACACTGCCACACTAGATCAGGGATGTCCCGTGGTCCAAAAACCTTGCCCGCCTAGACTGGCAGGCCATGTAAGTGTGACGTAAAAAGTTACATTTTATGAACAATATTTGCAGTGTTACAAAAGCAAAAGTAGAAAACAATAAGCCTCATGCTAAAACTAAATTTAATCGCAATCTCAACAAATTTCTTGAGCTATTTTTTAGCTGAAACATGGAAATTTGATTTTACTATGGTTGTGGCAGCATCGGGCGGGCCAGATTGAATCACACAACGGGCCGGATTTGGCCCGCGCGCCGTAGTTTGCCGATGTCAGCCCTAGATACTCCATTGACTAAATGTGATGAATAATGGTTCCAAATGAAAGTTTGCGTTCTAACAAACGAGTAGAGTGCTAATTTGATTTGTGTTCTGATCTAATAAGAAAGCAACTTAATGCTGTGTTGGGTTTATAGATTAAGTAATTCTGTTCACTTACATTCAAAGCTGGCAGAACAAAAGCTGAAGCTGTTACGTCAATTGGGTCAACGTCTTTTCCATTAACAGTTTTGACTTTGTTTTGTGAGTTTTGTCCCGTCTCTAAAATTTCTTTCATTTTTGCTCTGATTTCTTCTCTTTTGTTTACGTTAGGTTGAAGGTACTGTAAATAAAAAAATATATAAATAAATATTGGATGTGCAAAAAGCATCATTTTTTTATTGATTCTGCTTTGATTTCTCTGTGACCAAACATGAGACAACAATGACCCATCGGGTATCATTGTGTGTAGTTGAATAGCCTTATTGAGGGCATTTTGCACTTTCGCTCCGAAAAAGAATCTACACAACCAGTCGGACTTGTTGACTTAATATTAAAGCATTTGATGGCTCATAAAAAATTCTTAATATTTGTTACACGTATTTCAACTAGTATTTTACTGTTTGAAATATACTTGATTAAAGTACAGTCATAACACAATTATAAAACAACAAAAAATTTGAACGAATCTTTTTGTCAGACTATGATACGAATTATAAAGATTACACTAATTGTGTTGGAGAGAAAAAAATGTTTCTTCGGGAATCTCACTTCATACGTGAAATACAACGTAAACTCATTCTGGATCAGAAGCGAAAAAGTGTTAATATTATAATTTAGCTATCGTATCCACTTTTCATGGAATAGACATAAAAATCCTATTTTCATCCAGTGCGGGGAATGCTCGAGTCACGGACTCGGCTCAAATTGCACTCGAGTCATTTATTGAAGACTCGGAGTGTTTCGAGTCATTTTGAATGAAATGACTCGAACATGTATTCAGCTCACGTTGCATCACGTGTTGCTCACGTGTTGCATAACTCAATGACTTGACTTCGGACTCGACTTAAGACTCGTGACTCGACTTGGCGCGGGGTTTAGGCACTTCTACCCTACAATATTTCATTTACCTTAAATTGGTATCTGACCCAATAATTTCTGTGTTTTGGGCTGCAGTCTGCTGTTGTAATACTTCGGTCAAGTGCTACCTGAATGAAAAATATATATAATTGTGAATTTAAATGATTAAGATATAGATTACGGGATCGTGTGACAGATACCTATTATACTTCGTTTCATGTTTCTTGTACTACTGGATCGATGTGTGACCTGTGTCACAAGAATATTTGGATAAGATGAAGTCAAGAGTTTATAGCAGTGTTTCTCAAACTATCATGACAGGTAGCCCTTTTCAAAGACCATCAACACTTGTCCCTTGCTCTTCAATTAAAATACCTAGTTTCGCGTTTCTATTAGTTAATTAATGTGCAACGTTTAATAATAATAAAAAATTATAAAAAAAACAATAAATCCATTACAATCAATAAATTTAATGAACCACAGTCAATTTTCTTTAAATTAATGTAATCATCACCCAGTGAATACAATTTTGTTAAAACTGTTATATGACAAACAAAAAAGTGCATTCACCTGCCATACGTCAGGTAGATGTTGTATAAGCATTAAGCTTGGAACATTGATGGCTTCTTTAGTTTTGAAGAATTCTTGCATTGCTTCCTCGTACCTATCGTGCTAAATTTGAAAAAAAAAAAAATATTAGAAAAAAAAAATTGTTACACAAATACGTGAATACAGATTTAAAGTAAATTCTCTAAAATGGAAATTATATTTCAGTGTAATCTGAAAATCTATTTTATCGTAAGATGAACATGGCAACTGGTGCCATCTGTCTGTATCTTATTTACCAAGTGAAATTAATTTTATTAGCTATTAAGGCATTGGAAGCAAAGACATATGTAATGCATTAAATCACTTGAAATAAATTACGTATACAACAATTCAACTTCGTAGAGACACCACCTCAGAAATCAAAAACCAGTAGAAAACCAATTTCGAGGAGTGTGACTCTTCTTATATTACTAAATTAACACCATACAAGACAATAGTTTTGTATTAGTCCGGGTGGAAATTTTTTTTGAAAGAAATTTGTTATAAGCCAGGTTACGTGCACTCACTCAAAAATACAGCAGATTGAGCTCTGAAAGAAGTTAAAGTCACCACAAAAGTGCCAAGAGTTACTGATACTATAAATCAGGGGGGTGCGACATTTCTTACCAGCGGGCCATATGACCAACTTCAGACATCCAGCTATCGGCTATCGCTCATCCTTACTGTAATAAAGGCACCGGGCAAAAAGATTAAACGCAGCGACAAGAGCAAAAAACATGTATTTTTACCCATGTGAGCGCCTTTTTAAACATAAACCGTCGCATTAGAATTTTATTCGTCGTGGGAAAAAATCTGAATGTAACAAGGTTCACACTAAATGGCTTGGCTGGCCGGTTCCGGAGCGCCGTCCTAATAGGTAGCGATTTTGATTTTAGTTGATCATGTATCTAGTGTGATCAAGTGTGTGATTCATACATACCAGTACAGTTGCCAATGCTACTTCTCGATTTTGATTCTGTATTGCGTATGTGAAGAATGTATGTCCTTCGTTATTTCGTTGAACTTTTTCGTTTAAATCCATAAGCAATTTTACTGTACTAACTTGACTCGCACACCCAGCGTGATGAAGAGCTGTATTCTGTAAATATCCAAATACTCTTATTAAGATTCTTTTCCAAATCGATTATTGCGGGGAGGGTGGGGCGTTGTATGTTGGTGTAGTGAAATCTCTGCAGTCCACGAATCACAAATGAAGAATGGTTAACTATTCAATACCGGACATGGACTGGTAGACGAACGATAATCGATCGTCATCATATGATTCATTCGCCTTATCGCCGTTTTCCCTTGGATAAATATAAAAATCCTATCGGGCATATCGGACTGAACTAGGAAATGTACGGGCTTCAGTCAGTTTGTAACTAGTAAGCAAAGGTGATTAGCGCTATTCAGTGTATATAGTTTTGTTATAAATATGTTGACCTCCGTGTGGTTGAGATTTAAAGTTTTAGCTTAATCTGTTTATTCGAAAAATACCAGAATCTTACCCCATTCTCGTCGACATGATCCAATAATGTTTTGTTCATATGGACAAGTATTTTTATTGTCCGTGTGTAGCCGTTTGTAGCTGTTACGTGTAGAACAGACTCTCCTCGTATGTTTCTGTGGCAGACAGCTCCTCTGAATATTTCAAATTAAAATTATTGTGAGCAGAGTTTGATTATTGTTTGTTACATTAATAAAAGCATGGGAAATTGAAATTGAAAAAGGGCGGTTTTTGTATGCCTTGATCTATAGTTCGATATCTGATACACAAAAATGGGAAAGCGAGTTTGCAAAAGATGGCCTAGCGGTTAATTAAAGCGTTAAACTTAACTATGTTGACATCGCAGTTTCGAGCTCAAACTCCATGACCACCACTTCACCCCAAGGTGTAAGAGTAGAGTGACAGTGTCGAACCGTTAAGATTCGGATCCATTCAAACATAACAACTTCTGTTGCTTGTACATAGCCTCGTGCCGAGCGAAAAGCGTGAATAATAAGCATTTAACAGAGTTAAGATGAAAATATTTATTAAAAAATCGTGTTTTCTGAGTTAAATGTTACTAGCTAATATAAGTAAAATTTCAGCGTACTTGTTCAGGAGTAGTTCCACGATTTTTGTGTGCCCGTTTTCAGCTGCGTAATGTAGCGGTGTCATACCAAGATTGTCTTTTTCGTTAATAATGTTTGGTCCCTGAAAAACAGAAAAAGAAGAATTAAGTTCGTAACATTCTTCCTATATTTTATGGGGATTTTTACAATTAAATATTTAATAAAGTCTCTTGCTTCTCATTTCGTTTTCTGTGTCAAAAATCAAGTCACATCTTATCTTAGACTTACTTGGACTAAAAACAGTGAAGAACGTGCAATACATGGCTAGGCACAATTTTCCGGAACAATATTACAGAAACCAGGTCATTTGAAACATAATCTAGAGAAAATATAACTTTTGTGCAAAGCGTCATATATCACTCAAACTTTTGAGTACAATCGTACAAAAACAGAAATTCAAGTTTTCATGTGTTAAATAAAAGTAATTTTCATATAAACAATGAAGAAAATTTATTGGTTCTGTTTGTTGGGGGTAACCCTGTATTTAGGGAGCAAACTTGCATATCACAAATTATTAATATGGCTATGTCAAACTAAAAAAATCATAATCGATAATACCAATTGGTTCTTATTAGTTGTATGAAAGGAGCCTTATCGAAGAAAAAACGAACTCACCTGAGGAGAACTGATTAGTTTCTTACAAGCGTTATATCTTCCATATTGAGCCGCAAAATGCAATGGAGATTGATTTCCCGACGACTTTAGTCTCGCACTCACTCCTAGCACCATGAGAGTATCCAAACTCGCTAGATTTCCTTCTTGACATGCGTAATGAAGAGGTGTACATCCAGCGTTGTCTGGTTGAACAAGAAGAGACTGGACTTCGGATTTCTGTGGAATAAATACAAGTAAAATTTAGTTTAATGGCTTGCAACCTTAAATTTCTCCGTCTGCACAGTTCGAAAATCTAACAAAATAGTTTGATTTTCCGTATTAAAAGAATTATAAGCTAGTGATGCACGCAAATCGCACTCTGGTTGTCATACAGTTTGAATAGCTTATAATGTGCGCATAAATAAGCATTATTGTAACTCTAAATAACTAAACCATATAACTAAATTTACACCAAATACAAAGTAATATTCCTGTATAGAAAACAACAAAATTCGTCCATGTGGAGGATTTTATACCTGGTGGGAAAATGCTGATTTAGTTGATGAATGCTGCTTTTATCATTTAAATTTCAGCTTTCCAGTCTAGCTCGAATGGTAAATGACTACCAGAAAAATTGAATAATGTCCCACAACCTAGTTGATAGAAGTTGGGTGACCAATGGAGGCAATATAGAATGGTTATTCATTTACAAATGGCTAGTTAGAATACACAATATATATGCAGTCAATGAATTCAATTTAAACATTCAAATCAAGAATGATATGTTTACTAAGGCAAATTTGTATTTCGAAGGCACAAATATTTTAAATTCTACATCTTACATTACATATTTCTATTCTCAGATTACCCTATTTCATTCTTCATTTGACCAAATTTTATTAATTTTAATAAGACATAAATTAAGCTGATGCAAAGTAAGTGTTGAATAACTCTCTTGCGTAATGATCACGACTAGTGATTGAAATAGGTAATCGAACAAATACTAGAGAGTAATAAAAAAAAACAGGATTTTCTGTTCACTATTCACATGACGTCAAATCGTATTAAAGCTATTCAATTGGATGCCTTATTACGACTTTTCAGCACACTGTAAAATGTCAAATAAAGAATCGTCGTTTTTGATTTGGGCTGGGTTACCATAATTATAATGAGCCAAATCACAAATCTAGTCCTTTTGTAACTTGGATCATTCGTCCCACCAATTTGAATTCAGTTTCGGTTTGTATTTTAAAAATGAGTCGAATCGCAACTTCCAGTTGGTTACAATTCGTTCTACCGGAATGTGGGATTTTATAGTCAGAAGACAGCAATGTAAAAATGTTTTTGTGTTTACTCACACATAAAATATTTTTGCAAGATTCTCTAAACTGTTGATTTTTAAACTTTTGTGATTGCAGTTTTTTGAGATCACCTCCATTGATGACGATCATATGAAGAAAGCTTCTGTTACATTTATTCTAAAAATAAAAATCATTTATATCATTATTAAAAATAAAAAACGTTAAAATCAATAGTGTAGTAAAAATATATTATTTTGACAAGATTTATATTCGTAGAATAAATAAAAATATCCTAAAATTATCTCAAAATCGATATCGGGTCGATAAATATATTTGCACACTCACTATTATGATTTAATAGTTACTTGAAATCAAATCCTATTGTGGTGTATTTTTTTCATAAACATGTGTCAATTATGAATCGTTCTCAAACAGAGCGCACTATTACTGGCCAACAATAAATCAAGCTTAAATATGGAAACAGCACTTGATTTATTATTCAAAAGTAAAAAATAACACCATTGAAAAAAATTATGTTGCTTTTCGCTCAGAAGCAAGCCCGTTCCCGACCTTTGCATTCGTGACTTGCCGAGTTACCGAAAAAAAAACGTGGTGGATCACGGTCACCCCGCAGGTCAGCGCCCCCAATCCAAAACGGGAAGCCAAAACGATGTAGCGCGGGTATGCAATAGGTCACAGTAGACTACCGGTACAGCACAGTTCACGACTAACGCGATCGTGGAACCGCCACATGGTGCAAAATTGTCGATGACGTCATCGCGCATAAAAATCGAATCCCATTTAAAAGTAATAGACTTCCAGGAAAAAGTACAATTTTTCAAAGCAATTTGTCTAGTAGTTGGTGAAAAAATCGATTTTTTTTCATAACAATAAGAAGAAATATACTAATAAGAATATACTAGAACAACAACAACATAGTAACAAATCGTGCCCAAAAGCCACTGGACAAATGGATAATTGTCAATGGTTATATTATAAATAAATATAACTGACTTCAAGACCCAGTAAGGCGATTATTTAGTAAAATTCTCCCTACAAACAACTGCATCACGCATTTGGATATAGTTAGTAAATTATAATTGATCAAGCAAGATCGATCAAAATTATATTTTAGCACCAAAATACTTCTCTTTGTTAAATAATTTAAAAGATTTTATCATTGTAAACCCAAGATTTGATTAAATTGGTCGGTATTACTCATTTTTATATAAAAAATTCGTGGTTCGTTTGACAATTATTTATGAATTATTTATTTAAAACCATTCACGTGAGTGACGCACAAATATTTTTTTGGCAAAATTTTGATTTCCCAATTAAAAGGGCAAAACTTGTAGTGCCATCCATGTTGATACAACCAAATATGTTCATGATATGTCCACCCAATATCCATTTTAATACAACCAAATACCTTAATGAATATGTCCGCCCCCATTTCAATGAGATCTCTGACAGAAACCCAATTACCACGTGACGCTGCCAATAGCAACGGTGTATTCTGATCTGCATCTACGATATTTAAATCTGCTCCGTGATTGGCTAGAAACTCAACGATGCTTGCATGGCCATACATGGCGGCTCTGTAAGATAATATAAAAAGGCCGATTTCAAGGTTGTATCAACAACTAGGGGAAAAATTAATAATATTACTTTCTCGAAATCCTGGTTGCGCGTCTTTTATCTACTTGACAAAACCACAAATCAAAGTTGCAAAATCAGCTGGTTAGCTGTTTAGGCAATGGTACCAAATCAAAATATATAAAACTGCTATATATCAAAATATTTTAAACCCTAGAGCAAGCGCAAACTCTTATAAAACCAACCAAATCAAATACTGTAACTATAAGTGTCCCAGACGTGTAAATTTTAGTTCTGCAACAATATGAGTACTAACTACTCGAGGAATCGGTTTCGATTATTGCTGATCTATTCGTTAAACAAGAATGAAGTAGTTTTGGTATGCAATCTGTCACAGTAGACTACCGGTACCGTACTGCAGCAGACTACTAGATATCAACTTACGCGAAATCGGAACCGCCACAAGAAGCGCAATTTTGATGACGTCAACGCACACAAAAAAAGAATCTCATAGAGGCCACAGAAATTTAAAGAAAATTAAAATTAAATTATTAATCTTTAATCATTGAAAATTCCAGAGCAATTGATGCAGTAGTTGATGAGAAAAGCTCTTTTTCATAACAAGATAAATACTAACATGAAATAGAGAAAAAACGACGACAACAACGATCCAAATGTACATTTCGTGTTCAATAAGTGCAGGCGAATTCACTAACGTAAAGAGAAAGTAGCAGTGGTTGATCGCTACTTTAATCACCCATATACATTAGGTTCATTTGTCGTCAGTTGGATAAAAAATTGACCAATCACCATCAATTACTTATCGTCATAATGCTGTTTTAATAGTCAATATAAAACAACTATAAATTACCCAGAAAGCAATTAAAATCAACTTACTTATGAAGAGGTGTGTGACCTTGTTTATCTTGCATCGACAGACATGTTGCTGCTTGCTCTTCGGCTAGTTCAAACATATTTTCAACAATGTCATAGGCTCCCTGTGCACACACTAAGTGCATAGGCGTTGTCATGTCCGCTTGCATTGTGTCAAGCCTAGCACCGTTCCTAAATATAAACATAAAACCATATTGTGAGGAAGAAAATCTGAACTTTTTATTCTCTCATTTACTCCTTTGTTTCCTTACTCAAATTGTTTTATATTATCACCTACAAATGACTTTGGAAGAAAAAATTTCAATGGAAAATTGCGGATGTAGTATACGTTTAGTGTCGGGTAACCTCATCTGATAGTTACGAGATCCTAAGCATTGAGTGATTACGTTTAACTATGATGACATAATAGATAGAAATTTAAACAATCAGAATCCCAACGACACGCGACTTTCGTGAGAGCCCAACAAAAGAGATGTCGTTGCCTTATCAATGTAAACATATATGCATCACCCAACAAGATGAAATGCAGATTTGACACGTTCGCTAACAATGATTAGTCATATTTACTGCATTACTGATGCCTTCTCGCTTTGATATATATTATAATAAATTATCTTTTAATTTCCAATTATATATCTCAGAATTTTGTGTCGCTAAAATTATCGAGGATAAATATAACTTGGGCCAATGAAGAGTTGGACTTAAAAGCAAGATTTAAGTACATACATGCTTGATAAAGATGTCTTTTTTTCTAAGTTACCGGTACGTGAGAGTTATTTACCTTCATTTATTTTGAATACAGGAATACATAGAGGGGTCAAGGGTCAAACATTTCAAAACAAATATGCTTAAAATAATATTACCAATCAAAAAAAAGTAAATTGTGATTTTGAGAGGTATGGTTGATTCTATAAATAGCAATTTCATAACGTTAGAAGTGAGAGTTTAAGTGCAAAAAAACGAATTCTCCAAATCACTTTCTATAGAGCATTAAAATTGTAAAAAGACAAGAGAGCAATGCTTAACTATATAGACACGAGAGCAAAAACGATGTACCCGAAAACTTTCACAGTACCGGTCCAATAAACTATAGAATGACTCATGTTTGGAATTTTGTGACTAAAAATTGTTCATAGAGTCATGTTACGATCAGAATTTTGTTATGAAGTCAGTTCTCGATATATCTTAAAATTTACCACCAAAACCAGTGATTTTTTTAGGAAGTAAAATCACACATTTATATTTATGTAAAATTACAACTATTTCACAATTTTTCATAACAAATACGAATAATCAAATAAATAAAAACACTTACTCTAAACACATCTTGATGGCATCTGCATCTCCACCGAGCACAGCACAATGTAATGGACTACACAATTCCTTGTCGCAAAATGATAACACTCGATCTTTAGGATATCCATGTTTTTCGCATTCATCCAATATTAACGTCATTACCCTGATAATTAAATTGAGTTAACTATATAATAAAAAGGACAAATTCAAAAGCAGAAAATCAGGTAATTTAGGTTAAGATTCCACTTAATATTATTAATATTATACCCGGTTTCAAATACCATGCCTTCATATCACCTGGGATGCAATAAATTGGGTACGGAATACCGAACCGGTAAAATCTTCCCAAACAATAGTAGCACTACACATATTATTAGATATCAGTGGGTGCTACTTACAAATGGCCTCAGAGCGAAATGGGTAAATAACATCGTATAAATTAACAAAATTGTTTTATTAGTTAACCATACTTCCCTCCAGACGTTTCAGTAATCTGAAGTTGTGTTCTCTCTCTAGAAAATGTTCCAATTGGCGCTTATGGGGTCACAATGTAATTCAATCACGAGTATGAAAAAAAAAAATTGACAATCACTTTATTGATCCATTCAACGCTGCGGTGTGTAAAGGTTTATATCCTTGCTGGCATGATTTACATAATTTTGCTCCACCATCTAACAACAACCTGGCTGCTTCATTTCGATCGTATTCAGCAGCAACATGCATCGGTGTATTGAGAGTTGATCCTTGTTCTTCGTTGAGGTCGATTACACCCTTTATAAATTAATTACAGAAAATTTAAAATTAGGTGCAAATTAACAAAAAAAAAATCTGGAATTTAGTGTAGTTGGTGTGGAAATAACTAAAAATGATATATAGATTGTTCTAAAAGTTTCTTTCCAATTTCAATTTTGTTATGAAGTCAGTTCTCAATATATCTCAACCAGGTTTGTCCTATTTCAATCAGTGTTTATTTACGTTTTTACTTCGTTTATCACATATGTAGGGGCCAGCAAACGGTATCGATAAATTTACTTTGCAATTTAAAAAAAAAATTAGGAACTTTATGAACACCCTGTATAATAAACACGAAGAGTCAAACATTTGTCAAATCTATCTATAATTAAATTGTTCTGAGAGATATTAATTTGATAACACTTTAATTAAAAATTTCTCATTAATTCATTAATTCAACAAGTAAAATGATTTTTTTTAGCCAAATATATGAAAGTGGCAATCTGATTCCATTTTGACGGGAACAAATGTCACCAATTTCATATGGCATAACTATGTATGCATATGCATTATCTCTTATGGGCTTACGTTATTAGGTATAGAGTCACTGTTCTGATAAACGTTAGGAACAGAATGTATATACGGTGCCTGTCGACCAACGAACCTTACATCGAAGTATATTTGTTTTTTAGGGAAGCTACACAAAATGTTTACCTTATGTTTTATAAGAGCCCGCAAAGCATTTAATGCGTTGATTCTAACGCTTAAATGAAGTGGAGTCTCTCCTCTATCGTTTAATATAGTTGGATCACAACCTCTAGATACAAGGTAATCAACTGCTTCTTCGTTGTTTTTCTCAACTGCCCAATGCAAAGGTGTCGCAGAACCTTCATCCGGAAAATCTATTACTGAAAAATGAAAAAAAATCTTGAACAGATTTTGAGTGTAGTACTAAAATATTTACTGCAAAATTAAATGGTTTCCTTCAGACCAACATAGTCAAACAAAAAGTTCTCAAATACCCGTTTTTCCACGTATAAAACTACGTGTTTGAAATACAAAAGCATTATAAAATCTAAATTAATTTTCGAAACGCTTCACATATTGTCTCAGTCACACAACTGAAATGAATTAAAGCATGTTTAAAAAACGCGCTTCGCACTCGTCGTTATAGTCTGTGACATTTTCACCCTAAGTGAGGTGATAGGCAAAGGTTTTGAAACACAGATCTACAACCTGCAATGCGATGTACGTTTATATATTTCTTTCTGAAATAAACCCAACTTCTTGATTTCTCAGCTACATTCCCCAAAATAATATAAATAAATGAAAATAATATATTAAAGTTAACCCAAAACACAAAACATAACTTTTGTGCCAAGCGTCGTAGATTACTACATCTTTTAGGTACAACTATAAACTAACAGAAGTTCAATTGTTCGAATGTTAAATAAAATTTAAGTGGTTGAGAAATTTATGGGTTCATTTATGTCTTTTTCAATACGGGTGCCATCTGTATTATTGCATGATACTAATGTATGTATATTATAGTATCGATTCTGATTTTAATTTTTTTTGTAAACGGCTATTGATTCTTTTGTTACGGTAAATATTACGCCACTTGTCGTAAACATTGTTTTTGTGCGCGAATTCCAGAAACCTTTCAAAACATAAATAATGCCAATTTATCTTCGAAAACATCTCTGCGTAAGCATCATGAATTTTTTACACCGTTTATGTAAGATTACGTCCAAAATAATTCCCCATAAATCACGAAGATCTTATCCATTGCTTATTATCCAAATGCCACTGCAATTTTATAGTATTTGCACTTGAAATAGTGCTAGCACTGCAGGAGAACTCGGAGAAAAATTAACGGGGTATCATGAGAAGCAATACAAAAATAATAACAAACAATACAAAAGAAAACAGATGGCCACGTAAGACTGCCTGCTTCTGCAATGCATTGTTTAAATGGGAAGAGAAACAAGTTATATGATATGCATATTGCCTAGTTTTGAGCAAGTTCGTCAATAGCTAGGTTACTTTCTTGAGTGACTGCACATGGATTGCTTCAAGCCGCCTCCATAAAAATATAAACAAAATTGGTTAAAAAGGCATATGGAGATATCTTCAATCTATACTTCAGAGTATATATCCATATAGAAGTAAACTGAGGCATGAATATATTATTAAAATGAAAAACGATTCGTTAAAAAAATGCTTTCCGGGATAAAATGACAAAAAAAAATCCATGATAGGAAAAACTTGTCAAAAAAAGAAGAGGATAACTTTTGTGGAGAGACAAATTATATTTAAGCGAGGACGCTAATAACAATTAAAGTAATTTCCTTACGTTTGGCGCCTTGCTGGTCTGCTAAAACATAATCCATGACTCTGGTCTTGCCGTTGGCTGCTGCGTGGTGCAGTAAAGAAGCACCATTTTCATCACGACTTGTGATTCTCTCTGGATTTGCGTTACATACTGTCGATATTTCCTTCACTTTGCCATTTGCCGCCATCTGAAATATAGGAAAATCTGGATAAATAAATTATTAATAATACCAAAATTTTAAAAAGAAAGAAGTGATTGAAATTTGGTGCGTTAACGTATTTCAATTCAATAATTTTGAATCAAAAGTCAATACCAAATACAGGGTGACCCCAAAAAATCAGAACCCATAAATTTCTCAATTCTACGAAAATGAAGAAAATTTGTTCAAAACTTAAACTTTTCTTTGTGTATGATTGAACTCAAAAGTTTCAGCAAATTAGGACATTCTGCACACGGGCGTAGCCAGAAATTTTTAAAAGTGGGGCAAGCTACGAAAAATTGATATGTATGATACAAAAAGATGCTTTTGTTTTTTTCACATTTCCAAAAAAAAGAGGGGGGGGGGTCCGACCTCAAAAACCACCCATCCTTGGCTACGCCCCTGATTCTGCATGAAATTTCTATTCTCTTTAGAAGATGTGACAGTTTTTCCTTTTATTTTATTTATGTATAATTTTTTTTTTTTTGGTCACCCTGTAAGGCCCATATTAGACACGCCTTTTCTAACAACGATAATAGCTAAATGAAAGATCACCTAATGTATATGTCCGTCTGTAACAATTAAATCTGCATATTGTACAACACTTCTAGCCCGTGACACAGTAAGGTTATACGGATTTTATCTATTGCTTCGTATAATCAGTAATCTCCGATTTTTAAATATATGCAAATTAACCACAATTTTAATAAAAAAAATTTAAAAGATGTGATTTATTTTCTTACATTCATGAGGCCAATGTCGTCAACCAAAACATATTGCCTACGCACGCAATTTCTAAAATATAAATTTTTCAAATCCAAATCTTTCTGCTGATCTTCCGTCCAATCGTCATACCAAGACATTTTGCCCGCTTGGTTTGAACCAGTAGCTTTAATTTTTACCAACTCCAACCGATCACTCAGTGAGAGTAGAGCATTACTTCGAGGAGAAATCATCGTGATATACTTATATACACTCACTATTAACCGTAAAATAGAATATTAACTATTCTTCCTGAGTGATGTGTGCCTATGAGATTGTCAGCCAAGATTGAGTCAAAGATGGTCGTCGTATACACGAAAGCCCACATCGTTAAAGAGCAATTTATGAGTTTCTGAAGTACATCCTAAATTTTGGTAAATTTACTGATTTGTTGACAGGGTAAAGCGCTATTGGGTAAAACAAATATGTCGTAAATGACAAATAACAAAGGTATAAAAATAAAATAAAACGACGAGTATAGCAAACAGTTAGGTACATGACAGTAATTGGGGGTGGCTGCGGATTGTTCGAGTACTCAGATATGGCATCAGTCACCTGGTAATGATATTCATGGGAAACTCGACTTAATTTTGATTAATTAAGTTCGATTATGCATTTTTTTGTATATGTTTAAATAGTATATTCATCTTTATTCTTGCTACAGTGTCCTTGCGTTACACGCATGCGGATCCACTTCCACAAAGGCGTAGAGCAAAAAAAGATAGTTAGTTAGTCTTGCGTAACCCCAACTGATAAATATAAAACTTGCTACACTTTTATGATCCTTATTGTCAGTATTGGGTTTGTTTTATATATATATTCATAGTTTATACCAGGGTGGTCCAAACCCAGGCCCGCGGGCCACATGTGGCCCGCCGCTTCCTTATCTGTGGCCCGCGTAACATTCGAAGAGGAATTAGAAAATCGCATTTTGTGTTGTTTCGTCATGAAATTAACCAAAAAATCTTCTGACATATTGTTGCATCACTAATGTCGCTGAATTGACTAGTTTTATGGCTTGCTGAGGCAACTAGCGAAATTAAACGAGCGAAGTTCTTGGCACAATTGTGGTCCGCGAACAATGCAAAAGTAATTTTATGGCCCAATCTTGGACCACCCTGGTTTATACAATCCGGACAATAAAATATAACTAAACTTTTGTACATGTTTTTTTCTCGAGCGTCTGCAATGTTTCATACGGGTTCCGTTTCAACAAAAAAGATGAAAATCACTAGTTTAAGTATAGTCTATACCAGGTACGCAAACTGTTTTGCACGACCTAGAATAGTAGTTCTTAAACTTTCATGTTCCGTGCCCCCCTTCCAAACACTTGTGGCCCCTAATCTTCTATAAAAATACCGTAATTTTGCTTTTACCTGGTTACCATAGGTTATTTTATTTTAAACGAAAGCAAAATAATAAATGTATTGAAACCAAAAATTAAGCAAATCACAGCCTACTAACTTTAAATTAATGTAGAACATTGCAAATAGTACCGATTGAAGGCTTTTGTGTCGTGCCCCCTGGGGGGGTGGATGGCCCTGCCTCTAGCACCTAACATACACCTAAAAACATCATTCACTGCATACTTTTGATACAAGAACACGAGCTAAAATCTTCGCATTAATTTATCTGAGGTAACTAGAAACTTTCTTAGAGCGGACGTGAGTCAACGCGTTTATTATTACGTAAGGGGACATTTAACTACAGCGTTGAACGCTACAGAAGTAAAAGGACATTGTAAAAGTTACTACCATCTTATGGTAATTGATTGGAAGGACATTGTAAAAGTTAGAGATAGACATTCTTTTCTATTTTTCAATCAATAATCGCATATTTTGCAATACGCTAATATGATTACCTACATTCAAATTTTGGTAAATTGAATCACGTTTTTGAAAAATATAGACAACGCGCAGGTTTTTGTTGATTCTGACATTAAAAATGCAACATACGTCTCACAGATATGTTCAAGTGATTCACTTGCAACTGAACGTCTATTTTAATAATGTCTATATGGCTTCAAAACGCAAATAGTCCGCCTCACTCGTTTTCTTCTCCTTTCTTTTAAATATGAAATGCTATGCTTATGATATGATGTTACCATCCTATATAGAAAAGTAAGACATATATACCAGTGCAATCCTATCAATTTCAATAATTTCTACAAATTTTGAAAAAAAAAACCGCATCTGTCTCTATTGAATGAAAATAACTGTATGGACACGACGGCCAAAACAGAGAAGTACGGTATGCAACCTGTCACAGTAGACTACCGGTAGCACAGTCTTCACGACTCCACCTGGCCACTAGATAGCAACTAACGCGAACGCGGAACGCCACAATGTGCGCATTTTTTAATTTTGATGACGTCATCGTACACAAGAACGAATCCCATAGAGCTCACAGAAGTTTTTGGTATAAATAAAAGTAATAGCCTTTTCATCAAATACCGATTCTAGAATGAATAAAAAATACCATACATGGCCGATTTAAAAACTACGATAGTTTCTGCATGCAAATATTGCCTGGCTGTCTTATCGCTTCAAATCGAGTTAAGTAATCTACCTGATTACGTCTGATGAAAAAAATCATAATAAATTACCTTGTTCTTCTTTTTAAACCCGATGGCAATCACGGACGAAATTTGCTTGCGATAAGGCATGTTGTGGTTAGAGTATCCGGTGGCGTGGTTTACCGTTCACAGATCCGAAACTTTGATAATTAATCAATGTAGGAGGTGGTGCACAGGGGCACAACAAGAATCGAAATGATACAAAAGACAAGACATTTCGGTTTTTATTCAAATTTTGGCGCAAACCCTTTTTGTACATAACAGTTTAAAATTTGAGAAATTTAGCTTGCTTATCGTGTTATTCTATTTTCATACATGCTATCAAAAATCCCAGAATTTCAAAATGACATATACTTACGTTGGTGCACTTATCGTCGTTGTGCAATATATTATCATTACACATAAATACACTGACAAACTTACGATTATTTTTACAAGTCCTCGCTACCTTGAATTAAAAGTAAACTTATCAGCTTGACTATGTACTATGAAAAGCTTTTTGCAAAGAAGATAAGACAATAATAGTTGAACGCTTACGTCGGCATACAAGAGACGCAATTGTCTAAATAGGTCATGAATATTTGACGATCTTGATAAGATTTACGTAGATTGCCTTTGAACGAATGAAGCTGATATTGTTTAAAAGTATGGGTTTTGGAATTTCAAAGATTCTAGGAGAATATAACACAACACAACAATGACTAAGAAATAAAGTACAAAATACTGAAAACAAATGTTCGATGTTATTGAATGATGTCACATTTTCACATTGACAAGGACCACTGACAAGTTTAGGATATTATGAGACAGAAAATGGGTCAGTTTGGAACCAACGCTTTACACCCTGACGCAGCGGTTGAACCCGAAATGTTCAACCTGTGACGCCAACACATGCGTCCTAATCACCAAGGCTTAGTGGCCTTATAGTATAGTTCATTTCTGCACTAAGCCATCGAGGCCATCGTTCACCATACAGCATTAGAGCAGCAATACCTCGAGTTTTATTGATAATTACTCACATAGGGTAGAGAACGGTTTAAAAATATACAAAATCACTACTGTATATGTGTTAGTTTCCAAGAGTTACGCAATGATGTTACAATATACATTACAAAGTATCAAACTGTCTTACTTTCAAAGACTCACGACAAAAATCCAAAGCCAAGGCCAAAAAAGTATACAATTGATTCTGAAGCAATGTTAATAATTCAAAAGCTAAAAATCAACTCAATAAAACTAATCACATCGTACGTGGCGTAGCTTTTATACAGAAATGATGATTTGGTATGATGACGGAAAACTGTCGTTCGCTACACTCGACTTTACTCACAACAAACTTCTTAGTCATTAAATAGGTTGAGCTTCAACCAAGTATAAACGTAAATATGTTAACGTTGATCTCATATTTAACATTTTGTTACTCACCATTGAGAGTTTCATCAAATGTACAATTACTATATGAAGACTAAATTTTATAACTGCAATACAGTTTTCAATACTAGATTAAAACTTTACCTCCGATAATCAATTTAATAAAAACTTAAATATTTTAATGTTTGTCTAAAATGTAACCTTTTGACTATGTAGACTAGATTTTATAATTGTAATACAAATTTCGATACTAGAATAGGACTGCATCCCTGCACTGAAA